ACCCTTCTCTCTCCTCCTCCTTCTGCTTCTTTCTCTTTCTACTACTTTACTCTTCTTCCTCTCTAAACCACTCTCCTCTTTTCTTTCTTCTCTCCTTCTTCCCCTCTCCTTTTTTACCACTCTCCTCTTCTTTAATCCACTCTTTCACTTTTTTTTCTCCTCCCAACCACTCTTCTCTCTACTTATTCCTTTCTTATTTCTTCTTATTCTCTTCTCTTTTTATCCCTTCTTTCAATTCCTTTTCTTTATTTCTTTTCTTTTTTTTTACTTCTTTCTTCCACTCTTCCTCTCAATTATTCTTCTATTTCTTCCTCTCTAACTACTTTTCTTCTACTTTTACTTTACTTCTTCTTTTAATCCACTCCTTATTTCTCCTTTTAATTATTCCTTTACCTTTCTTCTTATCTTTTTGAATTTTTTTTTTTTATTCCTTCTCTATTTTCTTTTTTTTTAATTCCTTTTTACTTTACCTCTATTTTTCTCAATCTTTTTTCTTTGCTTCTTCCCTATTTTTTTTTTAACCTTTTTTATTTTTCTTTTTTTTTTTTCTCCTCTCTTCTTATTCTTTTTTCACTTCTTACCACCTCTTTACTTCCTTAATTCTTTTAATTCCTCTTCTTATTTCTCTTTTTTTCTTCTCTTCTTCTTCCACTTCTTCTCTGAATCAGCTTCTTTTTACTTCTCCTCCTCCCTTAACTACCCTCTCTTTTTTTTTTCCACTTCTCTTTCTTCTTCCTCTTTATCCATTCTTTTTTTTTATTATTCTTACTTTCCTCTTGAAGTAATATCTCTTTTATTTCTTTTTATGATCTGACTTTGGCTATTCACTTATTTAGATACCCTCTCAAATATATATCTCTATATATATATCATACTATATTAGACTGATCCCACCCTTTATCCTTTCTCTCTCTTTATTCTACTTTTTCTGACTACCTTTCTTCTCTTATCTATCTTATATCTTTCTTCTTATTTATTTATTCTTATATTCTCCCTTTCTACTTCTTCTCTCTACTCACTCTTTCTTATCTTTCTTTTTTTTCTAACTCACTTCTTCTTATTTTTTTCTTCTTTTCACTTCTCATCCCTAACCACTCTTTCTTTTTAACTACTTCTTCTTTCTTTTTTTCTAAATATTCTTTTCTTCTTTTTTATTTCTCTTTCTTTCTTTTTTTTTTATTTATCTTTTTCTTTTTCTCTCTTCTTTTATTCCTCTTATTTCTCTTTTCTTTTCTTACTTCTCCTCCTCCCTAACTATTCTTTTTTTTCTACTTCTTATCCCTAACCACTCTCTATTCTTATATTTTTTATTTTATTATATATCTATCTTATTTATTTTATATCTAATTCTTTATTTTATCTTTTTTTTTTTTTTTTTTTTTTCTTTTTTTCTTTTACTTATTTCTCTCTTCTCTTTATCTACTTTCTCTCTCTTTTATATTTTTCTCTTTTTTTCTCTCTTCTTTTCTTTTTTATTTCTCTTACTTTCTATTCTCCTCCTTTCTCTACTTCTCTTTCCCCTAATCACTACCTTCTTTTTTTTTTTTTATCTTTATCATCTTTCTTCTTTTTATCTACTTTATTATCTATTCATTTATATACCCCTCTTAAATATATATCTCATATATATATCATCATACTATATTAACTATCCCAACTTTTATCTTCTTTTTTCTTTATTATACTCCTTTCTAATTACTCTTTCTTCTCTTTTTATATATCTTATATCTCTCTTCTATTCATCTACTCTTATACTCACTTCATTTACTCTCTCCTTTCTTATTTCTTTTTTTTAATATCTTCTTATCACCTCTTCCTTCTTTTTATCCTTTTTTTCTTATTTCTCTCTTTTTTTCTTCTTTTTCCCCTCCTTCTTATCCTAACCACTCTTTACTTCTCCTCCTTAACCACTCTATTTTTTTTTTCTTCTTTACTTCTCCTTCTACTTCTCCTCTCTAACCACTCTCCTCCTCCACCCTAACCACTCTTCTCCCTCTCCCTCTTCTTCTTCTTCTTTAAAATAAAAATAAAAAAATAAAATACAAAATAAAACCTTAAAACCTTATACTCTCTCTTCTTATCCTTATCCACTCTTCTTCTCTTTAATTACTCTCTCTTTTTTTCCTTTATTCTTTCTCTCTTTTTTTTATTTTTATTTCTTTTTTATATCTCTTTCTCTTCTTTTCTTCTTTTCCTTCTTATCATCCACTTATTCTCTTTTTCTACTTCTTCTTCTTTTTTCCATATATTCTTTTCTTCTTTTTTATTTTCCTTACTTCTTATTCTCTTTTCTTTCTTTTTTTATTTATCCTTTTATTTCTCTTATTTCCTTTTTTTTTTCTTACTTCTCCTCTTTCCTACTTACTCTTTCTCTTTTTCTATTTTTTTTTTCTTCTTTTTTTTTATCTCTATCCACTCAATCTTTCTTCTACTTCCCTTTCTCTCTTTTTCTATTTCTTATCCACTTAATCCTTCTTCCACTTCTCCTTATCTCTATCCACTCTCTATTTCTTTTTTTTCTTTTTTTTTATCTATTTCTTTTTCTTTTTTTTTCTCTCCCTCTCTCTTCTATTTTTCTTTTCTTTTTTTTCTTTAACCACTCTTTCTCTCTATTTATTCTTTTATTTTTCTTTTTTCATTTCTCTCTCTCTCCTAACCACTCTCTCTTTTTTTCACTTCTCTTTCCCTTTAACTATTCTATCTCTTTTTATCTATTTCTTCTTCTCTTTTTTATCTTATTTTTTTCTTACTGCTTCTCCTTCCTAACCACTTAATCCTTTTTACTTCTTCTCCCTTTTTATTCACTTTTCCCTCTTCTACTACTTCTCATCTCTAACCACTCTTTCTTTTTTAATTCCTCTTTCTCTCTCTCTTCTTTCTATTTCTCATTTCTATTTTATATCCCTATCTACTCAATCTTTCTTCCACTCTCTTCCTTCTACCTATTTCTTTTCTTTTTTTTCTATTTCTTCTACTTCTTTTTCATCTCCTCCTTTTTCTTTTATTCATTCTTTCTTCCTTATTTTACTACTAATCCCTTATTCTTTAATTTCTTTTTCATCTTTCATCTTCTATTTATCCACTCTTATATTATACTCTTATACTCACTCTCTATACACACACACATATATATATATCCCACTATATATACTAATCATCTTAACTTTAATTATACTCAATTCTTTTTAACCAAAATTAACTTTTTTTTTATTAAATTTATTCTTATTGCTCGCTCTCTTTTATTATTTTTTATATTTATTTTAATTATTTTTTTATTTATTCTCTTCTTTAATCACTCTTTTTTTCTCTTTTTTTTTTTATCTTCTCTTTAATCACTCTACTTTTTCTTTTTTCTACTCCTCCTCCCTAACCACTTTTTCTTACTTTTTCCTTTTTTTAACTATTTTTACTTCTCTTTTTTTCTAATCTTACTTTAAAATTTATTTTTTAAATTCTTAATATTATCTCTTATTTTCTTTATTCTTACTTATTTTAATCACTTTCTTTTTCCATTCTATTATTCTCTTTTTTTTTTCTAAAATTCTTCCTCTTTTTTATTTCTTATTTTAATCTCCCTCCCTTTTATTCTTTTTTTATTTTATTTTTCTTACTCTTTCCTCTATTTTCTACTTCCAACTTTACCTCTTTTTTTTTTTCTATTTCTTATCTTTAATTTATTTTTTATTCATTAATTATTTTAGCCCTAACCACTTTTTTATTATTTATCTCTTACTATTTTTTATATTTTGATTTCTATTTTCTCATTATACTACTTCTCTATCCTATATCTCTTTTATTCTCTTATTTCTATATATATCTCTGTCTCTCTTACCATATAATAATTTCCTTTATTTTAATCTTTTTTATTATTCTTATCCCTAACCACTCTCTTTTTTAATATAATAATTCTCTTTTATTTATTTTTTCTTTAAAAATCCTATAATTTCTATCTTTAATACCCCCTTCTCTCTCTATTCTCCTATTATTTTTCTTCATTTTTTAATTATTTTATTCTTATACACATCTTCTCTAATATCACTTAATATTATTATCCCTAACCACTTCCTTCTTTAATTATAAAAAATCATCTTTTTTATATTTTATTTCTCATATATATCCTATTCTTAACCCTAACCATTTTATCTCTCTCTCTCATATTATTTCTTTAATCTTTCTTAATCATTCCTAATTTTCTTTCTTTTTTATTATACTTAATTCCTATACTATCTCACTCTATATTATATTTATATATATATATACACTACTATTTTATTCTTAGCCTTTTTTATTATTTAAAATAACTTAATTTCTTTTTTATTTTTATTATTTTTATCTTATATACTGATTTTTTTTAAATTATTTTTATTTAAATTTCTTTTTACTATCTTTCTATTTAAGCTTACTTTCTATTCTCTCTAAACACTATATATCTATTATCTTCTCTATATACTCTTCATCTTATTCCCCTTAGCTGTTTTAGCTGATCTATCTTACCTATATATACTTCTCATCTTATTTCCCCTTAGCTATGCTAGCCTATCTCTTTTCTATTAGCTATCTATATCTATATACTATATATCCACTATCTTTATATTTATATTTCTACATACTTCTTCTTTATATATATATGCTTTTTACCTTATTCTCTCTTAGCTGTTCTAGCGTATCCTACTATTTTACTGTTATATATACATACTCTATTAATCTCACTGATCTATACTAGCCATCTTACTAATATATATATACCATATTATAAATATATGCCTTTATAGACTATATGTTACAATAATACCAAACCTTAGACTTCTCCATACCTTATATATATATATCTATCTCACCGATATATTAGCTATCTCTGTAATATATATCCACCATCTTACATATATATGCCTTCATCAACTGGATATATAATAATGTTACCTAATATGTTTATATATTACTAGATACTATAGATATAGCCCAGTAAATATGACTTAAAAAAGGGAAGAAATTTAATCAGATAGAGTGATAGAGCAGAGTATCTAAGATAGAAAAATAAAAACTAAAAAAAGAAAATTCAAATTAAATACAGAATTTACTTAAGGCAAATTAATCATCCTATGACACCATTTATAAAATAAGACCACCCCCTTAAATACCTCAGTCCCAAATGTGTCCCTTTCAGCTTTGAGAAGCTGATTCCCAAGCTCTAATGATGATGATTGAGAGGTGCCTATGTTCATGAGAGAGCACAGAATCTTACCCATATCAGTAGTAATATGATGGCCAAACCAAATAAGAAGAAGCCCTGGCGGAAACAGGCATTCCTCCCTATTTCCAGATCGGTTTGGACAGATCCTGGTGGGAAGAAGGCAATGAAAACAGCCACCATGGGTTTCCAATTGAAGCTGATCCCGAAGCTGGTTGAATGCAATGATCAGATGCTGGGCTCTTGGGCATTGAAGGTAGGAATGGTGGGAATCAATCTCCTGGGCATAGGCAGATTTATCATCTGCATAGTCAAATCAGTTAGTAGATAGATAGTAGATAGATAGAAAGATAGTAGATAGATACTCACAGCATGAATCAAGCTCACACCCAAGGCAGATATTTCCTTTGAGGAAAAATTCCACATAGGCAGTCAGCTTTCGCCTAAGGCCGTCACCCTCCCTGAGGACTGCCCTAGCCTGGGTAGCAACTGCCTGGAGCTCTCCCTGCCGGGCCTGGCACAGGTCACATGCCTTCTCATGCGCCAAACACCCCTGGGTAGCCCGACCATTGAATTCCCTATTGATTAGGGACCGCCGGCAGACCTGTGCCTGCAGATACTCATGGAAAAACTGTTCTTCCAGATCCGCCGGCGCTGGGAATGGCTGAGAGAGGGGGGGGATGATGGCATATGACCAGCCAATCTCCCCAGCACCCCGCGCCGCACGCCCTGTAGCTTGAAGGAACTGGCTGATGCCCCACCTGGTCCCCCAGTGAATGACCATGGCAGTATGAGCAAAGTCATATCCTTCCCCGATGGCAGCTGTCCCAAGGAGCACGAGCTTCTGCCCTTGGTCAAAGCTCTCCACCTGCCTTGTCTTGTCTTCCTCTGGCATGCTGGCATGGAAATAGGCTGTCTCCTGGGGATAGGCCTGATGGAACTCCTCTACCATGCCCTTATAGGGAAGGTAGATGATCACCTGACCCCTAGGGGGGATCTGCCCGGCCTGGCGTGCATCACGGATCAGGTTCAAAAGATATTGGAAGCGGCGGGCGCCAGAGAGCCTAGGGGGGTGTGCTTGGACCAGATAGTGAATGTCAGGGCGGTTGATATCACCACGGACCACCAGGGGAAGGTGGGCTGGCAGGAGGAATTGGTGGCGGAGCTGGTCCAGGGCAGGCTGGGTCATGGTGGCCGAGGCAAAGACTTTGGGGACTGGGATCTGGCTCAGGCGGTTTACATCATTCATCACCCCCCGATAGCTGCGGGCCAGGGGGATGAGATGGGCCTCATCAAAAATAATGCGGTCCAGGGCGTTTTGGTGGTAGAGCTGCATGGCCCAGTTAATGAAGACCTGGCTGACAGCAGACTCAATGGATACTAGCACTAGCCGGGTAGGAGGGGTCTCCTCATGCCTATATAGAGCATTAGTAAATATATAAAGATAGATAGATAGATAGATAGATAGTACTTACTGATCCTCCCAATTCACCCATGGCAGACCTAGGTTTTGAAGCTTAGATTGCAGGTTCAGCTTCAATGAAACAAGGGGAACCACCAGGACAGTAGTATGCGCCCAGGCAAGGCTTGCAGCAAGCAGAAACAGGGTGGTCTTGCCTCCAGCAGTTGGTAATGCCATGAGAAGGAATGGGGTTGGCTTCAGCAGATGGTAGAGGCACTCACGCTGTTCTGCGCTTCGAAATTCAGCCTGAGGCGTTCCCATGAATTCTTGAAAGAGCCCAAGCAGGAGGTCTGGTGCTTGAAGGCCCCTAGGGGTTTGAGGGAATGGCTGGTGTGCAAGCAGTCGCAGTCGCTGGCCTGGTTCCAGCTCGGCCAGGCGCGGGTCACCATCGGGAATGCCTTCAGTGACATTGGGGTCGATTGGAGTGAATGTGGGGGTTGTGGAGCCCATGAATGCATTGAACTGACCAATAGGGATCTTAGGGGATGGTGAAGAGGCAGATCTCTGCCACCAGAAGCGCAGGCAGGGCTGGTTGAGAGGAAAGGAGCTGGTAGATAGGCCCTGGGGGGTCTTGGCTGTGGCCTGGGGGGCCTGAGGCAGCGGTCTTCCTTGATAGAGAAAGCTCAAAAAGTCGAAATCAGGCCCCATGCCGATATAGGAATGCCACCGCTGGCTGAAGTCAATGTAGGCGGCCTGCTGGTTGATGGGGAGGTTGCCAAATTGAACCTGTGGCCGGCCATAGACCAGCATGGCCGTGCGGACGCTGTGGTGTGCTTGGCCGGCTGCTAGAGCTTCATTCTCAAGCTCACTCAGCTCTGGCGCTTCAATGGAGTCCCCCTCCATCCGTTCCCCCATGCCATATCGAATGAAGCCTTGGGCGAGATGGCGCCATGAATGGATCTGAATGCCCTGGCCGATCAGGGCGCTGGTCCGATGGCGGAGCGTGTCACTGACCTGGCGGCTGGTAGGGAGGTCGCCCTGAATTGAAAAAAAGAAGACTGCGGCGGTTTCGGAGCTTCAATGCCTGATGGAGATAGTGAATGAATGGCTCCACAACCACCAGATAGACCAGTAGTATATGGGATGGAGCTCTGGGGATGGCTCGGACAGCATTCCGCTCCATGCCAGTGGTCGCCAGCACCTTACTATACCGCAGCCGAATGAGGAAGAGCTTCGATTTCGGGTCCAGAAAGAGGTTTCGGCGGTTGATCATGGAATTGGATGCCAGGAGTGGAATAATCTCAGTGCCTCGGGCAGGGGCGCCACTGGTCATGTGCACCAGAACAAGCAGATGGAGCAGGAACTTCTTGGCCATAAATAAATATCGCTCTGCTGGTAGGGGAATGAGATGGAGCCGATTTCCAGCCTATATGATATTTTATATATATATATATTAGTAATGTGAATGCCATTCAGCCAGATAGATGATATACGGGAGATACTGACTGGCTTGAACCATTCTTTGGCTCGCGTAGGGTCATCCAGGATTTTTTTCACGAGATAGGGCTGGTAGTGGTGTTGGTAGTCCTCATTCAATGTTAGGAAATTGAATCCATTCCCCTCCATGGCAAAATCCTCAAATCGAGCTGCCTCCCCCAGCTGGATCTGGTTGAAAAGCTGGGCATCCTCCCAGATCAGCAGCGAGCCTACTAGGGAGTGTGCCAGGTCCAAGGTAGACTTCTGGAAAAATTCCTGGAGCTGCAGACGGCTGACACTAAGATGGTGGAATCTTAGGTGGTGGGGTGCTTGTTCAATCACCTGGTTGCCTTGCACGCTGGAGATCGTGTTGTAGTAGAGAGCATAGGCTCTGAAGGACAGAAGATCTCCAAGGGGGTAAGGAGACTGGTGCTTGAAGTAGGTCTGCAGCCAGGGGCCGAAGACAGCATGAAATGGGGCCGCATTAGCCAGCGCTTGGTCCTGCCCATCCTCTTTCGCTTCAAGGATCCTCCGGATCCATGGGGTCCAATGGTGGTTGATGGCGACCAGCTGCATGGCGTAGATAACGGCAGAGTAGGACTGGCTGATGCGGTCAATTCGCTTGAAGGTCACCTCCTGGTAGTGAATACTGAAACAGGCCAGGAACGCGTAGATAGGGCCCTTCATGTCATATGACTCATGCCTGGTGACCAGGTCAATGAGGAGCTTTTCAATGAGAGCCACCCCTTCGTGCACTGCCGCCTGAGTGAATTGAAAACCACTGGTGGCCTGCCAGGCCTGCCGCTCGAGCTTCTCGAGAACACCAGAGTCCTCAAGATCTTCCTCACCATCATCCCCCCCTAGGTCCAGGGCCAGATCGATCTCATCCTCTTCATCATTCTCACCATCAAGGTCATCACCAATATAGGCACGGGCACTGCCTGCCTGCAAGGGGCCTGAGGCCTTTGGTGCCTCCTCATCCTCTTCCGCTAGGGTGGGGGATAGTAGCAGGTCCTTGAGCTCCTGAATCCCCGCCTTGACCATGTGATCTATAGCATAGAGTCGATTCAGGTCCCTATCCCTAGGCCCCCTAGTGACCTGGTAGGGATAGCTCTCCAACAGAAAAACGAGAAAGCTGTGAAGCACGCGGGCATATTTCTGGGCACTGGCTGCCTCCTGGAGGGGTTTGAAAGGGCGCAGAGTCACATGCTCAATGTCAAAACTATTGAGAAGGCATCGAACATGGCGAGAAAGGAGAGGGATGATCTTCTGGCCTTTGGCGAATATATAGGTGGTGCAGGCAGTCAGGAAATCATGGATTCGATCTAGAAAAATATGAAAAAAATTAGTGCATGCCATATATATATATATATATATCAATAGGTAGATAGATATAGATATAAGCTCTAAATACTCTTGAACATCAAACACAAGGATACATGCATTGTTAGGGTTGTTCATTTCCCCATACAAAATATATGGCAAAAGAAACATGGGTTAGAGTGGTAGAGGTATCCCTCAGAGAAAAGAAATTAAACTCACCAGAATGCTCTAGGGATAGAGAGAAGAGATTTCTTAGCTTTGGGAGGGAGCGTTGCTGCAGGAACTCTGGATACCTGGTGTGGAGCTGAAATCCATTGAGCTCATCCCTAGACCCAGAGAGATAGATCTTGGCTTGCTCTGGCTGGGGCTTCTGGATTTCCTGGTACTGACGGAGCAGGGAATCCACCAGATCTGGGGTGATGCCAGAGTCAGGCTGCGACGAAGAACCAGGCCTAGAAATACATATTAGTGAAGGCGTAGAGGATACATATCTACATAAATATATAGACCCCACCTGGTAGGAAGACTGGCAGAGGGTCCAAAGGCAGAAGAGGCTCTCAGAGAGGTATTGACATCCCTATACAGTGAGAATCAGCAAGATATATATTCAAAATGGGCAGTGGGAATGCTCACCTGGCAGAGACCATCTCAATATCAGAGTCACTGGACTCAACCACCCTAAGAGACAGTTAGGGAATGCATAAAGGGCTTGATATATTTCCTGACCTAGGTCTTTGGGCTTGATGTGGCTGAGATGGGCCAGGAGTTGGTGAAGGGCCAGGTTCAGTGGCTGGCTCAGTGACTTTGAAATAGAATTTGTTTTTGGACAAAGATTGGGCCAATATGGGAGTCAAGCAAGCATTTTGGGAAGTTAGAGTCTTCATCTCATGGATTTTACTTGCATGGCGTTGCCCACTTTGGGCACTAAGAAAGACCTTCCCACATTCACTACATTCATGGGCTTGGAGAAGCTCCAGTCCTTGAATAGGAGGAATAGGCAGATCATATAATATCTGCTGATGGGCTTGAGAAATTCTTTGAAGCTCTAGAGCTTCAAGGGCAGCTTTATAGCTCCCTTCTTGGATTTGGTGTGTGGTAAACAGATGATCAGCTTGAAGATGAGAAACAAAAAGATCCTTTGGCACCACCACCTTGCATTCTTTGCAAAGAAGCAGATGGTAGATAGGATGATACATAATAAATTCAGGAAGGTTGGTGGCCATAGTGAAGCGTATATGAAAAAGAGAAGTTAAGCAGAGGGCTTAGAAACCTGAAGAGATAGTATAGAAATGGAGAGATAGGCAATATAAAAAGAAATAAGAAATGTTGCTGGTAGCACTTGGCTAGGGAACTAATCTGGGAAGGGGGAGCAACCATTAATTTATATTAGATTATGAAGAGTTCTAGACATTCAATATTATAAATTCAATCTCATTCAGTCTCTTAAGATGATATCATACTAGTGGTGGCGTGAGGAACATTAGGTAGGAAGTGTTCCCAAAGTCCAGCTGAGCCATCCCCCCACTCTATGCCATGCCCTCTATCTAGCTGCGCCACCACGACAATTGCAGATCATGAAAAATCCCTCATCTTATTAATCACACCAGCTGTTCATTTCGAATCATCTTATTCTAGGCTGAGATACCTATCTAGTTATTTATTATTACTTCTACCATCAATTATATATGTCTACTACCATGCCTAAATTACAGTAATTGCATTATAATCATAATAAAAGACCATTTCTACTTTACTACATTGGAATTTCTAATTTTAAACCTCTATATCTCCTTTTCTAGGCCACTTCAGAATATCAGACCATGTTCATTGTAATGCTCTCAATGAGTACTTTCATCTAAGCCATTATATGACTACCTTCCTAATTAGGTATAGTGCCATCATCTAGGGAGTACTACCATCACCTAGAGCTAAGTGAGAGCAGTGAAAAGATAGGTGATATGACCACCTTCCTAATTAGGAAATTGAAGTCACGTGCACCTTCTAGACCTCCATGATATCATCATATTTAATTCTGAGCAATTGGACCACTACATAGCCTGTAATAGCATTGGCCATAATATTACCCTATTTGGTATAGGGTATATTTAAAACGGCTTATGTCAGCCATCCAACTGCACCAGCAGAAACTAGACCTGATTAGTATCACCATGATACTAGTCTTACTTCCTAATATGGCCTAGTTCTTGAGTTAGGGACCTTACATGAAGTTCTATGTAAGGTCCCAGAACCCACATTTTAGGGTTTTTTTTTACTATGTGTAAGGAGACCTTACATGTAAGGAATATGACTTAGAAGAGGATAAGCCTATTTATAATACAGTTGAACCTTTCTAAAATAGTCTGCTTTGAAATTAAAGAATAGCAAAGTAGGAGACATGCCTCATAGTAATGGTAAAGAGGATTTTAGAATAGAATATGATAGAATCTTTTAGAAGATAGAAGTTAACAAAAAGACTAGAGGATTTTAAAAGATTTTATGATATTTTAGAGTATAATCTTCAATACTTCTTTTTCTTATTCTTTATATCTCTAATCATCTTATTTATTATCTTTTTATTTCTAATATTATATCAGGGATATAGCAAATATATATACAATATAAATTCCCACCATATTGTGCCAGGGGCATTGTGAAACCTTAGATCTCTCATATTTCCTATCTTAGAACACTGTAGAACTGCTGACTCCAATATACTAATATATAGTGGATCCCGCGGCTGGAGTACTTATTGGAGGGTTCCCTCCCAGATAGTTACAAGAAATAAAGCATTCTATTAGTTTCTAGGTTGCTTCACTAATATTGTTATCATCATATAGAGAGGAGCAAGGCTCCTTTATTGTTCTGTTTCCTTTTATCATTATATTATTTTCTTGCTAAGATCATTTAGTGCTGTGTGGTATAGCAGCATCATCTTGGTATATCTATCCCTAAGATCCCTTGATCACAACATGGTTCCTGTCACAGGGAACAACACATGTACACCCCCCCTTTACACTGATACTGACTGAGTAAGGAATCCACCAGATCTGCAGTGATGCCAGCCTCACACTGCACTGAGGAACTAGGCCTAGCAATATATCAGTAAAGGTATTGAAGAGAGAGTGATATATATATATAGAACATACCTGGTAGGAAGACTGGCTGGGGGCCTCAGAGAGGTAGTGACATCCCTATAGAGCTAATGTCAGCAAGACATATGTCAAACAAGGGAATGGGAATGCTTACCTGGCAGAGACTATCTCAATGTCTGAGTCACTAGACTCAATCACCCTAGGAGAGAGTCAGTGAATGTAGATGAGACTTGAGATTGATCCTTACCTAGGTTGTCGAGCATAGCGTTGCCTGGATGGCCCAGGGGTTGGTGAAGGACTTGGAGCACCTGCCCTGGTAGGAGTATGGGGAGGGGATACAGCCAGTACTTTGAAAAAGTATCGATTGGGCTGCAATGACTGGGTGTTGGCGTCATATAAGGTAACAGGCTGACTTGACCCTCTTAGATGCTTGTGCTCAGTACTGAGATGCTGTTTAGCCTTAGTAAGAGACTGAAATAGGCCACCACAGACACTACATTCCTAAATTTGGGAAGACTTCAATCCTTCAATGGCAGAAATAGGTTGGTTGGCAAGTATCTATTGATGGATATTAGTGATAGGGGATAATTCAAGCTCCTGGATAGAAGCCTGATAGCCAAGGTCAACCATTTGATGCTGAGTAATCAAGTGGTCTTTCTGGAGGTGCTCAGTAGCCTTATTCTTGGGAATGGCAGTATGATATTCCTTGCAGATAAGGAGATGGAGGGTAGCATGGTAGTGGTAGCAGTCAGGAAGGTTGGCAGCCATGTTGAGCAGAAAGTGGAGTAGCAAGGAAAGTAGAGAAACAAGCAATATCAAAAGAAAGAAGAAATAGTGCTGGTAGCACTGGGCTAGGGTACCAACCTTGGGGGGGAATTAAGCCCCTATTTATCTTAGAATATGAAGAGCTCTAGGCATTCAATATTATAAATTGAATTTCTTTCGATTTCTGAAGATCATATCATACTAGGGGTGGTGTCATTTTGGGATCCTCAGGTTCCTTGGTTAGGTGGTGTTCCCAAAGTCTGGCCAAGCTGTGTCCCCCACCCTGTGCTGTGTTCCTGATGTTGCTGCACCACCACCATAATTGCAGATCATGAAGATCCCTTATCTTTTGTATCACACCATATTTCCAGCTGATCCCCACCTCCTTGCATCACCACCATAATTGTAAATTATGAAGGGTCTCTTATCTTTTAAATTGTAGTATTAATTAATATAAAACTATATTATTCTGAGCTAAGATCTCTATCTCCTTATCAGTATTACTTCAACCATATTATATATATAGTACCTGCAGGTCCCTGGATAATTGCTCTCTAGCCATTGAATTAATGATATATCCCTAGATAGCACCTTCATAACCATGATACTAGCCGTAGATACTGAGAGAACTACTTGATGAGTATGAAATAGCATCCTTATATAGATAGAACTTCCAACTTCAATCTATCATACCTTCTTATCTAGGCCACTTCAGAAAATGAGACTATATTCATTGTGATATGCTAGATGAGCATTTTTATACAAGCTATCTCAAAATTACCTTTGTAATCAGGGTTAGTGCTACTATGTCAAGACCACCACCATCACCAAGAGCTCAGTGAGAGCAGTCCAATGGTATATGACTTGGCCACCTTCCTAATTAGGAAATTGAGGTCACATGACCCCTTGCGCCTATTATACCATGCTCATATTCAATTCTGAGTTCAATTGGCCTACTAGATAGCCTATAGCAGTGCTATCTAGATATTACCCTATCTGGCTTAGGGTTAATTTAAACCTGCTTATGTCATCAATCAAACTATACTAGCAGAAACTAGGCCTCATTAGGATCACTATGATACTAGTCTGACTTCCTAATACGGCTTAGATCTTGAGATAAAGGATGGGTAAAACCTGTTTTTACCTATCATGGTGGACCCACTTTTCAAACCTTATTTTGTACTATACCTATGATGGGTAATTGTAGAGAATATGCTTAGTGCTATCTACATATTACCCTATCTGGCTTAGGGTTAATTTAAACCTGCTTATGTCATCAATCGAACTATACTAGCAGAAACTAGACCTGATTAGGATCACTATGATACTAGTCTGACTTCCTAATATGGCCTAGTTCTTGAGATAAAGATGGGTCAAAATAATTTCTGACCCATCTTTTTTAGGGTCACTACCCATTCTAATTTCCCACCAGACCCAAGTTGGGTCATTGTACAGAATATGACTTAGGTAAAGTATCTAAGATATATTAATATAGTGCTAGTGGATGACCCTTGCTACTTCATTACTATAGATGTCCTATCTTCAAACTTCAATATCTTATTATGCAGACTATATGAGACTTTCAGCCTATGTTGTGCTGGGGGCACTGCGAAACCCTGGATCTCCCATATTTCCTATCTTAGGACACTGTAGAGCCGCGGTCTCCGACATACTAATGTATGGTGGAGCCCGCGGCCGGAGTACTTAATGGAGGGTTCCCTCCCAGATAGTTACGGGAAATAGAGCATTCTTTTGTTTTCTAGGTTGCTTCACTAGTATCCTTATCATTGTACAGAGTGGAGCGAGGCTCCTTCATCATTGTGTTTCCTTTTATCGTTATATCATTTTCTTGCTGCGAACTTCGCTTTGGGTTCTAGGGCGCGTGGGAAGCACCCTGGCTAGGGAGTCTTGGGAAAATATCCAGCCTAGAGGCTTGTTCCGAAGAGATTGGGATATGGGAGAGTACGGGAGTAGTAAAAACTCTGAATTCAGCTAAGTTAGCAGTTCCACAGTTCTGTCATGGCGTTCCGTCGGTATTGCCTACTTCGGTAAGGAGATGTCGTCAGAGAGCGACCGCTCGGAGGATCGACCTCTCCCGGTGCATGTGGAACAAGGGAGTCCACTTCTTACACCGGGAGATGCAAAGGGAATACCGGCACCGGCTGCAATGCCCACTACTCCAAGCTTGTCTGGAATGTGGCAGCCAGAAGGTATGCTGATGTTGATGATGCAGATGTTGGAAAAACTGCTGGGAACACAGAGGTCTGCTGCTGCGCAGAATGTCTGGGGCCCCAACATTTAATGGTAAGGAGGTCAGTGAATTCCTGAGGACCTTACATTCATTGTTTAGGAACCATGAAATCACACACCATGAAATCACACATGAAGAGGACAAGATAAATGCCCTGTGTGATTATGTGTCAGTAAGTGTGTGTGAGTGGGTAGAGAGCCTCCCTGAATACAAGAGGAAGGACTATGAAGGATTGGAGAAGCGGCTCCTAGAGGAGTATCGGGACCAGGATTCAGCACAGGCCAAGCTCAACATAGGCTGGCTTGGCAGGTTTGTTGCTCAGAAACGGTCAACAGATGACAACTGGATCAAGTATGTCCGCGAATTTAGCAACGTCTCTGGTGAACTGATGCGCCGAGGCCAGCTGGTGGAATTCTTGAGAACAGAGATGTTCCTGCAGGGTCTGCCGGAGGAAGTCCAGGTTGAAGTGGTAAGGAGGGCGAAGATTAGCCCTCAGAAGTTTGAGACTATGAAGTTCGCAAGGGCCCGGGAGGCAGTTGAAGAATATCTGGAGGAAGTGGCTGGATTAAATTTAATTCGGCAGGGTCATGAAGGGAAGCTTGCGAACTTCGCAGAGGAAGTGTCAGCTGCGCATAGCTTAGTAGTTGTGCAGCCAGATGGGAGAGTCCCAGATGAACAACGACAGCCAGAGGACAGAGAACCAGTGCCTACAGGGAAGCGGCAGGTGCCAAGAACAGCCCCGGGAACGAGACACCAGGAAACGCTAGATGACCTGGCTGAACGGATGAGGAAAATGGAAATCAGCCTCATGGAGGTGAGACAGAACGACTTCCGAAGACATGGGCTAAATGACATACCCAACCGACGGGGCTATGTGCCAATCGCGGGTGACCAATGCCGGTTTTGTCTGGAAACGGGTCACACCAACATACGGGGGACATGTCCACGGTACCAAGCATTGGCCGCCCAGGGTCTATGCCATATTGCTGAAGATGCCAAAGTCCATTATAGATTGCCTACTTTGGTACGATGTCGTCAGATAGCGACCGCTCAGAGCATTGTGCCAAGGGCACTGCAAAACCCTGGATCTCCCGCATTTCCTATCTTGGAACACCGTAGAACCGCTGACACCGACATACTAATGTATGGTGGAGCCCGCAGCCGGTGAGTACTTAATGGAGGGTTCCTTCCCAGATAGTTACGAGCAATTGAGCATTCTTTTGGTTTCTAGGTTGCTTCACTAGTATCGTTATGGTCACATAGAGCAGAGTGAGGCTCCTTCGTCGTTGTGTTTCCTTTTATCGTTATATCGTTTTCTTGCCAAGATCGTTCGGTGCCGCGTGGTATAGCGGCATCGCCTTGGTATATTCATTCCTAAGATCCCTCCATCACAACCTGGTTCCTGTCGCAGGGAACAATGCACGTACGCCCCCTTTACAAGAGCAGATATAGGGCCACTGGTGCTCCATCTGAGTCTTTTGCCAGTAGCGCAGCTGTTAAGCTTTGGAATGCTCCTGGAAGCTGCACCATGACAGCTTTTTGCCTTTTCTCTCTCATAGTGTTGAACCACTCAAGCAATTACAGCTGACAGTGAAGCATTGGGTAGTAGTAGTAGTGCTATTTAATGTTGGTGTGGGACACGCGCTAATGTGAAGCATTGGGTTATATAGGCCATGACAAGAAACCACACTAGGGGATCATGTGGCATAAAACAATATACTCTTGGTATACAGTCAGTAGCTGTATTGTTGATAATGTATACCAACAATATACGAGAAGGTATACTGTAGCAGGGGACCCACAGATATCATATGATGATCATATGTATTGAGATTCTTCATGCTGAGAGTAGCTCACAGCCAACTTAGCTTCATACATACTTGGGAGGCGCACAGCTGGGTATGTGAATTAAGTTACCACCAGCAGAGCTCTATGAGAGTGTTCTGTGTGGGGCACAAGGCCCTATATGTTGTTGTTGTTGTTGTTGTTGTCTTCTTCCTCTTCTTTGCTAGCCTTGCATTTTCCGTTCTTTCTGTCCTCCCACCTATATCGACCCGCCGGTACGGACCAGGCTGGAGTTCTTCCCCCTGTTCAATATATATATACATGTGACTGGAGCTGATATGACGCCAGTGAGAGAAAGAGGCAGGGTCAGAATGCTCATGAAAGCTATGTGGTGCATCCTCCAACAGATGCCCCAGCATCGGCCGCCGTTTCTTCCACGTCGCTATATATTGTTCCAATACACTTGGCAACCTCCCCCATCGCCCGGAGGATATCTCGCTGCCGAGTGCGAGCTTTCCTGACATCCGCCTGCCGCTGCCGCTCAAACTCTCCCGCAGTCATCCCTGGTCCAATCTCATACGTCCGCTGCTCCGCTTCCTGGAGCGCCCGCGCATACCGATGGTACTTCTGCACATGCTTCTTGGTCCACTGGTCAATGTCATACAGCCATTGACGGCCCCGGTTCACTGTCCGCTGCCGGCTGGAAAGATTATCAGGGTCTGAGTCTTCTTCCACATCCGCTGCCGCCGACCCCCATCATCTGACAAAGGGGTGGCCGCAGGTCGTGCTGGTTCCACGTGAGGACGCCGATAGAGCGCAATGGACTGGTATTCTTCCTGCACCCGCTTCCAGAAGGCCTCACTGACACGAGGCAGCTGCTCCAACAGCTGCTCCGTGGCCAACTGCTCCTGCTGCGCCTGCTGCTGGCCCAGTCGCGTCACTCGGGACTCATCCTGGTGATACGAAAGCAGATGCTGCTGCATCGGTCCCGCCGTAACCCGGATCACAGGCAGAGGCAAGCCCTGAGCGGAGGGGGGCGGTGGGGACGACCCAGCGGCACGCGTGGACGGACTGGGACGAGTGACAGCCGCCACCAGCACTTCAAGGTCACTGGGAATCGTGGGAAGCTCGACGCTGAGGTCCATCGGTTGAGCACCACGTTGCCACCCGCGGATGGGCAACTGGTTGATTGCCGCTAATGGGACGGTCCACTCCCGCAATGGGTCCTCCCGGTGATACCGTTCCACGTCCGGATGGACACTGACCCAAGTGAGCAGCCGTCGCCGCCCAGTTCCATGGAGTCCGGTGCCACGACTCCAGAAGCGTTGGTTGTTTGGATACGGTAACACCCAGTGCGTCCGCACAAACCGATACTGGAGCGTCGCCCGCCACGCCCGAGCCTGCCCCAGCCCGAAGACCCGCGTGATCACTTCAAAACACTGCCGGAAGAGGAGTCGGTACAGCTTCTGCTCCCAGCCCTTCCGCCGCCAATCCCCCCCGTGGTTGCCATCCCCAGCCCAGCCCCAGAGCCAACTGAAGAGCACCTGCACATGGCCCACCTTGGCATTCGATCCGCGCACGTACTGGAACTCGGTTTCCACTGGGGCGCGCTGGAAAACTCGCTGGAAACCCACAATGGTCAGTGGCACCGCACCTGCCAGGGCGTCTGCCAGGGCTTGCTTCTTGATGGGCTGCTGGGGCTTGGAGGCCTGCAGCGCACGAAACACATCTTTCCGGAACGCCTGGAGACAGACATCCACCAGCAGATCCAACAACACCGCCGTCCGGGCGGGAGGCCCATCCCGCCACGCCTGCATCTGCGAAAAGATGTCGTGCACGAAGATGTAATCGCGCTGCGCTCGCACAAGGGGCTGATACCGTCGGGAGTAGGCGGACAGCAGCGTCGGCGTGTTGAATGCCATGTGGCTCCGGTGTGCCACCCGGAAGACCATGCTGGCCCAGTCCACCTTGTCCAGGAACCATCCATACCCATACCGGTCCAACGTCTCCCCCACACCCATGCCCTCCACCACCCGCTCGCCATTACCCGCGCCAGGGTCAACCCGGCAGTCCAGCCACAGACCATTGCTGTGTCGGAGATGATGGCCCTGGCCCCCATAGGTGTACGTCAATGCACGGAGAAACATCATCATCACCCGAGTATGCTCCCAGTGCACCACCGTGTGAGACTGCAGCGTGTACACGAGCTCAAACCCCAGACAGAGCCGGTTCATATTCCACCGGATCCAGTCCAGAAAGAGGGCCGTGGGATGAATGAAAAAAGGGGACGGTGGCGTGCTGAGGCATGATGGCCCGCGGATGGGCTCGCCGGCTCATCACCTGGTGGATGGAATGCAGCAGAGGACCACTGACACGATATTCCTCACGCGTCCCATAGGAATGGTTGCGGCACGACGTCAGTGCCGTATGACACCGGACCTTGGCATGAAGGTATGCGCGGAGGATCGCCTGTGGTGAGTGACTCAGAGCCTGCCCGATGTGCTGCCATGCTCGAACCAGGCCCGGATCCAGCGCCAGTGTGTCCAGGGCATGGTTGGCAAAGGGTAGGTATTGCCAGCAGCAAAGATCCCCTTGGACGTGTTATAAAGCTGGATATAGAGCAAGCCATGCCGGCGAAGGGCGGAACGTCGGCCCAGGTGTGGTTGAATCGTGAGACTACCCAGGTCCTGGGTGAGGGACAGCGGGTAGTATTCCTCCTGCCAACAAGGTGGCGCCGCAACCGTGGGGGAAGACGAAGAAGACGAAGAAGAGGAGGAGGAGGAGTGTGGTGAAGCCACACTGGGATCCGAGCCATGGTCATCCACCTCCATCTCCATGTCAGGCTGGGCCGGAATCTCTACCAGGACGGTTGGTGGCGGCTGGCGTCGTGGTCGCAGTTGTCAGGTGGTTGGAGTGGGATTGCCTGGTCCATCTTCCTCCGTAGCAGATGCGGTCTCATGCCCCTCTCCCAGCTCGCGGGCCACATCATGTAGCCAGCAACGGAAGCTCTCCAAGCAGCATCGACGCCAGGTCAGCGTCAGGGGCTGCCGCGCCACCTCAGACGCCTGCCGGAAGGAAAAGCTACGATCAGGAGGGGTGACCTCTTTGCCCACATCGTAGAAGTCCTCGACTAGGAAGGGCCGATTGACCACCTGATCCCAGGTGGAGAAGAACTTCTCCTGTGCCTGTTGCCAGTCAGGGTCCTGAGACTTGGTCTTCAGGTTCTTGGCAGTGATGAAGATGCGGCACCCCTCAAATTCAGTATGGCCACGCTGCTTGATATAAAAGCCAATCCGGTCCCAAAGCTGGGCCAAGTACTGCGGCTGGATGAAGTGATGCAGCAGTTGCATCCGGGGCCCGTCCCTCCCCTGCGTGGTGAGCTCCACCGAGGCGGCCGTGGCCCGGGTCTGCGCGTCCCGCGCACCCGCGGTGAAGTGTTGGATCAGCTCCGATGGGAGAGTGTCATAGATCGCGGGCATGACCACTTCATCTGTCCATGTGGTCCACTGCTCATCTGTGATGACCCAGTGCTGCAGGGACGGATGGAACAACCGGGGGAACAGAAGATACACCTCAACAGCCTCAAAGCCATGGAGCCGCCCCAAGGGGAGATGAGGGACGTGATGAATCGGAGCTCGAGCGGATCGCCATCGTTCCCCATTGGGGTCGTAGAACCCAACCAGAACAGGTGGGAGATGCAGCGAGCTGGCCAGGTTGCTGACAGGTGGTCGGATAGCAAGCCAGTCCAGCCCTTGTCGGGCCACGCTCAGACTCGTGGCAAAGCCACCGGCACTGTCAACATCAAAGGTGATGGCGAGGGGCAATTGCCGGGCTGGGACCGTATCAGATTCAAGATCAATCCGGGGCGGAGGCAGATCCTCCATCGCGGGTGGAGGACTCTCCATGGGAGAGGAGCCGTCAGAGGTTGTCAACGGAGGGGGGCTTCCAGCGCGCCGTTGGCGGATGCCGGTAAAGAGCTGGCGTCGTGCCACTACCGGGAGACGGTTCTCCCAGTCGGCTGGATGCGGTCGAATCTTGGGGTGGGACAGAACATCTGGGAGATCCGTGCCGATCAGCTCGGAGAGAGAAATGATGTTGGCATTGGATGGAGGATGTGTGACATGCTCCAGACAGCTGTGGTGTCCAAGGAGTTGCTCTGCAAGGCGTTCCGCCAGCAGTTGGGTGGCATCATCAATGACTAGGTCCATTGGTTGTGGGGATGGCAACCCTGAAGGGGGTGGAGAGTCATCCCCCATGGCAAGGTCTGTGTCTCCATGGTAAGTTAGCGTCCTGTGCACCCTGGACTATGTATGTGGTCTCAGGTTTAGTACCTTCCCCATCGCTGTCCACCGAAGACCTGCGCCCGTTGATTTCATTTTCCTCCTCATCTTCATCCACGGCAACAAAATCCAGTGTACTAAGCTGTGGTGCCTCTTCTTCAGAAGGATGCTCCTCCACAGAAAGATTGTTCAGAGTGTTGGCGAGATCAGTGAAGATATCAGCATTGCTGTCTGGAGCCTGACTACCGCCCACGTTCTCATGGGTGACAAATATATTGTGAAATGGAGCTTCTGCACTGGAAGCAGAAGGATGTCCCTGACGGCGATTACGCCGACGTTCATTACGTGCTCTGATCCTATCCTCCTCAGTTTCGTAGATTCGGGGCCTACCTCCTGGCATCGTGTGCGGTGATATATCGAGGCCAGGTCTCTGTGTGGCTTCCCGAACCTTCAATTATCAACATGCACCGTACCATTAGTTCCAAACAAAAAGAACTATATTTTCAGCATTCGAAGCAAAATGTAGCTTCCCAGGTGAGGTTTTGGAAAGAATCATCATCCTTTTTCAACTTTGTTTTTGGGGCTTTTGCATCACCAACCTCCCATCCAAGGCAAATTCAGGGATTGGTCAATACTCTACTGGGACGATAACTCAATACTCTACTAGGACGATAACTCATGGGACGATAACTCATGGGACGATAACTCGTGGGACGATAACTCGTGGGACGATAACTCGTGGGACGATAACTCGTGGGACGATAACTTATGGGATGATAACGCATCAGACGGGAACCCCCGTACGTCCCATGTCCCATAACTCTAAAGCCCCTTTACTTGTCCTCTCTCCCATCAGCAACCAGACTAGATTTTCCTGTCACGAGAAAGAGAAAAAGCTCTTCCCTTTGCACTTGAATGGTCACACAAAACACACAATGCGATCTTCAGAACACACCATATCCCCATTACCAATCTTTCTCCTACAAGGCCAACAGTCTAGCCAGCCAGCAGATCACGCGAATCCACTGCAGGAGATCCCTGACTCAGATGATGAGGATGATACAGCACAGGCCATTCAAAAATCCAGTACTCATAGGGTACCTCACCACCAAGGTTCTGTGGTAGCATGGAGTCATGCTGGGCGGACGGCAACTGATGTCAGCATGGCGCAGGAGCCGAAACCATCATCACAGCGGCAGCTTTCATCGACTCCTTCCTGGGAACCGCACCATCAACAAACCCTGCAAGCCTGCACCACCAGTCACCCCCGGTCCAGCAGCACTGAAGAGATCCCACTCCCTCCAGTACAACCCATACAACGCTCAGCATGGCGCTGAGCGAACTCTCCTCCAGTGATTGACTTGACTGGAGATGACGATCAGGATGGGGGCGACGAATACTCTGGTACACTTGGGAACTCCCCAGCTCGTAAGCGGCGGCAATCAACGGTGAGTACAAAGCTGGATGCCCATGAGCACCGGGAATATCCACCATCGAAGCATACTCAACTGGGGTCCTCACAATCTCAGTATCCCCGGAATCCGACACCTGACCAGCATCAGCTCACTTCATGCCCCGCCCAGAGCACAAGAAGGAGTGACCATCAACCCAACTCAGCATCACCACATGTGGCAAGCGCCATCCCCAGTGAAAGCGGCCGCCACTCCACTGTCAGCGGCTCGGCCCGGAGGCCACAGCCCCACAGGACCCAGCAGAGGTTGGGCACAGCAGCTCAAGCTCCCGCTGGGTGGAGCCAGGACCACAACAGGGCTGACTCTCCACCAGTCCGCCTGACTCCCACATCACATCCATCAGGAGGGTTTTCGGCCACCCCAGGACCATCCCAGATTCGACCACCATCACCATCACCACCACCACACTCCTATTCTCCCACCGCCCGTGAGCAGTCGGATGAACCCAGCCGGCTACCACGGTCGCCCTCCAGGAGTTCCCCATTTCCATCCGAGGGTCACTTCGCACGCCGCTACCGCAACGGGTCCCGGGACGACGACTCGGTCACCCAGATCCCATCGGTTGGCACAAGGATAGAGGAAGATGCGTCCACCATTGGGGCGGGATTGGATGTTGATGCGGAGATTGAAGCATTGGAGGATGCGGTGGAGACAACCGAACGCAAGAACCCGCGCCCACCACGGCAACGGTTCCACCAGCGCTAGCAACCTGGTGAGGTCCGGTTTCTGGCAGCCCAGGTGGACCAACATGGCCCAGCATGGCAGATGATCTGGGAGAACAATCAAAGTGTGCGGCCAGCTCCCATCCAGTTAAGCCAGACCGCGATGGATTACAAAGATAAGGCAATGAATTACTGGGTCCAAATGCTCAAGTCTGCAAGCCCTCCCCTTTTCTCTCCTCTATGCGCGTGTCAGCTCCCTCCATTTGCTAGCTTAAATGTGCTGACTGGGGTGATCCCTGCAATCACAGGAAAAAGGTCTCCCTGCCTGCTGTGTGGAAACAGGTGCCCATCCGGCAGCGGAGTCTCTGTGAAGTGGCCCAGTACCGACAACTGAACAAGCACTGGGCGGACAAGCCACGGCTGGCGGAGCCTCAACCAGTGGTCTTTCTGGATCGGCCTCCCCGGGATTTGCGGATTGGAACGAAGCATCACCTGCGGCAGTCCAGATGAGGGTGGCTCCACCTCCAACCATTCAAGTATCGATGTCTTGGATGTCGAATGAATATAAATAATTATGAAATATATGTACTGATAATACACATCTTACGCCTGGTAGAACCCCTTGGTTAGTGGAAGCTCCCAATCTGTACTGGGACCCGTTCACAGATTCCAACAAACGGCGTGAGACAACACAACGACGAAGGAGCCTCACTCCGCTCTATATGATGATAACGATACTAGTGAAGCAACCTAGAAACCAAAAGAATGCTCTATTTCTCGTAACTATCTGGGAGGGAACCCTCCATGAAGTACTCGCCGGCCGCGGGCTCCACCATACATTAGTATGTCGGAGTCCGCGGTTCATAAAATAACTGGATGCCCTAATCGTACTTGTAGTTAGGTTTTTGTATATAATTAATATTTGGGTTAGAATTTGCGATTTGAAATCAGTATGGGACTCATTCTCGGGTCGAAGTGGCCGGGTGGGTGTCCTGGCCGGGTGGGTGACCGATTACGTTATAACTAAGCTACCAAGTTCATAGATAATTATGATGCCCCAGCTCAGTGTTAGACCTCCTTGAGGCATTTTTGCGGTTGGCTAGTGAGTGAAAGCGGGTCTAATGAGCAAATTACCGATAATTCTCAATCGGCGGTCGGTGATAGAGCAAAGATGGCCGTTCCGTGACAAAGAGTGGTCGATAGTTCTCCAATCACGAATTTTTCATCTAATAGAACTAACTGCCCGTGTCCTAATATTATTTTGAAAGAGAGTTTTGTAGATAATCTGCATTATTTGATAGGAATTCATACAATCCAATTTCGCGGGGCGCAATCTTGTATGTTTGGTCGCTGACAGGGTACGCTTATCTGAAAAAGGTTAGTTGTGCGAGAATCTGTGCATAATGATCTTTTTTCAGCCTCCATTGGCTATCTGCTTCATTAACTACAGTATAATTGACTTATATAATTGGCGAATTGTATGCTGCCGCTTGTCTTGAGGGATCCTTTTTAGTCAATCTCTTCCTGATCTATCTATTGTCAGCTAAGGCATCTTGACAGCTACAACATTATCCAGTGGTTACAACAAACCCAAAGTATTCTTCAACAAGACAGATCGGCAATATTCGCCCGGGATAGTCTCAAATTAAACAGGGATTAGTATCAACAAAGCAGCAGTATTGCAGTTCTTGGCTATATAGTTTCTACAAGTAGAGACACTGTATAATTCCTAGCTAATAGTACTCTAACAATACATAGATATTAAATAGGCTGACTTCTCAATACACTGGCGGCCTTGCCGATGTGCACAGCGCGAATCAACGACATAGTCCGGCTGTTTCAGCTTGTGAGTGAATCTGGTGTACACAGCGATATATTCATAATGATGCTTCATTATGTGTCCTCGCGTCTACGACTTTTGATTCGCCGCGCAAACCTTGTCTCCCTTTTGCACGAGCGGCCAGACTTGAATTTTGAGCCGCTTGCCTAGATTTGGGAGAAGGTATTGTATTAGACCTACTTTCAACCCAGTAACCCGTCGCCGATCTTTCTGAACGAAAAGAAATTATAGAGCGCAAAATATTACTATAGGCTTAACGTTAAACTACTATTATGTTAGATGGCTTCAGTGTTAACCGGATATAAAGAATTCGCGCAGTGGACTAAGGAGCCAAGGAGAAAAGGAGCAAAGCCGTCGCACTGTAGCAACTCTCGTTCCACAAGTAGCGACATTTAGAGCCAATAATTCACACTTCAAGCCACAAAGTCCGGTAGAATAGAGACCGATTGGTATAGTTAAGTTCCACAGTCACAGATGAGTTGCACACCACCAAATCATCTGAATTTTCTCATCCCACCAAGGCGTATTCCTAGTCTGTTCAACCTCTTCGCCATGGTAAAGACCCGCCTCTACTTTCCAAGTGGTCTTGGTTGCTTCTCCAACCTCACGCCAAAACTTCTCCATGGTTTTGGCATCGTGGCGGTATTGAAAAGCTCCGTCTTTCATTCCTTTCATCTCATAGTGGCCAGGCACTAGACTCCCCATCTGACGTCCGGTAATCATAACACCAGGCTTGCCACGACATAGCTTGGCTAGTCTTAATGCAGCGCGAAACTGGGTGTCATAATCCCACATGTGGAACAGGGAGCTAGCGAACACAACATCAAGTTTTCCGAATAGTTTCTGTGTCAGCTGACCAGCTTCCAAAGTACTCTCTTCAGCGGTCAAGTCTCCGATAGCAAAGGTTGCCTGCAGCTTGTCCTTGTCTCGGAAAAGTCGGTATCCCAGGTCAATGAAGATTTGTTCGAGATCACATCCAAAGAGCTGAGATTCTGGGATTACCTGGCTTGCCAGAAAGCGAATCTCCTGTCCGAAACAGCAGCCGGCATCTAGAAAGCCGGCTTCCGGGTCACTGAGAAGCTTCTCTAACACACGTGGGTAAAATGGCATGTGTGAAAGGTTGAATGATAGAAAACGCATTTGTCCTATGCAGGCGTAATGATACACACTGAAAGCCTCATCCCGCTGTGGGAAATCAGTATGTGCCCATCTAGATCGGAATCTCAGACTCACTAAAGACAACACATGGGGATGGACTTCATCCGGTGCAAGGCCGCTGTAGCTTTCTAGTAGTTGCTGGGCTTTGGAATTGATGTGCGGAACATTCTTTTTGGTACCACGCAAGCTTTTTATCAGGGGCCATGCTGGTGTAAAGGGGGGCGTACGTGCGTTGTTCCCTGCGACAGGAACCGGGTTGTGATCGAGGGATCTCAGGAATGGATATACCAAGGCGATGCCGCTATACCACGCGGCACTGAACGATCTTAGCAAGAAAATGATATAACGATAAAGGAAAACACAACGACAAAGGAGCCTCGCTCCGCTCTATACGACGATAACGATACTAGTGAAGCAACTTAGAAACCAAAAGAATGCTCTATTTCTCGTAACTATCTGGGAGGGAACTCTCCATTAAGTACTCCGGCCGCGGGCTCCACCATACATTAGTATGTCGGAGTCCGCGGTTCTACGGTGTTCTAAGATAGGAAATATGGGAGATCCGGGGTTTCGCAGTGCCCCCGGCACAGTACCCTACTCCTACAATCTGTCAAACCATTCGCAGGAACAGACATCTCATTCCTAGTAACGTAATGTCTCTTCATGGGAGCATTCAGTATCGACGTAGTAGTTCATAGGAGTCGTAAGACCTGCGTGAGGATTGACCATGCCTCAGTTAGATGTATGTCTCCAGTAGTTGAGTGCCTCAGCTTATTGAGGTCGTTGGCGGACGGCCCGAAGGACAAGTTTTGACGCGCTCAATTAATTGAGGGTGCTGATCATGCACAGTAACGCCTGGTCCAATGTTGAACATTACATGTTGACAGACTGAAAAAACCCGCAGCCTTTGACCTGATATTGCCACTCGAGTCTCCAGTGAGACCAACCGACAGGTTTTCCCTTTCAAAAATTGGCATCTAAGAAAGGGACCAGAAAATTCACCCAATCACCCAAGTAGCACAAAGAAGCAAAGTATATCGCCATTGAGTGAGGGAGGGAGGACATTAGGAGAAGGGCCTATAAATGTGATGTGCAGGGCTGATGCTCTCCTGAGCCATCCGACTAAGGGACTCAGTCGCGTGTACACATTCTTGGCTGACCGGAAGGGTTATTGATCCTGAGGCGCAGTTGGTGGTGGCTTGTGATTGTCCGGCGCGCTAACCTCGCTGCTTGAATAGAGCAGGAACAACCATAGATCAGCGGGAGAGCTCAAGTCTAATGTTAAGAAAATATGTGGCGCTATGATCCTCCGACAGCAACGAAGGGTATGTCAGTGAAGAGGTTTCAACTACTGGTCACCAATGAAGGTCGAGTTTGTTCACTCTCGGCGTGGTCGTCGGCACCTCGATCCAGCAGCATCTGCACGATCCTTTCATGGCCTCCCTCTGATGCCGCCTGGAGTGCATTGCCATAATATCCGCCCTGGGCATTGACATCGGCTCCTCGGTCTAATAGTATCTGCACCGCCTTTTCATGGCCTCCCTCTGATGCCGCCTGGAGTGCATTGCCATAGGATCCGCCCTGGGTGTTGACGAGTTCTGCTACCTCTGAATCCCCTGAGTCAATCGGTAAGATACTGGACAAAACGAACCATAATCCTAGCAAGGCCGCGTAGTACACTGGCGTTGCCATTTCAGCAATTGGACGACGCAAATCCGGTAACTCTCTAAGCGGCCTAAACGCTGTAAACCGATCGTCTATGTCATGTAACCGTACCCAAGTCGCGAAAGACTTTGTTTTGTCTGTGAACAGCTTAACCACAAGTTGCTCAATTTCGTCCATCCCTTCACTTGAGTTTGCATAATGATGGAACCAATACGTAGCAGCAAAATGAGCAAGCGGGAATTCTGTGAGCCTTGCCTCATCTAGCAACCCATTAGAGAGTTTTGGCTCCATGAGGTAGACGAGACAGATATGGGCTATTTCTGTATTTGCAGGTGCACTTTGGATGGCGAAGCATTTTGCTTTTTGTTGTAAGATGCGGTCTGATTGAAGATACTCCTGGACAGAGAAATGTGCTATGCGAGCAGCTGAGATGTTTTGTCCATTGTCATCTTCCGTGGTCATGATCTCAATAAGACCTAAGCAAATATCGACAAGGTCATCGTGCTCATACGAACGACCGTCACGATCGAGGTGTGCTGGTTCACTTAGATCAACAGCATGTGCGTCGATCAGCTCATTGACTGTGAGCGGCCGCCTGGAGAAGCAAAGCAGAGTCAAAACCCGCCGCACGTCGTTGACATATTCTTCGTCAATGTTGCACAAGATTCGCTCATATGTCTCATCAAGATCACGGGGCAGTGTGTTTAGACATTTGTCAAGCTGGATCTGGTTACGGACCCGTCTTATGGCTTTGAACTGACACTCAACATATCTGAACCTAACAACGGTTTTAGTCAAAACGCGGGAACAGTGTCTCCTTATTGTGCTTACACTCCTTGTGCACTTATTGTCAATTTTGCCTCAATCTCATCATGGCGCGCTTTCCACCTCTGGAGTTTCTTGTCGTTCCTAAGCTGATAAGAGACAAAATTTGCTATGTCTCTGTCGGTTTCCGAATTCCTCAGCGGAAGATCTTGGTCATGAGAAGGATATAACGATTCTCGGATGTCTAGCTCGTTGCGACTCGTCACCAAAATATGGACACCAGGTATCGACCAACTTCGTATCACTTGTATCGCTCTTAAGACGCCTTCCCTTTTGCAGTCTTGAGGACTTTCGTCTAGCGCGTCGAGTAGAATATAAGTATCGCAGAATCGGTCAAGAAAGCGTTGAAGTGTGTCAAACAGCGCATGTACTGGGGGAGACCCAGATTTATACAATGCATGCAGCTGTTCTAGATCCCTCTCGCCGTCTTGTAGTTGTACGGATAGCTGTAACAGCAACGTGCGTAACATGCCATTATCATCTTGTTTTGCCTCATCGTTAAAGGAAAAGTAGAAAAACGCGATTCCGACTACCTTTTTATACCTCATCGCATGAAAGGTGTGCTGGATTGCGGTTGAGCAGAGGACTGACTTGCCACATCCTGCAAAACCATTCAGCCATAAGAAGGAATTGCGTTCCTCTAGCCAAGTCTGAAAGTGATGGCCATTGACAAATCATAGACCTGTGCTTGGATGACATTTCGCACACATTGCATTGTGGTTGAGAGATGCATCTGGTGCCATAAGCCAGCAACGGATGGTGAAAGCGACTTGACTAGCATTTGTTCGCTCGACAAGTGATTTTACTTCCAATATACCATCTTGGATCTGAGTCTGGCTCTTCAGCTGCAGTATCTCGAGTGCAACTGATAGGTTTTCCTGTATGTTGCTGATGTCCTCTTCAAGCTTCTGTAGGGTGCTTTTGCGAAATGGATAGGCCGCGCGACACCCAGCAACCTTAACGCGATCCTTTAAACTGGTGGCTGAATCTTTCTGGAATTTCTCACACTCGCTCTGTAGCTCAGTGATGATTTCCTCACATTTCTGTACCGCCTTCTCAACTTCTTGGAGTAGATCTTGCGTGTCAGCCTGAGATCGGCGTTCCTCTACTGCAATATCGAGGGCTCGAAAGATGCCTAGAAGATTGTTGAGATTCTGCGTAATCTTTGCCAGATCAGTGTCTTGTTCCTTGTATGCAGTGTAAAAAGTGACCAAAGACTGGGTGACTTGAATACCAAGCGAGAGCAGCCCGGCAATTCCTGATGTGATAGCGAGCAGATCAGGCATTATGATTGATAATAGTCCTTGAGACTGGGAATATAGCCATCTAAATATATGACATACAGTAGCCATTATCTCAGAGCCAAGCTTCAGGGGCTCAGCCCCGCTTGGATGCCCAAAGCGGGGCTGAGCATGGGCGATGATGAGAATAGAATATAGTGACAGTTGTATCAGTATTTCCGGGTTGCAGCTCGGCGCAGCCCGGAGAAACCTCAGCCCACCTAGAGCTGTGCCAAGTTTGGTCTCTACCTGGGCTGAGATTTGCTTAGCTTATGCTGTGCTTATGTGTACTCATTGCATAGCTTGCACTATGCTTGGAATGCCACATTCAGTCTGACAGATATACAGAAGCCTAGGAGAGGCATAGCACAGCCGCTTCAACCAACTAATCAGTATGTCTGCTTCCATCCTCTAAGCCCCATACTAAGCCACTTTCGACAGGGAATTATTAGTTAAAGAGCCATGCTGATTTGCTCGTTATGCATGATGTTCTAAGCGCCAACGCTAGGTTAGGTTGCTTCTGCCTGAATCACGCATGGGGTGGGAAAGCAGAATATTGACTGGGAAGAGGGGAAGCATGGTGTAAAATAGAGCCAGCGACTCCAGTCCGCTTGCCAGGGCCGTCGGGGCAAACAATCAGCCAAATGCGACCGGGATGGTGAATTGAGCGTGGTGGGATTGGTTATGAATGGCCCCAAGATCGCTTAGATGCGCCTGGTGCACCCAATAGCCGCCTTGGGGGATTGGGGCAGGGGTAGTAGGCCAAGTTTCAGCACCTCACCAAATTTGGGGGAACGGTTCATGTAAAGTCCCCAAGTCCCAAGTTAGCGAAGGCATCCTATTTGGCCTTTGCGTTTTCGTCAGACAAAAAAGCCATTTTGGAATGAACCTTATCTATCAATTTGAAGCGCGAAAAAGAGAAAGAGTTGATGATAAGACAATGGGCGGTGTTTCAGGTGGACCAAGGCAAGACCCAATCATGTTATAGCGTAGCTCAGCTGCGAGAGTCAGTGCGCTGTTCGCGCGACGGAGCACCCGGCTTCTCACCTAGGGCCCAGCAGTGCCATAGTGGAATTAGTTAAGGTGACTGGAAATCGACAACCATTCCCACTGCGGACTGGGCCTTGTTAATTTCCCTGATTGTGGCCCATTTGTTCAAAGACCCAACAACTCAGAATTTGTTGGACGAAATCGATCATTACTCTTTGGGCCCAGAAATCACTCTACGCGAAAAAGGATTTATTGTAAAGGTCTGCCTATGAATACCAAGCCTGAAAATCCTGTCCTTTTTCAACAGGGCGGGCTAAGTCCCTAGTCAAAATCACACAACTAAACACTTGCTGGCCTTTTGCTGAAGCTTGATAAATATCGGGTGCGCCGTTTTGGTGAATGTATGATGGAGAGGCAGAGCTGCGGGCGACGGCTCCTTTGGGCCGGTGCACTGACCGCACAAGCCTCTCTCCTACAAGCCATGATTACATATGATTGGGCGTTACCACTGGCTCAAGCACCTGATCAGCTGGATGTACAGTACAGTACAGAGCGACTTTCTCAATGTCCTGTGTGTTTGCATTTTCTAAGTCAAAGTTCTCTGTCAGGGTACGGTGCACATCCACTCTAAACCGGGGTGTCACCAGTTTCGTCTGATTCCCAAGTCCATTCATTCATTCGGTGTTGTTGTGGGCCGCGTTGGCTGATGTTTGGTTTTTCAGCCAGATCACAAATCCAGTCCAATCCCAGCAACCTGAGCATCTTGTGTGGATGGTGCGTTCAATAGCGCCGTGCGGACGCGGGAGTTAGCTGCCTCGGTGGAGAGGTATCGGCTAAAGGCGTTCCCATATCTATCGTCGTTATCACTTGGATCCACAAATGATCAGTGGGTGCTGATCAGGACGCATTTCTGGTCTTTGTCAGGGTGTTGGCGGTTCAGGTAGGGGTCTCATTCATCTGCTCGCCAAATTTGATAGAGCCCAATCGTAGGGAGATATTGTGTACCGCAAAGGAAGCCGTGTAGACCTCATGGAATGGTTTCCCCTCAGATTCAGTTGATAAACGCTTCAGTCTTATGAAAATTTCTGAACGATCTAGGCATGAGACCCCTGTCGTTGTCATGTACGTCCGGATGTCCGTTGCTTTGAAATGGTGAATCACAGATTTGAGGCGTCTCTCTTCAAAACTGATAGAGCAGAAAGCCAACTCATCCAAGCTTAGCTTCCGGACCTCCAGGTTGAAATTACTACCAGGGGCGCTATTATTGGTATAATGCACGAACACATAACACTTTGACAGAGTATTTGACTCCAACGAACGTGTTGCCGTAAGACGGCTCCTGGCGTGCTGGAGCCCTTCAACGACCTTCAGCTGCTCATTCAGTATCTCAGTAAATGTGCTAGAGGTTGAGAAAGTTGGTTCTGGAGATGTTGGGTTTCGAGAAGTTGGGCTCCGCAGTCCAAGCACAACCCCACTTCAGCAGCAATCAGATAACGTTAATTTGACCTCCAAGGCTGACAAACTTCGCCTGGAGTCAAGATGTTGGACGTGGGGATTTGAACTTCCCAATCATAGTGAAGAAGCCTAATAATGAATCTAACTTTCTGCTGATGAGATACCATTTTCTCTGACAACTTTTCTGCCTCAAGTGCCTTACAGTAATCCCCACTTTGGTTGAGCTTTGTTCCAGTCACAAAACCAGTGACCAAATACGCCAAAAAAGGCCATCATCCCCCACCCAGAAACACAATCTTCCAAAAGCAGTCTGCCAACGGGCACATGGCTGGTGCCGATTTGTAAGCAAATGTGTGGCTGGGGGAGGTAAATTGAGCAACATGGGCGCAAAGTCTCAGCAATCCTTCACTTGCAGGGTGATTATTGAGGCAGTCACCACATAGTCAACAAGATAATATCATAGATTATTTGAGCCGTTTCCATGGCGCCTCTGAAAACTCTGAGAAGAGTTATAAGGGCGACACTACCCCGATATCGCATGCTCCTTTCCGCTTCCCCCTCAAGAACTTCCAAACATCCCCATTCCAGTAAGCTCATCAAGATAAATTTAGTTGGTTTTTACTGAGTTTATTTTTTCAAGGTATATTCCACTCAGATCAACATAGAGGCGACACTCTTTTTTCTTATACCTCTGGACGCTGGCTATGGGACGAGGCAACCCAGCTTCATAAACGGTACCAGCCCTTCAATGTTGAGGAACTCAAACAAACAGCAGCCAGATCAGTTAATGCGGAATTCTGCGTCAAAATAATGAAATTACCCGAAGGCTTATACAACAAAGCCTTTCTATTGACAATGGATAATGACGTCCAGGTCATTGCGAAAATCCCCAATCCTTACATCCCTCAGAAATTCATTACGGCCAGCGAAGTTGCCACGCTTGACTTTCTTCGTAACGAGCTATTTATACCTGTCCCGCGAGTCTTTGCTTGGAGCAGCAAGAAGGACCAGCCTGTGGGAGTCGAATACATCATCATGGAAAAAGCTGCTGGCAATGAGTTGAGCAGAAGTTGGCCCACTATGAATATATCAGATAAGGTTGACATTGTGTCTCAGTTGGCCAATATTCAAGCCAAAATAGCCGCTGTCGACTTCGGTTGTTATGGAAGCTTGTTCTATAGAGAGGATATTGAGGGTGGCGTTAATGTCCCTGGAATAGCTGATCAGTTTTGCATCGGCCCCAGCTGTGATATACGATTTTGGGAAGAGGAGAGGAGATTCATGAGCGCTTTTAGGGGCCCTTGTAAGCCAACACCTAACCATAATTCTAGGGGTCCAACTAATAAGAGACCGAGCAAAATTAGGGTCGTCGTCTAGGGCGTATGCGATAGATATCGCCAGGCGAGAGAAAGAATGGATCACCCAGTTTGCAAACCCTCGTCATCTGGCAGACCCCTTGAGACAGTCAGATAGCCAAGAGTCTCCTGATTGTCACATTAAACTCCTCGACAAGTATCTGGAAGTTGTGCCTCATTTGATACCATCACATCCAGGTCAAAATCGGTCTGTGCTTTGGCACTCTGATTTACACTTTGGGAATATATTTGTAAAGGAGAATAAGATTGTCAGCATTATTGATTGGCAAGGCTGCTCAAGTCTTCCCGTTTTTCACGCCTGCAGGATACCCAAATTCCTGAAAATTCATGGGCCCTTGCTTTTCGACCTTCCGTCAGCGACGGGCCTCACGCCACAAGAAAAAGAGGAAAATTTACGGAGATACCAGCTTACACAACTACAGAGCTTCTATATTTCCAAATTCTGCAAAATTGACAATGACGTCTTCTCTGCTCTGTCGTTTCCCCAAGCTTTAACGCGACGGCAGCTCATCGATTTTTCAGGGTACACGTGGGATAATGATGGATTGTTTTTGTTTCGAGAGATGATGCTTCGAACATGGCATGAATGGTTGGAATTAACTGGCCAGCCACAGTCCTCTTGTCCTGTGACATTCGGCGCTGATGAGCTTGCGTCTCATGTTGCTGAAGGGAAGAGCTGGGAAGATCGCAGGGAGCTCTTTGGCGCCCTTGGAGTCCCCATTGACGGCTGGGTACACCTTGAAGACTTCGAGGCAAAAGTGGAAACAATGCGTAATCTAGTGAGTTCGGTCATAGACGCCGCGGATGACAAGGATGGCGTAAAAGACGCACTAAGAGCCTGGAAACTGTCAGAGTCGGGGCCTGCCAGCCTATTGGGTAATCTGATGGCCATCTAGAGGGCATTTCCTGAAGTGCATCCCTGTAGAATATAAGCAGTTCATTGTTCTCTTGATGCCATACACTGGTCATGCAAGTTACCCCTCACCATGTCCTGCTTCTATCAGGTGATGTAGGAAATTTTCAGTCAGGCTTACTATGAAGGCGCCTCCCATGGTGCTTTATAACTGTTGTAGCCAGGTCCTGTTGCTATCTGATTGTCAAACCCCAAAACAGTAAGTCTACAAATCAATATATGTTGTTAGCATCAGCTCTAAACCTTACAGGAAGTCCATTCCAATACATGTCAATTCTGAAAAAGGTGTTAGAGAAATTCATTCAGAAATTCAACATACCTAAAGCAAAATCGAAACTCTCTGCCGAAAATGCTGGAGGAAGGCTCTTTCCATTGAGAAATAGCAAAAACAATGCAGCATCCAATTTTCGAGCTGACCAAGGGTCTCTCTGTACACGAATGACCCTAACACCTTCTCAGTCAACATGCAAGCAAATGTGAACGCCTCAAATACCTCTGTCGGAAGATTTGCAGAAAAAAATCCAGACAAGAAACTCTTTGCATTTTCTATGAAGAAGGATGATACTGATGAAGATGTGAAAAAGAAAATTATTGACGCAGCAAAATCTGCAGGTTATTTGTAGCTGAAAGTTCTTGCATCTTCCTGCTGGCGGTGGGCTCAGGACTAAGCTTTACAATGTTGTGATTAAGTGGTGCTACCATTGACGATGATTTGTTTCTAACCAAGTTTTTAATCTCCTGATGTGGTAACTCATCTTGGGAGTGCTGAGCGCCAATATAACCGTTTTGGTGTGTCCTCTTTTCGTTCACCACCATATTTTCTGGAACTCCCTTCATCAGTTTCAAATGGGCCTTCAAACTCCGCTCATATAAACAAGGGGTTAGAGGATTTGCATGCCCTGGTGCAGTCATGTTTATCTACTTCATGCCATATGCTGTAAACGTATAGTCAGGGATCAGCACGAATCCAAATCTGTAGGATTCTGAGATACTTGTTAGAGCTCGTGGAGGATGCGTGATGGCTTTGAAGGGTGGGTGGCCTGTGGGCGTCCATGCCCAGGATCACTTGGAATCATTCCAACTGAAAGCACCTTCAAATAGTGCAGGGGTCCAAAAGGACTGGTTCTGCTTCTCAGTTTGAGGCAAGCGAAGCGCCAAGAGCGCGACCATGTTGTAACTGATGCCGCGAAATAAGACTGCGTAATTGAACGATGCATAGTGGTGCTAGGTTAAATATGGATAATGCTGTGACCGAAAATCTCCTGTGCCTCACTAGGATGGCGTCTCTGTTCTCAAGCTCTTAAAATGTTCATGGCACCCGGAAGGCTAACCCCCTGCCACAGGACTCTAAGTAGCCGCCGGCAATGGGTCTGACTGTGTGGCTTTCACTTGAATTTTAGGGACTCGGTTGGCTCTTGAGGACCCTCCCAATCATTGTGCCCCAGTGCGGTCAAGTTGGCTGCCTTCCAAACTGGTTGAGGTGTTTCGAACTCCGAGCACAACCCCACTTAGCGGCAGGAAAACTACGGTATGGATGTGAATAACATGAGTCAACGCTAGAAGGATCTCTTTGATGGGTTAGAGTGAGTCTTGATTGCAAGGACTTAATTCCATAAGTCTGGGATTCGCAGAGTGGGCCTTTAGCCCAATCAGATTTCCTGGTTTAATGTTCGTCGCGTACGGCAACTTTTCATAGGTTTGACTCCTCGGATGGACTGAAACCTTACGAGAGCAACCCAGATGATAGTGAGACAGGCCACATGAGCAAGTCTGGTGACGATATGTTTGATGATGGGAATATCTCAAATGGTTTGAACTGATCTATGTAGATGCTATAGTGTATTATTGATAAACTGAATGGGCCTAGCTGGACAGCCATAATTGTGCAATTAAAGGATGATAGTGAATCAGCTCGTGACATGCTTCACAAGGAGCGAGTATTTAAGGAGTTGAGCAAGACTGTCAGTCATGCAGTGATGACTCGCTCGTAATAGAAAGGTTGTTGACCCATTGCATCATTTGCCTGCATTTTAGAAAGCCTGACCAAATTCATTTTTGATCTGCACCCATGGGAACCCTGGTCTTCAGTTGCAAAACAATGTCTGCTCATGTGCATCTCCTCTATAGTATCTGTGATACCTGACCATCTCTACGTCCCTAGACCTCCAGTAATGGTTGAGAGGAAGTGACACTGTTGCCGCTGCGATAGTAAGGTTCTTGGGTAGGCTGTAGGAGAAGGTTTCATGTGAGATAACCAAGGGTTCTCTCATCAGCACCGTCACCGTCTCCTAGACTGAGAGTGGGTCTTGTGCCATAATTTGGTTGAATAGTGGACTTTAAGGAACTGCACATTTTGGCCTGGAAAGTGAGCTGTGATCTTAGACCATGGCATTGCCTCTCTTTCTTTCAGCTGCACCAGCAGCACATTCTTATCTGACAGGTATAGTCTTGGTCTCCCTGGAATATCCACCGTGTGGGGTTGAGGCAGAGTCGGATTAGCGTCGGGCACAAGGGTGAAGTAATATGCCTGTTTCAGGCCAGAATTAGATTTGACTGTGAGGAGGGCACTCCCATGGACCCTGTGGATATCACAAGAACAATGGCATGAAGCGGGAATTGAAGCGTCTTGATGTTTAGAAAGTGGCCTTTTTCCAGGCCTCTATTTATTCCTCTTTTGACCCAGTTGTTCTGTGTCAGGGAAAGATGCATCTGGATCTTGGTGTTTGCTGGTGCCTTGATCTGAGTGAAGTTGCCTGTTGCACATTGCCACAGCAGCCCTTCTGCTTGTCCTGATAGTGTGCCGGGGGCACTGCGAAACCCCGGATCTCCCATATTTCCTATCTCAGAATGCCGTAGAGCCGCGGACTCCGACATACTAATGTATGGTGGAGCCCGCGGCCGGAGAGTACTTAATGGAGGGTTCCCTCCCAGATAGTTACGAGAAATTGAGCATTCTTTTGGTTTCTAGGTTGCTTCGCTAGTATCATCGTCATCATATAGAATGGAGCAAGGCTCCTTCGTCGTTGTGTTTCCTTTTACCGTTATAATTTTCTTGCTAAGATCGTTCAGGAGTTCTAATAGTGTTCAAGAAATTTCAGTCATACCTATATAGCGTGTCTTTTATTTTGGAAACTGATGCAGCTATGCTAGTTGCCCAACTGAACCACAATATTACTGATATCACTAGTATGGTAGTTACTTAATAGATTACATAAATCTAAATATTTGTTTTTGGATTTTTGACACTAAATTGATAGCTGGGACCTACCAGAGGTCTGGTGTTCAGGACCATCATACAGAAGTATAAAGAGATAGGAAGATAGGAGTCTGCAGGTTGGAAGGAGAACAACCACCAGTTGGGGATAAGGAGTTGCATGCCTGGCAACTGTACCAGCAGGATAATGGACTTCTGGCACAGATGACAAAGTTCCACTCCCATCTCATACAAGCAAAGGAGGACGCAGTGGAGCAATCCCCAACGATTGAGAACCATGTGGAAGAAATTGAGGAGACTGATGGAGAAGAGGTTGTTGGCACAGAGAGATTCACCTCTGTCAACTGACCTTAGGAAACCCTTCGTCGTCGCTGCAGAAATGAAGACAAGGCATACCATCCACCTTGTCACGCGAAGCAGAGGAGGACGGCCCCAGAAGGCGAGGACTTTAAGCATACCCTAGGCCTGGAGGCCGGGTCAATGGAAGGTGTCAGGGCCCTTGCCATGTAGACCAGAACGAGCACGTGAGTTTCCTTATTTGGATTAGCGTGGTTCGTAGATAGGGATACGCCGTCCAGCTTCACGTAGATCTCTTCCTTTTTCCCTCCTCTCCATGCTTGAAGTTCTCGTCGATAGCTGCCTAGATAGTTGAATAGCATCCCATTCATCGTCTAGTTGAGTTCCGTGACACCTTGACCCACTATACATGCTGACATTCAAATGTGTTTTGGAGTTAGCTGGGTAGGAAAGTCGAGCTTGAATAAGTTTTGTTGGTTTTTCTTCAATCAGACACTATCTTCAAACTATCTTTGACTCATGGCAGCTGCTTATGTCAAAACAAGTGGAAGCCATGAACCCACAAAGCCGCCGACATTTCATTATATTGAACTCATTGGAGACACTGATTCCAGAGGCACTCCATTCACTTCTAGAGCGACCTGCTGCTGCCTCTGGGAACTACACTGGAGGTCCCAAGGCTGATTTACTTGTTCCTGAATTCCGGACATCAATCTCAAAGGCACTTTGGTTGACCCTGGGAACCCGCAATTGACCTCTGGGAACAGCTTGAGGTTCCAGGAGCAGTTGAGTACCCAGGTCTGACCTGCATGATTGACCGATTGATTGATTGATTTATTCATATAGATTGTCCCAGCCACCCTTACTAGCAGCTACGTGCAGCTATAAATACAGGTGTGCCCATCCCTCATTTTAAGAATTCTAAGCCGCTCCTCCCAGAACTTCTTCCCCTTTCCACTCCAGATAGTTGCCCCCAACTCATATCTGTGACGATCAGCTATAGTAGGATGAGATGAGGAAAGCAACTCGCTATTTGGCTGTACTGTCTAGGAATATCGTACACAAGGAGAAGAAGAAGGAAAGGAAAAAAGGTGAAAGATATGGTGGGGAGGAAATAGGAGGTGAGGGCAGCTGCCTGTCCTTAGCCCTGTGCCCTACTTACTCAATCTGCTGCCACCTAAGATGTGCCAGTGCCAGTGCCAGGGTCGCATGCTGACAGCCATACCTCAGGTATGGTCGTCACAGACAATTAAGATCTCTTATAAAGTACTTATCTGAAGGATTTCTCACTGAGGGTATTACTGTTCTCACTAAGTGCCACCCCAAATCCATATGGCTGAAGAGTGGTATTGCTGAGGGGACTTTACTGAGGATGGCGCGACACCTTAGGTTTTGAGGCCAGTAAGGCGTAGCTGTATTGAATCTATTTCCTGGTGTAAAGGGGGGCGTACGTGGGTTGTTTCCTGCGACAGGAACCGGGTTGTGATTGAGGGATCTCAGGAATGAACACACTGAAGGATCTAGTAAGGAACGATATAATAAAAGAAGAAACACAATCAGGCCTCCTCGAATTCATCTGTTGCTGGGCTTGAGTATATTTGGGCCTCCGACTTTGTGAATTGGGAGACCACGGTCGTACGACATGCAGGGTCGGAAGCCCCCCAACTGGCGTCCTGCCCTATACAAGATCCATCCGGTCGCCTATCTATACTGTTGGAACCCCGTCGGTCAACAGACCATCCACTATTATTGAAAACGCTCTTACAGCCACTCGTGGCACTCCTAGCCATCAAGATGTGTCTCCTACGGGTGTATTTGCGGTATCTTTCAGAAACACAATCCATTTCATTGAATTATATACTTGCAGCACCATCAATATTATAAATGATCATGAACAGGAGGAACGTCTCCAATATATCGAATATACAGGCTTGATTTCCTATTCCCCAATTACATGTTCAAAATAACACTCCAAAATACTCCAATATACCCGATCAGTGCGCTTTATCCACAAACTTGATGACCTTGTTCCCCGTCCTACTCTTTTCAAAACCAGCAAGGCTGTCAAGGAACGTAATCCGGAACAGATGGCGATTTTCATCCAAAATGAAAAAGAACGTTTCCAGCATCCTGACTACCTCCTCTCTAGACATGATGTGCTCGCTGGCAGCCTGATGGAGTAGACGAATCTCCAGCATTATCTCCGCAGACGACTCCAGAGTCGCCAGAATAAGCTGCCATTGTAAGATACCAGTCTTCTCGCCCTGCATGAGGCTCACGATCTTTTCGAACTCAAAATACATGGCGAACCACTTGAAACTAAAACGACGGTCACGGCCCCGCAGGCGCAGGACTCGCAGGTGCTCCCATTCGGATTTAGGAATGATCGCGCGGGCTCTTTCTGGCAGCGGATGCAATGAACCAATATCACCCGTAATATAGCGTACAAGGGGGTTCCGACGACGTTGCAGCGAGGTCTGAACGATGATGCCTTCCTCTCCATCTGGTAAGGGTTTCCTACTGGACGCGGAAGCGCCCTCCTCCGCGGAAGACGGGGGCAGGATCTCAATAATGACCTGTCGCGTATCAAAGACGAAATCCATCGTGCCCGCCGGACCGTCCTGCACTGTAAGATCCGGATGGCTTAACGCGCAAGGTCCTGCTTCGGCACTTCCCAAGATGGAACAGATCTTCACCGGGCCCAAGGTGGCGGTGATGTGACTGCATTGCATCTCGGTCAGTGGCTCAGATGTGTAGATTACTTTGGTGAGTTTTATTTTCTCCCTCTCCTCCGCAGGAAGCGTTGAAATATGGTGGACGACTTGGACAACCTGACTGCCGTCGCCGGCCAAGACGTTGACATGGTAGTGTGCCAGGGCACGGACAACCTCGGCGGGAGTCATGTAATTGCCGGCGCTGAGAACGGTTGCTCCCGCATTTTCCATGAGCTCGCTCGTAAGATCGAGGGATCTGCGCATTGTCAACAAGCCGTGTCTATTAAAATTAACAAAAGACCCAACACACCGGTAGAAATAGCCCGAACAATGAGTTGTGAGGATCCAATCGTAAGGCTCGGCCACCCGGCACGTTCCTATGAACTTACCAAAAACGGCTCGATGCTTGCGATTCTCTCGGGCGTCCGTCATGAACATCAACGGGAGCCCGCCAGAGCCGCCGCCGGTGATGCTGATGTAGGAGCTGCGCCGGTACTCATTTTGCCGGCTCGTATCGTCTGTAAGCCGGGCGATGACCTTGTACAGATCTTTCTTGCTGATCAATGGCACGGAACTGAGGTCGATGTCTGTTGACTGTTTTGCAGCCTGATGAACAGCCGATTCAATTGTCTCTGCACCAGGAGGATACTGGGCATTGGGATTGTAGAAGGGGTGTATTTTCGCGACGGCAAGAATCTCTGCGAGGGAAAATCCTTCAAAAGTCATTGTGGAAAGCATGAAATGTCCAATCTGGTTTGAATGTGAAGATGTGAAGGGGTAGTTATACATTGACCTTCCACCCACTTCCCTACATGCGACGTGTGCATTAGGTATGCAGTATTTCCATTAACTGTCGTCTACTCAATTAGCTTATATCAGCTGAACGAAGTGATGTTCAGCTCAGCCACAGCGTAAACGTCTGCCTGTCTGTCGGAAATAGGGCTGGCGTCGATGTCTCAAGTCAGCCCGCCTCGTGTACGAGCTGCTTCCTGATGCGGTTAGCGCCTGGTTCGTGAAGAGCTCCCGGCATTTTCTGGTCGATTTAGCCCTAAATAGTTGATGTGCAGATGTACAGCTGGCATTCAATTGTATTGAGCACTACGAATTCCTACAGATTGCTTTCATGCACTCCACTCCGCAAAAAAAAAAAAAAAAAAAGGCGAACACAAAACATGATGGTTCTGACAAAAGTACTGTTTACTGAAGAGCTTCGGACCAGGCCCGCTTTACTCCTGCTGCACGTCTCTATCGAATCTCAGCGCCATGTAGTCGTCAACATATATGATATCGTAGCAATTCGGGAACCCATTGAATTGAGTAGATATCACCACCGTATATGCTATGACTTTGTCAGTTGGCATCCTTGTAAGCCACGGATCGAAATCTCACCTCCCATATTCTCAAACTTCAACCAGTCCCCAGCCTTCACTTCACAAGTCATAGAAGCATCCTTGGCAATGCAGTCTAGCCCATCACACGACGGACCCCAAACGGAATACCGGTGCTCTCCGGCCTCTCTCTCGGAATCATCATCCGTCTCCTGCCTGATCAGCGTGGGAGCGTAAAACTCGTTCTCCAAGATAGCATTCATGAAACATCCGTATATCCCATCATTCAGATACAGCATGTCAGTCTTCTGCCCGATCTGCTTCCGGCGCGAGATGACCTTGCATCCCATTGTGTAGAACCTTCGGGCGTAGAACCGGCCAGGCTCAGCGATCAACTGTGTTGATTTGGGGAACTCTTTTTCGACCACCCGTCGCAGGGTCAGCGCCATGATTTCGAAGTTGGAGTCCTGGAACCCGCCTCCGACGTCTAAGACATGCATGTTAAATCCGAGCTGCTTGCCTTTGCGGAAGACACGCTTCGCGTCTTGTACGGCCGTGACGAATGCATCTGCATTTGATGCCCCAGATCCTGCGCTGGTCAGCATTGAGAGAGAAAGGGAGAGAGAAAGGGAGAGAGAAGACTTTGTACCCACCGATATGAAAACTAACCCCTTCAACCGTTAGCCCTAGATCCTTTGCGCGTTGAAGTAATGCTGTTGTCGTGTCTAACGGAGCCCCGAACTTGTTTCCAAGCGACACGAGAGCCGTATCATCGTCGGCGTGTATACGAAGAAGTAAGCGGAGATTGAGGGCATGCTCCTTTATCTTGTCCAACTCGTCAGCGTTGTCGAACGTCGTGCGCGGAATACCATGCCTGGAAGCAAACTGCAATGCAGACACGGCCTTGCATGGATGCGCAAAGATAATCCTCGACGGATCAATGCCCAGATCCAGCACAAGCTTCATCTCTCCCCATGAGGCGCAGTCGAAGCCCACGCCCAGTTGTGCGAGATAACGAAGCAGTCGGATATCCGAGTTACATTTTACGGCTGGTAGAGTAAGGATTGATTCCGTTAATCATTCAATTCATACAGGATACACAAACGCGGCTTACTGACCGTAGAAGGGCTTAATGGTACCGAGACACCTGAGCCAGCGCTGATGTTGCTCGAATACGCGACCTGTATCCGCGACCAGGAAGGGCAAGTCATGTTCGACACCACGGGGATTGTTGTTCAAGCGTTGAATCCGGTCGGCAAGCAAAGAATCGATCACGGTATCCGAAGGCATGTTGCTCAGAAACATCTTTGCGGCAACAGTCTGGTTGTTTACTGTGAGGCACATACCCATGCTTCAGACATTCATCTTTATAGTGGACGTATCTGGACCCGCTGTGTGCAGCTTGCTCCAGTCACATCCAGCATTCAAGTTAAAGTCTCCGGCGTCGATCTGGATTGTCTTCATTGCATACTCCCTCACCAGGCTGATGACAATTCGGGTTAGGTAATTTCTGCTATTTGTTTTCAACATTATGGAGCATGCATTGTCGCATCATCAGAGCTCCCTCCGACGCTTCCGTGTGGCTGGCTGGAAAAAAGGGCGACCATCCGGGCCATATAGCACCAAGATGCTGTTTCTAGGGACAGAACCACAAGGATCTCTTATGCAGGAGAGATCACACCAAACCAATACTACCATTATAACCTCCCCTGGTCTACTACGGCACGGCCCTTGACGGACCGGACCCATTAAAGGCACATTCTTGAAGTTCACGGCTCCACGTTTTTTTTTTTTTTTTTTTTTTTTTTTTTTTTTCAGCCAATCCTGCAGCTTTTTCAGAAGAATGTTACATTATTCTATGTAGATCCTCACTAGTCGTAATACAAGAATGCTATATACAAACAGGGGAAAAGGATCTCGCATCCCACCGAACCCTACGCAGGTGGCGCTCAGGGTCTCGGACCTCCGTCCGTGCATGAAGCCAGCGACAATTGTCCAGCAGAACTACCGATCCCATACGCAAGCAGTCCGGGGTCAGATGGACCGTCTGCGCCTGCACTTCTGCGCTCATCAAGCAGCTTTTCAGCTCTGCCAGCGCCGCCCCCGCCTCCACACTTAGAGCAGTCGTGATGTCCTCGCGGAAACGGACCATACTCGGTGCTCCATTCGCATCACGCGCCAATAATCCACCGATGATATGCTTCTTGCCACCCTCTTTCACGAACTCGGGTGGCACCGTGATGCAGAACTCAGGTCGTTGCAGGACGGCGCGCGCCGGCGGCGAGAGAAGAGTGGTGAGCTTTCCCACGTTCATGACTGAGAGCGTACCGCCGCCACATCGATCCTCTCTCAACACCTGCAGCGCAAAGTATCTAGGCGGTGCCTCTTCGTAGCTACAATCAGTGTGCCAGGGGAAATCCTGCATTGTCTCTGAGCGGGCCTGGTGCGATGGCGTCTGGAACATTACGCTATTTGGCCGAATATCCCAGAACCAGCCGCGGGATGCGCTGTGGGTAATCGGTAGTCCATGGCCGTGGTGTCTGTGGAGACTCAGGATGAGGTTTTGGAGATACTGGCTCCTGTCGTCGGGGAACTGCAGGCTGACTTTGAGGATGCCGCTTTTCTGGAGAGCATCGGACACTCCTCTAACGTGGCTTGGACGCGTTGCGCAGGTAATATCGCTGGCGATTATATGCGGTATCACCCGGGAGGCTTCTTTGAACTTGTTAGGACTGCCATGGCGGCTAAATGCCTGGGGAAATGAAATGATTGACTTACGGGAGGACATGTCCACCAGCCTGCATAGGAGCTGCTTGGGGGATGCCATTGTCTCTGACTTGTCTGATGAGAAATATGGGGAGGCAGCAGACATGGAGACATGGCGACTATTATACTGAGGCTGGAGGCAGTCACCCCATTTCGGCAGGACAAAGTACTTTTCATGTGCCTCTGTGGATGCGTAGATGAGCTGAAACAGCGATTCTTTAGTCAAGGATTTGCGACTATGCATCTTCAGATTTCAGATCCATCAGTTCCACATAGAGGCGTCTAGTGGTGAAGTCAATGAAGGAATTGACGGCTATCCTTGAAGATTTTCATAGATTTGATCTACATGCTTTCCCCACAACATCCGAGCTGTGGATATGTTTACTCCGTGCAGATTAGAATTGCATTAAGATCCTTGAATACTCCTCCGTCCTAGTCACAATCGCCACGCGTAACAGAGCACATCCATGCACCCCCATGGCTGATGGCGCAGATCTGGTCCGGACTACTGCGCCAAAGCCCAAGCCCAAGAAACTCCCCATTGATGGAGTGGTAGGTTCCGATGAGGGGATACCGTGTCTTCAGGCCCGTCGGTCGCAATATCACATCGTACAGAAGCTGCTTAACCCTGCGTTGAACAATACAGGTGCCACCATGAGCCGCAGACAATTGGGTGGCTCTCAAATGCTGCAATCTCGATATCCACTCCGACGAGCTCAGTTCCTCCCCGAATACAATACCATCGCCTTTCCCACTCCGGACGGGCTTGAGGATGTATTCGTCTTTATGGTCCGGTGACTCCTTGCAGTGTCTGATCAACTCCTGCAGCTCCAATGAGCCGGGGAGAATCGTGTCCGCAATGCCTTTGTCGAGGGCCTTAGCCTGCATGGATGTGAGGACCTTTCTGGCTACTAGGTCTTTAATCTCTTGCTTGACGATTCCGAGCATTCTCTTGTCATGAACGAGGAGGATCGTGCGCAGGTCGTTGAAACACCGGAGACTGATTTGGTGGAGCATCTCCGGCTGCAGAGCACAAAGTTCTCGCTGATGTAGTTCAAGACCTACCTGGTGGATTTCTTCCAGCATCTCCCCGTTGTGGCAAAGCAATGAAGAAGACGCGGCCACATTATCAGAACTTTTGACCACACAGCAAAGTTTATACCCGCCCTTTGCCCGCGCATCTGGCAGTAATCTCAAATCAGCTGGCAAGATAAAGCGAGGGGTTATGCCCGAATGACGCTGGACAAACTCAACAACCATGTGGATATCGATGCCTGCTTCCTCGCCTTTGAGAAGGTGCACTGGAAGGTCTGGCCGGAAGAGGCTTAATAGGCCATCAAGGATCTGGTTTTAGTCAGTTATTATGTATGGAAACGGTTGAAATGAGGGAGCCACCTTTGCAGGATCCGTGCCGCCCACCAAGCCATTACTTCCGCCGCAGACACCGATGTCCTGCAGTGCCTGCTGTCCGTAGGCCTCAAACATACACCCGTTGAAGGGAAAACGAGCGTTGATCTCGGTGATGCGAAAGTTTTCCGCGCCTTCGCTGCTGTCCTCTTCAACCAGGAAGTCCGGTCTCCACGATCCCCGACATTCTCGGTAAGACGGAAGATTATCAGGAACCTGACTGTCAATCCACTGTTGCAGCAACTACCGTTAGATACATTCACTTGCTACAAATAGTCAATATTCGCCAACAACATACTCGGAGTAGATCTTCTTCTTCCGGCTCCAGAGGCATACGCTCCGGAAAATGCGCCGCGGGGTCCGTCCACCATCTCTCAACGATGTCAGTTATGGCCAGGACGAGAGCTTCATGCAGCTCACTCCATTTCCGCCGATGCTCTGAGGTAAAGAGAACCGGCCGAGGACAGCAGGCCATTCTTGCATCCTTGTACCATGTTTTGGCGGAGCATAGTTGCACGAGGCTTTCTTGGAGAGCCTCCTGATCTTGGAGATATGTGGCATTTTTGGCGTCGTAGGATGCCACCGGTTCATATTCGCCGTCGTTGAGGAAGACGTGGACTTGCTGGAGGCGTTGGGGGACGGGGGACTTCATCGGGAGAGGTTGCCAATGTATATATTTCAGTGGACTTAGTGACTTAGGATAGTTACTTAATTCCCTAGAAGAAGAGCCCGTATACTCTACTCTTCCGCTACTCTTGTGTCATTTTAAATACTTATTTCCATTTCCCCTTGCCCAACAGCACATTTCAATGTTACTCGTATTTGGTCTATTTTCAGAATTAGGCATTGTGGAGCTACGACAGTTCAGCTCGCCCCATCCTTCCCCACAGTGGGTCGAAAGCACGGGAATCCTCACGACGATGAACTATCACAGCTGAACTCGGTGGTAATTTATGATCTGCATTAGGGATGGATGTGGATTAGAACACGGCCGTGCTTAAAGCACATTGAGAAATTTCAATATTATTAGTCATATTATTGCAGTCAGTCGTCAGAATCAGCTTGGTTGAGCAATTTATGCAGTGAGCAGTCTGCATTGTCTGTCACTTTATGCTGACTTATGCCAGAGCCCTAGTTAAGACACTTATTCTCTAGGCCGCTACGATCCTGCCCTGCCTCGCTCTACGCCGCCCATCATTGATCCTCCTTTTTTATTCCCGCAGCTAGATATCTTATCCGTTGGTTTGGTTGAGCGATAAGCCCTACACTGGCGCGCTGCAGTACATATAGCTGTCGCGGAACTCAACTAGACGATGAATAGGATGCTATTCAGCTATCTAGGCAGCTATCGACGAGAATTTCAAGCATGGAGAGGAGGAAAAAGGAAGAGATCTACGTGAAGCTGGACGGCGTATTCCTATCCACGCGCCACGCTAATCCAAATAAGGAAACTCACGTGCTCGTCCTGGTCTACATGGCAAGGGCCCTGACAACTCGCTTGATTAGACCATGTATGAAGGGTAGATGGTGGCTGTATATGGATAAGAACATTTATCATCTCCACAGGAAACCAAAGCCTTAAATAAGATAGCTCCAGCTCCATGGCTGCAAGGGTTCGAATATAAAATTCATTTTTGTACTAGATACATGAAGGATTCCATGGGAGGAAGAAGAGAGACAACCGCATGCCAGCAACAAACAGAACAAACAGAACAAATGATGCAAAAGAGACTGTTGTGGAATATGCACGTAACTCAGGGAAGAAGGGCAAAATGAAGCTGTATCGATTACACGTACGTAACCTACTAAGGAACGGATGCCATTCTGTTCTATCTCTATCTCTCTCTACATATAATCAGGGGCCCGGATTCTCAGGGGTTAGTAATGGAGGTGTATCGTTGGTTGGTAACTAGCTAGATAGGCCTACGTCAGCGAGGGCGGACCTATGCGGCAGAATAACACGTGATCCAACAGTTAGAGTAATGGAGGTGTATTGTTGGTTGGTTACTAGCTAGATAGGCCTACGTGGTGAAAAGGGTCAGCGAGGGCGGACCTATGCGGCAGAATCCCACGTGATCCAACACCCCCCCACGCACGAGCTGGCCTAAAGACTAATCTAAAGAATTTAAATACAAAAATCGGCCTCTATTCAGGCCTCCAAATGAGAGAGTAAAAGCAAAATTAAGCAGAGAAGTGAGAGGTTCCGCTTTGGCCAATCAGAAGCCGTAAATCAGAATAGAAAGTATAACCAAAATGGGGGAACAAGCGCCGCTTAATGTATGCCGGTGAGTTCCAGGAAATGATTGAATCGTTCAGTTTGGAGAGGTTTTGTCAGGCCATCTGCTGCCTGTTCTTTGGTAGGGCAGGTCTGAAGTTTAACAATGCCGTCTCGGACCTTCTCCCGAACGTAATGGTAGCGTATGTCAATGTGTTTGGATCTCTTGGTGGTGAGCTCGGCTTCAGCCATGGCGTGGGCACCTTGATTATCGATATGAAGAGATATTGGTGGGCATTCAGTTGGGAGCACATTAAGCTCGTTGATGAGATTCCGGAGCCAGAGGGCATCACGGCTGGCTTCGCTTAGAGCCATATACTCAGCTTCGTTGGAGCTAAGGGCAACGGATGTTTGCTTGCGGCTTTTCCAGGCAATTGGGGCTCCGGCAAGCAGAAAGATGTATCCAGAAACTGACCGGCGGTTGCCTGTCAGTTGGCCACCCCAATCAGAGTCGGTATAACATTTTGGCATGAGGAGGTCAGATGTAATGGACTCCGTGGGTTTATGATAGGTAATTTGCCGATTGATGGAGCCTTTAAGATAGCGTATGGCGTGTATAAGGGCACGCCATGCTTTTTGGGTGGGTTTGGCGTTATATTGGGATAGTATGCCAACCGTCTGGCTAAGATCTGGCCGGGTTTTGGTGGCTAGCCAGGTAAGGCAGCCTACACCACGTTGATATTCTTTGGTGTTGACTGTAGGGTCTGGTTCATCATCAATTATTAGGCTAGGATCCATTGGAATCCTAACAGGATGTGCTTGGGCTTGACCAAAAGAGGCAACAACATCTTCAGTGTAGTCGGCTTGAGATAAAGAAGATGAAGTCTCAGACTGGGAGATGGTCATGCCAAGGTATTTGGTAGAGTTTCCAACTTCTTTTATGTCAAATTTGGCGGAGAGAGTCTCCATAAACCAGATGGCATCATTTTCATGTTTAGCATAGACTTTGAAGTCATCCACATGGGTGGTCACATAGAGTTGGGTCCGGGTAGTGTGGATCCATAGACCAGAGTCATATTCAGAGCATTTGAAGCTGATTTGGCGTAGAAAAGCACCCAGAGTATCATACCAGATGCGGGCAGATGGGACCAATCCATAGAGGGATTGAAGGAGTTCACAGACAAGATCTCCAGAACCTTCTTTGAATCCCTGAACTTGGGTCATAAAGACACGTTTGTCCGTGGGCATTTTCCCATTTAGGAAAGCAAGGGTGGCATCAGCTTTTCGGGTATGCCAGCCAAGCAGGGTGGCCAGTGCCGTGAGGGTTCTGGTAGTATTTTCATTTACCACTGGTGCGTAGGATTCCATGAAGTCTTTATCAAGTAGATTGCCACGAATGACCCAGCGGGCTTTAGCCTGATAATCCTCTGAGATAGGTATGCCGGGGATTTCTTTCTTTTTGTATACCCACCGGCCAGGGATGACTTTGGCCCCTGGTGGTAGGTCAGAACGGCGAATGAGTTGCCAGCAGCCTTTCTCTTTGAGTTGGTTGACTTCCTTTTGCATGGCAGCTTGCCATTTAGCAGCATCAGGATGGGATATGGCCTGCTTATAAGAAGTAGGCGTGTTGTCTTCTGATGAAGGAATGGTTGAAGTGGCAAAGTAAGCTAGGGACATGCCTTTGGCAGGTCGGAGCCATATATCTTGGTCATTGAGAGGTTCATCTTCAACTAATTGAGTTGGGTTTTCTTCGGTAGGGGTGCTGGGACCTTTGGGAGTGGTAGTTGTAGGATCTTTGTAATCCTCATCAAATATAACATCATTGGTGACAAAGACGGTGTCAGTTTTAGGGTCCCAAACACGATATTGATGGCTACTAATTTGGCCAATGAGGAAACAGCAGTGAGAACGTGAATCAAGCTTATTTCCAGGTTTATCTGGTCCATGCCGATGGACCCAGGCTGGACACCCCCAACGGCGATATCCGGGGAGTGAAGAAATGGATGAATTAGTCCACGCTGCCAACGGAGCGCGATAAGGGCTGGGGTGTATGTCCTTGTTGATATTCACCCCCCCAGGAATTTGGGAATTGTATAAGATGGTAGATGTAGGGAGCCGATTTGTAAGATCTGTGGCATATTGGAGAGCATCTACCCAAAAGCGTTCTGGTATATATGGGGCATCAAGCATCATAGCTCGGGCCCGTTCAAAAAGGATCCGGATGCCACGTTCACTAACGGCATTTTGCCATGGTGAATATGGCGAGCTTGGTTGCCATTCTATGCCTTCCTGACGGTAGGTTTCCATCCATTCAGTGGAGCGGAATTCATTATCAGAGACTAGGTAGGCAGGAGCAGTGAAGCCATGGTTCTTCATATTTTGAAGCCAGTTCTTGAAGGCGGTAATGGCTGCACTTTTTGTCTCAAGGAAGAGGATCCATCGATAATGTGTGGCATCGTCGGTAATAAGTAAGACATATTTTGCCCCAATTCGGCCAGTGACAACATCATTAGGGTTGTCAAAATCAAGAGTTTGTCCACCGCCGGCGATATCTAGATGGACTCGGGCAAGGGGTTTGGTAACTCTGGACCTAGGGACCTTGCTATAATAGCGTGTCTGTCTAGCCTGTATACAGACTTCACAAAATGGGAGTTCTTTAGAGCCTTTGATTTCGATGCAAGACTCAGGATCTCGGGCGAGGCGGAGGAGATCGGCTTGATTGAGATGGCATAGGCGTCGGTGCCAGGCCATGATAGGTAGGGATATCTTAGTAGTTCGCGGCTTCCCTAGAACCGGGGTCTCTTTTGGAGTAGGAGCCTCAGCTGGTGTCTTAATTGTGGGAGCCTTTGCAGGTGGCTCTTCTGGGCGGTTAACTTCTTTGCCAGACCGGGTGGTGACAAAGGCATAGGAATTTTCTTCTTCTCCAGGAGATAGACAGTCTTCAAGGAGGTAAACATTGTTTTTGAACAATCGGGCTTGGAATTCAGCTCCAGATGGTGTGGTAATCAGCTTGACTTCACAATCTAGTGTATATTGAAGCCTAAAGCCTTGTCGTACAAGCATGCCTTCTGAAATGAGGTTGGAAGTAAAGGAAGGAACATGGCGGACGTCTCTTAGGATCAGAGATCCGTAACCAATATCTATAATCACGGTGCCAATGCCTTGAGGCATAGAGATATGGCCTTGAGCACCTTCCATATAATCTGTCTCCACCAGATCATGCTTCTGCAAGGCCTTATAGGTTGCAAAAAGTGAACGGTCAGGTGTAGAATGGAAAGAGGCACAGCTGTCAACAAACCATTGATTGGAAAATGAGAGAGTCTTTGCAGACTTCACAATGGCAGATTTGGCATTGGAGAGTTTCTTATGCAAGACAAGTTCCTGTGAAGCAGGGTGATCCTGGTTTGATTGTGGGTTTGCTTCAGATTGTTGCTGAACACGGAGAGCATTAGCCATAGTAGTATAGAACTTGCGTCTATACTCTGGTGCTTTCTCAGGATGTTTAAAATAGCATATAAGTCCATGGCGATTTCCGCAGTGATCACAGTCTATAAGTGTATGACGAGATCTATCTTGGTTGTTGGAACGTTGAGGAATTGTGTATTTGGTTCCAGATGCTTGTTTTGAATAACTGCGGTTCTGGGAGTTCTCTTTCTGTTGGTTTGACCGGTCTTGAGAATGAGTATCACGGAATTTAGTGCCGGTTCGAGTAGATAATTGGGTCTGGATAACCTTAAGATCCAGGTTGGTAACCGGAGCACGGCCAGTAGAGTAGACATCATCTAGTTTACTCTTGATAAAGGCGCGGTTCCAGTCCCGGAGACCTATAAAGAAGAGGTCATGTTTGAGATTTTCAAGAGATTCTTCTCCAATAGCGTGTAGGCGGTCAAAGATTCGATTAAAGGATGACTGGTAGGTGAGATAATCGTTATCCTTTATATAGAGCTCTTTGAGCTCCATGGTAAGGGCCATTCGCTCTTCACCGGTGGATTTGCCAAAAAGTGTGGCAGCTCGGTCCCAAAGACCATGGGCAGAGAGGTCATATACGGTGCCTAGTTTATCGGAAGCAGGGGTTGTCATGGCATTGAGCATACGGGCTCTCATGACAATGGCTTTTCTGTGCCAAACTGCAGCATCAAGTGGAGATGATCCAGCAGGAGGAGAGTCCTGGTGAAGAGTTGTAATAGCATTGAGAATACCAGCTTCTTTTTGTATGGCAGAGCTCCATGCATCGTAATTATCCAGTGTCAAGATGACACGGCATCGGTCAGGCAGTAGCGTATCGACATCGGCTTGGACAAGGGCAATAGCATTGCTGATATTTGTGTCTGAGGCATCACGCAGAGGCGGTTGGATATCCATTGGTGTAGTATCTTGGGTTGTATTTGAAGGCAAGGAAGCTTGTGGAGTATTAGACTGGATGATAGATGCCAGTTTTAGCTCCATTCTAGCTTCACGGTCTCGCATATCTTGTTCCATCTGATTCTGGCGAGCAAGCATTTGTCGCATCATATCAGCAAGATCAGGGGTAAGTTCGTTTGTGGAAGCCATGTTGGCGGTATTGGTAGAGCTCAGATTGGCTCCGGAAGGCGTTGGGGTCTCTATCTCTTCAGAGACAACTGATGAGGAGGTCTCGTCTATATTCGAGGACCTGTTTTGGAGATTTCGGCGACGTGATCGTCGTATAGCAGTAGCGGGAGGCGTAGTAGGTTCTCCTGACATGCTCAGGTTCGGACCGTATCTGGGATCCTGGAATTTTTGGAATCTGGGGTATGGAATTTTGGTTCAGCCAATCAGAGGGCTTAAATTGACCACTTATACGGGCCTAAAATAGCTCATATTTCCGAGCAAGAAACGGGCTCATAACCTAATGGAGGTGTATTGTTGGTTGGTTACTAGCTAGATAGGCCTACGTGGTGAAAAGGGTCAGCGAGGGCGGACCTATGCGGCAGAATCCCACGTGATCCAACATAGAGTAATGGATAGGCGCATGTATGGTCGTATTACTAGGTAGGCCTGCCTGTGCCGTGAGATAGGTAGCGAGGGCGGTCTAGGACGGCAGAACCTCACGTGTACTAACATAGAGAGGGAGCCAAGCCGCCATACCACGTGACCTTTTCCATATCAGAGACAGACAGAGGAAAGCAAATAGGGCAAGCAGGGTATTCAGGCGTTGGACCTGAGTTGCCATATGCATAGCCCATGCATATGGCCAGCCTTGCGACTCATTGACATTTCAAGGTCAGATAACTGCAATTCAGCCCTTCGGCTTTTCGCCGATGCAAATTAAAATCCACCACGTTTACCAGGCACAGGGCAAATCACAGGCCAGTGAACTCGTTGCCACTTACACATCCATCATATCCGGACGATGAGTCAGGGAAATAACTTCTCAAACAAAGTGAATGTCGGAATATGCCCTTGCCCAGTGGCCCAAGTAGATTTTTGTTCCTCGCAAGTATTATTACTAAAAAGGAACTACTGATGCGGCAGAATAGCAAAGCGGTCTAGCTATGAGCAACACCATGCCAAGCCTGAAAACACAGTCTCATATCTCCGTACATCTGCCAGGGCAAAAAAAAAAATAAAAATAAAAATAAAAATAAAAGGAAAGAAAAGGAAAGAAAAGAAATTCCAGGCCCAAGGCCCTGTCATCCCTTCCTCAGATTTGCCTTGGTCATCGAAACAATACAAGGCACTAATCACTATGTCGGAAATTTCCCGGGACGTCCTTTTTTTCCCCGAGTCTCAGCGGCCATTCCTGGAGCCTCATCTTCCGCCTCTAGATGGCGAGAGCAAGAGTTCCAACTTACCGTTTACCACCCTAACTTTTGCTACCTCGTTGGACTCATCTCTTGCCATCGCGCCGGGTGTTCGGACAACTCTGTCGGGGCCTCAATCCAAGGCAATGACGCACTACCTACGCTCTCGTCATGATGCTATCTTGATTGGTGTTGGGACTGCGCTCGCCGATAACCCCGGACTGAACTGCCGATTGAAAGGTGTAGGCGGGTATGGTGGCCAGGACCTTCGAGGACAACCCAGACCCATCATTATTGATCCTACAGCTCGATGGGAATTCACGGAACAGGCCAAGATTCTGGCACTTGTCAGGGAAGGCCGTGGACGAGCTCCCTACATCATTACCGGGAATCCATCACCTCCAGCGAAGCAAAAGCAGATTCTCGAGGAGCACGGCGGAAAGTACATTACACTCAACACCACATCTACAGAGACAGAAGCTCATCGTTTTGACTGGACTGCGATTCTCGGGAGTCTGACAAACGAGGGCTTTAGAAGCGTTATGATTGAAGGCGGTGGCGCTGTCATCAATACCTTGTTGGAACAATCATCCCAGGGACTGGTTGACAGCGTGATTCTTACTATCGCCCCAACGTGGCTTGGCCAAGGTGCGGTGGTTGTGTCGCCCAAACGACGGTTTGATGCGGGAGGCAACGCTATTCCAGCCTCACGTTTAAGGGATGTAAAGTGGTATCCCTTTGGTGAAGATGTTGTGCTTTGTGGGAAGATCAAGCTCTAAAATAGTTATCTAGTTTGCTTTCCAAGCGCTGCAGAGAAAGTACGGTTATGGTTATTGAAGAAAACAACACGTACAGGACTATATCTGTCGTGCAAACACAACTTCATGGTCGGTAATCTCGCGCAAGAAAATTCCACGCGGACTGTCGACAAAATCGAGCCTTACTTGTAGGTGGAAATGCATTTGCGCCAAATGTTCTCAACATATGATGCACCGTCGATAGAACTAGCAAGCGGATCCCGGAGGACTGGTTGTCTCGAAAAGAACTTCCCTTGCAAACCGCGGTCACTCATGCCTAATAGGGTGATCAGGATGGTCCACAGGATGGCAAGGCATTTTGCAATAGAGATTTGGGCCAGGGGCCTCGTACACTGCAGAGTACCAGGTAGCCATTCCAATGGCAATAGAATGTAGGACATGGTTATGATAAATCGTGCTGATTTTCGCTCTTCGAGGTCTTATGGTCACCATTGCTGAAGACATAGCGAAGGATAAGCGCAATTCATCTGATGTGAGAAGCACAATGGCTGCCGCTCAGCGTCTACCGTGATACAGACAGATCTTCAGTGGTCCAAATCGCCAGCTGTGATGGCATAGTGATGGGCAAATATTTAAGGTTTGCTGGAAGTCGGAGAGGCCTTGTCTTTGCCGCTCAAGATTGAAATATACCAAGCTTAGAGAGAATAAGACAACTGGCAGAGATTTGCACTGTCCACTCAATGTGATTCAATTCCGAAGTTTCATCAATTGGCCATGCGTCGTCATCCTTTGCCGAAGTTGTCGTCCATAGGGCAACAAACACCTACGAGTAGATAGATGCAAGTAGGCTGCACACAAAGACTGTAGCTTAGCCAACACCTACACACGATACGAAGACCTTGAACGAAGAGCCTAAAACACCGAAAATTCTTGTTGTTGAATCTTGTATCTAACTATGTGGGCCTAGCATTCTATTTATTGTCAGCTAAACTGACGCCCGGTGCCCAAGCCCAGGAAAAAACCGAAGAGACGACAAGACGCCTAAACTTTTCCGGAGTTCCCTCGGTACATATTGAGGTCGAATGAAGGTAGGAGTCTCCGCAAAAAAGGACCGAATTATCACCATTACCACATATCATCTAACATTACCAGGTTATCGTTCTGACAGATCAAACGTCATGAAATCCAGCAACTAATAGTGCGCCGCAATCATGCCGTGGACAGCTCAGATCCAGCTGCTTAATTCAAAGGGTAAGGGTTATAATCAGCATATTGCCCATAGCCCCCAGCAGTCGTGGTTGTGCTAGTAGGGGTGGGATACTGTTCATAGTTGGCGTAGTCGCCGTATCCTGCCGGAGTCGTGGTGGTGGTGGTGGCGGGAGCAGAGTAGGAGCCGTAGTCGGCATAGTCACCATAGCCCTCGGGGTTCGCATCCGCGACGGCCTCCCTCTTGCGGTAGGGATTATAGTCGCCATACTTTCCATATCCGTCCACGGTCGTGGTCGAAGTAGCAAAACTGGTCGAAGTGGTAGACGTAGACGTCGTAGAAGTGCTGGTGCTAGGGGTGGTGGCCGAAGAAGTAGGATAGGTCCCATAATTGGCATATGGAATGTAGTCACCATAGCCGTCAGGATTGGCCTCTGGGGCGGCCTCTCTCTTGTAGGGATTATAATCCGCGTACTGCCCATAGCCACCGGCAGTCGTGGGCGAGGTGGTCGAGGTGGTTGAGGTGGCAGACGTCGTAGACGTCGTAGACGTGGTAGGTGTAGTGGAAGTGGTCGTAGTGGTAGTCGGAGGAGGGACATACGTCCCATAATTGGCATATGGGTTATAATCACCGTAATCTTGGGGAGAGGCCTCTCTCTTCACATCCAGAGGGCGGGCGCCTGCAAGAAGAGGTGCGGACAGGGCGGCTGTGAAAACGACAGAGAAACGCATTGCGACGAGTGGAGGTGAAATGGCGGTTCTATACAGGTAGAACTAGTCTGAACTGGAAGATGGGCTTGAGCATAGATTATCCAGACTCCATGGCCGGAGGAATTGGTTCATTTTATATCCTTCAGGTCGGCAGCGTCTGCTGAGTAGACTCCGGCTCTGTCGAGAAGCATCAAGCTGGGGCTACAAACCATTGCAACTGTACCATTGCTTCTCTCATCATCCCTAAGACTCCGCATTGAGATCAGAGATCCATCTCACATGGTAAATATAGACAGATATTGCCCATTTGCGTGAGACTACGCCAGTTGAAGTGGAGGCTTGCATCAGGAATAATGCGGTAAGCGTGACTTCAAGATGCAAGTGCGGCTCATCGGATTGCTGGTTGACAAGAGACTCACCCGTAAGCTGCAGCATCAGGAATATATGATTAGCTAGAGGGAGTAATCATAGCCTTAGCTGCTGTAAAGTGCCAGAAATAGGTGTCAGCATGGCTGCGGAAGAGTGGCTTGGTTGTCATCATGGATATTTTTATCTTCTCCAATGCTCCCAGGCCTTGACTACAACAGGAGCACATTGCTTATAACAGGTAGCTTCCTCACGTCCATTGTGCCTCACTTGAACACTATAGGCCCATGGGATATCGCAGCTGTTCTTCAGAATGACTGGCAAAATAATCAATTCTCATCTCAACTCCGATGGAGGTTCTTATGAACGACTCCTCCCCCAAGAAGAAGAAGCACACCCACACCCACAGCATCCACAACATGACCGCGGTCGATGGTGCCAAATAGGAACCGTCTTTTTGTACATCACAGCGCTTTCCGTGGCTTTCATCGTAGGCAGCACTGTTGGATACCAGTGGCGGGGAGACCGAGAAAACCCAGATCACTCCTGCGCCAAACATACGTCCCAATACTGTAAGTAGCTGCATGGAATACGAGACTGCGGGATGCTGACTTTGACCAGCTCCAGTCTTGAAAAGTGTTGCCATTACATATGATGTTCAGCGTTTCAATGGAACGTTTCTGAAAGAGAATATCTTCCGGCAGGACGCGAGTCCGGAGGTCGATGCTGCGTGGGAATCCCTAGGCGTCAACTGTGCGTAATCGTCTCCAGTCTTGAGCCTTCCACAAAATAAAATGCAGCTAAATGGTTAACTCGACTCTTCTGGATAGATCGCAGTCTGCGAGTGCCTGCAGATGAGGCCGAAAAGTCAGGGCTGGCACCTGATCAGGTTAAGATTAACGAAAAGTACGGAGGAGGATATCCTGCCAATCTGGAGGGTCTTCATCATTTGCACTGCCTGGTAAGGATGACGCTACAGGACAAAGTACTTTGTGTAGTAGCTGTTGATGCTAATGCCGCCGAAAGAATCTCCTTCGCCAGACCCTGCACTGGAACTATGATTACTACCGCGCTGAAGGCAAGGGCGCATTCACAAACGACGACTATATCGTCCGTGTCCATGCCAGTGAGTACCATGAAATGAGAGCCACCTGGTGCCTATAATCTGCATGATGCTAATCCATCGTAGCACATTGTTTGGATATCCTCCGCCAGCAACTGATGTGCACCATCGATACCGGTGTGCTTGGCCAAGTCTGGCTGTATCCTGACAGCCCGCAGGCATTTGTTGACTTTAACACGGAGCACAAGTGCAAAAACTTCGAGGCCATTCGTCGCTATGCTGAGGAGAACCAGCTGCCGGCAAAGGTTCCAAGCGATTTCCTGGAGCCTCCGAAAGAGGGTGATAGGATTTATGCTGAGATTCCCTAGGTGAGCTTGCTCGAAGGGAATGTATGATGTGTTCAGGCTGCTGTCAGCAAGATTAATAGTTAATATACTAATACCGATCATGCTTGATGGCTTGGAAATAGTCGGTTTGGGTCTCTCCCATAGTAGATGGACGTATATCCCTGGTTTTGATGCGCTATCGCCGTCGTCCGCCTCTTCTCCGAGCTGGGATCAGCCATGGAAAACAGTCGATGTCGGAATCTGCAACAACAACAACGACGTCTCTAGAGTAATGACGCTTATATTTATCCAGCTGGACACGTGTAAAGCCTCGGATATCGCCATTTAATCAAGCAGCCAAGCTTATTCCGTCAAAACCCGTCGGCAAGCAGGGTACCAAGAGATCAGCCATCAGCAAAAAGCTTCACGCGACTTAGCATACCTATTCCTGGTAATGGATAAGCTGTCTTGATCAGCAATACAAGATTTCATGGTTCAGCCTTATTGTGGGCAGCATTCACCATGCCACGTCAGCTCTGGGCGGGCTTCGTAGCTACTCCGTGTCTGTCTCGTTAGACATGGGACTAAATCCAACTTAAGAAATACAAATTGAACGATAACAGGGATTTCATATACATATTAATTTTGCCAGATATCCTTGTTAGAAGCCATTGCAAATCCCCGTCCCCTCGTAGAACTACATTGTGCTAACATTGATCCAACCAGCAGTAACTACACGCTAGAACGGGTTTCATTCAGCAACAGAGGGTCTGATTCGCAGTCATACTCCTGGTCTTTCATCACGGCGGTATACCAACGGGCTTTGAGGGCAGATAGCTTTGGAAGACGCAGAAGCCGCACAGAACGTGGAAGTCGTAGAAAATGAGGAATCCGGGGCAGGTGTGGAAGCTTTCGAAGCTTTGAAAGACGTGGAAGTCGGTCGAATCTCCAATAGACGAAAACAATGCCCGCAAGGCCAAATATGAAGAGCAGGATTACCCAGAGCGGTACCTATGCCGGGTTAGGAGAGAAGGGGAACCTTGGGGCACAGGATAGGACTTACACATGAAGGCGAGGTCGAGCTGACGACCGCCGAATATGCCATGACTCCCCTTGCAGCGTCCAGTGCGGCGATCCTCACATATCCATTTGCTGTATCGACGGCATCAATGGCAAAACTCGTCTCGAAGCCGTCACGCTCCAACTCTTGAATCGTTGCGAACTGGTCATCCCTCCCCCTAGCGGCTTCGAGCCTCCACGATGTGACCTCCGTCGCGCCATTCCAACTCACATATACTTTCCGACCCTTCACCTTCACGTCCGGCACCGTCTTCGGCCTTCCAACCCACGGATGCTTGAATACGCGGTACGATTTCGCCAATCCGAAGTCGATTATCTCAAAGATGAGGTGGGGTCCAAAGTGCGCGCTGCAGAGCACATCGCCGTCTGCTGAGTACTCGACGTAGGTTGGCGAGTTGCCGAATCCGACGAGCACGTTGCCGCGTTCCCGGATCACTTGCACGGAGCCCTGGGATACGTTCAGAATCTCATCTGGGTGGACATATTTCTGGATGAGGCTGGCCGTCATATTCTGCATGTCGAGTCGGATCAGCATGCCCTTGCTGTGTTTGGAACGGCTATGGAAGACGTTGTTGGCGTGGTTGTCAAAGACGGATATCGTGTTATTGCCTTGCCACGTTACATGGTGTTGCCAGGCGAAATCGGTTGCGCCGTTCAGGTCTTCGAAATGATTGTTCTTGCCGCCCAGTTGCCATAGGATCTCGCCTGTGGTACCGCTGATGCACACGATAGCGTGCATGTAACGGGCGGAGATGAGATAATCCCCGGATTCCATCTTGTCGACACTGTTGATGTGGAAGAAATCAAAGGCGTCCTGTTTTGATTTTCCGTGACCGTCCTTGCGCGAAGGGCTGCTATATACATCGCCCATGCGGATATGGTCTGTGGCTCGCCATTGGAACAGAAGATTCCCCGTCTCAATATCAATTTCCTGGAACAGACCATCCTGGATCCAGCAGCTCTCACCCAGGCCCAATTCCGTGCAGTCCGCTTGGCGTTTATGATATATCGTTATGAGCGCAGTGTCGTGTGCGGTGATACGGAATTCATGGGAATCTCCTTTCAGACCTTTGCCATGCGGTTTTATGCGGTACGCAACCTCATAGGAAGAGTTGAGCTGCAAATGGCAAGAGAAGGTCAGTACATTTATCAACATGGAATATATACGAGAGGTAGGCCATACCATCACATATGACTTTCTGGAATGTTTTGCATGACTGCTCTTCTCGGTCTTTGTCCAAAAGGTCAAGTAGTCCTGCCCCTTGTATTTCTGCACGTTGAGGTTCAGGGCCTGATGGAACTCCTTGTTGTTCATCCATATCAAGTTGCCTCTCGCATCTAGCATGACGGGGCCCCGCGCCGGGCCCTGCACCAACGGGCCCCGGGGAGTGAGGAAAAGGTTTCCGGGGTCGCATCGGGAATCCCACCTCGTTATCCTGGGCGCGGGCGGCTCCAGGTCAACCGAGTGGAAACGCTGACGGGGATACAGGCCATGGAAGCCCAGATCGTACGCATTGAAAGAGACTGCAGAGACCCAGGAGACGGACAGAGCTATACCGAGCAGGAAAGACCTCATGATAATGACAGCAGTCGCCAAGAAGGTAGGAATGGGAAACAAAAGGACACAGGGGAATGCCACGGCGGACACAGAGACCTCATTCTCGAGTCGGCGGGAAAACCCAGAAGCAAACCCTGTTGATTTAACGTAATGAAGACCGTCGATTCAGCTGGTTCAGGTCAGCTTACATGGCCTAAACCCGTAGGATCCCTCGTAAGAGGCTCCGGCTCTTCGTCGGAGGGTTTCAACCGTGTCCTCCGTGGCAGCATGTCGAGATGATGGCAGGAAGTCTTGGCTACAGTGCAGCGAGTCACTAGGGATTCGAGGAGGTGGTTATATTGGCTCGACACAGGCCCTATCTGATCAGATAATCTTGGCATGTATATATTTATTGCTTTTCATAAGGGGCTGGCTAATCGGAATCGCTTTCGACGTGATTATTCAGTCGGTGTTCGGGGCTTCGCTGGTTCCGCGCCACTGTGGCATCGCGGTATTTCTGCATAATATGTCTTGTATATCTTGTATGTCTTGCATAATTCTCTGCCAGTTCTTGAATGAGGGAGGGAAAAATATACGTTAGACTGCTATTGCTGGTGGTGGTGAAGATAGCACGGAGTAGAGGATAGACATTCCAGATCTTTTGCCGGTCGACAGGACGGATTATGAGAGATATACAGGCTGACTATGTATGGTGCATAGTTATCGAAGCGCCCTTGGTATTTGTACTCCGATTAAAACCCCAGAATAAAATCTATCCTTCCGTACTTGCCATGAAGAGCTCCGAAGCCAACGCGCTTGGATAGGTGCTTTCGTTTTCTCCGGGATGCCTTCTCCGCAGTACACTGCGGCTTGGGTCCTCGAGAACCAGAGTGGAATCGACGGACAGCGCTTCCATGACCGGTTATCACTCCCCCCGTGAAAGACGACGAGATCCTGGTGAAGCTCCACGCCGCTTCGCTGAACTACCGCGAGTTGACGATCGCAACGGTCAGCAAAGAGTGCAGTGGTGTAGTGTCCCCTGTCCGGTGTCCGGTAACCCCCGGTCACTGATGCAGAGTTATCTCCAGGCTGGCCACGGCCTGGTCCTGGGCAGAAAGGATCTGGTCCCCGGTTCAGATGGAGCCGGCGTGGTCGAGTGTCAAATCCCGCGTCACTTCATTTCGCGTCGGAGACCGTATGTGTACACGCTTGACCTGCGGGCTCGCAGAGGACGATCTCCCTGTGTTTGAAGATATTCGTGCAGGCCTAGGCCAGACCGTCGACGGAACCTGCGGCAACATGGCGTCTTTCACGAAACGTCTCTGGTGAGAATGCCTTCGAATCTCAGCTTCTTGGAGGCCGCCACACTGTCTTGCTCTGGGTCAACGGCATGAGTGCTTTGTTTGGGCTGGGAAGCAAGTCTCCAAAGCCCGGAGACACAGTTCTGGTGCAGGGAACCGGTGGTGTCTCCATCGCTGCTTTACAGATGGCTGAAAGTGCACCTCGTTTTCTAGAGATATATCGCAGAATACAACCTCGGAGAGCGCCTACTGCACTCCTACATAGCATGAAATGAATACAACAGGCAGCAATGCATCGTACGGCTAGTATTATTGCTTTACATCACCGGTATGCCATAGTGAGATGCGGTCTGCCTGGCCATGCTCGACGGAACATGCAACGTGGGGTCAAAGTGGCTATGATATCATGCAGCGACTCCAGGGTATTTATGGACACAAAGCACTTGCAAAACTAGAACACACGTTTAATCGTTCCATCGAATCCATCCATTCGTCCGATATCCCATAAAACATGGCTCGGATATTTATTACCGGTTCCAGCGATGGCATCGGCCTGGCTACGGCCAAGATACTCGCCGACCAGGGCCATTCGGTCGTGCTCCATGCTCGAAACGCAGACCGCGCGGTCTCAACCCGCAAAGCTGTCCCCAGGGCTGAAGCGGTTCTGGTAGGCGACTTGCGACGCATCTCGGAGACCAAAAGACTCGCAGAGGAAGCCAATGCCTTAAGCAACACCCCCTTCGACGCTGTTCTCCACAACGCAGGCATTGGCTACGGGTCGACGTCCAGCCGCGAGATCACAGCGGATAAGATCTCGGCTGTGTTTGCGGTCAACACGCTGGCGCCGTACATCCTTACCTGCTTGATGCACAAACCCAGGTCGCGTCTCCTTTTCCTGAGCTCCGACAGCCACTACGGCGGCGACGAGACCCTGAGAAACGCAACACAGTCGCACTCGTACAGCGACAGTAAATTACAGGATACGATGCTGGCGAACGCCTTCGCCCGGCACTGGCGCGATCTCCAGGTGGTGAGCATGCACCCGGGCTGGGTGAGGACCAAAATGGGCGGCATGATGGCGCCTGGAGGAACGGATAGACCCGCCAGGACACTGGCGGAGTGGGCTGTTGGACAGGGCAGGTTCGCGAACTTGAAGAGCGGGTCGTTCTTCACGACGAGCGGGCCGGAGTCGATGCATCCCGGGGCCCAAAACGGGAGCAAGCAGGAGGAGTTGCTAGGCATTTGCAGGGACGTTTCCGGGGTATCTGTTCCGGATTAAGGAGGAGGTGAGGGATACAAGTGCGGACGATAATAAACGAAGCGGCTCGTGTTGAATCCGTCGAGCATTGCAGCTCATGTGCTTCCGTGAGCCCTGAACTACCAAGCGCTAGAAAGTAAAGACGAGTGCTACTATTGATAAACCAGTGGATGCAAGTGTGTAAACTCCATAATTTGTTCCCCCAACGCCATCAGCTCGCTGTCTCTCCCTGCTTGTCCAATAAGCGTGATTCCAAAAGGCATCATATTACCTTTTGGATTCTTCCACTTGCCCGTCGGCACGGCTACTGCGCAAAGATCCAGCAGATTTACAAAATGGGTGAAGCTCCCCATGAGTTTGTTTCTCGCAATAGGGTCTTCTTCAATCTCGGCGACGGTGAAGTGTGTAACCGTGGACGGAACAATCAGGACATCAATCTTTTCGAATTGCTGTGCAGCCTGACGTCTGTACAGAGCCAGATCGAAAATATCCTGGTATGCCTTCACCGCGTCAAAGCCCGAGGAGGATTCGAAGATGGTTCGTATGACGGGGTGCAACTTGGCTGTACCGTGTATCTTGAGATAGTCATGGAAGGCGACAAGCCGTTGAGCAACGATGGAACTTCCGTAGAGCATGTCGTTGGCAGACTGAAAGGGTGTGTAATCGAACTCTGCCCGCTGAAGGCCTATGGTCTGGCCGGACAGAATCCCAAGGCTGTGTGAAAACAGGGCCGAGTATGCCGGCGACAACACTGCCAGAAGGGTCTCCGGCGGCACTCCGAACCTGATGCGCGACGGGAAGGGAGGTGATACGGGGATTGATGGTCGAGAATATGTGTCCTCTTCGTCGTATCCTTTCATCACCCGCCATGCTTCCCTGGCGCCGTCGATGGTTCGAGCGATCACCGTGATGCAGTCAGCATTCTTGCAGGCGGGAACCAAGCCTACCGTGCTCAACGTCCCCAAGGTCGGCTTCAGGCCCACCACGCCGTTCAGAGAGGCTGGAACGCGAGTACTGCCGGCAGTGTCCGTTGCAATGGCAAACGAGACCTGATCTGCCCCGACGCTGACAACCGCTCCCGAAGAGCTGCCACCGGAGATATAGTCCGAATCCGCAACACATCGTGGAGTGCCGTATGGGGAGCGATGGCCTACCAACCCTGTTGCCAGTTGATCGAGATTGGTCTTGCCAATCAGGATGCCTCCGGCGTCCAGGACCTTCTGGACGACCGGCGCGGTCCGGTCAGCAGTGTATGCATACGAAGGGCAGGCAACGGTGGTGGGGATTCCCGCGACGTCTATGGAGTCTTTGACCGAGAAGGGCACCCCGTACAGCGGTGGCAGTGGTCCACCGGCGTGTTTCTTGGAGAGAGCGACGGCCGCTCCTAGGGCTTCTTCTCGCGGGACCAGATGGATCCAGACAGCCTTGTCGCGGTATGCTTCGATGCGATCATACACCAGATTGACAATATCCACCGGCATGACCGCCCTTGCTGAATACTGGGTTCTCAACGCTGATATCTCCAGACTGCCGGGGGCTGTGGACGATATATCCACTGGAGCCATTTCGACGTCGCGAGCGTGAAGGACGAACAGATGCGGATGATGGAAGCAACGAGGCGAGTGCACAACGCCGTGGACTGTTTCTCGTGTGGAATGAATGGCCGCGGTTTCTTGTCATTTCCTGTCAGCAGTTGCAGGCCATTTATGCCATGCCACTTGAATCAGCCGAACATTCCCCATGGCACCGATGCCGCGGCCAAGGCCGCCTCGTATCCTCCGTCGTCTTCGCTGCTTTATCGGCCGCGGAGTGTCTTGCTAAGATATCCGTCCGTTTCCGTTTGCCATTTGCTGCATTTTACTGTCTATGCGTCTTGCTTACCGTGTGTCTTTGTTCGCTATGCAAGAGACAGTTCCGGGTTCGTCGTTGCGAGATAACCCCAGGGTGGGTTGCATGCCGTGGACGGCACTACCGATGTTTACAGCATTGACGTGGGACATCCGGGGGACATCGGCCTCATGGAAAGACGGGCGATTTATGCTGATCTGTTCTGACTGTCGACCAGGAGATATTTTGCATCGACATACAGTGTTCATCGAGTCGGGTCACCACCGGGAATGAACAGCAGATTCGCCTCAATTGTTCGCCTTTTCTCCTTCGGATGGCTCGATATTAACTGATAAGAAATCAGCCACTCAGAGGGCGCCCGCGGCCCGCGGCGTCTTGTTTGGGAAAGGATGTGGCTTACCGTCCATGGTCCGGCTCTTTTATAAACGTTCCTTGGGAAATCTCTGCAGAGAACTACGGAGTCGCTGAGTCATCGATGATGAAAAGGCAGAACACGGGGTAGAATAAGGGGAGCCGGTCGATGCTCGGGAGAAATGGATCCTCATCAAGGAGCCGGCGTGCTCATCTTGCCTCCTCCGTCTCTTAGGCAGCGTCCTTAGCTGAGGATCGAGGATGCACCGCAGACGATTACAGCAGAAGGTCGCCCTGCACCCGGCGCCGTCGCAGTGCCTGGACGACAATGGCTTCGCAAATGCAGATATGGACCCTGTTCCCTTCAGACATCGCACCTGGTCGTGGTATGACGTCGGGGGTTTCTGGGTCTCGGAGGGTTTCCAGATCCCCATCCTGCAGACGGCCGGCTCCCTTGTTGCCAATGGACTCGGCCCCGGAATGGCGATGGGAGCGGTTGTGGTGGGCAATGTCCTGGCCATGATCCCCTGCGCTCTCACCGGGTATGCCGGTGCTGCGACTGGGCTGAATTACCCCGTTTTGAACCGGTCGAGTTGGGGGTTACAGGGGGCGAAGCTGGCGGTTGCGATTCGAGCGGTTGTCGCTGTCTTCTGGTATGGTATCCAGATATCTACAGGGTATGAGCGTTCCCCCGTGGCATACGTATTCGCGTTCTCTGGTCTGACCGGTGCCCAGGGGGTCGTGCGTGTACAGGATGCTGGCTGCCATCTGGCCCTCGCTGCCCTCAAGAATCCCGAACCGTCTCCCGGCTTCATCAAACACCACGTCGGCGGACCTCCTCTGTTTCTTTATTTTCTGGATTCTGACCCTGCCGTTTCTCTACGTCCCTGTCTCTCGGTTACGGTGGCTTTTCAGGGCGAAAGTCCTGATCATGCCTCTGGGCGGCCTGGCTTTATTCATCTGGAGTGTAGTCGTGGGCCGGGGGTTCGGACCCGTGTTCCATCAAAACACCAAAATCACCACGGGGTATTCCGTGGGATATGTCTTCTTCTCCTCTGTGAACTCGGTCATTGGGCCCGAAGCCACGTTTGCCGTGAACATGAGCGATTTTTGCCGCTACTCGAAGAACCCCCGACACACTCTCTGGGCCCAGGCTATCCTGATGCCGGTCTGTTTGACGCTCACGGCTTTCTTAGGGGTGACGATGTCTTCCGCGTCGGTAGTGATCTACGACCTCCAAAAGCCCGAGTGGAATCCGCTGAATATCGTGGGCATGTTCCACAGCCGGGCAGCGCAATTCTTGCAATAATCCCTGGGTCTGCATCATCCCAGTTCCACCAAAAGGATCGCCCCGGCCTATGAGAAAGTAGCTCCCGGATCGCCCTTATCAGCCGGCAAGTCTGGGCTGCAAGCGCCGTCAGCCCACAGCATCCCCGGTCTGCTGCCCCGTACCGTATTCCGTGCTTCGCTGGGAAATCCGGAGCTCGCAGCTACTCTCTTGAGCTCGATCAACCGACGCCTACATGACAGCAGAGATAATGAAGACCTCGAAGCGTTCCAAGCCATGCGGGAACTGCCGGCAGCGAAAACGCCGGTGCATGGTGGAGCCGGGGCAGACGGTATGTGTGCTGTGTCAACTGTACGGGATTGACGGCTGCTCCTTCGAGGGGAAATTACCAGAGAGGCCCCTCAAGCGTGCAAAGGCATCGGGAGAGGGTTCCTCATCCAGAGTTGCTCGGTGTGTTGTTCTTTTTTTTTTTTTTTTTTTTTTTTTTTTTGTTTTTCGATGCTATATCACTGACAGCGTAGAACGGATGATCCTCCGATCCGAACCGTCGACGTGATCGAGGATTATGATGCCTTGCAGGGTCCATCCCTGCTGAAGAAAAACCTGGGGCTGCAGCAGTTTCAGTTCTCCAGGTATAACGGCCCCTCCAGCTCCTGGGCGCCTTTCTTGCTCGACTACTGCGAGTTCAATGACCGGGATGAACACCCGTTGCCGTCCCGCAGCAGTATCCGACGGGTTTCGGCAGACACCAGCTTCTTGCTCAAGAAGTACTCGGGCACCCAGATGCGTGCGGACGAGATTGATCTCCTGGATCAGATTGAACGCGTGGTAGCGCCGCATGGGCCCAATCTTGTCAGTCTGTATTTTCGCATCGTGCATCCGTCGTTTCCGATGCTGGACAAGAAGTATGCGTCTTGCCCTCGGGCTCGGTTTCGGGCTACACGTGTCGCTGACTGTGGCATTGCAGGGTCTTCCTGGAGAAATACGAACGCACACACCGCGAGTTTTCACCGTCCTGTCTCGGGGGGGTCTATCTCCTAGCCTTGGACTGGTGGAACTACGACCCGGTTCTGTCGGCGCAAGAGAGGCCAGATGCCAACATACTCGAGGCGTATGTCCGTCGAGGGCTGAACGACGTCATGCCTCGTCCCAAGCTGTCCACTCTTCAAGGTGGATTGCTACTGCTGCAGCATCGTCCCTTCGGAGACGATGCGTGGGCGCTGAGTGCGCAGCTTGTGGCAACAATGCAGGAGCTCGGTGTTCATCTGGACTGTGATGGCTGGAGACTTCCGGCCTGGGAGAAGAGCCTGCGGAAACGGCTGGCGTGGAGTATATACATCCTCGACAAGTGGTACGTCTTTCCCTGGCCAGCTGATCCACGCGTCTAATGACGAATCCCAGGATGGCCTTGATTCATGGTCGGCCATCGCACATCGTCGACGAACTGGACTGGGTCGTCGAGCCGCTCGTCGAGGAGGACTTCCCAGAAACACCAGCCGACGAGGATCAAGAGGAAGGAAGTGGTGAAATCGCGGCTGGTCGGTTGACCTTTCAGAACTTTGCCTCGTTGAGTCAGATCGTCGATGAGATTCTCCGGGCATTCTAGTAGGACACCGTGATCTGTTGCCCCCTCGTATGCATCGGATTCTGACCTCTGCGCAGTTCTGCGAGAGCGACCAAGACCACCCGCTCGTACAAGACTTTACTACAGGTCGCCAAGCCGATTCAAATCCGACTGCGAGAATGGCGTCGTCAACTCCCCGATTCCCTGCAGCCCGAGTCCACGAAGGCAAGGAAGCAGTCGGCCGCCGGATCGCTGCACCTCGCCTACTATGCGGTCGAGATATCTCTGCATCGGGCTATTATCCACGGCCTGAAAGGATCAACGTGCGACCCGTCCATCATCAGCGTCTGTCGAGAAGCGGCTCGAGAGCGAGCCATCATGTCCATTGACTTCGTCCGGAGCCTGCGGCCAGAGCACATTCAGGCCTTCTGGCTCTTCCGTATGCTTCCTCCCATCAGGCTTGTTTTCTCTCGTTCTGACCGTATATGATCGCAGCATCCGGGATGAATTTTGTGTACATCGGCATATTTACAGCGCTATTATACCTCACCTCGCGGACCGTCGAGGAAGCCCGGTTCTACCACTCCTATCTCAGTGACTATCGATGGACCCTACGCGTCATGAGCCGCACTGCCAGTTTCCTAGAATTCGCCGTCCAACGCCTGGACATGTCGCTCCTTCACCTCGATCCTCTATCTCCGCAGGATATCGTCCAGAATATGCATATGCAGAATCCACAGAGCGGCAACAGCAATGACGGAGCCATCCACGGAGAACGCGGAGACCAAACGAAGGACATGCCCCCAGGCTACCCTTCCCTCCCCGGAACCGACGCCTCAACGGTGGCATCGGATCCCCAGCGACAACAAGGACACGTCCCACTGCCGGCCCCGACTGCTATTTTCGACCAACAGCGCTTCCTGGCCATCCTCGATGCCGCCGAAATGGACGCGCTCCTGCCGGACCAGATCTCGCCGGAAGCCATCGCGCTGGGCGACAGTCTGGATTTCTACGGGAGGAATTGGAACAACCCTGGTGAAACGGAGATGTTCAGTGCATTGGACTTGTCGCCTTCCTGACACCGGCACAGCCATGTTGCAATACTAAAACCCCACCGCAATTTGGGCGGGACGAATCGATGATAATGATATCTTAATGGTAGTAGCATCTGCATATACTCGGAGTATCTCGGGCAATCGATCGACCAGGCATTGCCACTGCCTGCTCCAAGGACAAGGATTAGCCACCTAAAGCTTGTATGAAAAGGAACTCCCTTGGCCGGAGATCCCTTGGCTGTGGGTCATTGAGTTAATCGTACACGATCCTTCTCCACCGTCGTCCGGCTGCGCCGGATATTGTATTGACTATCAACCGAACGTCGAAGCGGTGCACTTGCTTGGTTACATTCTCAGTTCTCTACACAGCCAGGGACTTCGCAATCACCTCGTCCTTCGTCCCGGGGACTTATAACCCTCCTAATGCCGTAAAATTTCGCCGTCAAAACGGCCCGTAGCGAAATGCTCCTTGCAGAGGCCCAAGCGAGACGTGGGGCTTCGAGACCCCAGCATTCTATTCGAATATCCTTCCGGTTGGATGTCCGTATACTCTGCGGGTCGGCTTTTGTGGAGAGAGATAACCCATGGGGATGTGATTGCATGAAGCCGTTGCTCCGCCGGCAAGGGGTTACAGTATATGCGGACATCGAGTCGATCTCGGGTTTGATCCTTCCCAGTCACTAAAATCCAGCCACGGTTTTGTGGCCGTAGAATGAATGTTAAAAAAGCTTAACTGCTGCCTGGACCTTCCCTGCCGGTTGCTGGGTATGACTGTAGCAAGTTGAGTTCATCCTGTTCGGTTGGACCTTCACCAGCTCCCTCTCGTCCGTATGAGATGAGAGCCATGTCTGCTGCGTATAATCTCGTCATCGTCTTCTATCTGTGCTACAAGATGAGCATGATAGGAGATGTGTACGTGGACGAAGCCATCCCTGTGCCTGATATAAAGTCTCGATATATCTCAGCCGGATGGCACTGGGTCCTAACCAAAGGATCTCTTCCTCTCCTCAGTGTATGGCTTGCAGGACTTCCGGCACCATGACCTTCTTGTCTTCCCTCCTCCCCTTCGACAGGGACCTCGATGTCCCCGGGACCGAGCAGCTTGTCGACGTTCACCACAATCTAGACGTTGTCCACAGCGGCTCGGAGATCGTTCTCATTCCACCACCGACAGCCTGTGAGGGTGATCCGTTGCGCTGGCGACGATGGAAGAAGTACTGGCATCTCTTCCTCGTCTCAACGTATGCCTGCATCTTCTCCTTTGCCGAGAATAACACGGGAGACGCCTGGACGACCATCGTCGACATGACGGGTTCGACGATGAACATAATGAACGGCGGCGGCGCTCTCAACTATCTGATGCTTGGTTTGGTCAACATATTCTGGATCCCGGCTGCCATGAAATTCGGGCGCAGGCCCTGTTTCCTCCTGACTTTGCTCCTCTGTACCGGCTCGTCGATCTGGATAGCTTGTTTCCATACCGTCGGTGAATGGTACGGCAGCAACATCATCAACGGACTGGGAACCTCGGCGTACGAGGCTGTGATTCAGCTTGTTGTGTTCGATCTCTTTTTCGTACACGAGCGCGGGCGGATGCTCGCCGTGTACATCTTCGCTCAGCAGCTTGGGTCCATCATCGGCCTCGTGTCGGGGGGTTATATCGCTGATGGCCCGGGCTGGCGCTGGTCGCAATGGATCGTCACCATCGGAGAAGGCACCCTCATCGGTCTCTTTTTCTTTACCTACGAGGAGACACTGTTCCCCCGTTTCCTGTTTTCACAAAATCTCCCCACGATCGAGTCGACCTCAGTCAAGGAACAGGTCGCTGCTTTGGAGGCCGATTCCAGCAGCTCAGGCCAACCGGTCAAGGGGGACGAGAAGGACGTGGTCCTGGACTGCGAAGAAGGAATCATAGATCCCAGCGAGCCATCCCCTTCGGAGTTTCCCAAGCGAACCTGGAGACAGAAGCTCAAGCTTTGGACTTACTATCCGCAAGACCGTACCTCGTACTGGACATATTTCAAACGGCCTTTCTTCCTCGTGGCTTTTCCGAATGTGGTTATTGTATGTGCAAGACCCTGCCTCCGTTGTCTGCTCGGCCAGGACAGGTGAAAGCTAATATTACGCAGGCCGGTTTCATCTTCGCGTTCGGCTGCACCTCGGGCATTGTCACCTTCAATACCGTCTCCGAGATTCTAACCGAAGCGCCCTATAACTTCACGGATGGCCAAACTGGCCTCGTCTTCCTTGCCGCTCTGGTCGGTAGCGTTATCGGCTGGCTGACCAGCGCCCTCGGCGACTACGTTGTCATCTACCTGGCCCGGTACAACGATGGTATCAAGGAGCCCGAGATGCGGATGTGGGTGCTGGGTCTTTGTCTGATATACACTGCTCTTGGATACCAGATCTACGGATGGGGCGCCGAGGAAGGGGCACATTGGATAACAATCGCTATTGGGATCGGAGCTATGATTGCTCAGCAGGTAGCTGCTACTTCTACGGCACGTCCTCTTCCCTTTTGTACCCCCAGTTCTTCCTCGCTGACTGACTGTCCTCTATGAAGGCAACGGCCTACGCCATGGAATGCTTCCCCGGCGTGGGAGGTGAAATCGTCGTCATCCTGGCCGTGTGCAGTTCCCTGATCAATTTCGCCGTCTCGGAATCCACCCAGTATTTCATCGATGCAGTTGGCTACGGATTTGTGTTCTTGTTCTACGGCCTCTGCGTGATCATGTCCCTGGTCAGTGGCTTTGTCCTCTATGTCTGGGGCAAGCGCTGGCGGAAACATTGCACGCCACGGTATCATCGGTTCCTGGCAGAGAGGAATGGGAATGTTTAGATGATGGGATCGGGTTGGGGAAGTCCACCGGGTGCTTTTTCCCTTGTATATACACCTCGCATAGTATTCACGTTGCCTTATGAATGCCAGCTTTGAGCGTACTGATTCACCAGGATAGTGCGCTTAGGGCACATTGTTCTACGCCATTTCAGTACGCCATTCCGCCGTGTCTATATTCAATATCTAGGGCTTATGAGGGATCATCCGGATGGCACTAGGGCTCCAAGAGATTCGAGGCACGTTGAGCGTAGGTTGACAACAGCGACGCCACCAGTCCATGCCGAAAAAGCTTGATAACAGTCGTTCCTTGCCTTACTCTCATGCCAAATCCACCGGATGCCTCATGATAAGGCTGTGCTTGGCAAAGTATGATAGCCATGCTGACCCTTAATCGATATGTGCCCCGGGCGAGGATACCCAGAACGACGACGGCCAACGTGCCAAAACAGCCGAACAGATGGAACGGGAAATGAAGCTGAGTTACAAATGCTCCAAGTGATACCATGGGAGCTCTGTATGCCCTAGTCCGCAATGAAGTATTTGCATAGTTCAATTGATTCAGCTATCACTTCGTCAACTGAGAAAATAGCGATTCCAAACGTCACTCAAGCCAAGTAGACCAAGAAGCCGTCCTGGTTTGAAATCCGTTCATCCAACCTCACTCGTGCACGATTCGACCCTCCTTGTCCGTTGCCCAACTCTGCCTCGAGCACTCTTCCTCCCTTGCGCAGCCTCACATTCCGTGCGGACTGGAAAAAGTTCCCCCCGCGCTTCCAGCTGAATTTTCCCCAGACGTTCTCGAGCACATCATTAAGATCGATGGAAGATTGCCTGGCATGGCCGGAGATAGAGGTGCAATGGGCCGCGAGTATATGGCCATGCTCGAGTCGGATCCCCGTCGAAGAGGAAGAGAAGTTTCCATGGCAAGCAGACCTTTCACCGTCCGATGATGAGGATGAGGAAGAGGAAGAGTTCCGTCGGCCCGGGACTCCCCACCTCTTCCCCTTCTCCTCCTCCTTCTTTCTGTGTTTCCTGATGGTGTTCTCGGCGAGTGAGCCAGCGATTGCCCCGCCTACCGCTCCCAAGAAACCGTGGTTAACTTTGTGGCCAGCAAAGCCACCCGCGGCACCACCAGCCACGGCACCAAGGACACCCTTTTCTCCTTGTCCTGCCGCTGCAGGGTCTGTCGGCGGGCACGGGGAAGGTGGAGGTGGTCGGTGATACTGTTGCTGGCCCGAGTATTGGTAATTGGGCTGTGCATATCCGTGTGCGTCATTCGGAGAGTATGGCGAGTGAGGCCGGGGCTGGTTAAGGCCGTAGGGACCTTGCTGGGCATACGGAGGCGCTTGCTGTGCGGTATTGAAGTCATTGTAGTTCGGATGAGGTGCATAGTGGTTGCCCGACGGCGGCACTGGCTGCGGAGGGTGTCCATAGCCCGATGGAGGAGGATATGAACCTTCAAAAATGCTGGAACTGGGCGTATGCAATGCTGGAGAAGTACTCCATTCTCGTGGGGGATTGCCCTCTTCGCTCTTCAGCGGCGCTCCATAGTAACCCTGTGCTGCCATCATGCACGGTAAGTGGGGATACTCGATTGTGGAAGTTCAATTGTGGCAGACAGAATATGCACAGGACAATGCTGCTTAAATACGATGGAGATGTGGCTATGCTCCATGCCTGGCGCTCGTGTTCAGCGATAGTAGGTCCTATCAGGCTGTATCACTAGGTATCACTAGGCAAAGCTGGACAACCCTAAGCTCGGAGACTCTCCGAAGGCTTTCTTTAAAAACGCCTCGTTGCCCACGGCCAAGGCGCAGTCGCATGTTCGCGTGGAGTTTCGTTGCAAGGATAGCCATCTTTCGAGCCAGCGGAACCCGAAGGAACATATGCTCCTTGGCTTATGTATCTCTGCAGAAAATCGCAGGGTAGACCAGACGTGTATCCACCACCATGTTGTGACTTGTTCGGTCAACATCTTGACATCTTGCATTCTCTGAAGGATTATAGGCGAAGTGCTCCTTCGGGTGAATTATGAAGAAGTAACTAGAGCAGCGCGTTCTCCCGCAGGCATACTATTCGACCACCTACTCCTTCGGCAGGTTATATTTCCACCATTTCAATTCAAAATGCCCGTATCTCACGAGTCTAACGACATCCTCAACAAATAAGAGTGGCATATATCGCTGTCTAAGAAAATATGTATTGGGGCTTGGCATTTTGCTTACCACATAAACAATCACGCAGTCGAGCAATAGGCTCTCTCGATGCTTCGCCGGACAACCAAAGAAACTCGCGGGCTGAAGCAGAGACATTCAAAGGCCTCGCCAGCGAGCTCCACCATGCTAGGTGGCTGTTGGACTGCTGGCCGTACTGGAGGGTGTTGTCCGAATAAAGATAAGACGGACAGAGAAGTGGTAAGCTCCACGACCAGATATCATGTAATAGGAATTAGCATTCTCCATCAAAGCAAAGGAGCCGACAATGTTCAGGTCTGACGCATCGATCACTCGAGCTTCTCGGTAGTTTTGAGAAGACACTGTGGCGGAGGTTTCCCTGAGATTCTGAAGATGTCCGTTACCTCTCAGAATCGGAAATGGGAGAAGCACCTGGATGGGGCTTTGTCAGATGCCGTAGAGTAGAAAAGAACAAGGGGAAATAAGTGATGTATCGCAGAGAGGTAAATGAGAAGAATTCGCCGTCAGGATCATAGGGTCCAACAAGGCAGCAGCTTTATATGTTCTACGGGTTGATCGGTGGCCACCGGAAGACGTCTTTGCTTACGGCCTGTATTCTGAAACGTCGGATAGAGCATAACTAAGCGTCAATTAATGCCATTATACAAGCTGTTGCGAAGTATGCTAGTGTGCTACCAATTCATGGGAGTAGAGGATGCCTCAACAGCACGCCGGCCACACGCCTCGACCGTTCTAACGCTCCGGAAAGGCGTCGACGACCAGGGTCTCCAGTGTAGTCTCTGCGAGTGGCGAGTCATAATCATCAAACCCATCACAGGATGTATATTCGTGGAGAGCAGCCAGAATGGCTGCGACTCCGGCCTCCAGCGTGGTGCATCCATGTACTTGCCGGGGAAGAGAAACTGGAGTTGACCACCTTTCCCCTTCTCTCGACTGAAGCTGCCGGTTCCACCGGGCTGTCTCTATTCACTGGTGTGACTTGTCGTTCGAATGCGTCTCATGGAGAAACTCCATTCAGTGGGCTCTTCCCTGATTCAATTGCCAGCAGGCATTCCACGCCAACGGACGCCGCGTCCGCAACGGATTCGGTGTAGTAGAACTGGATTCCACGTTTCTCCAATGCGGCCTGGAAAATATCCTGGTATGTCGTATGGAGCATCACACCACCGGACAGAATCAGCCCGCACTGCGCAGGGGGCACGTATCCGGACGACTGGGGGTCGAGCAGCCGGGTGAGTGTGGTATCAACGAAATCCGACACCTGGTCTGAGACAATGGCAATTGCCTCTGCGTCACCGTCTGCTGCTTCGTTGAGGACAGCCTGGGTGACACCGGCGATGCGGCTCTTGGCACTTTTCTCGTCCGTCGGGGCCAGTACGCTGCTCAGCAAGTCGATGTCGTCCACGTCGTACTGTTTACCCAGCGACGAGCCGTGGAAATGGGCGACAATCTTTTGCTCGAGGGGACTCAGCGTTGGCGAGCGGCGGCGGCACAGTTTGAGATTCTCAATCGACGTTAGAGCCTGGCGGATGGCCTGTCTTCCAATCGCATATCCAGCGCCTTCGTCGCCTAGCAGATGGCCCCAGCCACCGGAACGGGCGACGCGTCGTGGAGCCTGTCCATCGACGTCCTGCGCATAGCGGATGGCAATGCTGCCCGTGCCGGCGATCACAACAATGCTGGAAGACGTTTCGGGGTGTCTCTTCATCGCAGCAGCGAGCAGGTCCACATCATTCGTTATGAGGATTCGCGTGGACTCGTCCAGCCCCAGTTTCCGAGACAATGCTTCCCGGACGCGCTCTCGCATTCCCGGGCGATCCATGCCGGCAGTGCCAATCCAGACCGTGGAGAAGGCGGGCCTGGAGTCTGGCACGTTCACTCCGTCCTCAGCGGGAGAGAGGCTTTCCACCGCGCGATGGGCCGCAGTGACTACCGAGTCCATGGTCGATTCGAAGTGGCCGTCAGTTCTAATATTGTATAGGTGATTAGTGACTAGTTCTTGAAATGAAGGCGGCCCTAGACGCCAACACCTACAGATTACATGGCCCGGCAACTCCTCTGCTCGTAACGCCCGTAGCGGTGCCCAAGACTGCTGCACATTTCGAGCCTCCGCCGTCGATACACAGGACGGGATCCTTTGGCTTGGACCCGTTCACTCCATTGACCAATGCCTTGTCGGAATGGACACGGTCGTCGGTTGCAAGCACCCTAGCAAGGACCCCCTGTGCCTCTTCCAGACGCCGTTTACTTTCGTCTACCGTAAGCCCCTTCTCTGCGACGACGAGGGCCAGTTTGACACTGCCCCCGCATGCGACAAGGAGCTCATCCAGCGATGCATCGGTCATTCCACAGCACCGTTGGCTCAGTTCCCGGAGGATATTACGCGACCGCTGCTTGAGCTTCAGGTTGGAAGCGTTGAGATCGACCATCTGCAGCTACGAGTCAGTGCGGAAGCGTGAAACGACCTGGCGCTGGCGCTGTACTGACCATGTTCCCGTATGTCTTTCCCACCTTGATCATGGTTCCGGTGCTCAGCATGTTCAAGACCAACTTGGTCGCTGTCCCGGCCTTCAGTCGAGTGCTCCCCGTCACGATTTCCGGCCCCGGTAAAGGCGACATCATCACGTCCACGGTGCTGGGATCGTCCATGGCGGACGGTGACACACATGCCACGCCGAGGGTGAGACAGCCCAGGCGTTTGGCGTATTCGAGGGCGCCCAGCACGTACGGGGTGCGACCAGAGGCAGCAATGCCAATGACGCTGTCCAGCTCCGGGTCCAGGTCCAAGGCGACCAGGTCCTTCTGGCCGGCTTCCGGACTATCCTCGGCTCCCTCTTGTGCGCGACGAATAGCCGCATCGCCTCCTGCGATCAAGCCGAGAAACTGAGTCGGAGGCGCCGAAAAGGTGGGAAAGATCTCGGAACTGTCGAGTATGCCTAGTCTAACGACGGCTGTTAGCTGCGGCGGCTCGTCCATGGAAACAAACGAGGGCAGAAATCGTACCTTCCACTCGTCCCTGCACCGACGTAGACAACCCTTCCACCTCGGCGCACACGAGGAGTCAACAGGTCAATCGCCCGCGCAATGTGCGGAAGACATGGCGTGACACTCGCAGCAACGGTCAGGTCCTCATTGTTGATAATCGTGCACATCTGCAGCGTCGACACACGATCGATCTGGCTGGTCCGGCCGTTGATTGCCTCGGTCTGCAGACCGGAGAGGTCGAGAATGTCCCGAGCCATAGCCGTTCGCATGGCTTATCGGCAGCGGCAGGGGTAGTGGTGCTTGTGTTTGTCTCTATAACCGATAAAAGGATATCTCTCCGAGAGCGATGTTAATCTTATATGGTGCGTGTGGCCAAGCATTGCAACGCTGCAGCGCCGAGAGAAAGGGGACAGCCCTGCGTCGGCGAGATCGCAGTCAGCAACCGGACGGAGAGCACAGTTGCGAACAGGCGGTTGTCCGCGATGCAGCCAGGAAGCCAGGAAGGAAAAGGTGGAAAACGCTGCCCATTGAGGGCGAGAGTTCTCGCCGGATACTTATCTGCTGCCCCGTATTACACCGAACAGGGGCCCATACTACGCCGGGGCTATTGCTCATTATCAATTTCCCAGGCTATCTGCTCATCTCGTAGCGTCGTACCACAAGGTGTCTCTTCAGTCTCCGAAGTGGACTGGGCATATGCTCCACGGTTGGGGTAGGCATGGAGTAGCGTGCAGATAAAAGTCACGGATAGACGCGCCCGGATTGGGAATATTTTACTTCTGCTGCCCTCTCTGGTCGAGAAGTGCATCGTGACTCCTCGATTGCTCTGGATTGTGTGCTCTACCTGACATAATGTCGTCCGTCTCAGTCGATGAACAGCCGTCGAGGGGGGTGCTGTCCGCCATCAAACGCGCATATACGAATTCATGGACGCAGATCCTCATCACCAGCTTCATCTTCTTCTGCTGTCCGGGCGTACGTTCAATTCCGTCTGGTTCGTTGTGGTTCCGCCAGGCCTCGTTGCTAACCCGTCGTCCAGATGTACAATGCCCTCTCTGGGCTTGGAGGATCGGGTCAGCTTGACTCGTCCGTCGCAGCCAATGCAAACGTCGCCTTGCTGTCTGCAACGGCCGGCACGGCTTTGTTCGTCGTCGGACCCATTTTCAAACGGGTCGGGCCTACGGTCTGTCTCCTCATCGGCGGGTGGTCGTACGGGCTGTACTCGGGGAGCTTGCTCAGCTATAACCGTATGTCTTGTCGTGCCGGACGCTGGGAGGGAGCCCTCGCTGACGCGATGTCCCAGATAATCAAAAGAGCGGTTTTGTCATTGCCTCCGGTGCCATCCTGGGTGTGGGTGCTTCGTTCCTCTGGGTGGCCCAAGGTGCCATCATGACAACCTACGTCCCGGAGTCACAGAAGGGCCGCGCCATCGCTGTCTTCTGGATCATCTTCAACTTCGGCGGTGGGATCGGTTCTCTGGCTAGTTTTGGCATCAATTTCCACTCGAAGAAGGCCACGGTGTCCGATTCGACGTACATCGCCCTGATGGTGATCATGCTGTTCGGGTGGGTTCTGTCGATATTCATCTGCAGCCCATCGAAAGTCCGCGTCAGCGGGGGCAGGTATAAGATTGAAGAAGAAAAGGGGGAGAACTGGCGTGAGGTAGCCCTCAGGGCCGTCCGCACGCTGTCCGACTGGCGTGTTCTCTGCATGATTCCTATGTTCTTCTCGGCGAATGTCTTCTACTCCTACCAGCAGAACGAGGTGAACGGGATGACCTTCAACATCCGCTCGCGGTCCCTCAACGGCGCGCTCTACTGGTTTGCCCAGATGCTCGGCGGCTTGATCATGGGCGTCTTGCTCGATTTGCCCATGCTGACTCGCCGGTGGCGTGCCATTGTCGGCTGGGTCTTCCTGTTCGTGACGGGCTTTGCGATCTGGGGAGGTGGCTATGCCTTCCAGCGCTGGTCGACTCGGCGACAGGAACACGGATTGAAGCAGGATGTCGACTACACCAACGGGTCCGTTTCTACAGGGCCCATCTTTCTGTACATCTTCTACGGCGCGTACGATGCGTTCTGGCAGTCGTTCTGCTACTGGCTGATGGGCGCGTATTCCAACTCCCCGGCCACCACGGCCATTCTGGTCGGTGCCTACAAGACCTTCCAGTCCACCGGAGGCGCCATGGCGTGGCGGATCAATGCATTGAAGAGACCCGCCATGACGCAGTTCGCCATGGACTGGGGGCTCTGCATGGGCTCTCTAGTGGTGGCGCTTCCGACGGTGTTGACGATTCTCTCGACCAACATCAGCGTGGAAGCGGATGCCGAGGAGGATATCCAGGAGCAGCCCAAAGTCGAGGAGGATTTGAAGCGCAGTTTGCCGTGAACTTACCATGGCCGTTAGTCATTCAATAGGTTACACTCCAGGATAATAGAAATGCCCAACGAGGCAGATCCACTGCAACCTCATGATAATGCCGCCCATTCTCCTACAAATTAATCCAGTAATAATCTCCCGGATGATAATCAGAGTAAACGGATCTTGACCGAGGCTATGGCTACTTATCAGCAGCCACTGGAGAGGCCCGTTCTCTCCGACCCCGGAAAATGCACCCTGAACGTTGAAATACGCCTCCTGTCCGGCACTCTGCCCTCTCCCATTTCGCTGCCAGAAGTAGATTGGACACACATGTCGACCTCATCCGACTCCACAAAGCGTCCGGCGCGCGAAATCCGCACCAGGGTCGCCTCGTGCGAGCCCTGCCGCCTCTCCAAGCTCGCGTGCGATCACCGTCGCCCGGCGTGTTCGCGGTGCGTGAACCGCGACATCACATCGCAATGCGTCTACCGGAAGAACCCCTTCAAACGGGGGAGGCCGATCGTGCTGTCGAATCAGAGCCATAGGTAAGCATCCGACCGTATCCTGCTGCGAGGTGGTTGCTAACACGCTGCAGACTCCAACCAGCTGTTGTGACCGCATTGCCGCCGGCCGGCCCAGTGTCCACGTTTCAGATGAAACCGTACCCGAATCCAGGCTATCAGGGATCGTCTTCCTTGAAGACAGTGCTAGATAACCTCGGGGACCATCTGGCCGTCAGGATTGACCCATCCGGTTCCACGCCCGGCGGACAGCATTCCTCCAGGGACGCCGTCTTGCGCGCCGACAGCAGCAAGATGGTGGACGAGGGCGTGCAGCTCCTGGATACCTTTCTGAACTACCTGGCCGATGATTGCTTCCGGCAGATTTTCTCCGAAACCAAGGGCACTGCGCTCGAGTCGCATCTCGGCGCCTTTCTGATCTTCCCCTTTTTCGGCAGTCTCGTCAACGAGGTGGACCTCATCCGCCGGTCGCAGAACCGACAGGCCAGCTTGTACGCGTTATCGCAGCGCATCTTTGAAAAAGCGAATCAGCCGGTGGAGATCCATGAGTCTTTTACACTGCAAGACTTCTCGGCCCAGTATACGGGCCAGAATCTGCGGTGGGAGACGGTAGGCTTGATCATCACGCTGGCAGGGTAAGTATTTGTCTGGCTATACTCCGTATTCACCGTGACAATGGCTGATTAAGAGAAGGATTGCGTCTACTGAAATTCGTGTACCGCATGCTGTCTGCAAGACGGATGAGGAGCGACAGGTTCTGAGGACGAGTTTGGTCCATTTGAGCAACAAGTGCATCGCATTTTGCGATTCCTTAGACACGCTGAATGATGTATCCATGATCTTCCTGTTTGAGAGCTTCCTGCTCGCCTCTGCTTTCTACGGTGACCAAAGTAAGTGGCCAGGCTACGCGTTCTTGTCGAGAATACCCGGTCTGACGCACCATTTTTGTAGGCTTCAAGGCCTGGAGACGGCTTAATCACGCATCCAGCGCTCTGTTCGCAGACGGGCTGCATGAGACCTTCAAGGAGAGGCAGCACCAGCCCTTTTTCTTGACTCAGCTCCGCCAGCGTATCTTCGCCCGGATATACGAAACAGACATCAGCTTCGCCGTGTTCCTCGGACGGCCGCCGCGTATGAGTAAGCGCTTCTGCTTTACCAACATGCCGTTGGATATCGAGGAGGATACGTACCATTTGGCCGGGGAGGCTCTGGACAAGGCACTGAGTCAGCTGGATCAGAGCGGTTGGAATACGCTGGGCCAGGTCAGGAAGAGCGCTGTGATCCGGTGGTCCTTGATCACGGCGATGATTCAGGAGGATACGCTGGAGACTCTACTGGGACGGAGCGTGTCGAATGTCGCGCATCGGATCAGGTTCGGCCGACTAGTTCTAATCTGTTTTGCCTCCTCGCTAATGCATTTGTCTACAGCGAACTTCGAAGGAAAATCGAACATGCATGGAATGACCTTCCATCATTTCTCACCATGCCCACGCAGGACCTATGGGTCAAGGGACGCCCTTGCGATGAAGTCGACACTCTCCATCAGATCAGACTGCTCTATCTGCACACCAGCTTTTTAGTCGAATGGACGGCATCACGTCATGGTCTATACCACGCAGGGTCGCTGTTTGCGAGTGCCAGCGAACTCCTGGCGTGGGTCAACGAGGCTCTGGTCCGGCGGGAACAGCTGTCCAGTCTGGGACTCATCTCCCTGGCATGGCGAGTATGTGGTTCTACCCGTTATTATTCCATTTGTTGCCTGCGCTAATACCATATTTCCTGGACAGGTTTCCTCCTGCGCTCTCCCTGCTGCGGGTGCCCTCGCCTGGTACCTCCTGCAACCGCCATCGCGTGACGGATTCAAACAGCTCGACCCCTCATCTCGACGACACAGCATCGAGAACCTGTCCGTCCTGATCGCCCACATGGGCATCCTTCACGATCCCGGGGATGGCAATTACCAGCTCTTCTTCCAGGCTAAGACGGCCCTACAGTCAGCAATGGACTCGATCCTCAACCCGCCGGATCCCAGCCAGCCGGAGAACTCGCTTGACATGCTCTCCACGGCTGCGCTGTCGCCGGATCTCATGTTTTCGGATTATCTCGGACTTGGGGTGGATTCTTGGTGAGCTTATCGAGTTCTTCTGGGCGCTCTACTGGCGGCTTGCTAACTCGTTCCAGGATCGGACTGCCGGATCGCGGGTCATTTATGCGGCTCGACGACAACATGCCGTACTGAGGAAGGGTATCCCGGTTTATTTCGCTCTCGGCATCGGCGATACCAAAAGTAAGGTTATTCAGACACGGCTAATGACTGGTTCATTCGCCGGATACGAAGAGCCGTAGCGAAAAACCGGGAATTTAACCTTGAATTATAAGGAAATTCTACCCCCACGCACCGCCGTGGGGGTTCCCCGCGGGGCAGTCTGCGGGGTATATCACGTGTAACAGGCACATGACTGGCCTGGAGAAGAAGATCGCTGCGTGGGGGTCGATCCTCCGCGTGGGGGCGCATCACGTTTAAATATTCTGCATCGCATCTGCTCTGCTCTGCCACCAGGGGACGCTCCCAATTCCTCCATCACCGTCAACATGGAGCCGTCAAAACCAAATGTCAACCACGATGAAAATGCCGAGGTGGTTGTGAAACCGGCCAACATTGACCCCATCAACCTCATTCGGGTCCCCCTGACCGAGGAAGACAGCAAACGCATTCGTCGCAAAACTGACAGGACCATCCTCCTTGTCTTGGTCTGGGTCTATTTCCTGCAGATCCTGGACAAGTCTGTTCTGGGATATGGCGCGACATTCGGATTGCAGGAGGACACCCATTTGGCGGGGAATCAGTACTCGCTGGTCGGGTCGATTGCCGCCATTGCCCAGCTAGCCTGGCAGCCTTTCTCCTCCTTTCTGATCGTCAAAGTGCCACATCGTATTTTGATGCCCTTACTGGTGCTTGGTTGGGGTATTGCGCAGACGTGCATGGCAGCCTGTCACAATTTCTCGGGGCTCATGGCCACACGGTTCTTCCTGGGTCTGTTCGAAGCAGGCTGTCTCCCGCTGTTCAGCATAATTACCAGTCAATGGTACCGTCGTGCAGAACAGCCTTTGCGAGTCGCCGCGTGGTATTCCACTAATGGCCTGGCAACCATCATAGCGGCAGCGTTGAGTTACGGACTGGGTCATATCCAGTCGGGTGCCCTCAAGGAATGGCAAATGTGAGCATCCCATGGCTGAGTTGATGGATGTCTTTCAGGAGATGTGGAAGTCATGCTCACTTCATGCAGTATTTTTCTCTTCGTGGGCCTCTTGACTATTATCTCATCCCCCTTCGTGTATTGGCGTCTGGACAACGACATTACTTCCGCCCGCTTCCTCACAGAACACGAAAGGCTGCAAGCCATGGAACGCCTAAGAGCCAACCAAACCGGCACTGGAACCCGCGATTTCAAGTGGCAACAAGTTGTCGAGGCCGCACTGGAGCCGAAGACCTTCCTTTGGGTCGGTATGGCCTTTCTCCTGAACGTCGGCGCATCAGTGACCAACGTATTCGGCCCACAGATCCTGGGCGGGTTGGGCTTCGACAAGTTCCGGACAACACTGCTTAACATGCCCTTTGGCGCTCTCCAGTTCATCCTCATCCTTCTCGCCAGTTATCTCGCGCAGAGGGCTCGACTGAAGGGCGCCATTCTCGCCTCTTTCATGGTTCCCGTCGTCGCGGGACTGGCAATCCTCTACGCCGTTCCACGGAGTAAATCTGCGCAAGGCGCATCCATGGCGGGATATTACCTGCTTGCCTTCCTGTTCGGCGGAAATCCGCTGATCGTGACGTGGATCGTCGGAAACACAGCCGGTCAGACAAAGAAGAGTATTGTTCTGAGTCTGTACAATGCCGCATCTGCAGCGGGGAACATAGTGGGACCACTCTTGTTCAACGAGAAGGACAAGCCCGAGTACCTCCCGGGTCTGAAGGCGTGTCTGGCTATTTTTGTGGCCATGACAGTTATCGTTCTGATCCAGTGGGCGGACCTGTTCGTGCTCAACAAGATACAGGAGCGACGGCGTGTAAGGAATGGGAAACCGGCCAGGATCGTGGACGCTTCGATGCAGGCTCGATACCGCGGGCTGGATGAGGAGACTGTTAGTGACGAGCCGGAGAATCGGGTCGGCAATCATGCGTTTCTGGATCTGACGGATCGGGAGAATGATGAGTTCGTGTATATCTATTAGGTTTTGCGGTTTGGCAGCGTGGAGTTTGTCTGATGAAATGTGTTATGATTCTTGATACGCCATGCACAATGACTGAGATTTCCTGATTATAAAAGTAGCCTGTTCCCTGCCATCTATGAATGATTGGGTATTATTCTAGATGATATATAAACCACGACTAGTCGTCTTCCCCAACTGTCTCGCCTTGACACTCGTCGTATTCATCTCGTGCCATCGGGTCAATCGGTCCTTCCGTATCCTTAACAGCGAGTATTCCCCATCCCGTCCAGTCTCTTCGTGGCATAAATTTCACCGGAGGATCCGCTGAAGCAATATCCTCAAGGTCAAGGATTCAGCCGGAGATGGTGCAAGAGTCAGCAGTGGTGATCATATACATCGGAAAGAGAAGCCCTTGCCATCGTTCTGTACATCCATCCCAGGCTATGGTATGTCTTTGAAGATAATAAGGCCGCGAATCCTCATAACAGGAGGCCCAACGGCATCCGGGACGAGCCACGCGTGGTACCCGTGAGAGAAGAGCTGGCCCTGCCCGAAAGGACAGATGGAAACACGCAGAGAACGGGGGCCGCAAAAATGGATCGCACTGCCAATAACTCATTTTAAAGGTATGGCAATCATAGGTTGTTCGTCACCCTCGTTGGATGGGATGAATGCCAGACACTTGAGGTCCATGTGGTTGATCCAGACCACCTCTTCTGTGTCCTCGAGGACAAGGACGTACCGTCATTGTCTCAATGGTAATTCAAAGGAGCATTGTCTAGGTACTCTGATTCCCCGGTTCTGTGCCTATCTTGCCCCAACCGGCTTCTGGGTATTGGACGGTCTGGAGAAACCGAGAGCAGCGGGGACGGTGAAGGGACGGCCAAGGAAATCTGATGCTGATCTCTTGCTAGTCAACGTTAAAGCGAAGTTTATTACTGCGTAAATAATTGATTCCAGTGGGGTTTCTCTCCAGAGAGTCCGAATTAATATGCATCGTTATTCCCGCCTTTCCATTCATTGACAACATCGCCATGTTGCAAGCCATGCACACTCTCAGCCCTCCACCACGATATGTGCTCGCCAGCATGCTCACCTCCTTCGGGGGGCTCCTTTTTGGGTACGAAAACCAACGCTATCCGAAGTCAAATGTGCTGACATGCGAGATCCAGCACCGACACGGGCATCATTGGGCCGGTGACCGTCATGAAAAGCTACCTGGTGCATTTCGGTCCCCTTTCCTCGACAGTACACGGCTTGATTGTGTCTTCTATCTTGATCCCAGCGGCTATCTCCTCAATATTCGCGGGGAGAGTTGCCGATCGTCTCGGTCGACCCAAGGGCATCGCTATCGGCGCGTCGATATTCGGGTTCGGCGCCGCTCTCGAGGCGGGTGCAGTTCATCTGGCCATGTTCATTGTCGGAAGATGTATCGAGGGTATCGGTGAGGGTTTGTATCTTGGAACGTTGGTCGTGTAAGTTGCATTTCATTCTACCACACCATGCTGCTGGCTGAACCGGGTGTAGTTATATATGCGAAATCTCTCCGCCGAGTAAGAGAGGACCGCTGACAACAGGCCCTCAATTGCTGGTTACTCTTGGCCTAGTGGTGGGTTTCTTCACCTGCTACGGCTCTGCAAATCTTGAATCATCGCTATCCTGGCGGCTACCTTTCATTCTCCTAGCGTCCCTGTCTTTCGTATTTGCCGCAGCGTCTGTGATGTGGCTCACCCCGTCTCCTCGATGGCTTACTCTCCGCGGCCGTTCATCAGAGGCGGTTGCCACCTGGGACATCCTCGGGGTAGGCCAAGCTGAGCGTGAAAAGGCTGAAATCGAACAGAATCAGGGCCCCATCGAGCTTCAAACGCAGGGACCCTCCCAACTCCCGCCCGTGTCGACTGATGATATGGTGGATCCTGTACTCTCCGGTTTCAGGGAACCAAAGAGCACTTTCCGGGGTCTATTTTCGCGGGATGTGCGTATGCGGACCGCTCTGGCGATCTTCATGATGGGCATGCAACAGCTCAGCGGTATCGATGGCGTTCTCTATGTGAGTCTGCCTGCGATGTGTGCGCGCGTTGTGGATACTAATGTACACTGCTAGTACGCACCCCTCCTCTTCCAACAGGCGGGCCTTGCATCGTCTGAAGCGTCCTTTCTGGCTTCCGGCGTCTCTGCTATTGTGATATTCGGCGTGACTATCCCCGCCCTCATCTGGGCGGATAAATGGGGTCGGCGCCACAGTACCGTCTACGGTGGTCTAGGTCTTGCAACAGTCATGTTCTTGATCGGGGGCCTCTACGCCGGAAAGGCCGTACATGGTACCTGGGGTGCGGGTCGGTGGGTTGTCATCGTGTCAATCTACATCTTTGCAGTGATATATAGCGTCTCCTGGGCTGTTGGGTTCAAGATATACGCTGCGGAGATCCAGCCGCAACGGACGCGTGCGAGTGCAACTAGCCTGGCGCATGGGAGTAACTGGGCGACCAATTTCCTGGTGGCTCTGACGACGCCTATCCTGCTCGCCAAGAGCAGCTATGGGGTTTACTTCCTCTTTGGGGGGTGCACTGTGCTGACGGCGATCGTCTGTGCGGTGTTCATGCCTGAAACGAGAGGGAAGTCATTAGAGGAAGTTGAAGAAGCATTCAAGCAGAGGAAGTCTGCGTTGAGCAAGCTGGGACGGATCGTGCGGAGATCCCTCAGCTGGGATACCCTTGGTGTGCACGACTAGACATCATTGTCCTTGATGTAGACGGTAACTTCTCTGGAAACTTTTGATATTCTTGTGGTGGTATTCGTTATGGCATGTATCCTGTTGACTGCTGGTATGTTCTACCAGCAGAGAAACAAAGCATTCGTCATACATCAGTTGTTCCCCATCCCAAGGAATGTCGGGCTCGTCCTTGGTTTAGCCTACGTCGCATTCTGGGGCTTCTTAGTAGTTGCACCAACTCAGACGTTAACTCTTCCTCCATAAAGATACACCCAACGTCCAGTCCGTGCTGGTTCATACAATGCGCCGTAGAGCTTGAGGAAATGTCGGGCAAGCAACTGATGTCTTCATGGACCAGGGTGCCAATGTCTTTCACTGGGTTCTTTCCCTCTCCTTGGGCAGGCCAGGAACCCAAGAATGCATCTTAAACGCTCCCGCATGGGGCAGCTTTCTTATAGAGGACACCATCTGTTCACGCAGATCAAAGAGATTTACCGCCATCTCCACCACAACATGGCCTCCTAGATTGTAGAAGAATCCGCCAATGTCTTCCCAATCTCACTGCCCGGGTTCATCCCCGACACCTCCGGGACAGCCACCGTGAAATCGAGCTAGAGTGGTCTGGTTAAAGAATCCGTCCCGCAGAAGCTTGAGCGCGAACTCGAACACCTCCAAGTAATTAAGTTTGAAACCGAGTTCAAAAACAATATTCTTGCTTGTTACCGGGTCTTCCAGGAGGTAGAAATCTTCCGGATGGGCCACTCCGGGCTTTTCGAGGAATACTCTCTCCGCGCCATGAACTATTGTAAGACGAAGTTAGTTTGCATTTACATTGGGGCGACCATGGACCATCACTAAAGTAAAGTCCAGCTCTAGGTGCTTGAAGCAGTCTTGGTACAATGGACAACCGGCATGTCCTTGCATGCGTTCGCTATTTGCTGGTCACCATCGTAGTATCCAAGTAGCTCCACATCCTTGTTTTCTTCCAGTTATGCACAGCGGTAGAAGATGTTCGGGTGACATGTTCCAAAGAGGATGGCCTTGACTTTTGTGGTCTTTGTCCCAGCAACAGCGTCTGATTCCACACAGTCAAAATGGAGATTTTTGATTTGATTTGATTACTATTTAACGTTGTTGGATCAACTTGCTTGTATTGTATCTATCTAGGTTGGTCTAGCTATTTTAGTGTGTCAGGCCAAGCGAGGGCGGTCTAATATGGCAGAATACACGTGACCTCTAACAAACGTCACTCGGCGGATCACGTGGCACACGTGACCCGCGGCCTCCCAAGGGGCATCCGGACGTGCTACCTAAGCAAAGACTCACTAAAATAAATACATGCTTGAAGCAACAAAGCTGGACACTATGTGTTGGAAAAGAGTGGAAGAAGCACCAGGCGCTACCCTGGCCTGGACTTCTAAAGGTGAGGAACCTGCTTTGGCTACCTTCAGTCGAGCAGGGGTGCCTTTCCCGTTCGTCCAGGTAGAAGCGTAGACTGTTGCACTATTCAGTGCTTGAGCAGGCCCAGTTTGGGCATATATCCTTGAAAAAGGATGAATCTTGCATGATGCGGCTGAACTCTTCTGCCCCAGCAGCTGTACCTAGTAGCCAGTCAATTGTACTTGACGGGCTGCCTCTCTTGCATTTCCATCTATCCTTCCAGCGCTTCCTGGTGGGTGGGCAGAAGAAGAAATGGACAGGGGACTTCTGTCTCTTGCAGGAGCAGGTTGCTAGGTAGTCTGCATGTTGAAATCTTTCATGATATGCTGCAAAATCCCCGTGACCTGTACGGGCGGCTATGAGCCTGCCCAGGACCCAGCGGGGGAGCTTATGTTCTTGGTCACGACTGCTTTTTGTATGAGGTCTGATACCCAGGTCACGGTAGGCCTGAGGTGCGCCTCTAAAATATGCCGCGTGTGTATCTGCGCGGATCCGCTGTTTTGCCTCCCGTCTGAGGAATGAGGGAGAAGGGGGGATATCAGGACTGGCTAATGAAGCTCCCTTCTTTGCCAGCTTATCTGCGAGCTCATTCCCTGTGACCCCAGAGTGGCCTGGAACCCAACAGACCCCTACAGGTTTGCGAGGTAGAGATAAAAGTGAAGGCAAGCTGTCCCACTGAGCGGAGAGTTGGTGGAAAGTATCAGTAAGTCTTCGTCTATGGGGGGCTGGCCTGCCATCTGCTAGCAGGCTGGCTGCGGCTAGATTATCAAGGAGGATGTTGATTTGGGTAGCGAACTTGGTGCAGTCTTGGCTAACTGCAGCACGGAGCCCTTCTACTGCACCCATAATTTCTGCGTCATAAACCTCTGTCCGCGCGCCAGCAGGGCCGAATCCCTGGGTAAGCAGGATAGGGCCATAGTATATTGCATAGCCGTACCCAGCGCCCTGGTCTGTACGGGAGCCATCTGAATAGACTGTTACTTCCAATGGGGAAGGAAGGTGCTTACCCCAGTCAGTGGGGAGCATGCGCAGTGATGGGAGGGGTGGTTCTATATGCATGCGTTCCGGCGCTGGTCCAGGGACAAGTTGGAGGATCCTGGTAAGTCTGGTCCTGTTCTTACAGCTCTGGGCTGTAGTGGTAGTTATGCGAGCAATTGGGTGCTTTGCGTCAAGGCTTGCATATCTGATTGCCGCCTTCTGGAGGGTACCGTTGAGCAGGGCTTCAGGGTCAGGTAGGTCTGCCTCCCGGAGGAGTACTGTAGTAGGGGTTGTTTTATATGCCGGAAGAATGGCCAGGGCGGCCAGGCGGAGCAGGGATTGAAGGGAGCTGATAACCCCTTGTTGCCTGTAGCCAGTATAGAAGACTTCTGCGCCATAGAGAGCTGTTGGCAGGACGCACTGCATGACCACTGCACGCATGGAGGCTACTGGGCACCCACGCTGGGTATTGCTAAGCCTCCGGAGATGTTGAGCGAGCTGCTTGCCGCGGCTGAAGGTCCAATTAATGTGCGACCTGAAGGTGAGCTTGGTGTCGAGCAGGACCCCTAACCATCGGGTGTATGGAGATGGTTTGATCTCGCCTACGCCTGGTAGAAAGACTGTGGGGATAGACTGCCTCCGCTGCCTAGAGAAATGCTGTATTTCTGTCTTCTCAAAGGAGAAAGGAAGGCCTGATGCAGCCCCAAGTGCTGTGATTGATTTATAGGCTTCCACTAGTTGCCGTGAGGTCTCTTCCAGGTTGTTCCTGATGAATAGCAGTCCCAGGTCGTCTGCATAGCAGAAAGAGCCCTTACGGGTAGAAACTACCATTGCCGCGTACAGCAGGAAGAGAATTGGGGATAGAGGGGACCCCTGGGGGAGACCACCCTTGATTAGGGCTGTTGCAATAGCCTCTCTAATATGGACTGAGGCAGTGCGGCCGGTCAGCCAATCTTGGATTAACTGGATTAGGCCTTCGTCCCATCCCTGCAGGCGTAGGTGTGAGAGAAGCCGCTGATGGATTACAGCATCAAAGGCCCCCTTTACGTCCAGTAATAGTAGTGAAGCCACCATCTTCCTTCCAAAGGCCTTCTCTATCCTGTGGACCAGGATCTGGACAAGATCAATCGCAGAGCGGCCAGGAAGAGCGCCAAAATGGCAGGGGGCCAGTAGCCCTACCTGGATTGCTCGTGCAGCTATGCGCCGCGCCAGAAAGCGCTCTAGGCCTTTTCCTAAGGTGGAGAGTAGGCTGATAGGTCGCCAGGAGCTGAGCTGTGTGAGGTCCCTTTTTCCTGGCTTTGGTATAATTACCACCTTTGCAGACTTCAAACACTGTGGGAAGCGGCCTTCCTCTAAGCAGCGGCAATATAGAAGTGTGATTGTGTCGCCTAGAGCAGGCCAGAGCTCTCTCCAAACTGTGGTAGCAAGCCCATCCCTACCTGGGGTGGATGGGGCAGGGGCACAAAGGGCAGTCCAGCAGTCCTCCTTAGTTGGCAACCCTAGTGAATCCAGAGGTTTTGCTGGAGGGCCCTCCTCTAGTTGATCTGGAAGGGAGGCTCCCTTCTCCAGTAAATGTGAAAGAAAAGCATCCGCTTTATCTTGTGGAGTGCTAACCTGATTTCCTTGGATGTTTAGAGGGGGTGCCACGAGCTGATCTGAGCGCTTATGCCATTTAGCAAGTAGGAAGGCATCTGTGGGAGACGCTGCTTGCTCAATTCGCCTCTTCCAGTAATTAGCCTTTGCGCAGGATATTGCCTTCCAGAGTGGTAGGTAGTCTGGGTTTTGCTGCTGTCGTGTTTGGTGGAGTAGGTCTGTGAGCTCCGGTGTCCACCAAGGGGTGCGTGGGAGCTTGCGAGAGTTATGTTTTGATGCACCACGGATGGCTAGCTGTACATTATCAACTAGTTCTTCTGCTAGGGTATTGATGGGGAGGTGCGCAGGTGGGGGGGTTAGCAGAGATCTAGCCTTCTCCCAGTCTGTAGAGCCCATCCTTGGACGGGAGATAGGCTCTGTCCAGTCTGTTGTAATCAGAATGGTCGCATGATCACTTGAGGTATTAAGGTAGTCTTCAACTACTGCCTCTATCAACATGTTGGAGAAGACCAGGTCGAGGGTGTTTGGCCCACGAGTAGGAGTGCCTGGCTCCATACAGAGCACTAGTTCATGGGCTTCTAGCCACTCTATAAGTGCTGTTGCGCCTGCTGTTACTTGATGCGGTTTTGTCCCTGGTTGCCAGAGGGGGTGGTGGGTATTAAAGTCCCCCGCGATAATAGTGTTCTGCGGAGGGGAGAATTGCAATAGGGTGTGTAGGGTAGATAGGGTTGAACCAGATCCCGCTGGCACAACGGGGTCATTTGGGGGGCGGTAGATGTTTATGATGGTTAGGCCAGCTGTACAGATAGCTGCGATATCTGGTGAGATAGGCTGAGGGAGAGAGAATGCTGGAAGATCCCGGTGAACATATATCAAAGCTCTAGGCCTAGTTTCCCACCGAGTGGCAGGGCTGAAGAGCTGGTATCGTGGGTGTGTTTTTGTGAGTTGTTTTGCCATGTCCGTCCAGGGCTCCTGGACTAGGATAATGTCTGCCTCGAATGTTAGCAGTAGGTTGTGGGCAGGGCCGCCCCTTCCAACATTAGCCTGCAATATCTTCATAGTTCTGGTGATGGGAGGGTTTGATTTGCAAGCTCCTGGGCAAGCTGGCTTGAGGACTGGTGGGGGGTGTGTGGGCTGCTAGCTTGGTGGCTAGAGGCTGTCTTAGCTAGTTGCTGTTGAAAGGCAAGTCGGCCGGCCTTACGAACAGCAGCCAAGGTGTCCTTTGCAAGGCGGATAATAGAACCCTTTTGTGTATATGGTCTAGCAGGGCACTTTTGGTAGTCTGCTGCATGTGGACCGCAGCAGTTCACGCACTGCACACGGCAGGTATGCTCCTGTTTAGAGGATCCACAGGAGATGCAGCGCTCACTAGAGCGGCAGGCTCGTGTATCATGGAAGCGGTGGCAGCGGGTACACTGTAGTGGTCTTTTCTTAGGGCGGGTAGGCCGTGATAGGCCAGAGGAGCCAAAGAGTTGCAAGGCACGTTGTGGCTTCTTTGGAAAGGCTATGACTGCCGTGATAGAGCCCTCCTCTACAGGGTGCTTAGAGAGCTTAGTCATAAGCGGCTTCATACCAGTTATGCGCTCTGCTTCTGTACTGATATCCCTGATTGTGGTGGGTGCCCATCCCTCTCGGGTCCAGAGCTGCTGAGGGATCCTAGGGACTACTACCTGATGGAAACCCGTTGCGGCCTCAAAGTTGCCGTCTCCTGCTAGCCCGCTTGCCTGTGGGGAGAGTAGGAAAGCCCTACCTTCTTCCATGGCTGAGATTGCATATCCTGTAGCCACAGCCTGCACTCATGCGATTCCACCAGGAATTTTTTCCGCTAGGGTGACCCGGATGCCATGCGGCCCAATAGCTCGTAGGCTGGAGGAGACCGGCAGCCGGAGAAAGATACGGGAGTCAGTTTTGCTTTCCTGCTGGGCTGGCTTTTGTGTCTGCTGCCGAGAGGCTTGCACGCTATGTTCTTGAGTATCAGATTGCCAGTTGTCCTGGCTAGCTTTTAGGGCGGCAACTGAGGCCCAGGTTGAGGTCTGTAAGGTCTTTTTAGCTTGATATGCCTGCGCCATCTGGGGGGGTGCTATGTCAGGCTTTGCCCCTTGCTGTGGGGTGTTGAGGTTTGCCAGAGTAATAAACCTAGCTACAAGCCCTCGAGCGAGCTCTTTGGGACGGCCCTGTAGAGAGGAGACAGTTGTCTCAAGTGCCTCTGCAAGGGAGGTTAGCGCCAGCTTCCAGTCACCTAGGAGCAGGAGCTGGTCATTTGCAGCTGCGGTAGCCTGCTGGCAAATTGATCCAGCAGCCTGCGTGTTGGATATAGGAGCTATTATCGCCGTAGGCATCCTATAAGGGGAGGGTGGCGCCCTCCTTTTCAGGGAGATGCGGGGGAGGGGGGTAGGGGTGGGAGGTCCTGATAACGGATCAGAGTTTTCGAACAGGCGCGGAGTCCCTGGGCGAGCTTCGTCCGCAGGAGGATCGTCTACCTCCATGTCTAGAGGGGAAGAGCGATCAGTGTAGATGGTATAAATAGTGATAAACAATGTATAGTCGTGTGGAGGGTCTGTCAAAATATAAGAGAGGATGCAGTCAAAATGGAGAGACGCAGGGAGGAGAATGGCGGATGGAGCAGGGAGAACGTCCCGATCATGTGACAGCCCCTTCGCGTAGTCACAAACTGTTGGATCCACTTGCTTGTATTGTCTCTATCTAGCTTGGTCTAGCTATTTTAGTGTGTCAGGCCAAGCGAGGGCGGCCTAATATGGCAGAATACACGTGATCCCTAACACAAACTGGTATGATTAGTCATCCGTCTGACAGATTCACATCTTGCCGAGGTAATTAATTACTTCTCAACTAGAGTATAGATCAAAATACATAACCTACACCTCGTCCTTCTCGACGCTGATCCTGGCTCCATCCTCCGTCATAGCAAGAGAAGTGCGCAATTGTCCGGTCCATCTGCGCAGCAGTTATCCCTTCCAAATGATCAGTGCCATGATAATATCGACAAAGAGGATGAAGAAGGCCCCCATCCCCCACATCCACCCAACACCAACCGCGGACTGCCACTGCGTTACAGCGAATACGGACATCAAGCCGAAGGAGACTCGATACGCATTTAGCGAAACAGATGCCTTTCCTGGATTGTGCAGGAAGCATTCGACGGCATAGTTGTAACACGGGGAGAGCCAGCAATGCGGCAAACCAAATCAGGAATGACCCCAGGGCTAGCACCATGTAATGCAGATGGTACTGGAGACAGGCTCCATATACCCATCCAATTGGCAGGATGATGCTGGGGAAGACAGTGTTCGCCAGGCGGTACTCGGTGTGCCATGTCCCACCGCTGCGACGCGCCACCCACAGAGGTGTCTTGTCATTCAAGAAGAAACCATACACCTGGGCAGTGATCATTCCGATCCGCGCTGTCATCGTGAAGAAAGCCATTTGCAGGGATGAGAAGCCGTTTTCAGTGGATTCTGGTCGTAATCCGATATTCATCGAATGCAAGTCTCGTCCGGCACCTGCTGTTACCATCGCCAATGCTTGCTGGATCCCAATGAGTAGCATTCGTGTCTGAAGCCGTCAAGCAAATTACAAATTTGTTCCACTACTGGTTCTTCCCATATCCATAGGGTCCAATGGGGTGAGTATATTCTAGCAAATGAACAATTGGCATCTAAAGTCTACTGAAATTCTTGAAAGTCCCGGTTTCCCTTCTCCGGAGGGACCCTCTGCGACGAAACCACGTCCACAGACGTAGTTTTGACAATTCCTCGTTCATCCGGTATCCAAAGCTGGGACTGGCTGTTCTCTCCCTCCGAGCGTTGGTCGGCCATTTCTTCCCTACTTTGAAGTAGACTGTGTCCAATGTCGCGTTTCGAGCTCCTCCCTGTCCGCAGTGAGTGCAGGGGCAGGGAGTGCGATTTGGAGCGGTTATGGCCCATCAGGGGACGCACAGAGGGTGCAGCGGCTGCAATTACTCCAAATGTAGCTTCCAGCCTGTTGATAGAAATTGTAAGCGTGTCTTGTTTGACCAGGGTATGAGGGACAACACACTCGGCCCAAAGGAATAGGTCCACTAGGTCCCCTGAATCACGTCGTAACCGCTTGTTAGGACTTGTTATACATGGCGAAGAGGTAGAAATAACTCACAGGTCGGATCATGGGATGCTGTCAATGTCGGAACCAGCACAGTGCGAACAAGGGCGAATGCACCACTCCTGGTCAACCATATCATATCAGCAATAGCTCTCCCGGGGTATGTTGTGTCTTTATGTCTACTCACGCAAATCCCAAGGCCATAATTCCACATGTGCCGACTTTGACTCGGGTAGGAATCCGGATACGCCAGAGGAATAAAATCGGCAAGGTCGAGAGAATGAAATCCGTGGCTGCAGCAATCGCTACAGGGTTGATTTAGTCAAATCTGAAAGCCCAACCAGAGTGGATATAAAGCAATGAGGTCAACCGTACAGCCCTGAGCAATCCCAACAGCATTAATAGCAGTATCCGACCAGCAGTGCCCGGGCACAGATTTGTCCCAGTTCAGCTCAACGGGCGTACACTGCGGGAAGATGACGGCGGCGTCGAGAGCACTGGTGATGGAATTGAAGGCAATGAAACACCAGAAAAAGACCATCCACTCTTGGCTCGTTAAACTTCCTTTCTGTCAGTTTTCGTACCGGCTTACCGGCTAGATGCCAATGCTTGGATATCAAGCTCACAATAGCCTCTTCAGGAACAGGCTGATGGAAATCTTGAGGAAGATGGTGGAGAAGATCATGATGAACTCGCAGATTCGCAAGAGCTTGATACTGTAGGCCGCGCGAGCAGGGTCCACGTATTGCATGTGTCGTCCGAAGCCGTATTTTGATGCTGCGAGAATCAACCCTAGGATGACTATTACACACAGCTGGTTCCCGGTTAGTGCAGAAGAGCAAGACGACAGGCATGGAAACAACACCCACAGTGGCAAGAACATTGAAGAAATCATCCCAAGACATCATCCTGATCACATATCTGCGCACATAGAGTCGTAACAGTGTAAGAACAACGGCGATTATCGTCGTGACGACCGTGGGAATGGTGACCACCGAAGCCCTGGAGACATCCAGAGGCATTGGCGATGCCATGGCATGAATCCGATTGCGAGGATAACAGTCCTGTTGGTTTGTTCTTCAAGTCAAAGCAGCCATACGTCTCACTAAATAACAAGCCCTGGAGGGGGCCTTAGATTATCGTGTTCATATCCCACGATGCAGGGCTCACCTGCACCTGGGGGATTAGCATGGCGAAACAACCCTTGCCATACCAGTGGAAGGTTGCAGTGGAAGGTTGCATTACTCCGTACGCTCCCAAGAGAAAGAAAATTTTTAAGCACACAGTTACTACCACTCGGTCCATTTCCCAGGACCCCGGATGCGCTAAGAGAGCAGATTTGCTTTTTCCCATTCTCTACCGGGGCCAGACCATGAACCGACTCCGACTTCAGCTGGCCATTTGGTGCGCCGTGTTGGGACCTTCATCAAACTCTGCAGATCCGAGTAGACCTGGTTGGCCGGTGTTGCAGCTCGCGGAAATAGCCCAGCCGAATTGACGGAAGCTTGGAAACCCCATTGGCAAGTTTGGCAAGTTCGTATATGAATTGTGGACGCTTTCTTCCAGATAGCCCTAAGTCCCTGGAGGAGTACCCCTGGGACGGCATGCACTCGAAGTGATACGCTGCGCAGACTACAGGATACGTATCACGCAATACTGGCATGCTCGGCTGCACGACGGTTAATCGATGTAGGGAATAGCATCAAGCCGGGCCGGCAAGTCCGCGGGAATTGCAGATCCCGCACGAGCTTACAGCTGTCCCTTGTGGGCTGGAGACCGTCGAACTCCGTCGGCAGCACTTCACCACTCACGCAATGCGGAGCCGGCCGTGTGGGCTGCAGGATGATCCTGGCTATCGTTCATCTCCGTCGCCGAGCTGATGTAACCCGACTGCCGCTCGAGAAGAGTCAGTAATACATGGATACTCCGTAACAGGGTGTTAAAATTGCCCGTTCACCTCTCCTCTAGACTAGCCAAACTTTCCGCAGTAACATGGGTAGCAACTCCAAGAATTTCACCGTCACCATCGTCGGTGGTGGAATCGGCGGTCTGACTCTGGCCGCCGGCCTGCTACGACGGAATGTCCCCATCCACATCTATGAAGCGGCCGCTGCCTTCACGGAGATCGGGCTGGGCCTGTCAATCGGACCGGCTGCGCACCGTGCGATGCCGCTTGTTGATCCCCAGATTCGCGAGATCTACGATTCCCTGGTCACCACGCATGCAGACAGTCCTGGATACGAGGAATTCCGACAGACATGGTTCGAGATCATCTGGGCCAGCGGCGCTAAGGAGGGTGATTTACTCCTCGATCTGAAAGCCCTTCCTTCCGGCCAGACTACGCTGCGGCGATCGGATTTCTTAGATGCCCTGGTCAGCTTGATCCCGCCGGATGTCGTGCATTTTGGAAAGCGGCTGGAGAGTCTTGTCGAAACGGACGAAGGGGTGAAGCTGCATTTCAGCGATGGGACGACCGTCCTGGCTGATATGGTTATTGGCTGCGATGGGATCCGGTCCAAAGTCAAGGAGTCCATGTTACCGGAGGAGTCTCTGATCAAACAGCCACGGTACAGCGGCATGTACGCGTATCGTGCGGTGCTGGACATGGACGACATGGTGAAGGCCGTTGGTGACCAGCGCGCCCGGGTGTCCACCATGTACGTCGGGAAGGGAAAGTATGGTATTTCCTATCCCATCATGCGAGCCAGGAAGGTAAACGTTGGGTTGTATATTCTGAGCGACGCCTGGAGCCATGATACGTGGGTTCGACCGGCAAAGAAGGAAGACATGCTGAAGGATGCCGCCGACATGGGCAGATATGTCCGGTCTCTGGTTGAGGTACGTCAAGCACGTCCCTGGTTGTTCAAGGAGTGCTTTGCCTAATGTCGAATTACCCAGTACATGCCTGATCCATCTCAATGGGCTATTTTCGAACACCCTGCTATCTCCACTTTCTGCAAGTCCCGGGTTGCTATCCTCGGGGACGCCGCGCATGCCTCGACACCGCATCAGGGTGCCGGCGCGGGTCAAGCAATCGAAGACGCGCATGTTCTCGTCGAGCTGCTCAGTGATTCCCGAGTAAAGAGCCCAGCGGATGCCGTGGCGGCGTTCAAAGCCTACGATGATATCCGACGCCCCCGAAGCCAGCGGGTCGTCACCAGCAGCAAGGAGAACGCATACCTCCTCTGCCTGTGCTTGGAGGGCGTTGGAGACGACGAGGACAAGCTGAAAGAAACTTTCCAGAAGCGGCTTCGGTGGCTGTGGGATCTAAACGTGACTGAGCAGGTGGAGCAGGCGAGACGGAAGATGGTTAAGTATCTTGCTTGAACTTTTTTACGAGACCATTGAGGCCATTGAGACCATCCAGATACGAGGTATATAGTCAACGGTAGCATAATCGAGCAGCGCGTGGATAATTATGTTCTGCGGCTGCTTTAGAGAAGACAGACCAGATCATGTTTCCTATGTGAAACGTCAGCGTTCAGGGATCCCTGGAATAGAACCATGCAGGACCATGCTGCTAGTTCATGCATCCGGTATCCCCGGGCTCGGGTCAGGGACTTTTCTCTAGTTTAGGCACTGTACAACAATCCCTGTTGGTTACAGATAGTCTCTTCTCTCTGCTACTTGTGTAACTCAATTCTCTGAGGATGCTCGGCGCTGGCCACCTCGCATCCAGCGTCCAAACGAGCCAGGATTTGAGATATTGCTAACGGCCGCGCTAGCCGCGAGAAGGACCTTGCGGCTTGGGAAGACACTATCGGTCTCTCCCTGTACGAATGGTTGAGCAGTTATTCGGCCTGACTGTTACAAGCGTGTATATCTGTGCCGTGCAGAATGCTCTACTCCGTCATTAGGGCTCAAGCTATAGTAGACACACTTTTTCCCCTCCACCGTCAAGTGCAGGATCCATCGTCCTGAGGGTCCATTAATTTTAAAATAGTCCATGATCAGCCAGAAAATCCCCCGTATACGGTTCTGGACAGGTCCATCTCCCGGGTAGGAACCGCTACCGTGTTCTCGCTTCTCCCATTTTCGGAAGTTCTTCAGGGCACCTACGATTATATAGCTGTCAAATTCTCTCGGGTTCTGTAGACTAATACGCTATCTAAAGCTGCATGTTTCACCCACTACGATGTAATGGTGCAAAGATTCTCTTCGGGCCAGTGTGCCGGTGTTACTGGAAGGTTGCAGGAACTGTATGCCTACTAGGCTGAAAACAACGTGAAAGGCAGATCATAATTGAGCATTCCACATCGATTGTGATACCCTCACAAAGAAATACACGTATCTCAGAAAAAGCGATTCTTCGGCCTTGGGAGACCGAGATGCTCCCGCAATGTGGTCCCCTCATAATCTCGGCGGAAGAGACCACGACGCTGCAGTTCAGGCACCAACCGCTCCGTAACGTCGTCCAAGCCCTGAGGAAGGAAAGGAAAAGTAACCGTGAACCCGTCAGCGCCTCCTTCAGCCAGCCAAGTCCCCAGTTCACCTGCGACCGTCTCGGGAGTCCCAATAAATGCAAGCCCGGCGTATCCACCAAACCGCTGCGCAAGCTGTCGAACCGTCAGCTTCTCCTCCTCGGCCAGTTTAAGCACGCCGGCACGACTGGTCTTGCTCGCATTTGTCTCTGGTAAATCCGTTGGCAGTGGTCCATCCGGATCGAACCCGGATGCGTCCGTTCCTAGCATGACCGACAACGACGCAATGGCGCTGTCGTAGTGGACGAGACTGTCAAGCTTAAGACGCTTCGCCTTGGCTCCCCCAACCGTGTCCGCAATGATGATGAGCGCAGCTGGGAGGATCTTGATATGATCGGGATTGCGCCCTGCAGCAACTGCGCGTCCCTTGATGTCCGCATACAGTGCCTTGGCTGACTCGAGGTCCCGCGGGGAGCAGAAGACGGCTTCGGCCGTCTCTGCAGCCAACTGTCGCCCGGGCTCGGACTGTCCAGCCTGAACGATGACAGGCCAGCCTTGGACGGGCCGCGCAATGTTAAGCGGGCCCCTGACCTTCAAATCGTGGCCTTCGTGGTTCAGGACGTGCAGTTTGTCCGGGTCAACGTAGATACCAGTCTCTTGATCACGGACGAAGGCATCGTCTGCGAAGCTGTCCCACAGACCGGTAACAACGTCATAGAACTCCCGTGCACGCTTATAGCGATCACTATGCGCCATGTGCTCGTCGCGACTAAAGTTCTTCGACGACTCGGGATTGGCCGTGGTGACGATATTCCACGCCGCTCGGCCATTACTGAGGTGATCCAGAGACGCAAAGCGACGGGCAATATGATAAGGCTCATCGTATGTTGTTGATGCCGTCGCAGCAAGTCCGATCCTGTCTGTCACCACGGACAGCGCAGAGAGCAGGGTGAACGGTTCGAAGGATGTCACCGTGTGGCTACGTTTCAGCGCCTCAACCGGCATGTTCAACACGGCGAGATGATCGGCCATGAAGAAGGCATCAAACTTGGCGGCCTCTAACTTCCTGATGAATGATTTGAGGTGAGCCAGGTTAAAATTGGCATCTGGATACGCTCCCGGGAATCGCCATGCACCAGTATGCAAGCTGACAGGCCGCATGAACGCGGTCAAATGCAATTTCTTTGAGTCGGACATGGTTCTTTATTGATATTCAAGTTGCTTCAAATTGCTAGGAAACGGTTTCCGCTTGAATCTTCTATCATGGAGGCATGCATCTCTTATTTGGAGACCTTCACCGTCGATGATTACAAATGCGATAAGACACGCAAACTGAACAGGAAATCACGACATCGAAAGCACATGGAGTCGTGTTTTCTGACGATGCCTTGGGTGGCATGAATCGAAATAGAAGGGAAATAGGATCGTTTTCAACGCCATTCCAGTAGCCTGTAGTATCATACGGGGTCAGAAAGCCAAGGCATTTGGCCTGGTGGCACGGGAAATACTGCATTGGGCCTGAAAATGCCTTCGAACAACCGATCCATCGATCATCTTCCCAGACACCGCGGCAGCCCTCTCCATCAAATGAGGCATCTTCTGGGGGATTTGGCGTTTGTTATGCAAGTCAAAGAGAGCGGCTTCACATTGCTCCACCATCCTTTGCAAGGTAGGTCGGGGTCTTTTCTCGGCATCTGTACAGCATTGCGTATATTCGGTATAGCCGGGGTTATCGCAACCCGAGACAGTTTCGGTCCCTAGTGCTCAGCGTTTTCATTCCACGAGATCGCTTCTTCTAGATCATGGTGGCAAAATAAAAGGCCAGGCTTCGCTGGCCTGGTCAGACATATTACAAGGCATGGAAGATCTTCATTGTCATACGATGAATGATGGATATTGCGAGTTGACTCGACTCAGTGAGCTTCACAATTCCGGTGCGGCAAACTTGGATGTACACTGTTTTTTCTATATATATAATCTGCCGATAGAGCCATATTCTTTTAGACAGTATGCCTATTTTGATAAACGTGCCCCTCGAACAATATACAGGCGCACATGACATATCACAAAGCTGTCGTTTAATCCACTCCAGCGTAATTCCCTCCCCGGTTTGCCCTGGCAGGCCAAACAATAGTCAATGCTGCTTGCCTAACATGAGCAGAATGGCTTGTAACAGAATGCGACTTACCCTTGTGACAAGACCTGTGTTTCAGCTTGGACAGTTTGAGTACCGCCTTTGTCTAGATCCTGATCAGGTTCTCTACTCCTGTCCATTACGACTCCTGTAGGGCCAGAAGTAAGAATAACATCCGGATCCGATGGTTCCTGTCTGATATTGTTGAATCCCTCTTTGGTATGCTCCAGCAGAGTCTCTTGAAGTTGACGATTTGCCACGAAGTCAGCCGTATACCAGTCAGGTTGTGGGCGAGGGGACTCTGGACTCACTTGCTGAAGGTTCCTTCTTCGATAGGTCAGGTAATTTAGACATATTCTTGATATAGATTGAGACTATTGTTCAGTCTGCTATATGGATGGACGTCTAGTTGTCATTACAACGAGCATACGCCCTATCGAGCATAAAGATGTAATAGATAGACAGAGCATATGACGTCATGACGCATCGGAAAATAGAGTGATTACATAATAATATCACGTGTGTTCTGCCTGTGCTGACCGCCAACAGCCTTATGCGACGGCGTCACTTCTTCAGTGGCCTATCTAGCTAGTAACCAACGATATACCTCCATTAAAATATACCGTGGGTCAGCTGACTTCGCTAGTGTAGGTCAGCTCGGCTAAACCATGGGTCGGCTGACCTGTCTTCTCGTTGGCAGACAACCGCCTATCTCTTATCTTATCGATATCTATCCGCTCGCTTCTACAAGGCGGTGAGGCGGGGCATTTGTTCCGTCCGAACTGGTCCTGCCTTGCTAGTCCTCCATCCCAAGCTCCTGCTCTATCCTTCCATCTTCCCTTCGTTTGCCATCTAATATCCTCGATAAACCTCGATAAAGCTCTGGCAATTTCAAAGGCCGTCATGTTTCCGCCTTTCTCTGGAAGAGTACTTGAACTAAACGGCTTTCACGAACGATCACCGTTTAATTAGTCCCATAGTGGAGATGGCCAGCAGCAGCTTGCCTGATTACAAGGCACTCTTCCTGAGGGAAGTAGAGCTGAGGAAACAAGCAGAAGAAGGACAGAGGCAGGCAGAAGAAGGACAGAGGCAGGCAGAAGAAGGACGGAGGCAGGCAGAAGCGCGTCTAAAACCAACAAATTTTAGGGAGTTGATCGAAGCCTGTCACGATTTACTCTCTCGGCCATTAAAAGTCGGCACGCCACGTAAGTCCACGAAGGGAAGCATCCCGACGCCCACTGGAAAATACTGCCCAGCACGACTTCGCCCATGGTTAGACTGTTCAGTACAGCAGCAGGAAATCTACAATGTTGTCTATACTTATCTGCAGCCGACAACTGGTGCACCGCGGCTATTTGCGTCCCTTGCCGAGCTGCAAGGTCTTGGTCGGCGGTTGTCTCGTCGTGTGCTGCGAAGTGAAAAGGGTCTTGAGAGCTATGAGCGATTTGCGGTTGAAGACCATGTCCATGATATTATAGCTGAACTATGCAAGATCCCTGACGCGCAAGAGAGATTCCGGCTGGGCGATGGGATCATGTTTGATGACCATGCGAATACCCTAGAGGAGCGAAATGAGTTCGAAGACGACGACGCAGAAGCCATCGATACATCAAGCACACGACGTCCGCGACCAGATCAATTTTGTATCCATCAAGTCGACGGCACTACTAATACCTTGCTGACCACAGTTGAGTACAAGCCACCGCACAAGCTCTCCATCGAGAACCTCCGAGTGGGTCTCCGACCGATGGAGTTCTGGGAAGAAGTCGTCCACCGGAATACGATACCTACGGACAGGGATGAAAAGCTGAGGTACAACGCGGAACGGCTGACTGGCTCGGTGTTGGTTCAGGAATATCACGTTATGATCCAGGAAGGATTGGAATACTCCTACATAACAAATGGAGTTGGCTTGGTTCTTCTACATGTTCCATACGACGATCCCAGCACGCTTTATTACTACCTCTGTGAGCCAAACATGGACGTGAATATGGAGGACCCTGACGTCTTCCAGCAACCGAAAACAGCTGTCGCCAGGATGTTATGCCTCTGCCTAATGAGTTTCCATTCCAGTATCCGCAGTCTGGCCTGGCGGAACGCTGCCAGATCCGACCTGGACATGTGGGAGACGAGTCTTGACTATGAACGGTCGCGGATTCCCGAAGAGGAGCTGCAACAAACCCCTCCAAACTCTGATTATCCAAGTTCGGAATGTACGGACTCGGACTACCTGCCGTCATCCCCATCACAGGGTACCGGGCAGGGCCGTCGAATGCCCACTCGGTCTCAAGCCAATTGCTCATGTATGGATCAGCGCGAACACATGGATTCGTCGGACTCTGACTCCGGCCCAGCAGCAACACAAGGTCAGAAGCGACGCTTCAGCCAAGTGATGTCTTCTTCACTTAGTCAGCATTCATCAGTGCATCCAGCAGACTCTCCTAGTCCATCCAATGGCCAATACCAACACACAGCACGTTTCTGTACGCAACGGTGTCTACTAGGTCTGCAACATGGGGATCTATTTGATGAACGTTGCCCTAACGTAAATCACCATCGGCTCGGCCAGAACGGTGATCGACACTGTATTGACACAAAGAAGCTGGTACGGCTGCTCAAGAAGCAGCTTGACCAAGACCTTGATCATAACTGTACCCCATTCGGGACCTGTGGATCCTACGGTGCACCGTTCAAGATCACGTGTGCTGAGTATGGCTATACCGTGGTTGGAAAGGGGACAACATCACGACTCTGGAAGACGGTTTCACGTGAAGCGGAGATATACCAGGTTCTCCGGAAGGTGCAGGGTTCTGCGGTGCCTGTGTTTCTAGGAATGATTGACCTAGAACTGGTATATTTTCTCCACGGAGCTGGTGAGATTCGACATATGTTGCTGATGGCCTGGGGTGGTGAGAGTATAGGGACAATGGAGGAGACGCTGAGTCATGAGATTAGGCGGTCGAGACGGGAAATCCGTAAGTCAGGAGTTGTGCATCAGGACCTGCGGCTAGAGAACATGTTATGGAATGGTGAACTTGGCCGGGTTCTGATCATAGACTTTCACCGGTCTCGATTAGACCACCGACCCGCAGCAGAACGGGTTCGGTCTTCAAAGAGGTCACTCAATATACGGGAGGGCTGGTCAAAACGATCTCGCCTGCTTTCCACATAAGCGTACCTATTAAGATGGATCAATTATTACTGGGTTGGGGATGGTTTGCCCCTATAGACGGTGGTATCCCATTGCTCACAATTTTTACGTGCTAGCATTTCAAACTATCCATTGCTAATTAATGAGGTTTGGTTGTGATTCTGATTGCATTGTCTTTGCTTCACTTGTTGATGTCGGGGAAGTCGCCGATTGCTGGGCTCGACAGATGCTTCGGGTTGAGCTGCAGGAGTGGCAGGCAATGTATGTATGCAGTATCAGCGTCATATAGCTGAAAAATATAAGCAGGCTATATTTCCTACTGCAGGTTGAAACCAGGCAGACTTCTCCAGAACACAGAGCTTCCAGACATCCTTTCACTGCATTGAACGTCTATGGAACCACGTCAGCGGCTTCTACGGGCCCTGCCATTCACTGGTAGGCACAGTCAACCCATCTATGTCTAACTCCAAGCTAGTGTCGTGCTGACGGCTCCTGGAGTTCCTGTATAATTTCGTTTTCTATAGTCTTATCAGTTCTATGATCGGTAGAATAGTAGCGAGAATAGTCTTCGGCCAAATACTATAAGGTGCAAAAGAGACACCATCAAAAAAATATCGTTGTATTTTTACGGTTTCCTTGAGGCCAAAGCCATCTATCTGATTTTCATGTATATCGATGACCACTCAACGTCCACTGATGGCACTCTCGTAGCAAGGGTAATCCAAGTAGCCATGACTCATAGGCTGCGCTTCGTAGAACGTCTTTTGATCATATTCCGCGAAGGGTTCCCCATCCTTAAGACGGTTCGGCAGGTCCGGGTTCGAGATAAACAATCTCCCGAACGCCACAAGATCGGCCTTGTTGTTCTCAACCTTCTGAACGGCAGTGTCTCGGGTAAGTCCACCGCAGGTAATGAGTTTGATATCTGACCCTTCCAGGGCCTTTCGGAAGGGATCAAGAGTGAAACGGGCTATAAGGTCCTGGTCGGACAGTGACTGTGCCTTTTCCGCAGATACGCCGCTCAACCGAACCAGCATGGCTTCCAACTTCTCTCTCACTCCGATATCAGGCTCGAAACCGGAATCCGCTTCAATCATGTGCACGTAGATGGGCTTGTTCTTTGCAGGCATGGATGCGAGCTGCTTGCAAATATATACCCAGTGTTCGACTGGATTCGAATCATGGGTATCCTGGAAGTAGCTGAATGGGGAAAAGCGCACGCCAACTTTGTCGGCTCCAATGGCCGAAGTGACGGCTTTGATGATGTCCAGAGGGAAACGGCAGCGGTTTTCGATATTGCCACCGTACTCATCTGTGCGCTGGTTGATATTGTCATTGAGGAATTGATCAGGGAGATAACCGTTTGCGCCTCGACTATGTCAGTATACAACGGAACTAGATAGAACAGCAGACAGAAGAGGGAATATACAATGAACTTCAACTCCGTCGAAGCCAGCCATGACGGCGTTCTTTGACGCATTCACGTATTGCTGGACAGTCTCTTTGATATCGCGCACGGTCATCTTCTGGGGAGGATTGTTTCCGTAAACCGTCCCATCAAACGCACTCCCCTTCAGAGCCACATCTGTCGAGCTAAGTGGCTTTCTACCATCAAGCCATTTTGGCAAGGAAGCACGTCCGACATGCCAAAGCTGGCAGATAATGAAAGCACCTTTCGTGTGCACTGCATCCGTCACCCGATGCCACCCTTCGATCTGTGACTGCGTGAAGATACCCGGAACCCTGGGATAACCCACGGCCTTGAACGAATCATTAGATGAGTTTATTGACTGGACTTTCTGGGTTCAGGAGGCTAGGTACTTACATATCTGTGGATTGGAGAAGCTTCCGAAATGAGAAGGCCGCCATCGGTTGCACGCTGTGTATAATATTCCACGGAGAGACCATTCGGAACGTAAACACCAGGGGACTCTTCAGTAGCACGGCATCGAGTCAAGGGTGCGAGGACAATTCGATGTTTCAACTGGAATTTGCCTAGTCGGAGGGGCTGGAATAGCTTTGTTGATCCCAATGGCCGGATGGTCATTTTCACCGTGCTTCAAATGTGATGCTCGAACTGAAGTCAAATTACAGCAGGGTTCAAGTAACCCTGGGGATATGCGGATAGCTAAACACAGATCTTCTACGGCAACGTTGGGTAATCAATTACAGGCCATAGAATCATCCCCGAGTCTCATAGTCTAAGCTCTGTTGGCTGATCTCGGGGAGGTTCGTTTGGTAAAATAGTCTGTTCAACTCTACTGGTCGGCAGACCAAGATGTGAACAGGGCAAGATTCTGAGAAACAATGACGACAATACGGTGCCGGAGAATAATACGTCATATGCGTCATCGAACACTTCGTACTCGGTACTCTCGGAGAATGTAGAGACGACTGATCTATCCTTATATATCAGCGGGACGACCCTTGTATACCTTGAACTTCATTCCGTCTTATTAGCGCAAAAGAATCGACATATTCAGCTGCTGTCATCCTCCACAAATGCCTCCAGGATCCTCTTCGCCTCCTGCACGTCATCGTCGTTCCAGGGTTTCAGCCCAAAGCTAGCCATGAACATTGTCCATCCGCCGTAGGATTTAACAATTGCCCGCTCGGCGGGAGTGAGTGGTGGTTCTATTGCTGGTTAGTATCGACCATGCATGTTACTTGACTGTCACAGGAAAGTCTCACGGAGGCAATCGGAAGCAGACATCTTATTGGGTTTGTAAAGAGGAGCAAAGCTATCTGGATAACTTTGTTTCGACTCTTTTGAGCTGAAGGAGAGATGTGGATGCTCTGTTGATGCGCAGCAGTACTGACGAGCTTGAGATGCAGCTCTTTAGTGACTTCACGTGTGTATTGAGTAGTTGGTTAAGCTCTGGAGCTCAGGGGTGGCAGCTGCTGGTGGTTCCCATGGTTCAGCTCCTTCCTAGTTCGGCTCAGCCCATATTAGTCAGCATAATATTAGAGGTCACGTGGGGTTTGCCTCGGCTGACCGCCCTCGCTTGTCTGACACACACTAAAATAGTTAGACCAACATAGAGACTAAAGCAAGTTGATCCAACACATAAGTGTAATGGAGGTATATCGTTGGTTGGTTACTAGCTAGATAGGCTACGTGGTGAAAAGGGTCAGCGAGGGCGGACCTATGCGGCAGAATCCCACGTGATCCAACAGCTAGTTAGGGACCGACTCCGCCGACCCCTTTATCAATATAACCACGTCCAAGCCGTCTCTTGATGTCGGTGTTCGGTGCTACTCATTCGCCGTCCCAGCCTATCATAGTCGATTGCTATGTGGGAATCGCTCCACAATTATGAGCTCTCAAGTGCGGTTAGTGATACATATCTACATATCATGTCTGCATAACTGAGGTTTGCCTCCACATCTAGATGTGCTTCATTGTGATCCAATGCCCTGGAACAAGCAAGGCTGCTGTGTGATGTCTATTGATTTCAAACGCTCGATACAGCCAGATAAGAACCCGAGCCCATCCTTCGGGATTTCAGAATTTACACACAAGCTCTGTTTTCCGGTGGAAGAAAGGATCCTGTCTCATTTGAGCTAGGTAAGGAATATTTGTCTTTTATACACAATAGCAGAGCTGCACAAAGAGCGAAGTCGAACTGCCCATGGTCGAGCCACCAAACATAACTGGGAGGAAGAGAATGCGACTCCGTGGCGCTCTCTAACCCAGTGTCAATTTAGCCTTCCACCAGGATTCGTCTTTTCCAGAAAGCCGAACTACATCGCCCAATCCCTGGAGGACAGCATTTTTTTTGGGTAGCTGACAAGACAATAGGTCCTCTGGAAGTTAGGTGATCCGCCAGAAACCTGGCATCGGTTGCGTCACGTGGTTTTTTCGCCAGTGAGGGTTGCAGTCCACAGCTGTTTATTTTGAAGACCGGAAGATCAATTTCCGAAATGTACGGAAGGGAGGCTGATCGGACGGTCGAAATCGGCACGGCTGCGGATGGGAGGTATGGAGACTGACCTATGTTACAAGATACTCGTGGGACGGGCTACTCAGATGTCTCCAGTCGGGTGTGATGTCGATTTGGATGTTTTAACCGCTCGGGCTCTTGTAGAAAGAGTTGGGCTTGCTGCTGAAAAGGACTGGAAGGGGTGGCAAGTAGTTTGTCTTTCACAGCTTTAGGAGCTCCTTGCACAGTTATGAGGAAATCGACATCCTACAGGTTCAATTCAGTCAAATGGGACGCCGATGTTGTAGCATGATTACCGACCTCAGTGGTACGATAGCCCCGAATGTATTTCCAGGGACCCTAGACCTCCAATGGGTGCAATCCTGGCATTCGAGAATTCAGGCATCCCCTGAGGAATACGAATGACAGCGGCGGCAGCAGCCTCAAGTTCAGCGAACAACGGTGCAGACATGGATGATAGAGTGCAAAGAGTAGCAGCACTTCAGTCCTGCAGATGGTAACAGATGCTTGAAATAGAATACTTATATCGCGAGGCCCTGGACACTGGGCAGTTTATACGTGTTCTACTTAGAGCTCGGGGTTTATGGCGCGTAAGGTACATATCACGCTGCAGGTCATCTGATTCGCTTGCCAGCGCACCGCTCACCATTTAAAATGACTAGATTACCGCTGGCAGGCACGACCACATCTTTTAACCCGATTTTCCACCAACATTATATCGATTCGCGTTTCATGTAGCCGCCCATGTGTGATATACGGATTCAAATCATATCAGACCTCCACCTGGAGGCTCCGTCAGCCTAATCTTTAGCATCACCCCTAGGGCGCCTTGTTTAGCTTTGCTCGGCGACGTGGGTTACGTCAAAGATGAGGGCTTCTTCCATTCCCTTCACAAGCAATTAACGGCCTTCCGACTAGTCTTTCTGGTCCTGGGCAATCACGAGCCGTGTCATAGCAGCTGGGCCGAAACAAAAGCTAAGGTGGAGAGTTTCGGAGAGAAGATCCGTGGCGCGCATCCCGGAGATGAGGCGCTTGGGAAACTGATTGTGCTTGATCAAACTCGTTACGACATCTCACCAACGTCACGATTCTTGGCTGCACATTGTTCTCACACGTGGCTCAAGACCAATTGGAAAACGTCAGCTTTGGTCTTAATGATTTCTACCACACCCGCGATTGGTCTCTTGAATCCCACCAAGACGCACACCGCGCAGACCTTACCTGGCTAAATAAGGAGATTCACTCGATTTCCCGAGGAGAGCCAGGTCGGAAAGTTGTCGTTTTCACGCATTATTGTCCTACTAGAGACCAAAACGTCGTTGATCCTAAGGCATGGGAGCAGCCAGCTATCCTCTGGGTTTATGACGGATCTATCAGAGGAATGTTGCTGGAAGAGCAAAGTGGTACCCTTTGGGCTTTTGGACATACCCACTTCAACTGTGATTTCAGAGATTCAAGGACCGGCAAACGAGTGCTATCAAACTAGAGAGGATACTACTTCTCCCAGTCAATCGGGTTTGATGGCGAGAAGGTCGTCGAGCTTTGACGCGAGTGACAGGGTTTGTGGCTTCAAGAGGGACTGGTTTGCGAGAAGAAAGAGTTCGCTTGAATCTTCATACACTACTTTTGATAAAACCATCGCGAAGCATCTTCAGGTGTAGATACATTTTCGGATCCCCTTGTTTCATAGCCCTCCCTCAACCAATTCTCTTGGAAGATATCCGTTTCATCGACGTATTCCAGCAGGTAGGTTAAGATTGCCATCCAATAGGGCTCACGGGGGCTTTCGTGGTCTCGACAAAGCAGAAGAATTATAGCTTCGCAATACCGGACGGCGCTTGGGATTCGTACGGCAGAAAGGTATGGAGGGAAGCGCCCTTGGCCGCGCCCGAGACTTGCTGGGGGAAGTCGAGTGTCAGCTGCCGACATGATATCTGCACTGTTGGCATCAATCTCAAAGTCAGGAAGATCCCAAAGCATGTCAGACTTCCTATGCAGCGATATCACAAGCTCATCATTGATATGCAGGTGTGCAGCAGTCGCCAAACATGGGGCCGCGTTCAGGCATGGACATTTTGGACCTTGTGTGCATGAGAGAAAGCCTGCATGGGAGAGAGTAGAGAAGCCGGTTTCGATAAGTGCATCAGGTACAACAAAAGAAACGCATTCCGATGTTCTGCATCGCGCACAATCTGGATAGAGCCCTCCGATTACCCACCTTTGTGCTGCTGCCCCGACCAAAAATCCTCGGTCTAACGTTGCAATACTGAATTACATGCACTCTCTCCCAGGCTTTAATGTGTCGGAGTTTGTGGACTTCGGAACTAATGTCGACATATGCGTCCAGTGATGTCGTTGGGGAATAGAGACAATAGACCGACAGAGACGAGTAGTACAAATGCAAAGATGTGTGTCAACTTCGAGGGGCTGCTTTCGGTCTCTGCAACTACTTTCACCGGCAATCGATACTCAATTATGGCGGAAAGTTGCAAGATACTGACCCTTGACAACTTAAAGATTCCCTCTTGTCGTGAACCATGTAAATTATAGTAGAATTGGTTTGTGATCTCACGGCCCTTGGGCTGTCCGTAGGATCCCTTTCATTTGATCATAGAGTCCTATGTCTTCCTTCGCCCATCTCCTCCCATTAGGAAAGACTGCCTTCCGCAGTTTGTTGATGCATGGAATAAGTGGCTGGTAGTACTCTGTAAAGTACACATTCGCCGTCCGTATGAAATCCGCTTCATCCGAAATCAGGCCTTTTTTTATAGCAGCCAACTCCTCTGTATCCACGTAGTTCCACTTGTCGAATCTTGCAACAACTCTACCCTGACCAGGGCCCTTGTAGTGGATGCATATCCAGAAAATTACCCAGAAGAACGACTCAAGGTCATGCATGAAAGAATGTTTCTCGTCTAGAAGCGAGCCGATTGCCATAAATGCCCCGGTGCCAGTCTTTCCGTTTGCCCCGGAGGCGCCATCTCGCGGCTCTCGGATAGCCAGGTCAAGATCAATCAAGAAAGATGGCCAGGATGGATTCTCTTTGTCTTCATTGATCATGAGGTTATTGACTGAAATATCTCGGTGTAAGATCCCCGCCTTTTGCAAAGATTGGTGTCCTGCTATGCATCCCTCTAGCGCCACAAGTAAGGCCTGGCGAGTGCTGGCTTCGTAAATTGGTGCGCCATAATCGCGTAGGACGACACGGCGGTGAACTCGATTTGGTAATGCGTTGCCGGGCGCTTTGGTAGATGACGAACAAGATCGCTTACTTGGAGGCAGAGAGGCATCGGTTTGACTAGAAGACCGTTTTACGCCTGACCTACCGCTGCTCCGACCCTTCCGCGGGCCATCAGCTATGTTGGTACCAGTGAATACCGCGAGTCTTCCCGGCCGATAATTGCTCGCAGTCCTGATATCCAAGCCACCCCGAACGTTGTCCTGAACGTCGTCAATCTTATCTCGAACGTAAACAGTACCGTGGTGATAATAACGTGCGACGTTAATTACCCCTGCTTGAGTAGCTTGTTGGAGGAGGTCACCCTCTTCCTCACGCTCAGTGTATTGCCAGGAATCCTTGACGACGAGGGGTATCCCAGGGGCATCTTCGCGGTACGCCTGCCAGCATGTTGTTGCTCGACCTGCAATACAAGGTGCTCGTTTCATCAATTTCCGAAGGACGAGACGCTCGACTTGGCCGTGCCGCTCTATCTCAATGTATCGAAGGCCGTCTTTTTGGCTGCTTGTGGGATCAAACCCATATTGCTCATCACTCATCCATAGGAAACCGAGAATGGTGAATACAAACTGGAAACCATTCTCATTGATGTCAAACCGTTCAGAAGCGACTCCCCCGAGACGGTCGAAGGCCCATATCCTCATGAACGATCCACATATGGTAAAACCTAAGACGAAGCGGCGGGTATCTTGTGCCGCAAGCACTTCTCTAGCGTACCTCCCCAAGTCAAGCCATGCCTTGGAAGCAGCATCGGCTGATGGATTGCTCTTCAGCTCTCCAGGCACGAGGATCTGTGACCACTGACACCGACTATCCTTTCCGGCGCTAGCGTCGCTAACAAAGCCAATGTCCAGCTTACGCTCTGCTGTGGAGCCCTGGATTGGCTTGTTGGGCTGGGCAAGTGGCCTTCGTGGTTGTATCGACTCTGGATGGTAGTCTTTGGAGAGTTTAGCAAGTTTTTCGCTCACATCCGCAAACCATGTTAAGACATCCTCCTGATTTGCATCACTTGGCCACCCCTTCCAACCATTAGCAAAAAGTGCATTTTCCCCCTCCGTACATCTTTTGAAAACGGCATGAGACGCTGACTGGAGACCACTAATGCCTCCAAAAAAAGTCGAGTGGAAATGTGGGATTCCTATGTACAGAGCCCCAAGCTCTGACTTGAGGACCCGGTCAATGTCTTGACGGTATTCGGAGGAGTTTGCGAAGCTACTCGTCTTGTGGATCCACGGGGTCTGCTGGAAGGAGGACGCAATCTCTCGAGGAGGTGGGGTGCATTCGGTGACTGCGTCATACACACATTGCCAGATGTCGCTATCTGCTTTGCGGGAGATGGTTGCAGTCAAGAGAGGCCATATACGCGAGGAGTCGAACGTTTCAGAAGCAACCGCAGAGATCAACCGCCGCAGATCGTTCTGGACAGTTCCATGACTTGTTTTAGACGGTAGGACTCGAGCGGCGGAGAGACTCCTCAGAGCAAACAGAAGATCAAGTGTAATGTTCTGGACATCTGCATGACAGTTAGACGGAAGAGAGCTCCAAAGACGCCAGGAATCTTCCCTTCTTGGGCGAGGTGACTGAATGCATCCGGCGTGCAGGGTAGTGCCCTTGCTTCACAGATCGAATTGAACGGAGTAACAAACGGGTCAAGACTCCTCCCAATAGAATTTTCCATGCCGAGCATCAATATGCCCAGATCTCGGTGTCCAACTTGGCATTGGAAAAGGCAGGACCGATGAACTTCTGGATGAGATCAGCAGCCTCCCAGTCATAGACGTACATGGTCGGCATGCCACTGGCACTGTGCAGCGGTTCGTTCTGGATAGTGATGGCGTTGACGTGGGCGCCCAGATTCTCGTACGCCTGGATGTACTTGACAAAGTACTGTGCGAACTGGCTAGAATACCCCGTGCTCCCGGTGCCTCCACTGGTCAAGTAGCCGTCGTTTAGGTTATTATTCTCTTCATTTCCCTGGATAACACCGTTCAGCTTCATCCATCCCGGGGCGCTCCACGGGGAACCGAGGATCTTGAGGTTCGATTGGACGGACTTCATCTTGGCAAGGAGCTTAGCCATGGCGGTTCCACGATCACCGAGGTTGAAATTCGACAGGGAGGTGTCGGTATTGCCTCCATTGTCATCATACGTGTAGACAGGGTCGGCGGATAGATCAGAGGCTCCGATGGTATGGCGCATGAAGCTGAACCCGGCACCGGCAGAGGTCATCAGGTCGTTGAGGAGGCTCTGGAGCTTCGAGTCCGAGAGGGAGTTGAAAACCGAGACGGTGGCATCGGTGACGGCAGCACCAAAACCGGTAATAGTCTGTTTGTGGCCAGAGGAGGTATCATCGATGCTCAACTTCCAGGTTGACGCCGAACCAGGATTGCCGTCACCTTGTACGGGGGCGTCAATGGGCGAGAGCTTGTAGTTGTTCCCATTGGAACAGTATGCGGAAGCCGAGCCAGCACGTTTCCCGGGGGCAGCCTGGCTAAGAGCAGCCAAGGCAAGAGAAAGGAAGACAAGACGAACCATATTGGATGGATCTTTAGTCTGTCCGGATCAGTTTGAACCAGAAACAACTTGACGAACTCGAATACTCGGGACCGTGGACGATTTTATAACATTCTCGTCACCCCCTTCGCTGCGAGTGAATATGAGAGATTGGCTTACTCCTACATTCACTGAGCCTGCGCAGTGAGAAGTGAATTGATCATCACCGTGAACACCCGGTGGGATCAGTCATGGGTCAGTCATGGCATTGGAGCGACGTTTCATCGAACACCAAAATAAGGGGAAAGCTGCGAGGAAGGCACATCACATTGCCATTACTAGAGCGCGCCACACACGGCAGAGAAGGCAAGCAAGGAGGGCTGGATAGGTCATCCAACGAGCTCGGTGGGCAGATTGCATTCGATGCTCGGGCTGCAGCCAGTCTGGCTGGCCGATTACGTCTGTGCACTGGATATTTCTCTTCAGGACGCATTACAAGGTTCAAGGAGGAATGAGGATTGAATGGGAGTTACTGTTCAGGGTAAGGATTACCATTTCCGGCACATCATGCATGCCCTAACTCATTCCGTGTTGCAGGGTCGTTGTCCACCGAAGAACGGTAGACTCCAGCAGACGGCCTGATTATGCACATGTTCTTCGAGTAATAAAAGCTACCGCATCCTTATGATAATCATAATCATTAACTAACGCATAATGAATGAATCACGAAGGATTTCCGGCTCCGCACAGGTTGACCTTTAATCTCCACGAATCGATCGAGTATCTGACAGCGAGATCTTCTCACGACTGTTTATGTTCTGAAGTAAAGAGCATTCATGTGTTCTGAAGTGAATAACAATGGCAATGGCCATAGATAGTGAATTCTGCTGTGTAGTATGCACGGGTACAGGCACGGCTGACTCTTGGATAGATCACTCTCTTGCATCACAATGTTACCTCACATTTGCCTATTTCTGCTTTAGCTATGGCTGAAGTGGACAATGCGCATTGGACAATTCGGGTCTCGCGGTTATGCACGTTTCATTTCACGTTAGCTGTGTAAAGGTGGAGATTATGCACTTCACTATATCGGCAAGGCTTCGTTCGAATATCCCGCCTATGGTAACTGCACGAGTAGAAATGTAACAGTGCCATTCTATTAACCTTAACCCTGATCAGGTAGTTAATTCAATACAGTCTACAATTTATCCCTAGAGCCGAATCGCATGGTTCCAGACACTGTAAGTACTTGAATGTTGACGCTCTGGTTTACTAGGAAAGTAAATGGAAATCCTCCGACGGATCCTTCAGCACTGAAACTGCCCTGTTTCATCTGTCCTGATCAATCCTCATGGCTCCAGCGGGAAGCGTTTGAGCAGGATTCCCGTTATTCCTTCGTCAACCTCGGACAAACCCCGCTCTCTTCCCCATGCTTCATCCCGGGGATTCAGAAGCTGCAGGATCAGGGGCATGGGGCTGTTCATTGGATGCCTCCGATATGCCGTTGGCTTGGCAGGAACAAAGGGAATACTATCTATATTACATGACTGTAGTACTAAGTACCTGTACCCTTGAGCGAGAACGTATGATGCTGTGTTTAGGAAGTGTTCTATGTGGTAGCATTTCGATCTTTCGATCCTGCAGGGCCAAGGTAAGGAGGTAGCTTTTATGTTGAAGCTATTTCCTGTATTCTTCGTTGAATAGCAAAGTCTGCTAGCAGTTAACCAGATCAAATGAGACACACAATGCATAATGTTCATGGGAGTATATGCACTTCCTCTGATGGTACTAGTCGAGCAGGACATCAACTCGCAACTCGTGCAGCGATAGACCGATCGGAAGAGCCCCTGGGACAGACTGCATTCCTTGAGGTGAGAGGATGTCATCGTCCGTATATTCAAATGCTCCGTGACGAACAGATACTCCGTAGCTAGGAATACACTTCCCACTGAGCTAAACGGACACCCCTCTCCGCGATGTCATCAGCCGCTGGCTAATCGCTTCGACCCTCTTGAATTCCGACATTTTCACAGTATGCAGGACCGGCCTGTTAATCAGATACCGGGGCAGGGCGAAGCGCAGGAGATAGAACCTGCGAATCTCAACAATCGTCTTTATTGCTGTTGTATAGTACCAAGGGCTATCTTTCCATCTGTAGTAAATCAGCAATATACTCGCTGCATTAAAGATGCGAGATTCGTACACCATGACCCTTCTTAACCGATCATCAATCACCGTAGCTATAACCTTCTTCCCGATATTCTGCATGAATGTCGGCTGTTCATATAGCAACAAGTCAACCGTCTCCTTGGCAATATGACATTCGTATCGGCGGAAACTGGATATCTCCATTGCATCTCCGACGGATTTCCAGAAGACACCACTATAGTCGTCAACGTCGTACTGAAACCGTCCAGATCAAGCTGGCTTCCAGAGCACACTGCTCCAAATCGGTCAGCTCTCGCTATTCGTAGCATTGGATGCCCCTGCTCGGCTCTAGGGCAAAAAGCGATGTCGTTGTGGCTGGTTTTCCCTGTTCGCCGGTACTGTTTGCATTCCTACCAGTGGAAGGTCCTCTGTTCTGTTTCCCCGGCGTCCTACTCGTGCAGAAAGTTCATTCTTGCAATTGCCGTCGTCGCCCTCTCTGACTCGGGAGGAGAAGTTATGAACTCGGCGATCGGCACGGAGGTATCAACAACGACAAGGCGCTGTTATCAGTCAGTGGAGGGCGTATTATAGTTATGAACGTGAATTGAGAGCCCTTCTCAGTAACCGCTTTATCCAAAAGCTGCCTCGTCGGCGCAAGCAATTTGCTAATAGTCGGGATACCGTACGTTCTATGCATATGACTCTTGTTACCCTACCCCTACAGAAAATAGAGTTCTGGGATGAGCACAGATACATACCCGAACAACGCAAGCTCCAGACTTCTCCCGCTGTATAAGGAAACTCGAACCGGAAGATATACTTCTGGGTCTATGCGTGCTCGTTCTTCATTTTCGAAAAGCTCTGCCGGCCTTTGTACGGACAGCGACGGGCCACGCTTTACACGCGGCGGAAGCGGAGGGTTTTCTGGGTTTGGATATATACTAGTAATGCAACTAGTAATGCAGCTAGGAGTATATAGGGCCAGCCAAGGGCTGAAGAGGACTATACTAAAAGGTCAATCATGGTGCATGCAACATGCAACCGTAGGTTCGAACAGACATAGATAACCTGTCTCAACAGATGGAGAGCGGCCAAGCGAGCGGCAAGATTGAACTCATGGAACGACTCCCCGTCGACAAGGAAGCGGATCGTTCCAATGTGCTCGTAGAGAATCTGCCCATGCCATGAAGTATGGTAACTCAAGTAAAGAGGCAATAGATCTCCGACAGAAGGAATTTTGCAAGCCACTCCGGCCTAGCAGTGTACTTTTCCAGCTCGAGCGGGTCTCCTTTATAGCCACTATCCCGATGGATATGCCGCGCTAACCACCGGGGATAATCAACGCTGTCTGGCGGGAACGGCAGCTCAGACTCGGCAGACTGGAAATTGAGAATCAGCGTCCCGACCGTTACATCGCGATCCTACCCGGAAGGACAGATTCCAGCGGGTCCCTTTCTTTTCATCCACAGGGCCATACCGCGCAAAGCGCGCGAGCAGAGCGTAAAAGCTCCAGTGCATCCCGAGACGGCCCCCATCCCCGGTGTGCCGGAAAGCGGTCTTCCTGGAGATGATGTGGCCGAAAAGACGGACATCGACGAGAAGAGTAGAGACACATTGGTGATGCGCGGTACAGACAGCCAAGTGGGGAAGAGGTCGAGGTCATCCAGGACGGAGATGTCGAGATGGTAGTCTGTAGGCGATGATTGCACGCGGTCAAGGACCGACTGAGTCTCGGCGGAAATTTGACCGTTTGTCAGGAGAAGGGAGAGACAGTTTGAAGGGCAATGCATGCTGCGTTTCTCATGATAGATCTTTCCATTGCTGCCTAGCCATGCCCTATATGCGATGTCCTTATACTCAGCTCAATTCAACTTGGATGGTGCAGCAGGCGGCGCGGTGAGCGTTCAGAACGTCTTCAATTATGAGGACACGGACCTCTCGAGGGAGATCCAGCAGAGAAGGCATGATTCGGATTGCTTGTATCACCGATTGATGATGTTGCTATCAGACATTGTCGCAGTGAAAAGTTGCAACGTAGTTAGCCTACCCCTTTAGAAATGAGCCATCTTCCTACGGAGGTGGGGTCCAAAGGAGATTGGCATGCTAGTAGGATTGGGTGTAACTGCAAGACAGGCCACCCTAGTAATTTATATGTGCCAGCGTCTTAGTCCATACCGACTGGTAGGTTATTCAAAATATGAAGCTATTCCCACCACATAATCTTCAAATTTGATGATTTTGATGGCGGTGAGACTAGTCCCCATGATCCTCCCTCACGTCTAGATAGTCTACCCTTTAATCGCTGCTTATGAGATGGAGCTCCATCCTCAAGAACTATAGCATCTGGCTGATCAACCAGACATTCCTTAGCAAAAGGAATAAGCTTTGGATCAGGACCTAAGAGAAAAAGAATTGGTTAGTAGTGATACGGCTGTGGATAGTTATGGAAAGTTATATTTAATTTCCAGACAGTATCAAAGTTTTATACCTTATCATTTACCTAATAATACTATGTTGTGATGCTGAACCATCTGTGATTGTCCACAAATATCTTCAAGGTTAATAATAGTTTATACCTATTTGTAAGGGATGTAGCTGGATCACCTACGCTCACCAGCTGTCTCACATTGCAGTTGGGCGCAGGGTGAAGTTGGGCAGGTGGTGTCTGCACCTCAAGAAAACAAGGCGAAGCAGGCAGCCGGCGGCCAAGTTTTATACCCATTCTGTTATTATAATGGCTAGACCTGCTTCCAGGATACCACCTAACTGATACTCTGCGGATAGAAATGGAGTCTAGTAACATATCCAAATTACCAGAGCCATTCAGAACGGCCGTGCAGAATAGTCGGCTATTGAAATGGGAGCGAAGTCAGGTTATGGAGATGGCAGGATGCTGACCAAGTTTGTTCCTGAAGGATAACAGACAGGACGTCTCCCTTACTATATGGGTTGGCGATGATGATGGGTATCGCCTCAACAGCATCTTAGGGTTAAATTCGCAGTCTCCTCCTAAACTTTGATGAAAAACACACTAGCACCTCTGACGCAGACAATATACCTGGCAGGAACTTTGTATGGTAAATGTTTGGTCGTTGGTATTTTCTTGTCTTTGTGTGCTTCATATCCCTGTGTTTGCTCATTGTATATTGAAAGAGAATAGCCCATGAAGAATATCTTCCTCTCTTATTTGACGGTATCAAACGAATGACTTGGGATATCCTCTTCTTCTTGTCCAGCTAGAGCTTCATTGCCTCTCTAATAAGCACTTGTATCAGTAGTTGTCCATCAGCAGAAAAACAGGCTAACACAAGAGAGAATCTCACAGCCATAGTGAACATCTCGGGATGCAAGGTCAAGGATAATTTGGATTATTCACGTCAAGGAAAACGGTTTGACTGCAAATGACTCTCTTATCTATCTCCATATCCCCCACTTCACAAGCCGATCAAAGTTTCCTGGCAGAGCACGAAATGGTGTTCAGCGCTGAGCGAAACCTTCTGAAAAGTTGAACGGGAACGGGATGTTGCTGGTGACGGCAGGTAAGCCCGCCCATATGTCCCTTTAAATCGACCAAAAGCAATTGGAAGTGCGCCTCGCCATATTTGAACACACGTTGTGCAAGGAGAATCAGCCCGTATGCTGCCATTTTTCGGAATTCGACAACCTGATACAGGTCTGGGTTTTTGGCATGCATGAGTTTCCGCCATCCAATAAACACGTTTCAGATGGAATACTCGCGCACAGCCGCGGTCTTTTCTTCCGGGGAAAGCCCAGAGAGGTTCGGCCTTGGTTTCAGGTCGAGCGTCTCAGGCTCAAGCCCATCCCAGTCGAGGAAGGCTGGATCGGGATTATGGTTGAAGAGCGGTGAGACACGGCAGAATTGCCAGTTGATGATACCTGTGATCTTTTCAGGGTTATGTGGTCAACGAAAATGTTGCCATCATACAAATCATCATGCCAGAGGCACGGGCTGGTGATGGCAGTGTCCTTCGGGATAAGAGCGTCGACGATTTGTCGGTACCATGCTTAAGCAGTAAGCTTCTTTTCCTTATCTGGACAGTAGAGCGTTGGGCCACAGAATAAGGCAATCTGTTTTGGGAGTTTCAAAGACTGGATTGCCTTCATCTCTCACGTCCCAACTGCTTGCAGATACTGCGCCAGGGAAACCCCTACAAACTTGTCAGCGGTTGCATGAAGATAGTACGAATCCTGACGTACATGGCCCTCTGTCGGTGTCCAAAATTGATCGGCTCCCATCAAACCAATTCCGGCCCGTAGCTGGGCCAATAACAAACTCTGAATCTTTAACGGCCTTGCCGTCCTTAACGTAGTGGTTGCCTGCTGGTAACTGCACGTCTCCCGCGTAGTACGAGTTGCCATAATGAGAGAGTGAAACACTTAGCCAGTGCTTCTGCAGACGTGTCATGGCAAGAAGCACTTGGAGCTACTGGGTAGTCTCATCATGCCCCAGACTTGAGACAGTGGAACACCCTCAGAATGAACGTACAAAATCCGTCGTGGTGACTTCACTGCTTCACTGGCCGCAGTAAAGTGTGGAATGCCAGCATCTGGGTTAGGCACCTTAGCTACGACTTCTCGTCCATCTTCCATAGTCATGAGGAATGCTTTATTGAACATGCCGTCGGGGTACTTCTTGGTAGAAATGCATTGAGCAGCGCCGACTGAGTCTGCCACAATACTTGCGAGCCTGTTATGCTGAATCTGATCTCTCGCTTTCAAAGATTCTCCGCCTCATCTACAATAAAGCGGCCGCGCGTGGATTTGAAGAATTCATCATTAGAATTCCAATCTGATGCAGATGAGTTATACGTTGGAATCGCACTCAGATGGACATGCTTACCTGTCTGAGAAAGGCCATGCTGGCGGGATAGTGATTGTAAGATAGGGTCGGGGCTCTCAAGATTGAGCGGCAGCGTTGCTTCGGGCTTGATGGAATGTGGCACCGAAGACGCGGATGGGGGTCGGCACATATTATGAAATATAACGGCTCTGACGACGCCTACCTTCCAGGGAAGCGCATATCACTCGATCCTGAGAACATCAGATTGTCGAGAAGATCAAGGTAATGGCTTTAATGAGGGTATTGAGTAGTTGGTTGAGCTCCGGAGCTCGGGAGTAGCAACTAGCTAACTAAGCGTACCATGATCACGTGACTTCTAGGTCATGTTAGTAATGGAGGTGTATCGTTGGTTGGTAACTAGCTAGATAGGCCTACGTGGTGAAAGGGTCAGCGAGGGCGGACCTATGCGGCAGAATCCCACGTGATCCAACAAAGCGTACTATGAGCACGTGACCTCTAAGTCAACAGGACTATGAGGACTTGGGAGTAGACTAAGACGCTGGCACGTATAAATTGTTGGTGGTCCCCATGGTTCAGCTCCTTCCTAGTTAGCATATTTTGACCCCCGCCAACATAAATTACTATGGTGGCCTGTCTTGGAGCGTGACAATCTCCGTACAGCGCATAAATGCCAAGACCGCTAATCTGCATCAGGGATAACCCCATAATTACCCTATTAGGAAGTATCCAAGGTACGACAGATGCTCGAAGAACAATCACTGCCTTCTCCAGACTATAGAGAATAGGGGTCATGGAGAATGTCAATTCAAGGTTCATCCACTGCTCCACAGTTCTTTACCCGACCTGTGACAAGAACCGCTGTGAGCATGTCTTACCCTGCAACCCTCGCACCAGAGTAGCATTGCCTCGCTAAGTATAGAATGGAGCAGGGTGGAACAGACGCTGGATAGATACTTTCTATTCATCCGTCTGCACTCATCAGATCCGTATGTCCCTGCCACTGCCCCTGTCAGACACCGGCCCATGCAATTCCAACAAGTGGCGAATACAATGCAGGATGCTGACACCCAGACAACGACGACCTCCCGGAACGCAGAAGTTACATCTGAAGCCTAGAATAAGACCTGGATTCACCGATGGAGACGTTGCTTCCAGTCATGCTGATCTTGGAAGTCCCATTCTGGATTCTCCATAGATGCTGACGTGGGTGATTTGGGAACAGTCCATGGCTATACCGAGGAATCTCGGTTAGTTGGTCAATCAACTATCTCACTAACTGAACTTGCTTAGCATCGGTGATATGAAATGGTATGAAATGGCAAAAGAGATCGCAGCAGCAGATCTCATCATACGGTACTATCTGACAAGAATAAATAACCCTCCGGATCCAATCCCGCGGTTCCCTGGGATGCATAGCCTCAAGAACAAGCTGCTGGTCAGAAAATATTTTTAGCCAAACTTGGCATTATCATTGTCTTGTCGTGCTCTTGACGCAATGGCCGAATTCTCCTCTTCCACAATATCGGGTGATGCTGATCTACAACAAATCCGCATGTCGATTCGCTCGGTCTCGGACTGCATGTATAAATAGCTGCTGGGGATCATCCATCCTGTGGATTCCCGCCCGAACGCGCCGTTTGAGTCTGCAGGTATAAATAGGAGCACTCATCAGCTCAAGCCCCCAGTATTCAGTGCCCGCCACAACCGCTCAACCGCTCAACCCACAAAATGCGTCTCTCCTTCGTCGCTGCTGTCACCGGCCTTCTTGGCCTCGCCTCGGCCCGAATCGAGGGCTTCGCCGTCCCGAAAACTATCAAGCCAGGAGAGAGCTTCGACGCCGTTCTCATGGGATATAACTATATCCAAACCGTCGCTGAGATCGCGGCCGCGTTCGGCGTGCAGCCCGGTCAGGGATATCCGGGTGCCATTGGAACGTCTCTCGGTTCTGTGTATCTGGGCCCTGGTATGTTGCCGTCTTCCCGGGGTTGTCTGCTATCCAAATACCCTCATTACACGTAAACTGACAAGGGTAGCAAACTCAAACAAAATCGGAAACCTCTCTTTCCCCGTGACGATTCCGGCAGACACAGCAAAGGGACAGGCAAGCGTGTCGGCAGCCCTCTTCCAGATCTATGGTGCTTCCGGCTCGCCCAGCGTTGAGATCTTCAATTTGACTGTTACCCTGGGTGATGTGACGAGCACAGAATATGTCAGCACCGACCAGCCTCAGTAGGGATCTTGTTACCTGTCTTGCTCGAGCCGCGCGTTTGTATGCTACTCTCCTTGGTCGATCCGGGAGGGAAGCAAGCTGTTTTGAAAGTGACTACTCTGGGTGGCGTTGCATTTGTAATAGCTGCATTGCATGTTGATTGTCAAATTGACCACTGTGTTCTACGCTTCTATAAATGGGTTAGATAGACTTGGGAGGACAGATGATCTACGAGATGCCCTAACCTCCCTGCTCCACAACCACACAGTAATGGAGATTCCCTGCTGGGTTCATGCAGACATGCATCTGGCACCACGCTGGCAACGTGCAGGAACGAGATAGCCAGATGGCATGGGATGCATATGCAGTAGATGAACAATGCCTATACGAACCCCCTCGACAAGGTCAAGGAATCTCTTCATAAACCCTATCTCCTCTCTTCGGACGAGCCAGAAAATCATCCGGCACGTTCTCCGAAAGTTGATTCTCCTCTGCCCATCTCCGAACCTCCTCAAAGTTCCTGCACCGATGGTCAAGATCTCCCCTCCATTTATAGCCAGCTGTACTTCCTGTGATGAAAGCCAAAGCAAGAGCTATGATCTGCAAGAGGATAATCCCTGTTTTCCGCCGTCGACTGGGCTGTTTCTGATGCAGTGTTTGCCGTCCTTCTTCCTCTGGTAGAAGCTGTTCATCGGGACCTGCCTCTGCGTCCGGGTTAGGGCTGGGTATGGTTATTTTGTCCATATCTCAGGAGAATCTGCTCTCTCCAGAGCAGAATACAGGGGTTAAAGAAGTAAAACGAATCCCAACACCAACCGCCAAGAGATGAGATGATATCCATGACGCCAACCCCAGCAGCAGGATCGTGGAATCCGGCGGCTGGAGACACCAAATTCTTGATATCATCCAGCTTAGTTTTGCGTCTACCCTAGACCGAGACTGTTCGGAATGATGAGTCTATTTGGTTACTGCCTTTAGATCTAGAATAAATCTATCGGGTAGTATTCAATATGATAGAAAAATATCTAACCGTAACGCCATACATCAGTCCATCAATTAATTCATTGACCCAATTCCCGCCGTGCCTGGTTGAGTTCAGCCTCAGACGGCATATTAACAATGGCAAGATACAGCACTTTCTGTTGGCAAGATTAGATTGGCGCATGCACAAGGGATAGATAGAGATACATACCTTTTGATATACTTTCCTCAGAAGCCCTATCCCCTTCTGATCACCACGAGATAAACCTAAACCCGCTTGCCTGCTATTAAATCCCGGAGAAGGATCGTTGCGTCCGACTCCATTCGGAGCAGAAGCACCGGTGGACGACTGTCTCTGACTCAACTGGCGACCCACGTCAATAGCGACTCCGAGAAGACCTCCACCTCCGAGAAGGCCTCCTCTTCCACCGGGGAGTCGCTCTCTGCCTCCGATGGACCGACCGTAGGAGCCATTCTGCCCGTTCGAGTAATAGGCGTCTTGGTCTTGGTACCCGTTTCGACCACCACCACCACCACCACCGAGGGAACCACGAAGGCCACCTCCAAGAAGGCCGCCGCCGCGAGACGAAGAGACATGGCCGCCTGTTACCAGGGCAAGAAGATCACCGCTACTGGCAGGGTGATTGGGATCCGCATACCGCGAGGTGAAGGTCGGTTTTGGTCCTTGATTCAACTGGCTGTTGGGGTTTTCCGCGATCTTTTCCTGTCAGCGAGGATTAAAACAAAAAAAGGTTGAATGGATGAAACTCACAAATTTAGCCTGTGCCCTCTTATCCTTATACTTCTCAACAAAGGCTTTCGTTTTCTTCATTTTGGAAAGTTTCTTCTCGGCGTCCTGATCCGTCACCAGCTTGTCAAGGTCTGGAAACACCAAAGGTGCAACCTCTGGGAAGATATTACCGTATCCCTTTCCATCGGATGATTTAAATCTATTCCGGAGTCGCGCGAGTGTGCCGGCGTTGCTGGCGTTGGTCGTCTGCGAGATGATGGAATTCACATCCACCGTCATGGAGGGGGCATCCACCAACTCGGGATTCCAGGTCATCACCAGACAGAATAAGCCGCGTGGGATAAAGAACTCTTTGTTCATTTTTGCGAAGAATGTGTTGGTCCTGGTATGTTCAGTTTTGACTCAATACGGAAAAACAGTCCAACTGCACCGCTATTGACTCACCTTTGACGCCCATCGGCCGCAATGGCAATATCCGTCGCGATCTGAATAGCGATTGAAACGGCCATGCCAGTAACGCTAGGCAGACACATTGTCGCAAGAGAAGCCAGGTTAATGGCGTTCAGCCACTTGCGCGCCAGACATGCCTTCTCGGCGGTATCGAGGAAGTCAATAAAGGTTTTCTCGTCGATATCAAAGTCCGCGAGACAAGGCGCATAGGCACGGATAAAGCCGCGCGTGCGATCTTTGGGTCGACGCTGTGGTAGAACAACCGGCGCCATTAACTGGGGCGCAGGGGCATCTGGCGACAGGGTATACGGTGGTGGATGCTCAGAAACGAACTCGCGGGCGAGTCCGGCCTCATCTAGTGGTTCACACGCGGCATTCTTCTCGTCCAACTCGTCTTCTGGATGTTGGGATTGGGCGAGAAGCTCTTCTTGTGCCTCGTCGAGTTCCCATTGCTCCTCTAGAGTCTCCACGACAGCTCTGTCCGGGCTCTGTGTCCTGCCATCGTGGTGCTCGCTCGGGTAGTAGCCATTGTCTTCAGGCAGGCTTCTGTCTATCTGAACCGATTCTCTGGACCGCGTCTGCGTCTGCTGTTGCTGTCTCTGCTGTTTATGGGCCTTGTGGGCATGGATTCCCTCCGACACGAGACCAATGCCAGCCGCGAGGCCCTGGATAGCTTTCTTGCCTATGGTCCCCATTGCGTTGAGATGGATATAAAAGAAATAAATGGAAATAATGGGAAAACAGGCAGTGATTATTTAGGAATGAATTGAAATAATTCCAATGAAGAAGTCTTGAAAAAAACACCTGGGCGAAGACAGTATTTATAGAGCCCAACTGTCCAGGCACAGCCAGTAAGCCGCACAGCATGCCTGGATCGGCAAGTGAATCGTTTAGAACATGCATCAATCTCGCAAGACCGACTATCTTGCCAAATAAGCCGTAGACAAGCAGCAGCCAAGCAGAAAGGCTAAGCAACGGCTTCACCTTGGCTTGCTGTCAGACCTTAGCAAAGCTTAAAAGCCCCGTCCTGCCCTAATCGGGTAACCATTGCGAGCCCCAAGCCACAGCGGCATCTCTGTGGATCTTCACTCTGCTTTCGGCTCGAAGGATCCAGCTCTCGCTGACGGCTGGTTTCGCTAAAAATAGATATACCTCCAAACTTACGCCCTCTACGGAAGGAGTAATAGGAGACGAAATTGTCGACGAGCTGTTTGGCATTAAGCATATTCAGTCGGGTTTCTCATCCTGGAGCGGCTCCAAGACACTCAGACGACAGAATTTGCAGGGAGCTGTGTTTATGTTCAATACAGACAGTTCGTCAGGACCGCTTCAGGGTGAAGACAGGGTATCCTCTTGGAAAAGATGGCATCTTGCATCTTTGTAGCTGGGCATAATGATTCCCACTATATGCCGATTACATATAGCAATTACAGTAGACCGCACTTCTCAACGCTAGAATCTGGTTAGAACCAGTCTCCTAGAGTCCTCATATGGCGGAGGATCCAGGTTGAAGTGATCCCGGGCGCAGCGAATAGATCTCGGGTCGATATAGTTGCCCTCCCTAAAACACCGGGGGCACAGATCTGGCACCTGGACAGCCGATGAATCACAGGGTGCTACAGCCTGCATTCCGGCGGTTTTGAAGCGCATCTGGATGAGCCCAGAATCAGGGCAAAAGTTCTAGGACGGCGGTATTCTCCTGATAATGCCGCCGTAAGTACAAACAAATGGCTTCGCGTTCCACCACAGCACGACGTTCGATCCACCATATCACAGGTGCAGACGCATCGTACCAAAGTGTCAGCAGTACAAGCGCGACAGGATCCTTCTCTTCCAATAGCTTCTTGAAAGACGGCTGCATACCAGCGATGAACCTGAGCGCCACCGTCTTGGTACGCTGTTCACGCGGCAGTCTGCGAAGCGGAGCAAGCGTGTGCACTGCCATGAAGTACGGGTTATTCTCTGGCGTGGACGTCTCTTCAAGTCCACAGAGAGATGCTAACTCCGGTGGGATACCATCGGAGCCAACACTGGCGATGGGACTGTGCAATTCCATGTACATGTCAGCCATCACCCGGAATACGCTGTCTGGACGCATGGGGTTGGCCAGTTGCCATACGGCAGCTTTCCCCTCGGACATCCGGATCCATTCCAGATCAGATGGATCGTCCGGCTTCAGCGGCCAGGCTTCCTCCGGGGATGATGCGTCCAGGGATGAGAAAACAATGATACCGATGAGAGTTGCAGTCGCCCACAATGGATCCTGATCCTGCGGCTGGAGAGGTTTGGATAGTTTCCGGTTAAAGAGCGCAACGGACTGGGTAGAGTGATAGATCTCCGTCAACGTCCGCCTGCTATGGCCTGGTGTGGTCAGATGGCGATCATGAGCAGCAGTGAGTGTCAGGATGATATGCATCAAATAGGGATTCTGGTCACATCTCAGTAATCAGGGCGACTTGTGCAACAGCAAAAAGGCAAATGGAGCGCTGACATAGAAAGCCATTTCGAGGATCTTCCCCTGATAGAGCTTCCCCATGGCGTCTTCCCCGAAGGAGAAAACGGTCCGGGCGCGAAACCGTTCCAATCGATCGAGGCAATCCGTGTCCAGTTCGAAGGAGGTCGCTGCATCCGCACAGATCATGGCCGAGCGAAGAGGAGATGGAGGCCTCTCGACCTGTATGAGACTGGCCTTGGGCGCGACAGCGGGGAAATGCAGGCCATGAGCAGACGCGACTTGCAGATCCGGAGTATTCGGGTCGTAATTGCACACAACCCCATAGACGCTGCACTTCTGGCACTGCGGCCTGGTCTCATCACACTGTTTGGGATTCTAAATCAGCGTTTCGTGTCTACCGGTGCACGAGAAAGGCCGTCGTGACGAACCTTGACTCGTCTGAGCTTACAGTTCCGACAGCCGCGTCGCGACTTCTTGTGAGCTCTGCGCTTTCGGACTGCGCCTATCTCCGAGTGTGGATCTGTGGCCGGCATGACAGTATGTCTTTGAGGAAGAAACAGGTGAAAACGATGGAGTTGCAGTGGCCGTGGTGAGGTGTTGATGCTGAATGCGAGAGGAGGAAACGCGAGGGAAGATCAACTATTCCTGAGGTCGTATTCGCGGGGCGCTTATTCGTTCAGCATATCTGCTCTATTCACGCCGACGGGGATAATGCGTCGGACGTTATGCGTTATTTCCATGGGATGAGGTATAAAAGTCTCCTGTCTCTTCCTGTCTAGGCCAGGAAGATACAACAAGCCCGTCCAGGACCAGATACACAGCTCTTCTCCTCTCCGTTCTTCTCAACATGCGCGTCTTCATCACCGGTGCATCAGGCTTCATCGGCCAGGCCGTAGTCAACGAGTTCCTAAGCAACGGTCATCAGGTCCTGGCCCTCGCACGATCCGACGAAACCGCCGCATCACTGTCCGCGCTTGACGGCGTTGAAGTCATCCGGGGCTCCCTCGACGATCTAGACAGTCTGAAACGCGGCGCCGCCGCGTCGGATGGCGTGGTCCATCTGGCCTTCAACCATGACTTCTCCGACTTCATCGGCGCCTGCGCGCTGGACAGACGCGCCATCGCAGCCATGGGCGAAGCCCTGGCCGGGTCCAACCGTCCTCTCGTTGTGACTTCTGGTACCGGCCTCCTGCCACCTGGTCGCATGGCGACCGAGGATGACGGGGCCGATATGTCGTCGCCCTTCGGTTCTGCGCGTGGCGAGTCGGAGAAGTTGGCTCTCTCTCTCACGGCGAAGGGCGTGCGGTCGTGCGTCGTGCGTCTGCCCCCTACCAACCACGGAAAGGGGGATAAGGGGTTTATCCCTGCGCTCATCAATATCGCCCGCCAGAAGGGCGTGGCCGCGTACATTGGCGACGGACTGAGCCGCTGGCCTACGACGCACCGGCTCGACACTGCCCGTGCCTTCTATCTGGCTTTTACCAAGGGGACTGCCGGGTCCGTCTACCATGTCGTTGCCGTGGAAGGCGTGCCTATCAAGGAGATCGCGGAGATCATCGGCAAGAAACTGAACTTGCCGGTGGTCAGCAAGAAATGGGAAGAGGCGCAGGAGCATTTCGGGTTCCTGGCTTTCCTGCTGTCGACGGACCATCCAGCTTCCAGTGCGAAGACCAGAGAGGCGTTGGGGTGGAAACCTACGCATCCGACTCTTATTGCCGATCTCGAGGAGGGGTTCTACTTCAGCTGAATGTAGGGTTGTGGACGAGCAGGGTACTTTGGCGGTAATGTATATGGACGGTACATGTATATCGTATTCATTCTACCTAACATGGCATCATGTTTCTGGTGGCAAACCCCTGTTCAGGAAGCAGATGGATATGCTTGGTACGCGGCAAGGGTAAATAATATAGAAAGGCTTGTAAATGCAAAGGAATATGTTCATGGTGCCATGTACCGAATGCAACGGACTTTTGATGACACGCCCAAAAAGGAGGCCATGCCATTCAGGAGAACCACATTGCAAACTCGAGACAGAGGGAAATCAAGTAAAAGAGAAGAGAAACAAAAGCAACTGAAATCGGAAATCAGAAATCCACACAGTTAAACAAACAGCCATCCAGATCGAATAGGTGTATGGGGCATATCGAAGATGAAGTCGAGGACATTGAAGAAAAGAACACTATTTCAAACAAACCACATTGTGCGCCAGATTCGCCGCGGAAATAATAAGAAAGAAAGAAGCGATGGGAGTGGCCGGAGCCACTACACCAACCCATCATACAGCGACAGAGCGCTCACTATCGTCTCATCTCGTTTGCTGCCTTCCTTGAACTCTTCAAGGTCTAAACTGCCGTTTTCATCCTTGTCCATCATGCGGAAGATCTTCTTGACTCGTTTCTCGGGCGTGTCTTCGTCCTCCGGTAGTTTCACCATCGAGCCGACCTAGCCGATAGTCAGTACCATGTAGCAAAGAGCCATGGTGAGAACGCACCATCTTGTAAATCGCCTCCACGATCGCCAACATTTCCTCGTATGTGATCTTCCCATCACCATCGATATCGTAAAGCTGGAACGCCCAGTCCAGCTTGTCTTCCATCTTCCCCCGAGACGTGACCGACAATGCACAGATGAACTCCTTGAAATCGATCATGCCACTATTATCTGCATCGAACACGCGGAACACGTAATTGGCAAAGGCAGAGGGGTCGCCAAAGGGGAAGAACTGGCGGTAGATCTTCTGGAATTCCTCCTTGGTCAAGTGTCCGGAGGGGCAGTCCTTAAGGAAGCCTGGAAACAGGGAGCGTCTTGTTAGACATCCGTCAACACGCATTTCATTCCATGCCTACACAAGCACACCTTTATACCATTGCTGCAGTTCCTTCTTGTCAAAATGCGTCACCTTCTGTAATTCGTCTAGCTGAGCAGGAGAAAGCTTTGATTGCCTATTGTAAGACCGTCAGTTAGAGTACTAGATTGGTGCGCATATTGAAGGACCAGCAGAAGAACAATGAGAAGGAAAGTCGCATCCCAAAATAGAATCCATCAATAGTGACTGAAAGAACAGCGATTTCGCTCCCATCCTTTACAGATTCTGTGTCGGGCGTTCTCCCACTTGCCCTGTGTGACTGAGCACATTTGTGAGGATGAACTAATGCACTTACGATTTACCCATTTTTGTCAACAGAAGCACCTTCAATCACCAACCAGAACGAAGCAAGGGTATAATAATCTCAGTGCCAGTCTAGGCAATCAACGTTTCTCCTTCGAACAGCGGAAAGGATGGGAAGGGAACCGGTCACGGAAGGGGGACGGGCGCGGGGTAGGCGGGATGGAATTGGACAACAGAGACCGGTAGATAAGATGGCTGCGCGGCCTGTTAGTAGGGGTCCAGAGAGAAAGGAGGCTCAGACAGACGAGAAAAGTATAAGTTGTCGACGAGCAGGGACAGAGGAATGGGAGACGAGGAGAGAGAGGAAGCAGGAGAGAAATGCGCAATGACGGCACTGTCTTGCCTGGGCGGTTGCATCCAACCAAGTGGCAACCGGAAGGTTAATACAAATAGTTATTTTATTTAGTTATTTTAGTTATTCCCAATATTATTCTGCGGAAGATTGGCATTGACTCTGGTCCAGACCTGGCCGTTTTGCGGCTATGCTTGCGCCCATACAAATTTGTACTGCGCGATGCACAGTCGGAGAATATCCCGTTACAGCTTACTCTATCCAGTCGAAAGGCTTGGATTCTGCTGGAGAATCTTCTCGTCGCCGAGAATTGTTCCCCCCTAACTCATGCATCTTATACATATACAATACACACGAAAAAAGGCAAGTTCCATGCCTCCGAAAATGAAACCTTGAAGGAAACCATGGAAATGAAAATTTAAAAAAAAAAAAAAAGAAAAAAAAAGAAAAAATAATACAAAAATAATGTGCCACATGCAACGGGTCCATCCGGCATCAATCAAATGACATACATCTCTCTCCAAGATGTGACGCAGACCACCATTTTATGCCAACCTCTTTTGGGCCACACGAGAATGAAGACGAAAAGAAGAAAAATGGGGGGTATAGCATGATCGGCCTGCGGGAAAGTCTGGCCTTTGATGAAACACACTCCAGTTGTTTCAAATGCCCAGTCGTGAGCCGGGCTGTGGATCCCCAAGAGTGCAAGAACTTGGCAGGACGCCGGTGGCTGAAGCCAAGTGAGAAACAGAAAGAGGCAAACCCCAACTCCACATGGGAGCAACGCTTAGTCAACTTTTATCGAGCTGTAAATGCGATGCACAAAGGCCCAGCTGGCGAAGAACCCAATTGATCCTATACGTTGTACGGTCAGCAACATTCTCAACAGACATGTACATCGGACGGGATCCCATACCCGTCAGAATGAAAACAAGAAACCCGATCAATGCAGAGTATCCCACGTAAAGAACCGCTCCGGTCAAGCCGCCAAAGCTGACCCTTGTCGCCCAGAAGATGAGCGCATTGAGAAACACGTAGCCTCCCGTCATCCCGGCTCCGATGAAGGACCGCCACTGCCACCGGTAGTTCTCTGCGCACAGTAAGAAGTACACCAGGAGGATGGTGGTAGCTGCAGAAGTAATGATCATCAAGCCGTAGCACAGGAACAGGAATCCAAACATGTAATAGATTTTGTTGGTCCAGAGAGAGGTCATGATGAAGTAGAGCTCAACAAAGATAGCCCCGAAGGGAAGGATACCCGTCAGCAAGAGGGACGGGACCGTCCGGAGGGTACCGGTCATAGGAGGAACCTGACGTGGGATTTGATTCGTTTTGGTCGGTCCCTCAATAGCCTATATCCCATGGAGTCAGTAGATAACCCCAAATGCACGCAGTGATCTCTCGAAATCATACCGTTCTCTTAAACCCAAGCCAGCTACCCGCAAAGCTGAGCGGCACACTGATAACAAACCAGATAAGCAGAAGCGCCAGCATCGTCGTGAAGGGCACGGCCCCGCTAGAACCTTTCGCCCATACAAACAGGTTAAGCAGGAAAAATATGGCAAATACGAATCCTGGTATTAGCACAGGAGTAAGGACAATATTCCGCTTCCAGGCCTCCCCGCCAAAGGACTTGTAGACGCGTGCCGATACATAGCCTCCGACAAAACCAAACAAGGTGTAAATGAGGAGAATAGCGGTAGCCAGGAAACCACGGTTAGCAGGGGAAAGAAGGCCGAGCAGTGCAAAAACTAAAAACGAACAGTTAGTATAATTTATTGAGTGGGTCGAAAGGAATAAATGAAAACACCCGGTCTACCGTACCAACTGATACTCCGGTCATCATAAACAGCTGCGCTCCGTTGCCCAGAAGTACACTCAGCAGCAAAGGGGCCTTGGGGGATCGGAAAACATCGCCGTGAACCAATTTCCATCCCGAATCCTCCTGGATCCCATCCTCAATCGCAGCCGAGGTCCCGTCAAGGTCATCCAGATTGATTGCATCTAACCGGTTATATCGCGCAATGTCCTTCTTGAGGGCTCGGAGAAGGATCATGCTGACCATGCCAACCAAGAAAACCACAAAGACAGCCGAGTTTATGAGGGAGAACCAGTGGATCTTCGGATCGTAGACGTGCAGATACTTGTCCCAGCGAGTGGCCCATGCAGTTGACGATTCACGCCATGTCACACTGTAAGTCCAGGTAACCGGGGTATCACCATCCTCACTCAGCACCACGGGAGCACCGTCAGTACCACAGTGCGCGGATCCATCCTCGAGGAGTTTGTTGTCGCTCCGGGATCGCGGTTCGACGAGCACTCCGACAACCCGATATTTATCCTTGCCTCCTGTGCTCACACGGTGGTATTCGACCAGGATATCGAAATGGTTGTTAAGCAGCGGCTGTCCGCTCTCTTCGCTCAACGTTCCCAATGCAAAACTAGGGCTGTAAAACTTGGTCTCCGTCACAGCATCCAAGTTCAATTGCGCCGCAGGCAGGCCATCAATCAGCCAGTTGATGTTGTAGCCTTGCGATATCCGGCGGTTTGTAAACGAGGCACTCCGACCATCAAATACGACCTGCTCACATGGTGCCTTGCAGCTTTCGTTTTGCGCCATGTGTAATTCGAAGGGTGATGTGTGGATCCGGTCACCGAAAAGGATACTCCCCAAGGACTCACGGACATCTTTAATCCCATCTTTCGGACGACAGAAATGAAGCGGCGGATAGTAGTAGTCGTAGGAGAATACAGAATGAAGCTGGTCATCCTGCCGCGCTAGGCCGGGTGTAAGGTGGTTGACGTAGAGAGGCACAGTCTGACCTTCATCGTACGAAGTGGGTGCTACACCAGGTAGATAGAATGCGGACGAAAGCGATGGGATTGTAAGGAAGAGGGTAGATATGATATTCGCCCGGTCGGTGAACCACATGGTGGATGTTCTCTTGAGGTTTCCTCCAAATCTCATATGTTAGCTTGAGCCGCACAGAAATACGAGACACGTATTGCAGATACCTTAGCCTAAGGCACGATTTGTCTGTAGAGCACCTCACAAGAAGGGAAATAGTTCACCATCAGTCCCTCCCGCTGAAAGACTCAAACAGAGGACCCAGACAGAACAGTTCCGCAGCAGAAGAAGAAACAGAAGCTGATGCCTGCAGCGAGGAGTGGCTGGATTGTGTTTTAGGGATCTCCGGCTACGTGGTCTGCGGTCACGTGGAACACACGCTGACTGTTGACAAAACCAGCTTCAGTTCAACCGAGGTGCTGGTTTATGCAGGAGTTGATTGACAGTAGCAGGGATAAGAATAGGGGACATACTACAGGGGAGGCATAACAAAATCCACGTTCATTCCTGGCTTCTCCTTTCACAGAACTGCCCTGGTAACCTGATGACTAATCTATCATCACGTGTTGATAGACAACTCAAAAAAAAAAAAAGAGAGAAAAAAATAGCGTCGACGTCGACAGAGCAAGAAACAGCATCGTCATTCACCATGGCAGCTGCAGTAACACGATCACAGCCGTCGGGCACGCGAGATATACTGACCCTTCTACAAAATGTCAGCAATTCTCTTTCCAGCGCAGAGCCGTCGCTCCCCAGCGCGAAGAGAGATGAATCCGTCGGTGTCTCCATTGAACCTCCACAGGATGGCATTTCGCTTCTGGATACGAAGAACGACATTCTCCTCTCCTATCTGCACAACCTGGTCTTCTTAATTCTTTTCCAATTGCGCGAGATCTCCCCATCGAAATCCGATCTCGGTGAGGAGGGTAACAGTGCCGCCGGAAACAAAACACGCGAGGAAGTCATCAAGAAACTGGTGGAATTACGCATCTACTTGGACCGTGGTATTAAGCCGTTGGAAGGTCGACTGAAATACCAGGTGGATAAAGTCATCAAAGCTGCCGAAGACGCAGAGCGGGCGGAGCGTGAGGCTCAGGCTGGCACGAAGAATAAGACGAAGAAAGCTTTAAAACCAAGCCACGATGACGAATCTGCATCCGAGGATAATGAGGATGACAGTGAAAGTGGCAGCGAAGATGAGGATGAGGATGATGAAGAAGAAGAGGAAGATGACATTGATGAAATGGCCTACCGACCCAACGTTTCTGCCTTCTCCAAGGATGTAGAACCCCAAGCAAAACCCGACAAATCAGCCAGCAAAGCCTCATCGGATGGCATCTATCGCCCACCCCGGATTATGCCAACAGCACCGCCCACAAATGAGCGTCGCGAGCGCGAAGAACGCCGCCAGGTCAAGTCGAATGTTATTGACGAATTCGTCGCGTCAGAAATGTCATCCGCACCGATGGCAGAGGTTAGCATTGGCAGCACCATCCGTTCCGGTGGGAGACATACTAGGACCAGGAAGGAGAAGGAATACGAAGCGGAGCGACAAGCATACGAAGAAACCAACTTCGTGCGCCTGCCTAAGGAAAGCAAGAAGGAGCAGGCTAAGAAACGCAACCGTGAGAGTACATTCGGAGGCGAGGAGTGGAAGATACTTGGTGAGGGTGCGGATCGCATATCGAGACTCACGCAGCGAGCCAAGGGGAGTGGCAGCGCACTTGAAAGAAGCCGGAAGCGGAAACTTACTACTGAGGACCGGCCTCGGTCTGATGGAGTGGGCAATGTCTTTGAAAAGCGACGGAAGAAGGTTGATAGTTGGAAACGGTAGTGGCTGCAGTTTTGCACTCTGTATAAGATTCTTTTGGTTACATACGGGTTTGGGGACACAGCGCGAAAATTTGATCACTTCCTACATGTTCGAATGCAAATCGGACTCCAGCTTTCTCGTAGTCGTCTTTTTGGAGCATTAGATTTAATTGTACGCTGCGATGAATGCCTACGAAGGCGTATCTCGATGGAGCAAGGATCGACTCACATTCAACTGCATGACATCATCGCCTTCATACATACAAATCCCTCCATTTTTACCTTTGTTTCTTTATATGCGTTATATATCTCTTTGGAAAGAATCCATAAGAAGAGAAGTGCGATGTAGATTGAACTGCATCCACAATGGAGGACCCAGGTAAGTACGATTAAACCCGAGTGCACCTCCGATTTACTACCAATGCTGCATAATTGTGTGGAAGAACTGATCTAATTTAACTTAACTTCCCATGCAGTGGCCGAGATTCCCAAGATCATTAACGGTCTCACCAAGACTCGACCGTCAATCCAGCAAGCGACGGTTGAGAAATACTTCATTCCATCCCTCTCCTTCCGCCATCCGCTGTGCACCGTCCCGAGTTTCAGGGGAAGTCGGTGGGTGTACCTGAAAGTGCTGCAATGGTATAAGATTATGTCTCCGCGGACTGAGTCTGAGATTCATTCCATCGGTGGGTTTGAGGTTCTTTCATATCTCATTGGCATCGGACTAATTGCATCACGGACCAGCTTATGATGAGAAGAATCTCAAACTATACGTCAACATGTCCCAGCTCTTCTCGGTCTGGTTTTGGCCATTTCATATGGGATCGGCGAATCTCACTGTCATGCTAGACCTCACTACAGACCCCGGCGATGGGCGTTCTCAAGGTCAAGGTCAGAAGCGCTACTACGTTCACAGACAAGAGGATCTGTATCAGACATGCGAAATTATCAACTTTATTCTCCCTCATGTGGGATATCCGTTCGTGATAATGATGATGGGCCTAGCAACGGTTGCCTGCGTCCTGGGTGTATTCGTACTCTGGCCCATTATGTGGGCAGAGGACAAGCAGCTCCTGCCTGAGAGGTTCGTGAAGGGAGGCAATCTGACCTGCGACATGAGGAAGAGGGTCCGCGAGCTTAAGAAGAAACCCTAGCTGGGTTTGCATGTGTAAACATATGAGATAGTCAATGTATCATGCCTATTATGTCTTTTGACATCATACTCTCTTCATTTTTTCCGATGCTTGTTCTGGTGTCCTACTGTCGTCAGTTTCCGTGCGAGGATACGTCATGAAAAAGCCGCTCAGCTCCGTTATACATCCCGGCAATGCTCTTTATCTGTTAGCGATCTTCTTCTCCAACAGTGTGCAAACAACCAGCACTGGTAATTTCAAGAGGCAGGAACTAGGATGAACCCAGAAATCCAGAATGAATCAGTGTGGACAAAAGTCATCCATCATCCCATCCTTTTGACCTTCACCTTGTTCCTTCATGTCTTCCAGACCATTATCGACTGGATATTTTCTCCGGTTCCCCCGCCGCCTATTAACCCGGAATCCCCTGTTTGCGGCAAAAGAATAGCTGTCATTGGCGCTGGTTTAACGGGAGTGTCCTCTGCCAGTCATTGCATTGGTCATGGCTTCGATGTGACGATATTCGAAGCGCGCTGCAGAGAGAATGGTCTTGGAGGTGTTTGGAGTGTACAGACGACCCATCTGCCCTTCAGGCAAGCAATTGCTAACAATCATATAGAGGGTAAATCCTTCTTCGGGTGTGCAGATCCACGGCTTGCTCTATCGCTTCCACCCAGCAGTACATTATGACAGTCCCTATCCTTCCCAACGGGAGGTCCGGCGGCAGATATACAACCTGTGGAAGCGGTATGGTCTGGAACACCGTACCATCTTTGATACCCCTGTGCGGTCTGTTAGACGGAACAAAGAAGGCAAATTCGTCATCAACCAAGACGAGGGCAAGTATGGGTCTTTTGACGGTGTCATTGCAGCTGTTGGGGTTTCTGGGGATCTTAACATGCCATTGATACAAGGGCAGGAAAAGTTCAAGGGCCAAATATCCCACTCATCGCAGTTAAACGATAAGGGTTGTAGGAATAAGAAGGTAGTCATCATCGGCGGAGGAGCCAGTGCTGTGGAAGCTCTGCAGGTCGCAGTCCAGGCAGGCGCCGCGCGGGTCGATGTGCTGAGTCGAACAGACAAATGGATCATCCCACGCAACATCCTTGTGCAGACCTTGGTGGCCAGCAATCTATGGGGAGAGGAAGGATTTGTGGCCTGGATTCCAGAGTGGTTGCTGAAGAAGTTCTTCTACCGCGATCTCCAGGACATGGTGCCGTCAACCGGTCTTTACACTGCTTCGCCCTTGGTCAATTCCGAGCTCTTCTACCTGATCCGCCAGGGCAGTGCGACATGGCGACGGGGTGACGTCCTAGGCGTTGAACAGAATGCGGTTCGGTTTAATAGCCGGGGCAAGGGTGCCCCCAAAGGAGGTCCAGGGCGAGAGGAGCTCGTAGCTGCCGACGTAATTGTCATGGCCACAGGCTGGAAGAGGGCTTCCCTGGGCTTCTTGCCACGCAACTGCTTTGAGGATGAGTTCAGACCCCCGAATTGGTACATGCAGGTGTTTCCGCCCGGTTATCCTGATATCTGCGCCATCAACAGCACGTATATCAATGCCATAGGTACCGCCGGCTACCTCCACATTGGGATCTACACACGGTTCCTGCTGGCGTTCATCATGGACCCAATGGCCCGGCCCACGGAAGGGCGAATGAAAGTATGGATTGACTTCATGCGGTACACCAAACGGTCAGATATCCCTGCCTTTGAATTTCTGACATACGCCGAGTTGATATACTGGTGCATCGTTGCCCTCTTCCTTGACCCGTTCCGGTGGAAATGGGTGTTGTTCGTGTTGACCGGCAAGGGAGGATCTTTTCCAGAGAAGATAATCGAGAAAGAAAGCCCTTTCCGGGAAAGTCAAGAGGAGAGAGAGACACAGTGATAGCATTGACTATATTTGGTTGTTGGTAAATCATTATATGCAGCTGGACATGGGGACTTTTCCTTTGCTGGGATGGCTTACTGAGCCCCTGTACTATCATCCTTGCTATTTCCAACTGGGATACCGTAAAAATAAGATTCATCATTATTATCATTATCATTCGTGTCTCTGTCCAAATCGGAAGATGGACTTGTCACTGTTGGACTGCGATATCCTCGTAAGGGCGGGCCATCCAACACCGAGAAAGAGTTCAAGGATTTCCTAGTCAAGAGGGATGATGAGTCTCGTCTATCATTTCACAGGCGTTATGCAAGAGCTGCACTGGCCGACAACCATGAAATCCGTTTTGCCCATGGTGATTTCTCCCCTCGCACCATTCCTGTGGATGAGGGAGGTCTATTAACTGCTGTTCTAGACTGGAAGCGTGCAGGCTGGTACCCTGAATGCTGGGATCAAAACAGTATGCTCTCTGAGACTCCTGGAGTAGCCAACTATCTCCCATATCTCGGGTATATCGTGAGGTGGTGATATCAGGGTACTTGTTGTGGGCTACTAATGATGGGCATTCTTGCTGTACTCTGCAGTTCTTCTATGGAAGATGGTAGACATTCTGTCCATGTCCAATACCCAAGTACCATTTTCTTTCTGAGAAGATGCAGAATCCTGGATCATAAACGAAAATGTTAGCTTGAAGGCTGAACAATGAGGACGAGGAACAGGCCTGGTCATACTGCTAAATATATATCACAAAGAGCACACCTACCTGCTCTACACAGTAGGAATTGGATGGTCAAAGAATGCGGCGCCTTCTCTCCTAGACCCTTGAGTAGGGGAAATAGAATGTAGATGAGCATTGAGCGCCAACATGGCCAGACGTGCAGCAGGCCGTCGTGGACGAGCAAGAGGAAAAACGCGGGAAACTCCCCGCGAGACTTTCGCATCTCCCGCTCTTCCTCCCTCCCTCCCAGCCCACTCGACCAGCTCTACGTCTGCGATCGAGGCCAATTTCGACGAAATACTTGCAGAGCGTCCGTCTGCGCCTCTTGATCCTGCCAGCAGTCAGCCTGAAGCAGCATGCGTGCCTCACCAGCCTAGACCTCCGCACAACGGGGACCGTCCCGCTCAGCGATCTGCTTCACACAATCGCAGGAACAGCAGCAACAATTCCAACTCGTATCAATCAGATAGAAACCAGGCATATTCCGATCGGTCGTCGCAATCGTATTATCCCCCGAGTGTCCCCATGGCGGCCCAACAGACCCCCGTCCTGCATCGGTTCTTGTCGGACGTTGCGGACCTAGTCCGGGACCACAACGGCGCCAAACTGCAGGATTTCCTGCAGATCGAGCCTCCCTTACCTCCTATATACTCACAGATGGTGGATGAATTACGGCGATTCTATCCCAGTGGACAACATGGCGATGCGGAGCTGCTCCGTAGGTGCGAGGGTCTGGTTCCGCGGCCAAAAGGTGGCAGCTCATGGATAGCCTTCCCTACATTCATGAAGCTCTATCTGTCGTTTCTCCGTGATGTGAATGTCGACAATCTTCTCGAGACGTACAATCTACTAAAGGGGCTATTGAAGTAAGTCTCGTCGTTCGTCGACCATCGCGCGTCGACCAGGGAAGCTCTCGATAGCATTGGCGACAAATTTCTATCCTTCTCCGTCGCACCCTGCGTTTCGGACCTAGTAGCTGACTTCGACTTCTTTCATATTGCAGTCAATGTGTCTTGGCGTTGGGAGACAGTCAAATGGGCGTTATTGTCCTCCCCACCGTTCTCTATCTATCCAAAGTCCTTGCGAAATTGGCCATGGGTCTCGACCGTCGTCCGGAGCTCATTGCGCATCTCCTGAGATTGGAAGGTCGATCTAGCCAGGAAGAGAGCTTGGAGAAGGTGACGTTGGTGGAGCAGTCAGCGAATGTGGTTCGCGAAGCATTCATCAAATGTTTGACAGATCGTAGCGGAACTCCGGGGATTCATGGGAAACCGGAAGGCAGACGCATTGGAATCTACCTCATGGCAAACTTGTGTCTGAAACTACTTTTCCAGGTATGGCTTGTCGAGTTTTACGATCTACTTGATTCGGTTCCGTTTCTGACTTGGAGTCCTGTAGTGCGGCAAGCTTCGAAATGCTGAGCAAATGTTCGCCAGTATCAGTGCGCAGTCGCCTCCGTTGGCGTATTTCCCAGCTTCCCAGAGAGTTACATATCTTTACTATCTCGGACGCTATTTGTTTTCCAACAATCTCTTCTTCCCTGCTCAGGTCACCTTGCAAGCGGCATACGACCAATGCCACCGACAAGCACTGAAACAGCGACAACTCATTCTCACATATCTCATCCCGTGCAATATGATCATGGGCCGGTTTCCATCCCGGGAGTTGCTCCAACGGCCGGAATCCCAGGACTTGGCAGAGCGCTTCGTGCCCATCTGCCAGCTGATCGTTCGCGGGGATTACATTTCCTTCCGTAATTACCTTTCCATGGACTCGCCAGAGACCGAGTGGTTCGCGCGGAAGGGGCTGCTACTTCCTCTGCGCAACCGTTGTGAGATCCTTGTATGGCGGTCTCTGACCCGGAAAGTATTCATCCATGGAGGGTTCCAGGGGGACCTACGCGCGCAGACCCAGCGTGGCCCTCCGCCATTCCTTTATCTGAAAAAATTGGAGATCGCCGTGAAGTGGCTGCAATCGCTACACGCACAGTCTCCTGGAACGGCTACAGATGCCGACGCGAAAGACTCTAAACTGGGTTCCCAGGTTGTGTACAGGCCGTCAGACATCGACTTTGCCGGAATTTCCGACTGGGAGAATGCTGATGACGGAGCAGGAGCAGAGGATGTTGGCCTCCGGTCCAAATATGAGGATTACCTGGCACCGGTCGGTTATTTTGACGCACAAGGCCGGTCGCGCGAAAACGATCGGGGCACGCCTGTCGACGGGGAGCTCGACACAAATTTCAGTGCGTACGAGTTGGATCCGTATGCGCAACGCACCACGACCGATGGCGATTCCGAAGACCAGCATACACCGGCCATGCGGGAGATCGAATCCATCCTCTCGTCACTTCTGACCCAGAGCCTGATGAAGGGCTACCTCACACATAAGAACCCGCGGTTCGCAATTCCTGGCTCCCGAGCGCGGGGCGCATTGCCTACCGGGTTTCCGAACGTCTGGCAGACGATCTTCTCACGAGAGAGCGACGAGAACAATATCCCCGGTTGGGTGCAGACGCCGTCGCCCGTGGCAGCGGCAGCTCCGGCAGGAGGACGGGTGGTGAATCTGAAGGGGGCACGACCCGTGGGAGTTCAATAGGATAATAATGCATTACGCAAACCATATCACACTGTGTACCATAGCCCGTAGGGTCTTCTGAATGATATCACTGGCGCGAGCAATGCCCCAGAAGGGAAAGATGAGTCAAGGAATGGATAAGCAGCGATGCAAAGACTCACCGAAGCTGTTCGGACGAATCCCGCAGGAAAATTTTCACCGTTACAGCTTCTGATTGAGCTGGAGGCCCACAGAGAAGAAGCATCGAGATAATTATTATCATTAAGCACGGGAGTATAATTGTGATATCTTGTTCCAGGCTTCTGGCTACAGTAGAACAAACAGGACACAGCTTTCCATCAACTTGTCCGCACCGCAACCTGAAGGGCTCTGCCCGCGAAAGAATGCCCCTACGCCGTGTCTCGTATTATCCCGTTTTCTGTTTCTATTCCTGCTTTGTCTGCTAACCCCGCCCGTTTTCCCTTTGGCTGCCCCTTGTCGGGGCTGTGCCGGTGCGGAGGCGTAACTATTTCCGTCTTTTTTCTACTGCCAGCGCCCTTCTTTCGCTTCAACCCTGCGACCCGGTCGTATTCCTGCAATGGGAAAACCCCCTGCAGTCATCATCATTGCGAGGTACGGTCCTTCTCGACTGCTTTTCTTGCTGGTGGAGACAGACAAGCTAACTTTCGGTACCTTGTTGCGCGTCCTCAGGCACGGAGCTCGTCTCGACGCCGCGGATAAAAACTGGCATCTCACTTCTGCCACCCCCTACGACCCTCCCCTGACGTACGGCGGATGGAATCAAGCTCGTGCCCTCGGTGCGCGGATTATCAGTCTTCTGCACGCGCGAGAGGATCGCCTTTCTGCCAACGGCGCGTCGAGCGACGGACGGAACAGCGAGCCAGTCTCTCGCTCGACTACGCCGTCCAACGGTCATCGTGAATCCCACGCGGCCAGCAGACCAGGTTCTCGATCAGCATCCAGGAATAGACACACACGCAGGCGTAAACATCAGATTATCATCCATACGTCGCCCTATCTACGATGCCTGCAGACGGCCATCGGGGTGAGCGCGGGCATCAACCAGCATCGCCTGGTTCGCGCTGATTCTGAGAGACATCTAGCGGGAAAACACCATCGCATGACGGATGATGCGGGCGGTGCTACCCCTGCTAATAACATGACCGGTTACGATGACCATCGTTGTCTTCTCCGCGTCGACGGGTTTCTGGGGGAGTGGCTGACCCCGGACTACTTTGAGTATATCACACCACCTCCCGTGTCAGAAAGAATGGTGGCAACCGCCAAGGAGACGTTGCTCCGGCAGGGAGATGAAGCCGTGGAGACGCCTCTGACGGCCGGCCCGCCGCACCCTGGTCACTTCCCCGGCGGCTGGGGTAGCAGCTCCCATATCCGTAGCTCGTCGAGGCCCGTCTCGTCCGATACGGATGATGTCGGGAAGCCTCACAATTTAGCAACGTCTCCCAGCAGCCGACACCGCGCTGCAAGCTTCGCCGGTCACATGGCCTCAATACATCCGGTACACGCACCGCGACATCCACGGCCGCCCCTGGCAAAGCTCGATACGAACTTCGATAGTACTGGAAGCCGTTATTCGCCTCCGACTCCTGGATATGCCGTCTCGCTATCCGATCCGATCCCTCCGGGCAATGTGTCGCACGCGCGCGATGCTTGCGTTGAGTTTGATTGCGAATGGGACAGTATGCGAGGGCCCATGAATTGGGGCGACGGTGGACAGTATGGCGAGGAATGGAGCGCCATGCATCGGCGGTTCCGCAATGGACTGGGTAAGATGGTGGACTGGTACCGCACGCATGACCGGCCGCGGAAACACAACGACTACCACCCTCATTACCAGTATTACTCTCGGCTATCCCATCGTCGCCTGTCTCATGGTTTTGAGGGCGGTGGCGACGAGGACAGCGGTATGGACGATGACTATACCGATACCGCATTGGTGATCATCACGCACGGAGCGGGCTGTAACGCGCTGATCGGGGCGCTGAGCAGCCAGCCGGCGTTGATCGACATCCCGACAGCCTCTCTCACCATGGCCGTGCGTAAGGATATCGTCGAGAGCCCATCCAGCCCGGGGGGCAACAGCCATCCGCGGTCCTATTTGGATATGCCGATTGCCCACGAATATGACCTGATCGTAACGGCATCTTCCGACCATCTGCGTCCGGGCGTCGATCCATCGAAACTTCCAGTCGCACCTGCATCTCCCAAGCTGCCTCCCCGTCCGCCGTTTCCCTCGTACCGTCGTCGACTCGGAACGATTGCATCTCTGTCGCATGGGCATTTTGTGATGGTGGGCCATAGTGCCAGCGCCGGCGGAAAACCCCCGACTGACCGTTCGCCATCGCCCCGGACCACCTCGCCTGGCCTTTGGGGGGCGCCGCCGTCTCCCCGGATCTCGCCTGGTCTCTGGGGCTCGACATCCATCGGCACCGGAAGTAGCGGTGCATCGAGTGAAGACCTTATCGTCCCGAACTTTGCGGACTTGCAACCGACCAGGTCGAGGGATAGCGAGGGAGGAAGCAGTACCTCGAGCAACGAACTGTGGAATCGACAGCTTCCGTGGCGGACACGGGCCCAACGGAGTCTCTGGGGGAATGCCTCCGTTGACGAGCTGTCAAGACGACGGTGGACCATGTCGGACCGTCGCTGATCATGATCGAATCTTTGTCGTACTTCTACGTCTGTGGAGGCTTTAATTAATCTGGTTTATTGCATTATTTCATGGGTCATATTTGCGGCGTTTCCGTTTTTCTAGTTATGACATGATACCTTAACTGTTCTACACGCATTAATCAGGTTTACATCTGGCGTTTTGGATATTCTAAACCATCTGATGCATAGCGAATTCCCCCTATTGTTTCTGTGTTTGTCTTGACCGGGACATGAATGTTGCTTCGAGTTTTTTGATCTCGACCATAATGACCATCTCCGCTCTATTTCTCGGCCATATGTCCGCAGTAGAAATCAGATTAATTAACTGCAGCCATGATATCATTGCCATCGGCCCCTGATGATCATCATAATAAGAATGAATCGCGGTGAGACTGCGGGGAAACCAGCGACGGATCTCACGGCAGAGTTTCATCCTCACCGAGTCAATCTACCTCCTTCTCTTCCCAGTTTCCTCCCCAGACCTCCCTTGAACGACAGAGGATACACGGGGTCTAGATAACACAAAAACATGTTCCCAGTAGAAACAGACGGATTGTCCGTCACTTATTCCTCCGGCCGCACAGGGGCCCCGGACCTCCGTTTCCTCCACTACAACGATGTCTACCACGTCGAGTAAGACTGCTGTTCCCCCGCCTCTCTTCTCATCGTTATCTCCATGAACTACTGTTCTTGCGGTACTGACGTGAATCCAGACCCGGCTCTGCAGAACCAGTCGGCGGAGTCGCCCGCTTCCAATCCGTTATCAACTACTACCGCCGTTCACCGCGATTCTCCAGCCTGCCTGCCCCCCTAACCATCTTCTCGGGAGATGCATTCAATCCCAGCATCGAAAGCACGGTCACTAAGGGCCGACATATGGTTCCGTTTTTGAATAAGGCTGGCACCGATGTGGCGACAGTGGGGGTGAGTCTTGGCCGTTGTCTCCGCTGTATGTTGTACCGCGGGATATGACTGATCTGACTGGCAATGGCGTCGCAATAGAATCATGATTTGGATTTTGGTGTCGCCCAGCTACGACATCTTTGTTCGCAGTGTCGCTTCCCGTGGTTGTTGGCTAATGTGCTGGATCCGGCGCTGGGGGAGGATGTGCCGATTGGGAACTGTGGGAAGTCGTGCATGCTGATCTCGTCGAATGGGATCAAGGTTGGTGTTATTGGGTTGGGAGAACGAGAGTGGTAAGCTTCTTTTCTTCGCTCGATATCCTCGGTGTGGTCCTAACAAGCCCAGGCTAGCCACGATCAACGCCCTTCCCCCAAACCTCATCTACAAATCGGCCTCCAAAACAGCCATGGAACTCGCTCCCCGTCTCCGTGAACAGGGTGCAGACATGGTCATAGCCGTGACGCATCAACGCGAACCAAACGACAATAAACTGGCCCAGTCAATCCCCCCGGGAACAGTGGATATCATCCTCGGCGGCCATGACCATTACTACGCGCACTCGATCGTGAACTCGACACACGTCCTCCGCTCGGGCACAGACTTCAAACAACTAAGCTACATCGAGGCCTTCCGGAAACCCCACGGCCAGCAAGGATGGGACTTCAACATCGTCCGACGGGACATGGTCCGCTCAATCCCCGAAGACCCAGCAACAGTGGCCCTAGTGGGCAAGCTGACCTCGAGCCTGAAAGCCAAGCTCGAGAAACCAGTTGGCTACTCCTCCAGACCGCTGGACGGGCGCTTCACGACGGTGCGCCTCCGCGAGTCCAACCTCGGCAATTTCGTCTGCGACCTAATGCGCTTCTACTACAATGCCGACTGCGCCATCATGGCCGGCGGCACCATCCGCGGCGACCAGATCTACCCACCTGGTATATTACGCTTAAAGGATATCCTGAACTGCTTCCCCTTCGAGGACCCCGTAGTCCTCCTCCGTGTCACGGGTAAGATGATCTGGGACGCCCTCGAAAACGGCGTCAGTCTCGTCCCCGCACTCGAAGGCCGCTTCCCACAGGTCTCGAATATCTCCTTCGGTTTCAACCCGTCCCGTCCGTCGGGTTCGCGCGTCACCTGGGCAAAACTAGGCGGGAAACCGCTGGACCCAGAGAAATTCTACGTCCTCGCAACGAGAGGCTACATGGGCCGCGGCAAGGACGGATTTTCCTCCCTCCTCGTCCGGTCGGAGGGCGGAGAGGCGGAGGAGATCGTCTCGGAAGAGAACGGTGTCATGATCAGTACGATTCTGCGACAGTATTTCCTCAGCCTGAAGGTGCTGGGCACCTGGGTGCGCTGGAGCCCAAGTCTAAAGGATCACTGGAGTAGAGTTCATAATAATCTCCATGGAGCAGGGTACTTGAGACCTCCCGCCGCGGGATCATCGCCTGTCGTCGAAAAAAAGACGCCTGTTGTACCTGTACCAACACAAGTCTGTACAACGGGAGCACAACGACCATCCCTACAACGTTCAAGTAGGAAACAGTACTATTACGGACGATTCCCGGAAGTAGGTGATCTCGCTGGTACCCACCATACCCATGATGACGACGACTATGACCACGCCCACGATACCATGGACTCAGACTCAGACGAGGATCCGGATCTACTCACCTCGCCTCTTCCCACGACGAACTACGTGACGTTTCCGGCCACCTCGGCGGCGGAGGAGGAGCGTCGTCTTCGTCTCGCACGGTGGGCGACGAGGAAGTGGAAGAAGGCTGCTGGCCTTAGAATTCAACCGGGTGAGTTGGCGGTTGATGATTCTACCACTACTACTACGGGCGATGTGGATGAATTCACGCCCTCGTGGACGCCGGGGATAGCCCCGAGATTGGAGGGGAGGATTGTTGTTGAGGGTGCTGATGGTGTTACTCTGTAGTTCTTGATGTTGAATACTTCATACTCTTTAGCAGGATTGATTATAGATGAGATGATACGACTGCATGATACTAGATAAATAGAATATAGAGCTGATTATATCTATCCCATTAACCGCATAACATTATAAAGTACATAGACATAAACATAGATCATAAGTAGACAGTAAAGACTTATGCTTCAACTTTCCCCCATCCACCACCACCAGCAGTCATAATAATCACCCGATCATGCGTCTTAGCCGAAACGGTATTCTTGCCACCAATATTAACCGTCCTCATAGCACCCGTCTCCGGGTCCTTCGTAATCCACAGATTCAGCCCCGTGGCGGCATCTTCACCGCCCTCCAATCCGTACGGATGGTACACTCTCCTCTCGGACAGAATGGACACCTGTATCGGTGCCAGGAACTCGATATCTCGAATCACTCCGTCACCGCCGGGGTGGAGACCCTTTCCTCCGGAGCTCGGGCGGAGAGTGAACTGGCGCAGGAGAGTCGGGTAGCGCTTCTCCAGGACTTCGGGGTCTGTGATGCGCGTGTTTGTCATATGGACGTGGACACCCGATTCGCCGTTCCAGGTTGGTCCGGCACCGCTGCCGCCGGCAATGGTTTCATAGTACCCAAATGATGGGATGGTCGCGCCCGTTTCGGGGTCAACGCGAGAGTCCATGCCGAAGGTCAGGTTGTTGCAGCAGCCCTGCGAGGCGGCGCAGGCGCGGAAGGCCTTCAGGACGACGTCGGTGATACGTTGCGAGGTCACTACGTTTCCACCGACAACCGCAGCGGTCTTGGTTGGGGAGAGGATGCTGGGCGAGGGAACGTGAATGTCGATGGGGGCGAGACAACCCTGGTTCAGTGGGATATCGGACTTGATCATGCAACGGAGACAGTAGATAATGGCGGAGTGCGTGATGGCAATCGGAGCGTTCCAGCTGCCATAGACTTCAGGGCCGGTGCCTTCGAAGTCGAAAACGGCCGATCCGTCTTCCCCGTTGATGGTGACTTTGAGCTTGATCGGTGTGCCGTCGTCCATGTAGTCAACTGCTTCGAGAGGCTGGCCGCCGAATCGCTGGTAGAGTTCCTTCAAGAGATTGCGCACAGCGACCTCCGCTGTCGACTGGATGGCGTACATGTATTTTTGCACCGTATCAACTCCGTACTCCTGGAAAAGTGCCTGGATGAGAGTGATACCACGCGTGTTTGCTGCAACCTGCGCTTTGAGATCTGAGATGTTATCATTCAGGCATCGGGTTCCCGTGCATCCCTCGTACCGGGCCGGCTGGTGAAGAAGCAGGTCAACCAGGCGCTCTTCATTGAACACGCCATTGCTGACCATCTTCTCTCCCTCAATAGCTGCTCCTTCTTGCCAGAGCTCCGTGGACTTGGGCGGCATCGATCCAGGAAGAATTCCACCAATATCAGCATGATGCCCACGCGACGCCACGTAGAACATGATTTTATCACCGCCGGGCCGATCGAAGACGGGGGTGATGACGGTGATATCGGGCAAATGTGTACCTCCGCAGCTGGGGTGGTTGGTAACCAGGACGTCGCCGTCCTTCAACTGTCCGAACCACTTCTTGTGCTGATAGCGAACGGCGAACTGCATAGAACCCAGGTGCACCGGCAGGTGAGGAGCGTTTGCGACAAGACCACCATCTGGAGAAAAGAGAGCGCAGGAAAAGTCCAATCGCTCCTTGATGTTGGTAGAAACGGATGTCTTTTGCAGCGTGCGACCCATCTGTTCGGCAATGGACATGAAGCGGTGTCCAAAGATACTCAGCCTAATAGGGTCGATTTCTGAGGACAGACCAGCGGCACGGCTGGCAGCCTTTGGGTCTTCCAAGTCGATCAACACACACGTTTCGAGGATGTTGGCTACCGCATTTGGTACGACCACAAGCGTCTGTGTCTTGTCGATGATAACAGCCGGACCGCGGATCCGAGTGTGCTTCTCGAGTTGACTAAGGACGTACACCGGAGTGTCGATGCGGCTGGAGTGTCCATCGAAGTAGGCGTGGGTGATGCTTGCAGGTTCAACGGCCACATCGCGTATCTCCGCCTCCTTCAGCTGGACCAGAGGGCTCTTCTCCGTTCGTGCCTGGGTGGAGGCAATCGTGCGAACTCGGATATCGTCAATTAGCACGGGGCGGTCGGAGTTGAAGTTGAATTCCCGGCGATGACGTGCGCGGAACTCTTCCAGAAAGTCGGATGAACCTTCGGGTTTCAGGATCATCAAGCTTGTATCCGAACCATCGTACCGCATGTTGAGGTACAGCTCGTGGCGTACCTTGTCGGCGGAGAGGCCCTGCGAGACCATCTCTGCCGTGGCAGCCGCGGTCAGAGCCTCGAAGCGCTTGTCGAGAATCGGCAGGGAGGATTCGTAGTCGGCGGAAACTGGCTCCTGCGATTCCTTGACCACCTCGGCCAGGGCCAGACCGTACGCAGACAGGACGGAGGAGAACTTATGGATGATGATGCGAGAGATGCCCAGAGAGGCAGCGACAGAGCAAGCATGCTGACCGCCTGCACCGCCAAAGCAGGCAAGGTGGTGTGAGGGTGTTTCAAACCCCCGAGCTTCAGTGAGGTTGCGAATGGGACGTGCCATCGACTCGTCAGCGACCTTCAAGAAACCCATGGCGACTTCCTCGGGCGTGTACTCTGTCTGACCCTTCTCCCGGCGCTCCGCGTTGATCTTCTTGCTAAGGTCATGGAAGAGCTGGGATGTTTTCTCCTTGTCAAGGGGCTGATCTTCATTGGGACCGAAAATGTGAGGGAAGAATTCAGGGAGCAGGCGGCCGAGGAACAGGTTCGCATCGGTGACCGTCAGTGGCCCCCCCTTCCGGTAACAAGCTGGACCGGGGTGGGCGCTGGCGGATTCGGGTCCAACGTAGAACAGTCCGTTGCGCCATGACAAGATGGAGCCTCCACCAGCAGCCACGGTGTTGATATCCAGCTGCGGCGACTGGATCATCACACCAGCAACCTTGGAGCCGAAGACATGTTCCAGATGGCCATCGAAGCGAGAGACATCCGTCGACGTACCACCCATGTCGAAGCCAATGACAGGAATCCGCTCCGTCTGATCAAAGCTGGTCGCAGCGAATCCGACCACACCGGCCGCGGGGCCCGACAGGATCGCCTTGAGCCCACTGAATTTGCGGAAATCGACCAGCCCACCATCGGACTGCATGAACTCGAAGCGACAGGCGTGCTCTCCTCCCAAGCCGCCCTTGAAATTCGAAGAGATGGAATCGATGTAGGTCTTGATGACAGGAGTCAGGTAGGCGTCCGCGGCAGCCGACATGCCTCGCGGGACGATCTTAATCATGGGCTGCAATTTCGAGGAGAGGGTGACGGAGAAACCCATGGACTCGGCCAATTCCCCGATCAACCGTTCATGCTCGGGATAAGCGTAGGAGTGCACCAGCGCAACGGAGAGGGATTGGTAGCCCTCCTTCTTCAATCTCTCAAGCTCCGGTCGCACCTCTTCGAGATCCAGCTCCTGTACCACGCGGAACTTCTCACCCGTAACACCCTCGACTACCCTCGCATCCGTAAAGCAGTCCTTATCGGCATATTGGTGGCAGGGGATAACACGCTCGTTGACTTCGATGACTCCCTCGGGGAGCATACCCGGTCGAGCCATGGTGAGATCGAAGATATCCGGACGAGACTGATCACCGATGCGGAGGAGGTCGCGGAAACCCTTGGTGGTGAAGAGGACGGACCGGGCGCCTTTCCTCTCTAGCAAGGCATTTGTCGCAACTGTAGTCCCCATCCGCAGACAACCGATATGATCGAGTTCCAACGGTTGCCCTCTTGGATGAGGCTGGCCAGTGACCATCTCGAGAATCTGACGGATACCTTCCGTGGGGGCATCCTTGTAGTGTGCGGGGTCGACGGAGAGGAGTTTGAGGATGATGTCGGGACGACCAGGGACGATGGCATGGACGTCCGTGAAGGTGCCACCGCGGTCGATGGAGATGGTGATTTTCTCTGAGGGAACCATTTTGTCTTGTGGGAAAGAATCCCTGTCTGCTGAAGAGGATGGATGGATGGAGGGCATTGCGTCGGTTTAAGAAGACGTGCAGAGTACGGCGGCACTCACCCTCCCCCTCCCCACTTGGGAGACGCATTCCGACCGCGAGTCAGCAGCACGATAAGATAGCCATCGTAATAATCACGTCCGACGGGCATCTGCGGCCGTGAATGGCACAGAGCAAAGCGAGACCCAGTGGAGAGAGCGTTGCGAGGCCCGCGCGCTTACCGTGTCGGTCACGTGTCGGTCACGTGTCGGACCGAACATGCGCTCTGTCGGGCCGGCGCTGGAAGCTGCTGCCGATGAAGTCGACATGTATCTATCGATAATAATAATAAGGATATGGAGCAAAAAAAAAATTAAATAAATAAAGATAAAGATAAAGATAAGAATAAGGCGAAAACAAAAAGGTGAGTGCAAGCATCAGAGTGTAATAATAATGTACATGAAGCTGACTGCTACAACCAAACAAGACTATGGCTATCTGCGAAGCGTGCTCTCAATCCACCCCGTGTCCATGTCGATGTCGATATTATCCAGCACCTGCTCCCACAACCCGGGGTCCTCGTTGATGTCAAAGTTAAACGTCATGTCCTGAATGGACAGCAAGTCGTCGGGAAGGGGCCAGTCCGGCGACAGAATCGGCTGCTGGTCCTCCTCGACAGAGATGGCAGGCGGCGGATGTTCCGGGGGGCTGCACGATGCTGAAGCTGCCGCCGCCGCTTGCACATCCACCACGCGAGCATCGTCCTGGTCCGGCTTCTCCTGGCGACTTTCCACATCCTTCTTCTTCGCGGGCTTGGGGCCAATTGCGGCCTGAAGCTCGAGGAGGAGGGAATGGCGAGCAGCGAGATATGTGTTGCCCCGATCCGCCATGGCCCGCAGGACGTTCAGCGATTTCTCCATGGCGCGAACATTGGTCTCGTTGTGCGGAAAGGCTGCGTTGACCATCACCAGAAGGAGGGCAGCGCAGAATACGTGCTCCCCGTCGAGATAACCGTAGGTCGCTAGAGAGGCAAATGTCAGCTGGTGCACACAGTCAGGCACACCTGCGTACAGACTTACCGACGAGATTCTGCTTCATCGCTGCGTCCATGATCATCGTCGTGGCGCGAGCTGCCGTGATGGACCTATCGATCACGGCAACAATCGTCGGCGAGAGTCCGTCTTTCCAGTCTTCGGTCGCTGATCTGTTGGCCTCGGCTTCCAGTCGTTGCTGGATCACGTAGAAGACCAGCGGTCGCGCAGTCATGTTGACGCACGAGTAGAAATTCAGGAATATCGAGACCGACTCGCGACTGATACTCCCGTCGAGATTGCTCAGGTCAATGCGTAGTCCATCTGGGACCGCACGTAACCATTCCGTCAGGTTCTCCAGGATACTCTGTACGGACGCGAGGAGATTCGATCCGGATCGGGGCTTCTTGCGATAGATCTCTGTTCCCCGTCAGCATTGACTGTAACGGCGACGGGGCCCTGCTGTCTGTCCGTCTGCGTGCGTACCTTCGCCCACTCTGCCCAGAATCCGGGATAGTTTAGTGTAATGGATAAATACGATTGACGGCCACGAGACACTCGGTACGCCCTGCAAAACGTTAGGGAATTGAGTATCATTGGTATTCTTGAGTCATCTACCTCTGTCGTAGGCCATGTAGTGCCAATGTCTTCGTCCTGGATGGAAATTGGATTCCCCGACTTCACCGACAGCAATCTGGATAGAGTCAGTCCAACACTGTCGATGGGAAATAGGCCCGCCAACATACCGATCTAGACTGTAGGCCGACCACCACGCACGCCGGCGACGATCTCGTATACTCTCGCTGAGATGTGGATCGGAGACTTCCTGATGTAACCCGAGTGAAATGGCCATGCGAAGTGCCAGACCGGTCTTCGGTCGGTTAATCCATCAGCCGCACAAAGGGGAAGGAAGGGGAAAAGGTGAGACTCACATAGAGAAATGCAGCGTCACGCCGATTAAGATTCTGCATATAATACCCAACATAGCAGAGCACCTCGACGAAGAAAATAGATCCCTCCTCGTGGATATCCGGAAGGAAGCGGAGGGCATGTTTGAAATACTTGAACCCGGGAGGACCGCCATCCCCCGACCATTGATTGACGGAGTACATCAGGCCGAAGGCGATGATGAGCAGGATCTCACAGTACGTCAAGCAGGCCTGTTGGTTCGAGAAGTCGGGCGGGTGGTTGTAGACGAAGTCCAGCCTCTCCTCGAACTCGGAGGGCTGGATGAACGAGAAGATGGTTCCGATGTAGGCGTATTGCACCCAGAACAGGCGCTTGGCGAAGTCATAAGGAGGAAGCTGAGGGAGGGTGGTAGAGACTGGACGACGAAGTGACGATGGGTCGTCATAGAGAGGTCGCACGTCCCAGGCGAGGTTGGACGAGGCCGGATTCAGACGTCTGGCGAGATGTGTGGCAGATGAAGCTCCCACATACTCTGTCGTGGTCAGTAAAGCATTAGTCCCCAGACAAGGTTGAACGTACGATGCTCTCCAGATCGGTTCAGCAGCAAGTTATCTGCTCCCTTATACCACCAGTCATCGCGCGCGATGGGAACGTCGCCCGTGGTGTTCGAGCTGGACGGCCCTGAAGAAGCCGAGGGGATAGAGAGACCATCATCTGCATGAACATGCGTATTAGCAACCTGGATGATCCAGAAGGCATCCATCTGGAGTCCATACTGTCATACGGGCCTTGACGGGCAGCCCGGGCCTGCAAATCGCGCAGGTAACTAGAAAGCCGTCAGCGTCTGTCCTCGGTCGCCACAGGCAGGAAGAAAGAAAGAATACTCGCCTCTCCAGCACAGGCACCCTTTTCTCAGCCTCTGAATACACACAGGGCTGCCCGGCATCCTCGCACGCCGCGCAAGGATCGGGAGGATTACCGGCACATCGGGTCTTCCTACCACGACACCGATTGCAACTGGCATGCAGTCAATATGAACGTTCTGTCAGCGGTCAAAGGAAAAAGTACGCAGGGACTCGGACTCCACATGGTACATACGCGACTACCGATCGCTTCACACTGGCTCGATCGTCGGATCGACGCCGCGAAATCCCTCTCGACACGCCGTTGACCATCGTGCGAAAATGGCTATCTACAGCACGGGACCGGCATTGATAAGGAGAAAAAAGGCAATTTCAACAGGCAAAAAGCGTTCCATGTAACCAGCAGGAAGAGAAGGCGATTCTATAGCAGGCGCTGGACGGTTCCTTATTAAAGGATGCCAGCCAGCCTTGTGTTCTGCCCAGGGTGCAAGAATATGCAGGGCAAGGAGGCACGCCGAGTTCTTCCTTTCTTATCTTTTGCGGGGAAACTCGAGGGTGACCGAGGCCCGCTCATCTTTTATTTATTATCTACGGGTGCGATCAGGGAATTATTGAAGACTTTGCGTAAGTATGCAGGTTGTGATGGAAATGGCCAAGTATTCAGTTGAACGTAGCCACCCAGTCGAAACGGGGGGGGGAAAAATAAAAATTAACAATAAAAAATAATAAAAAAATAAAAATTGAACAAAATTGAACAAAAAACAAAATTTGAATAAAAATATACCAATCCAAGATCTAGAATGGTGAACGCATTAGCAGTCATCAAGTCGTCCTGTCGAGCTGGCGTGTAGATACTGGGTATAAATAATCCAATTCTTTCCCTCGCATCTAATGCCCGTTGGTGATGGTCACCTTTTTCGGCGGTGGTAGACCTAGGCCATTGAATTTGATCTTGCTATTCCGCCTCTTGCTCTTGTTGCTCCGCAGCACTCCGTTCTGAATAACCTGTCTGCTCTGCGCCAGCGTCTGCGACGGCTGCTCGCCCAGCCACTCCGGCTCGAGACGGGTGAGACTATCCTCGAATTCCCAGGCGCGTCCGCCCTCCACGTACATCGACTTGCCATTCAGCGAGGGATCACAGACCACGCCGGCCAGGACCTTTGCGACGTCAAGCGGTGCGTTCAGCGGGAGATTCGCCTTGGCCCATTCCTCGCGCACACCGTTAATCACTCCCGCGTCCGTCAGATTTGGGCATATGGTGTTGATCCGGAGGTTATGCTCGGTTGGAGACGCAATGTACGCGCGCAGCGAGCGCATGAGACCGATCACCCCGTGCTTGGACGCTTGGTAGAGGAACATACCGGGTGCGTCCTTGAATCCGGCAACGGAGGACATGAGGAGGATGGATCGGTCGGTGTTCGTGGAATGATCGATGATGTTCCGGTTGTGACGGAGGTAGACGCTGGCTACACGGGTCACGTAGAGGGTTCCCAGTAGGTTTACATCGAGGACTTTGTGGTCCGGTTCCTGTGGCATCTTAGCGCCCTATATCAAAAGTAAGTCATTGTGTAATGATACACACCTGTCGAACATTCTGCAACGACAGTCCATAGTCGAACCAGTTGCCATTCTCGGGGATGCCAGCGGCGGAGATGACGTGGTCGATCCGTCCAAAGGCCTTGAAGGTGGCTTCGAACAGGTCAACGACGGATTGGTAATTGGTAACGTCGGTCTTGTGGAAGATGGCCCGGGGTGCAGATGAGTGACTGGGGTACAACCGTGAGCACGCATGGACGAGTTTCTCTCCCTTGCCTTCTTCGATGTCACCGATGCAGACCAGGGCATCGTGCTTGCAACATATGTTGATGAACTCGGCTCCGATGTCGTTGGCACCACCTGTGGTCGTCAGTCTTTGCAGCAGCAAGGGGAGTTCTGCAGAAAGGGACTTGCCTACGATGAGAACGACCTTATCCAGCAAGGACTCTTGGGAATAGACAGGGTGGAACTGAGCCATGGTGAATCTGCGTCTGACACTAGTACTTATATTAGTCTGGGGGATTTGTCAACAGTACACGAGTGGGCACCGCGGCTTATATATCTCAAGGCTATCTCAAGGCCGTCAGAGCAAGACATCTCCGATTGTTCCCGACAAAGGGCTGGGGACAGGTTGCGACAGTAGAAGGCATCAAGCTGGGAATAGAATCGCCTTCGTCTGGAGCACAGTTATCCGCCATATAGCGTGGGATCTCCAGAGGAAACGTGGGTTTCATTCGTGCTTCGGGATGCCGTCGACTCGATGCAGCGCACGGCTCATTCCTCGAGCCATGGACGTCAGCGCGCGTTTAAAGTTGAGCAATCCATAGGCTGTGTGGGCGCCATCAAGGCAATACACAGGCACAGCCAGGCATGGCGGGGGGGTTAGTGGAGGGGCGAGCGTGGAACAGCCGCTTTCGTCTCTGCCACTGTCACGTCGCCGTCCAGTGGCCGTTGGCATCGTGTTGGGACCAAGGAAAGAGAAACGCACCACCAAAGTCCGTGCATCCGTCATGGCGCATTGACCGGAGATCTATCTACTCATGTATGAGCTTGCGCATCTCCGGGGTTGATGGAAGGGACGCCTTACCATGGAATAGGACTCGGTGGCCATGATCATATTGGTCTACTCGCATTCAGCCAGCTGCCCAATATGCCTTGTTGCAGCACCATGTACAAAAGAACCATGAATCAAAAAACGCCGGATTCGTTGATAGATTCATGAACTGATGAAAGGAGTTTGTCCCGGACGAACCTGATCCGTCTGACGTTTCTTCTCCACGATCGACGCCGTCTACGTCGCAGAACCCTTGTATAACAGTAACCTCGGCAACCGGATATCGTATGATCGTCTCTACACAGCGACATAAAGGAATGCAATCGTGCTCGATTCCGGGGTAGAAGATGCACGGAAGATACAACCCTGTCGGGGCCATCCCACGCGTCTCCGCTGGATCGACGAGGCCGTGATGTAACTATGCCAGTTGATGCGGAGAGACCGGACTACCTTCAGTTCAGCAAACTGCGAGAATATAAGCTGCGGACCGCATTGACCTTATGGTGAGCAGGGTACTTGTTGATAATAACTCAAGTCTTCGTGAGAAAGTGTACAGCGTGGATGTATGTATGTACTATGCCAGATGTTTCGAAACTCCACCTGGTGAAAGAGGGGGTCCCACTTGGCTTCTTACAGAGACTGCTATAGCGGCATACGAGCACAAGGGCCATGGTTGAGCCATCACATTGATCATATCTCCTACAATGTCGAGGTTATCTTTCGTGTGTAAGCCCAGTCCATAACCAGCATTGGTCTTTGGCCTCTACAATGGGGCTAGGAGCCAACGCACTACTGTTTTCTTCGGTGTACGTATACGCGACACATTCCACAAGAAGCTATATCTTGTATATCTGCATGGGAGAGAAGTTATCAGGAAATGCCGGCCGTGGTCTTCACGGAAATTGGTGTCTTGACCACATCATTGATACTAGTAGATGCTCAACATTGGTGGTCTGCCAGTGGAAGGTGAGTTCCCAGTAACTGTTCAGCAAATGTAGCCTCACATCGGCTGGATCCGAGACAGATGTCCATTCAACTTTTTGCTGTAGCTATGAACCCGCTACAGGGAAATAATAATGAGCGAGTTCTCAAGATGTCCGATTTCACAAGGGTCATTGTTGTTGGATCAACTTGCTTGTATTGTATCTATCTAGGTTGGTCTAGCTATTTTAGTGTGTCCGGCCAAGCGAGGGCGGTCTACTATGGCAGAATACACGTGACCTCTAACAGGTGTATTACCTCATCAGGAAATGCAGCTGAGTAAGCTGTGACAGCCTTAGTAAACTGATTAGTGCCTGATATATACATTTATGCCTCAGGCATCAGCCTAACCCTCTCCAAATTAGGAAACCGGAGAGATCCATGGCAACGTTGCCACAGTATCGAACATGAGTAGAAATCTGCATTGGTAATTCACTATGGGGACGCTCTTAATCGGTTCCCGAGGACCCTAGGGTTCCGAGGAGGTTGATTCTGTTATATGGGGAAGGGCTATACCTGTCACGGCCAGCCGCCTGGACAATATGCCTGATACATGGCGGACTGACTAGAACAAAACCTAGGTAGAATAAACTTAGCATTCTGTAAGGCAGGTTTAACCAGCCGCTGCCGTTCATGCAGGCGGATACGAGGTCTGTGCCGCAGATAGCCATTTGATAGCATAGGTTTATGCAAAGATAAGTTACTGTCACACCACGGCAAGGTCTACACTATCCTACTTTGGCATATGGCATGCCAGACGTAGACACCACTGCTGCCCAAACCGGCAGTCATACCGAGGGAGGAAGTAGAATCAGGTAACTTCATGCTGCAGAAACGGCTACACTGTGGCCACACTTGGGCTTCTCATTTGCCTAGCTTGTTGGCATTAAACACCTCAAAACGTTGGCTACATGGTCGATTTCTCACCGGGACGAGTAGGTGCAGGAGACCTGGCCCTATCTGGCCAGGTCTTAAGTTTCCAAATGACGGCTACCAAAGAAGGGTCTAATGATGCATTCTCCCATCCCCTGGGACATTCGACTGACGGTCTGGGCCTGTTGATCTGACTCGACGAGGCTCATGAACCGGTACTTCTTGAATATCCAATCCCAGGGACGCGAGGATCGGACCATGAACTCTAATCAAAACACTCTGGAATCATCCAGGCATAGCATTCTTACCAGAAGAAAGAAGTGGTCGTGCTTCTGCTTCGACATTCTAGCTTGCATCAGCGGGACGCTTGAAGGAACAACAGCGCAAGCCTTTGTGTGGTAATAGTTAATCCTTCAACCCAATGATCGACTGGACTTCACCATTCCGATCCGGTGTTCCCTCTTCTGCAGGCGTGGCTTGCTTGCTGATTTGCCCGACGTGCCGTCCCGCAGGATGTGCCCTCCCGATCTGCTAAGGCCAATGGTTGCTGTTAGGTTACAGAAAATGGTGAGCCCCTCGTATTCACTAGGCTGAGTTTCGCCGTGGGACGGATCCTACATTCCCCGTGCGCTGACGGTGCAGCAGGTTGGTAGGTTAGCTTCTCGTCGTTGTTGGATTCCTTTCTTTCTTGAATCAAGACAGAAAGAGGGAATAGGCAAAAAAGGTAGCAGGGAAACACTTTCTATTGCTTCATCGTCGATCAGCGGAGATTGTCCGGAGGTCCGGAAGCACATTGAAGTTGGTTATTTCCCAGTCATGATGTACCAATCGGAGTTTTTCAGCGTCCTGCAAATCCTGTCCCCGGGTGCCCTGCACCATTCCTATTCTTCATGATTCAGTGATGGATAGGCTTGTGTTGCATATCTCGTGTTGAATGCTGCCGACGGTCTCCCGGGGTCCTTCTTTAGCCGCCTCATCCTCGCATCGACTTGCGACTTGCCCACGAGCAGGTGGAGAATGGCAGTGGATAAAAGATGAGGCACGGGGAAGGCCCGTTCCCCGGGGCTAAAAAGTAGGAATACGAACTCAAACATGCTTAAAGTGGATCTATGCTAAAAGCTGACAAGAGTCTATCTCACTCTAGGATGGGATTGAACCACGGCTTCCGGCCTGCAGAACGCAGAGACTGCCGCTTAACCGACTACTTGGGCTCAGGCAGCCAGTCCAATAGCCTGGCGATAAGGGTGCTCGATATCATGCTCTGCATCTTCGCTGGAGGTGGTGGTTAGGGCCGCGCAAACCGCGGCACCAACGCTTTTCCCTGTCACATATATAGGCAGTTCGCCTCCCTTATGCAGATCCATCCCAAATATCCCCCATTGTTTCTTTTTTCAGGCTTCTCTCTTCGTCTTGGGGCATAGTACGCGTCCATGTCCACGTTGGGCTCTCTTCCGGCCTCAGCCCGCCGGTCGTCGGTGGCCCCCAAGCTGCGCGACAGTTGCCAAGGGTGTGCAGTATCGAAGCTCAAATGCAGTCGAGAGAGACCGACGTGTGCGCGATGTGCCAAACGCGGCATGGTCTGCGAGTATTTTGTGACAAAGCGCGGGGGTCGCCGGCCGACCTCTCGTCTGAATGCCAGCAGCAGCAGCAGCAGCAGCCCTAAGATGGATAATAGCCTCAATATCCCAGCCCCTGCCACTTCCGCCTCGTCCCCCTCCTCGCTGTCCTCGTTCGGGGGGACAGCAGATTCCCTGACTCCCCCGGGTCTGATGCAGATGTCTCTCGGCAACCACCATCACTCCCCGTCCTCTCCCTTTCCTGATATCCTTCCGGGTATTGTCACACCGGCAGACCCTACAACTACCCCGAGTCCGGCCAGTTTGACCACCACCCACCTCGACTGTTTCAATTTGCCCATCCCCTTGTCCATCCTCGACACGCAGGGTCCTGACTATCTCAACCCGGCTGATACCGCTGCTTTTTTTCTTCAGGATAATGCATTGACCGTGTTCGACGAGGCGGTCTTCGACCTGCCTTCCGTGCCGAAACCACAAACTCAAACTCACCCAGCCAGTCGACCCTCCGTGACTGATAGTCTACAAAGTGCGAGAGATTACTCCTCCGATCCGGGGTGTTCTTGCCTGTTACGAGCTCTGGGTTTACTGAAGCAGCTCTTTCCCAACGCCTCGAGCTCCAGCACATGCATGGCATCCCTCTTCCCGGGCCAATTCCCGACCATCCACTCGGTCATCGTTGAGAATGAACAGATAATCGCGGTTCTAAATACAATGCTGCAATGCCCTTGCTCCCAGGACGGCTACCTGCTCGCCATCATTTCCCTTATTGTCTTCAAGATGATGGGCTGGTATGCTGCCGCTGCCCGCGAGACACCGTTGTCCCATAGCAATTTCAACAGCAGCCGCGGCGGCAGCGCTAAGTCACATCTGGATTACGGACAACGGCCCCATTCCGAGCAGGTATTCAAGTTGCAGTCCTCCGTGGATGGCGAGTACGAAGGCCGCATGGCAGCTCAGTTAGTTCTCAGTGAGCTCCACCGTGTGCAACAGTTGATCAACGTGCTCTCGCAACGACTCAAGGCCCATGGGCTGCAAACCTCGGGCGTGGAGTCACCCAGCAGTCCGGATTGCTTTTACTTTCTGAACCAGGACAGCAGTGCGTTTCCAGTGACCATGCTGGGTCAATTGGAGGTGGATCTACGCAAGCGTCTACAGACCTTGTCAGTGGAGATAGTCGACATATTGCGACGAGGATGATATAGACTTGGTTTTTTTTTTTTTTTCTCACAATTATGACTGTGAATGTGAATGTGCACTTTGTTTAGATGAGTAGGGTTTACAGTTCCGGTGAAGTCCATTGTTCTTTTCATCCTCATCAATTTGTGCAGTCACAGCACCTGCATAATAGTCAGTAAAGCAAAGTTTCGTGCTGCGTACATATTTAAGCATAAAACATCTTCTATTGTTTATTTAACCCGACAAATGGCGCCCATGGATTGCCTGTCCTTGCTTCAGCCTCATTTGGTTTTGAATTTCCTATTTGGGAAGGATCTAAGGACTGTTAGATCATGAAGTTTTATATCAATTTGATAGTCCCATGGATTAGTTATTCAGGAATTTAATTACTCATTGTGTTAACCCTTCATCTGCAAACTCTGATCCACGGCAAAGCAGTCTAATGAAAGCAAACACACCTTGGCCCTTCGCCAATCGATGGTGAGCACACGCTGTCTTGAGAGAAAGACTTCCCAGACCGACTTCCATAACTACTATGAGAACGTCACAGTTGGGGACAAAAACGGGCTCCATCCGGAACCTTTGTGCTAATACGGAGTTAGCAAAAGACTACAAGAGATTGAAAAGACTATGTGCCTACGAGTTCTGAAATACACCAGTAAACCCGGCGCCAAGACACTCGACTGTATCCCATCACATGTCACAGGGTACAGTGTTGGCCTGTGTTGGATCAACTTGCTTGATTGTCTCTATCTATGTTAGTCTAACTATTTTAGTTTGTGTCAGGCAAGCGAGGGCGGTCAGCCGAGGCAAACGCCACGTGACCTCTAACACTGACGGAATTGTAAGGCTGCGAATATGGCAGCCTCAGGCCAACGTACAATCACGTGTACTTAGCACCACCATCGCGAAGTTAGCGATTAGTTCTTCATCAACAGGGATCCTGTGTTTCCTCCCTTACTATCGTACTTAGCACTCTCCGTATATTGATTATCTCTTTACGCCATCACAGCTATGCAGCCCCTACAATACATCAATAACAAGCTCGAGACTTGCTAGGGGGATTAAGTGACAATACTCTTAGCACAGCCCTAACCTTCATAAAGCCGGTTTTATCAAGGTTGTAGATGTCGTTTGGTGAATACCTGACACGGTGCGATGTCGAGGGCATTCAGAGACTTGACCGCTGAACTGGGCAAAGGAATTAGTATGTAGAGCCAGAGGCTCTACACTTCTCTCTCATGTATATATATATATATAGGCAGGATAGGACAGGCACTGTAACAATACTACATTAGTCGATTAATATCCTCAACCGGTTAACCAGGTCTTAATTATACATAAATACTCTGCCTGAATATACCTAGAATCCATTGGCCTTTACCATACTTGCTTGTATCTAGGTCTTAGTTTTGTCCTATAAAGATTTTGATGACATCCGGTAGCGAGGTTGCTAGATCAGTACGTACTGTGACGGCCGCTTAGGGCATGCTCAGATCTACTCAGTGAGCAAACAGCGCCAAGACCCGAGCACATTGGCAGAATAAAAGGTACGTATGTGTGCATGTGGACGTATTGGATTGTAGACTGCTCTGTCCCTCACGCATTGTTGTTCTCTTTACGGCATACCGTGTCACCGCAGCCAAGACAGTACTCACTGCATGATTCAGGGAAAGGGAAGGAAAGCCAAATTAAATAAAACCTGCAGTAAAACTTGACACTCAATAAAAAAAGAGTGTACAAAAAAGAATGCATTGTCCGGGAGTCGAACCCGAGCCATTTGCTTGGAAGGCAAATATCCTACCGCTGGACCAACAATGCTGATTTGTTGTAATGAATATCAATGAACCTTTAGATAAATAACTCTATCACAAATATTTGATTTTTTCAACCAAACAGAGCGACGAGGATCTTCCACCCCGTCATCTAATAAAAGCAACAAAACTGACATATATTTCTAGTAACGATAACATATCACATACATCAAACAGATACTTCTAGCTTCACCAATGTTGACCTTGTTGCAATCTTCGTCGACAGCTGCAGGAACGAAGCACTCGCCAGCAGCTCGAGAATCGGTATGGTGCTCCCCATCTCCTTGGCAATCCAAGTGCGTATCTCGACGGCAACCAGAGAGTCAACACCATACTCCGACAGCGCCTTAGACGAGTTGATATTCTCAGCGGGGGTTCCAAGCCGTGAGGCAATCTTGTCAATCAACGCCGCACAGATGATACCTGCCGCCTCATCCACCGTCTTACTGGCACGAAGACCCTCTTGAAGCCGATCAGCGGCATCTCCTTCGTCACCGTCTGCCTTACCATCTCGGAGAGACTGTCTCCGGAAATGAGCGAAGAGTGACTGGTCGAAATTTCCAAGCGACTGGCCTTCCTTCCACCTTCCCAGACCCGTCACGATCTGTGCCTGGACGCCTTCGCGGCGCGGTTGTGCGATGGCAGTTTGGATGAGAGCCATCAGCGTACGTTCATCTGTGCCTTCGAACCCCTGTCTTTCCATGGCTGCAAGAAGTTCTTTGTTCTCAGACAGATAGCCAACGCCCACGATCACGCCGAGATCTAAAGTGACGGCAGGTAGGCCCAAGTGATTGCGGAAAGCTGCGAAGCCGTCCATGAAGGTATTACCTGCTGCGTACGCAGCTTGTGTGGCATTGCCGATTACTCCACTGACAGATGATAACATCACGAAAAAGTCCATATCTTTGGGTAGATGATTGTGCAAATTCCACGTCCCGAGGAATTTGGGGGATACAGCGGCTGAATAGTCCTCCACTGACAGTTTCTCAATCAAATTATCCTAATTGAAGTGGTCAGAACATTTCAGCAATGGGAAAGCAATCTGATGGAAACATACTCTCAGCACCATGGCTGCTTGGATGACACCCCGAATTGGTGGCATCTCCTGGGCTGCCTTGGCCATCATCGTGGAGACATGGTCCTCCTTGCTGATATCACAGCTGTAGGCGGCAACCTTGACTCCATTCGCCTCTAGTTGTCTTACAGTCTCTTTTGATTCCTCCCTGGACAGTCCGCTTCGATTCGCAAAGATGAGGAACCGGGCACCGTGATCAATCATCCACGAAGCTGTAGCTCGCCCAATACCACCCAGACCACCGACGAGGAGATACGATGCATCTGGCCTGAGAAGCTCATTGCTTTTGTCTTTGGCGAGAGCCTGGTCCCACATCAGCATCAGACTCGAGCCCCCAAAAAAAAAAAAGGTTAAACACGTACCTTGACAGCAATTCCAGGCTCACCATAAACAACCGCTTTACCAATGCTTGCCCCTCCTTCCATCTCAGTCAGAGCAGTCTGCATATCGGAAAACTTGTGAACTAGGAGAGAGGAAGGACCCCTAATAGCTTTTGCGCGAACCAAACACATAACATCAGCCCATAATTTGTGTGCGAGATGCCTTCTGTTCTTCAGTAGGTTGAACAGGTCAAAAGAGGCAAATAGGGCGTCTTTGGAAAAGTTAGCCATTTCAAGACGACTATTATCCGTCATCTGGTGGCCTGCATTAAGATCAATGAACCGGCCATAGGGGGCGATGCAGTTCCATGATAGACTCAATGTTTCTATATCCTCTGCAAGGGAGTTGACTATTACTTCAATACCCCTGTTGCTGGTTACCCACATGATCTCTTTGGCAAAGTCCCGTTTATGATGGATGAAGAGATGACTATCCGGGATGTTGAAATGCCGGGTAATGTACTCCTTCTGGGAAGTGTTGTCGACGGTTCCAAATATATCTGCTCCGATCAGTTTGCAGAATTCAACAATCGCCTGTCCCGTGGATCCAGCAATATCGTGTATCAAGACCTTGTCTGACCTAGTGATCCGAGCCAAGTTGTACACAACGTGATACGCGGTGGAGTATGCCAGAGGAAGGGCAGATGCTTGCTCAAATGTCATGTCATCCGGTATCTTCTGGAAGGAAGACGCCTTATCCTGGTAGTAGTTCGTGATGGTCCCCGAGCCCAAGCATGATACTCTATCACCTGGCGAGAAATCGACAACCAACTTGCCCACTTCGAGAACCACACCGCTGCATTCTGCACCCAATGCATATTGGCCTTGACCGTGACCCTTTACCAGACGAAGATCCCTCTTATTGAGCCCGGATGCTTTGACCTGGATTCGCACGTAGTCTTCTGGAGTTTCCGCCAGTGCCGTGTCGTCAACAAAATGAACAGAGCTGAATTGCCCAGGGGTACCAATAACAGCCCGGAGCTTACGGCTAGGCTCGTAAAAAGGCTGGTCAATGGGTGAAGCCGGTTGGAGGACTGAGAGTAAGCGTCCATTCACCTCGTCGTTTTCAACTACCCGTGGGATATGGAGAACGCCATCTCTTTCAATGTACTCCACATCCTGCGGGATCGTAGACGCACTTCCAGCCAGACGATTCCGGAAAAGAGAAAATATAGTTTCGGCAGCTTGTTCACTGGATAGGGCCTGTTGTCCATCTAAATCCAGCGTCAGAATGCTACTTCCGTCCGTTTCTGCACGGGCAGCCCGCGCAAATCCTGTAACGAGGCCGGCATTGGGATTAACGACAGCTGGGCCTGACCCTCCTCTGGTCACCCACAGGACGCCCTTGCTTCGGAGGAAGATTGATTTGACGAGTTCGAATAATGGAGCCTCTGGTCCTTCGAAGATGGGCATGCGGAGGCCACTGAGGACGATACAGGTGCGGCCCAGTGGATCAGCCTGGGCCAGTGTTGAGATCTTCACAGTCATGTTAATCCCTTCCAAGTACTGGACGAGGAGATTGATAGCAACGCCGCAGTCCCCATCCTCGACGATGAGGAGTATCTCCGGGCTAGACACTGCGGAGAGCTCTCCTCCTACAGCCCTTGTTATCATCACGGAGGATACGTAGCCTGCGTTTCTCCACGGATCGTGAAGGCACACATCGAGCCCTGAAAACTGACCGTTCCGCAATGTATGATGCCACTCTTCTTCCGTGAATGCATGTCTAGAGCGTTTACCTTCTACCTCCTTTTCCCACCAGGTTACGAGTGTACCGAGAACCATAGATTGGGCAAGGCTCTGATCCCCATGGATCTTATCAACAAACACGAGCCTTCCCCCGTCCCTGAGAAGTCTGCGAACGTTCTTAAGCACTTGGCCCTTCGACTTGGCATGATTGAGATTGAGACCACGTCTCAGAACGACGACGTCGTAGCTCCCCGGCTCCAGTCCCTGCTCTTGGATATCCGATCCCTCGACATCAAATTGCTTGAATTTAATCAGGCCTGCCCACTCAGAGAGCTTTTCCCTGGCCGCTTCAAGGACGTCATCGTTAGGGTCCGTGTAGGTGTACCGCTTGAATCGGGCAGATGTACTGGCGCCTTCATTGAGGGCCTGGAGCATAAGTGAGGATAGCTCTCCACTCCCAGCATCGATCTCTAGAATAGACAAATGAGGGTCTTTGTCACCGAGAATACTGAGATACTTGGCTACAGCCTCGTAATTGCGCGTTTGGTTGTGAGTTTCGCTCCAGGATGCTTGCAGACGGCTGCAGGCAGTCGTCAATGCCTCGGGATGGATATCTTTTCTGCATATGGCTGGCAATTGTTGAGCAATCTCGGCCACCAGCTCACCTTCAGGGCCTGATGCCTTTGTGTTACTAACAAGCAAAGCTTTACTATGCGCAGAATGAGCATCCACCGTCGTTCTTGCGCTGTCTTGGGCATCCAGGAATGCCCGTAGCCTTTGGAGGTGAGGCTTGCCATTCGCTACATCGCCGTTTTCGATGGAACCAGGAGCAAGAGCTTCGGCAATGTATACCGATGCACAGTCATGGTAGAGCTGGAACTTCTTCAGCTCTTCGTCAGGTAGCGGAGTGGAAGTGGCGCAGAGGTTGTATAACTCAGCGGGAGTGAGCAGATCGGGATCGGCTATCCATTTGATATTATAGGCAACGCGGAGTCTCTCATCCTCTGTTCCATCCCCGGTATCTCGAGGAAGCACTCTACAGGTCATCCCTTTAATGGACAAGCCAACGCCCTCAATCCCACTCACCTGCCGACTACCCTGCTTGTCGACGGCAAAGATAGAGGCGGCGAGGTTGTTATCGTCTTTCTTTTCCGTGAAGGCATACACATCGAGCTTATGACCAGGCTTTGAGGTCAACGCTTGCGATACGAACATCTCTTCGATGGAAACCGGGACGGCCGGGCCCTGAATCAACCCTCGCTCTGCAGAGAGCGCCACGAAGATGGGATGGAACATACTATCCAGCGTGCTGGGGTGAATAATAAAGGGATACTCGAAGTTCAATGGCATGGTCGCTGCAGTATCGGGGATTGTAATCTCTGCAATGCATTGATCCTGCACAGAACGAGCTGCAGTCATGTTGGCGAAGGTGTCGCCGTATTCGAGCCCTAACTCGGTTAGATGGGCGTAAAACTCCTTCGCGTTTACTTCGGTCATGCACCGCTTGTCAGCTTCGACCATTGCTTTCTGCAATTGCCTGGGATCTGTGTACGGATCATAGGGCAGGCCAGAATCGTAGTGAGCCTGAATGAGACCGCTGGCGTGTTCCGTCCATTTATTCTCTTCGGTCACCGATGCAACAGAGAATTCCCGCCATAGCTTAGATGTCCGGCGTGCACTCGTTCTGTGTGGTCTCAAGGAGACCATGATTTCAGTGGCAGTCTGCTCATTGAGAACTAGAGCAGCGTCGATATTGACTTCGCGCAATGAATACCCGGTGATAGTCTTGTCGGGGACATGTTCTGATGCCCATTGCCATGCTGCCTCGATGGCCATGACAACATATCCTGCTGCCGGATACACAATATTCGACTGGATCTTGTGGTCCTTGACCCAAGGAATCTCGGCGGTGCGAATATGATTCCGCCAACGCGGCTCAAGTACGCTCGAGTGGCTATCAAGGACGCCCAACAGATCTGTGCGAGGGAATTTTCTATTGCGATAGACTTTGCTCAATCGTGGCTCGGCCCAGTATGTGTTAGTGTGATTCCAAGGATATGGAGGGAGGTCAACGAGCGTTTGCACCTCGTACTCCTTAGTGACTCCATCGGGCGAGTTTACTGCAGTGAGGTCGACGGGCCAGCCTGCAGTGAGTAAAGTCCCAGCGAGTTGGAGCACTGTCACAACTGCATCAGCCTTGCGGATCAAGGCACTTGAGTATGCAATGGAGGCAGAGTTGAGGGTTTGGTCTGCCTTGAGAATCTGCCGGATGGGCCCAGCCAACGCTGAATGAGGACCGATCTCGACGATCTGGTTCACGCTGGCCTTGGACGCTGCGCCAGCTCGCCTGCGGGCTTTCTTATTCGCACCCTTTGCACGTACGGATGGGTCTGTTGTCTCGAGGCAGAGACGGCGAACCGAGTCTGAGAACTTGACTTGGCCCAACATGTTCTGAACCCAGTACTCAGGTCCCAAATCTGATGGCACTGCTTTTGCCCCAGTGACGGAGGAAAAGAACTCGACTGTGTCTGTCGTCTCGTCTGCTGGTTCATTATCATTACTCTTTGGGCTGATTCCGGAGATAAGTGCTCGGTACTCGTCCGCAACAAACTCCATATGATGAGAATGATATGCGACCTCCACAGCGAGTTTCCGTGCAAATAACTTTTTCTCATCAAGGATGTCCTTTAGCTCGTCGATGGCTGTTGCATCCCCTGAGATCGTGACGCTGGATGGGCTGTTGACGCAGGCCACGATGGCTCTCCCCGTCTTCACTGAGGCCAGGTAGGTCTCTGCATCTTCTTTGGATAGTCCGACAGCCATCATGGAGCCCTTGACTTGAGACATATTTCGCATGTGGCTTGATGCAACACCACGGTAGTAAGCGACTGCCATTGCATCTTCCATGGTTAGGGTACCCGCTGTGTATGCAGCGGCGATTTCACCACTTGAATGTCCGGTCACCGAAGCAGGTCGAATGCCCCAGGAGCTAAGCAGGTCGACAATGGCAATCTGAACGGCCGAACACATTGGCTGACTGTATAGTGCTTCATTTATTTGAGAGCCTTTTGGGTCTCTGGTGATTTCCTCTGCGAAACAAGTTAGTGCATATCCACCGGAGTTCGAATCAACCCACGAAACCAAAAAGAGAAAATACTTGCCTTTGACATCAAAAGGCGCCCCAAGTGACTTCAAATATGCGCCTATCCTGTCGATTGATTCCCGGAAAACAGGGTAAGAATCCAATAACTCTTTCCCCATTCCACACCACTGAGCGCCCTGGCCAGTGAAGACAAACCCCATAGTTGGCTTCTTTGTAGATCGAGAAAAGGTCACCCCCTTTGCCAGATTATCTGCGAGGTCTGTGGCAGACTTTCCCGGGATGGCTGCCTTCCACATAAAGGCGGTTCTTCTGTTATTCAGGGTGAAGGCTAGGTCGGTTAAGAACTGGTCGTCTGCTTCGTCGGCGTGGTCCAACAGGTATTGCTTCAATCTCTCTGCTTGGATCTTTCCGGAAGACTCATCAAAACTGGCTAGTGTGAATAATCGGGTCCGCGCAGCTTGATGCGACAGCGCCGTGCTACCGTTGGCAGTACCATTGCCGTTGGCCCTTGTGTTCACCTCGAGAGGAAAGTTGCCATTGCTAGGATGCAATAACTTCGAGGCACGCGGTACAAGCCTGTGAAACGCATCCAGGTGGTGAGAAGAGATATATCCCCTCGTATCCTCAAGGATGACATGTGCATTACTTCCACCGTATCCGAAGCTATTGACGGAGATACGATGCGGTCCGTGAGTCTCCCAGGGCTCAACATCCAATTGCACCTTTAGCTTCCACCGTTCCAAAGGAATGCGCGGGTTGAGCTTTTCAAAGTTTCGATTTGGCACAAACATGCGGTTTTCCAGCATCAAAACGGACTTGATGACGCCCGCAATCCCACTGGCTCCCTCCAGATGCCCTACATTTGTCTTGATTGACCCAATCCGCAGCGGACGATCTGGTGGGCGAGCCGGGCCTGCGAATACTCTCGAAAGAGCCCCGGTTTCTTGTGGATCACCAGCCTGAGTACCGGTTCCATGGCATTCGACGTATTCTGTCTCCAGGGGACTAAGGCCGGCAGCAGCATAGACACTTCGTGCCAGTTCTTCTTGGGCCGTACCACTCGGAAGAGTGATACCGGACGTCTTTCCATCCTGGTTGGACCCGGATCCACGGATGACGGCGCGGATTGTGTCGTTATCGTTGAGAGCATCTCTCAAGGGCTTGAGAATAAGACATCCAACTCCCTCGCCACGGGCGTAGCCATTAGCTCGCTCGTCAAAGGTATAACAGCGTCCGTCGGGGGAGAGGAATCTAGACACAGACGGATCAACACTCCTCGCCCTCATATACAGAGGTCGTACATCGGTTACTCACCTCATCATGCTCATGGTACTCATAAACTCGTGACTCAGGATCGTATTAACACCCGCTGCAACAGCCATTTTCGCATCCCCAGTCCGGAGACTCTGACATGCAAGATGAAGAGCCACCAGGCTGCCCGAACAGGCTGTATCGACGGTTACACTGGGACCCTTGAGGTCGAAGAAGTACGATACACGATTTGCCGTGATTGCGCGAGACTGGCCGGCATTCGTGCACTGATGCATGGGAACTGTGTCTGGATCGCGCAGAAGCATGTCGGTGTAGTCACCGCAGAAAGAGCCAACGAAGCACGAGGTCTTACTGCCCATGACACGGTCAAGAGGGATTCCGCCTGTTGTCAATAAGAGATTGTCAGTTGTCTATAATTTCAGTGTCACGTCGAGAGATGCCCACCATTCTCGAATGCCTCAAAGGTTCCTTCGAGCAGTAAACGTTGCTGCGGATCCAGAGCCTAGACTATGTCAGCTAAGCCGGTCTTAGTGATCTTGTTCTTTGCTTCATCTTACCGCTGCTTCTGTACCGGTCATATTAAAGAAAGGCGCATCGAAGCGTGCTAGGTCCTCGGAGAAAAAATGGCCACCCTTCACATTGATCTAGTGGAGTCCTGTTAGAAAAGAGGCTATCGTGCTCAGCAAGCAAGAATACCTACCGTCCCATGTCTCGTATTATCCGGATGATAAAACGCCTCATTGTTCCATCTCTCCTTAGGAATCTCACTCCAGCCCTCTCGACCTTCACAGATCATCTTCCACAGATTCTGGACGCTGGTCGCATCGGCCGGCCCGCGGAAACTCATTCCCACGACGGCAATCGGCATGCTCTTGTCCTCATCTGGTGGAGATGACCCGTTTCCACGGCTGTGGTTGTGGTTATGGTCATGGCCGTTGGTTGCTTGCCACAACGATGGGGATGGACTTGTCTGGATACCTGAAGCCATGTCGAGCCTGGATTGCACCTGGATACCTGCAAGTGGTAGAGAAAGAGAGAGAGCGAGAGAGGGAGAGAGAAGAAAAGAAAGAAAAGATCCGAATATGACAGTCTATATCTAGTATACGTGAAAGAAGATGATATAATCGCCGCTCATTTGAGTCGAATGAAAAACCCCACAAGCCGATGAAGGTTTCCGCGAGAGATCTGTCATGAAGAAGAAGATAATTACTATAAAAACTGTTCGTATGAACTGGATGTCTTCGGGAAGAAACGAGAGCACGCAGTTCGTAGCCCGGGAGGCCTACGTGGAGCGTTGGGGAACTTGCCAGCCGGTTCAGACAGTATCATATTATTTATTATGAGAGAGGAATGATTCGGGATCGACAATTCTATACCAGGATTTGACTGATAATTTCCCGGACAAGGACAGAAAGTCGCCAAAACTAACCGTTGATCTAAATCTATCAGGGCAAGAAATCACCACGAATACAACAACGCCTCCGTCAGCAATGCCCGGATCGCCTGTGCCATGGCCGACACGTTCTTCGGATCGCGAGGAACATCATGGCCCTTGTCGTGTACGACCAGATGAGACACTCGCGGATCACAGAGACCGTGCAGCGCCAGAGAAAACTTGTATGCGAAATCCTTCCTGCCCGCAATGCTGAGCGTAGGAATATTAATGTACCCCTCCAGCCCCTCATCCACGACAGGGGTCTTGTCCAAACTCTCCATCCGGAACGGCGGCAGGGAGTTCAAGAAGACCGCGCATCGAAATGGCGGCGGATCGTAGGGTCGTGTTTTTGCATGGTGAACCAAGAAGCCCGAAGCAAGGGTGCCACCGTGCGAGAAACCCAGGACGCCGTCAAAGGGGCCGTCTTGTTCAACGACTTCATATAGCAGCTCATACGCCTCCAGCATCGATTCGTCCGCGTCAGTGTCGTCAAATGTCCGCGGGAACTTGTAGTAGCTGTAAAAGGGCCCGTCGAAGAACCCTTCGATTCCTGGTCCGGGCGTGGCTTCGATGTCTCCTTCGATAAAGTGGAAAACAGCAGTGTTGTCCCGCTGGAGCTCTCTCATGAGGGGGTCTGTTAGAAAGAGTCGGTGTCAGCGTGCGTTTCGCTTGCTTGTATTCTTTCAAAACCGCTGGCCTTACTGAGCTGTGCCTGTAGAATCTGGCCATTATTAGCCATCGTCAGCCTGCTGGCTCCAGGGCCGCGTATCTACATGTATATTCATACCTTGACGTTGGTGCCCCAGCCATGGAGGCACAGTAGTCTCATTGGCATGTCCAGTCGGTTCTTGATGGACTTAGGGCTATGTTCGTGGGATATACGTTGGGGAGGAAACAGAGCGGTTCATCCTCTGAACCATGGGTTCTTATAGTCGATGCAAATGCATTTACTGTCTATTCTTGCTCCTCGATTACTGCCGTGTCATTATAATGGGATGTGGCTTCCGATGCAAAGGATGAGAACAGGTAAATGTCCGGATTCATCCACAGCTGAAGGGGAAAAATAACCCACCGCGGGACATTTGAATGGGATCGCGGTTCATAACCACCAAGAACCGAATCAGAAAGCATTCCAGCCTTGAGATGCCAGAGACCAGCGGTTGTACGACGGCTCCTGGCTGCTTAAACCGCTTCTGAGGGTTAGAACCGATATGCACCGTTCACGAGAGGATATCCAGGGGCTCTATGAGAGCACCAAGACCCGGAATTCGCAGCTATACTCGGGGCCTCTGAATCTGGTTGCACAATATAACAGATCCCCTCTCCTTTCCAACGGCTACATCCAATTTCAAGTCCATTCGTCTCCCTCCACCGTCCTTTCGACCACCATGTCTGACGGATCTCTTTACGTCCGAGACTCGCGGACATGCAGAGAGTACGAGATTCCCATTCGACGCAACACCGTCCTAGCGACAGACCTCAAGCAGATCAAAGCGTCTCCCATTGGGGCTAACCGGGCCGACAAAGTGGGAGATGGCCTTCGCGTGTATGATCCCGGCCTCCAGAACACGGCTGTCGTGGAGACGAGTATGACCTATACGTAAGTGTTCGCTGTTCGTCCGTATGCCTCGCGGGTTACTGACGGTGGCAATAGAGACAGCGATCGTGGACTGCTGCTATTCCGCGGATACTCGCTAGAACAGCTCTGGCACGCAGAATTCGAGGACATGCTGCATCTGATGGTCTGGGGGAAGTATCCGACTCCGTCCCAGCAAGAGTCCTTGCGTCTTACGTTGGCGACATTGATGACCCGCATCCCGCGGCATGTATCTGAAGTGATTGAGAGATTCCCGTATGCTCGTCTCTGATGCTTCATACGGATTGCCGTGAGCTGACGTGTCTCAGACGGTCCAGTCCGCCCATGCCCATGGTCCTGGCCGGCCTCTCTGCATACCTCGCCGACGACGTCGACGCAATCCCAGCCTTCAACGGCGGCAACATCTACCATGGCAACCCCGAGAAGTCAGACCGGGCTATTCTCAAGACCGTCGCCGCATACGCCGTTGCGGTCGGCCTATCCTGCAGTCATCGCAGGGGCACCAAATTCATCCCGGCAACCGCGGACAGAACATACTTCGAAAACCTCTTCACCATGATGGGCCTCGTGGAACCATTCACCGAACATCCAGACCCGCTGAAACTGTCCTGTTTCCGACGATTTGCCGTCCTTAACGCCGACCATGGCATGGCGTTATCGTCGTTTTCATGTCTGGTCACCGCTTCATCGCTCGCCGACCCCGTTTCCTGTGTGGTGGCTGCTCTAGTCTCGGCCTATGGACCTCTCCATTTCGGTGCACCAGAGGCGGCATATAAGACCATCCAGAAAGTCGGAACGGTAGACCAGGTTCCGGCCTTTCTGGAGGAAGTGAAGACGGGAAAGCGGCGGTTATTCGGCTACGGTCATCGCACGTACAAGACGGTTGATCCGCGGGTGAAACCCATCAAGGATATGCTCGACGAACTGGACAAAGGACTGGATCCGGACCCGCTGCTGCAGGTGGCGCGTGAAATCGACCGGCTTTCAGCGACGGACGAGTACTTTCTGAAGCGGAAGCTGTACGCCAATGCGGACTTTTATGGGACGTTTTTCTTCGTCGCCTTGTATGTCATTCCTGCGTATTGGGAGGCAGGGACATCGCTATTGACTTTGGACAGGGGCTTTCAACCCGAGGAAATCCCGCTTGCGATGCTGTCCCACCGCTTGGTAGGGATCATGGCGCACTATAGGGAGTGCATGCGTACGTTGGGCCTTTGGATCTCTCATGATATTGACTGACATCGGCTGTTAGTGCGGAGAATTCGACTCTTCCGGCCTACGCATGTCTACACGGGCGAGACAGACCCAGTTCAGAATATGGATGTTGGATCGAAGCTTTGATGGCATTGTCTGGTCGTTGACAAGGAACAGTCGAGCTGTAATGTCGAGAGGCGTCCTCCGTTGGTGAAACAAGACCGCTGCAAAGACGCCTGTCTATTCTACATGTTATAGCTTCGCAGACGTAGCAGCAATCCTCCTCTTCTCCCTTTCAGCATCCCTCAAGACCCTCCTCAAGATCTTCCCACTAGGACTCTTGGGAATAGCATCCACGATCTCCACCCCCCCCTTCAGCCATTTGTACCGCGCCTTTTCCTTCTGGACATACTCCTGAATCTCGGTCTTGATCTGCTCCGACGAGAGCGGTTTCTGCCCGGCGCCGCTCTGCTTGAGCACGAGAAATGCCTTGGGCACCTCGCCGGCTGCCGGATCCGGGACAGAAATCACAGCAGCGTCTGCCACGAGAGAATGCGCGAGGAGGCATGCTTCCAGCTCAGCAGGGGCAACTTGGTGGCCCTGTGTGTCTGTCAGCTTGCACATGTATCCGCAGAGGGGATAGAACAGACCTTCACTTTAATAAGCTCCTTAATCCGATCCACAATGACCAGATGAGAGTGTCCCTCCGGGCCATTTCGTACAAACATCGCCTCGTCTCCCGTTCGTAACCACTCGTCTCCTGGCGTGCCGAATGTTTCAGCCGTTGCCGTCGGGTTCCCCAGGTATCCCAGGACGGTTACACTGGGCGACCGCACGAGTAACTCGCCGGGCGTATTGTGATCGGTTATATCGGCGCCTGTGGAAAGGGAAATCAGACGTGCTTGGATACCGGGTAGGAGACTACCGGATGTTCCCAGCACGATGTCGTCTGCGGACGTTGCGGAGACGACGGTCGCGGATTCTGTGAGGCCTGTCTGCCGGTCAACAAGCTGGCTATACTGTATATGCCGGGCAACTCACCGTAGGCTTGCCGGATCTTCCAGGATGGGTACTGCTTCAGCAGCATGTGGCATGTTGAAGCTTCCAAGGGAGCTGCTCCGGTAAAGATCTCCGTGACGGAACTGAGATCGTATCCATCCAGAACGTGCTTGGAGTTCAGTATAGTGATTACGATCGGGGGTACCTGCTCCCCAGCATTAGTCCCTTTCTGCGTGTAGCCGATGGAAATAAGAAGAGAAACCCACGACGAACAAGACGTTAATCCTGAATCGTTCAATGGCATTCAAGAAAGTCTTCAAGTCGAACTTCGGCAGAACCACCACCGATTCTCCTCGATAGATGCTGACATGGCACACCACGATCAAACCGTAGATATGGCTCTGTGGCAGCAATCCCAGTACGACGTTCTGCTGGGCCGGTTTCCGACTCGGATTCTCAAAGGCGCACATCTGTAAGATGTTGGCGATGACATTCCGGTGTGAAACCATGACACCTTTCTGGCGTTTCGTCAGCCGGCTTTGGTTTCCTGCTCTCGAAAATAACGCGAGAGAAACAGAGAAAAAGGCGTAAACTAACCGGTAACCCAGTCGTCCCACTCGAGAAGTTCAGAAACGCGCACTGTCTCGCCCCTTGTCCCGTTTCCCAGACCAATTCCTGCACGGGGGGCGATGTCTGCCCTTCTGCGATTAACTGATCGACCGTCTTGAAACCCTCCAGCTTGCCGGTTGTTCCTGCAAGAGCCTCCTCCGGCATCGCGAGGATATAGATATTCTTCTCGGCAATGCCGGCATTTCGCGCGGCCGCCTGCGCCGTTGCCAGCAGGGGCCAGCATGTAAAAAGCGCCTTGGCCTTGGAAGCCCTGAGCTGATACGCCAATTCGGAGACGCTGTAGGCAGCATTGGCAGGCGATACAATGCCGGAGAGACGATGAACAGCCCAGGACAGTGGTAAGCTGTCGATCTGTGCAATCCCAGTCAGTATCTCGCCGCGTCACCGAATACGAAGAAAGACTCTCATACAGTATTCAAAGCAAAGATAGCAACGACTTTCTTCCACGACGAGCCCGTGCCGGGCTGCCATGCGAACTCACGAGCGAGCGCTCTGGCCAGCAATTCCACGCGCAGTGCGACATTCGACGCCGAGTACGCACGACCCGACAATCCACACACAAAGGGCGCCTTGGAATGCACGAGGGGGGATCGCCCGTACGTCTCGTTCAGGACGAATTCACTAATTGGAATCGAGTCGGGGATGGTGTCGAGGGGGAGCTCGGGCACCCATGAGGGAGGGTAGAAGGGCATCGTCATCAGTGGCAGATCCACGTCTATATGCCGAGTTGTCAGGAGTGAGATTGAATCCTGTCTCTGCCAGCGCCTGAGAATGCGTGCATTCTTTGCGTGCGGGGTATTATTTACAGCCTCGGGAATCATCCTGTCTGTTGATTATGGCTCATTAGAGCTCCGCATCTCCCGAGCTCTGCGAGGTTAACGCCAGGCACAGAATCCAGGACGTTGTAAAGGCAGTAAAGGCATCCCGGCTTGCCTCGGGATTCCGGTAGTATAGTATGATGCTAACCCTAAGTTGATATCCATCTATCTAGCATAGTATCCATGTATGCATTTCAACGACCAAGGCTGGGGCCGTGATGAAAGCTAGAAAGCCTTGCCCGCCCAAAGCCCCAGCTTCCCGATCACAGTATGTACGCGCTGATGCATTTCCATGACAAGACCAATCCCCATATCCGACATAGCCTGCCATGGTGCCTGTGACACTAATGGCCGAAGTGCCTGGGAGATAGACAGGAGCAAACCCAGCTGCCTGCGCAGATGCTGTTTCCCAAGCTCTAGGCCCTCCGCGGAGGATATCTCCCTGTCGCCGATGAAGCACGGATGGCACTCCATTGCTTTCAAGAAGACAGGTCCGTCGTCCCGGTGACGTTCGATAGTCTGCAGGCATCATGTTGGACGGAATATAGGCCGGGGAGGGAGGACGGGCAGGGTCGGCCGTTGTGCCCGCGAAGAATGAAGCCGGTACTGCACCGTGAGTTGTTGCATGCGGCGGGTTCCAGTCAACCTCCCCGGGTTCCTTCGTCGTATCGCTGAAAGACAGTCCTGCTGGCAGTGGGCACCTGGATCGGCTCGATCCCTCCCCATTCCCAATATGCGCCGTAAAATCGCCGGCCATCCAGCTCTCCGTTGCATCCGGTAGAGAGAGCGGCCGAAGCACAGTCTCCGGCGCTGCGACAGTCGCTGCGCCGGAGGAAAGATCACTGTGGCCAGGGGACAGAGCGCTTGCTGTCGAGCAACGGTCCTCTTGACATTTTCGCCGGGATCCTGTCCTGTTCGCCTTTTTCTCCTCCGTCGTGGCCTTCTCTCCATCCCTCAAACCCGACCCGGCTGTACGACGTGGACGACCCACTGGTTTCGACGGGCTATATCTGCATGCCGTCCCGTAGTGAAGGCATCGGAAACAGGGATTCCCTCGCGAGCATCGAAGTTTCGCTGCCTGGCATGCGTCGCAGGTCGAGCGTATCTTGGGCGGCTTTTTGTTTTGCTCGTCCTTTGGTTCTTGCGTGAGCGGTCCAGGGGGAGACGCGTCTCCCCCTGCATGTGTCCGCAGTGAAGACGACATGTGGGACGAAGTCTGCGTGGGATGGATGAAACCGTGGAACTACCGTCATATCATGGGGGAGGCAATGGGTAGAAGAAGAGAGCCAGAGGAAATGCACATCTACCCCGAACCCCGAACCCAAGGAAAGCCGGGTATATCAGAACCTATAATAGCTACAGCATGTACGATGCGGCCGGGTCAGCCCGAATACGATGTGCGTCGACTGGATTATTGCATACCGCTAATATCTCCAACATCGGGGTTTGGTTGACATGCAAGATTGCCCGGGAGAAAATGTAACCAAAGAGTGACACGCCGGGGACAAACATTGCAGGGCTGGCTGCAGCGGATTCCAGCCATCAGACCGTATAAAGAGCCGGTTTTCATAGAAGCATCAGCCCTAGACTACGCTCTCGTCCACCATGGCCACTTCTTCAGGACGCCCTCCATACGACAAGGTGATACGCGATATTGCCCACTATGTATTTACCTACCAAGTAGAAGACGAACGAGTCCTACGGTGTGCCCGGACGGCTCTTCTTGACGCACTGGGATGCGCAATAGAGACCGTCGCCAAGAGCGCGGACTGCCGCAGGATCATCGGGCCCGTTATCCCCGGTACGCAAGTCCCGAATGGCTTCCAATTGCCAGGGACATCGTATAGTCTGGACCCGCTGAAGGGCGCATTTGACCTGGGAACGCTGATCCGCTATTTGGACCACAATGATGCACTCGCGGGGAAGGATTGGGGGCATCCCTCGGGTAAATTGTCAATTCCACGAACTCGACCACGCCGGCTAACAGGGCAAAAACGCCACAGATAACATCGGTGCCCTGCTGCCCGTCATGGATTGGCTGTGCCGCGAGGAGGCTAGCGGCAGCCCTGCCCGGCGTGGCCCAGGGCCACCGCTGATCCTGCGCACGCTGTTGGAGGCCATCGTCAAGGCATACGAGATACAGGGATGCATGCTGCTGCAGAATGCGTTCCATGAATTCGGGCTGGACCACGTTCTCCTGGTCAAGCTGGCATCGGCAGCAGTCGTGCCGTGGCTGCTCGGAATGAGCGAGACGGAGACGATGGCGTGCATCTCGCATGTCTGGATGGATGCAGCCCCCTTACGCGTGTATCGTTCGGGATTGAATACCATCCCCCGAAAGGGCTGGGCCGCCGGGGACGCCTGCATGAGGGCCGTGGAATTCGCTCTCTTGGTGCGCTCAGGCCAGTCGGGCAGTCCTACGGTGCTGACCATGCCAAGATGGGGCTTCTACGCAAGCACATGGAGAGGAAGCGGAGTGTTTGTGCTCCCCATGCCCTATTCAGACTGGGTCGTTCGGAACGTGTTCTACAAGGTGATGCCGTTGGAGGGCCATGGGATCGCCCCCGTCGAAGCAGCTGTCATCCAGAGCGGCCGCATGCAAGACAGAGGACTTCACCACCCGGTGCAAGACATCGAGAAAGTAGTCATCCGCACGAACGCCGCGGCAAAGATGATAATAGATAAACCCGGTCCGTTGCACAACCATGCCGACCGGGATCACTGCATGCAATACGCCGTCGCCGTGAGTCTCCTCAAAGGCTCGGTGCCGGAGGCTGCGGACTTTGACGACGACAGCCCCTTTGCCAGCAGTCACGACGTCGAAACGCTAAGAGCAAGAATGGAGATCTACGCCGACGACCGGCTCACAGCAGACTATCTGAGTCTCCAGAAAAAATCGATCCCCTCCGGTGTGACCGTCCATCTCACTAATGGGCAGATCTTAGAAGAGGTTCTGGTGGAGTTTCCGTGCGGACATGTCGAGAGGCCGGAAACCATCGTCCATGTAAAGGAGAAGTTCCGGCGGAATCTCTCGCTGCTCTTTTCCGCCGAAGAAGCTGCTTTGATTGAAGATGCGGTGGAGAACAGGGACCATCTTCCAGTCCGTGACTTTGTGGATATGTTGGCGCGGGAATCGGACTTTACCTAGCAAAGCACAGCTGATACGATTGTCTTTCTCCCAATGTCATATCTGTTACCGGTGGTTAATTAGGGTTTTGGGACTGGAGCCCTGTCCCTCCATCTCCATCCTCCATTGCGGCCCTTCCTGGCGGATGAGAAAGGAGCATCTCCCGGCATCAGAGGAGCTTCTCTCATCTGGATTGGCTATTCCTTTATTTCCTTTTTAATCCCCGAGTCCAGCTATGTTAGGGAATCCACCTGAAACGATGATAATGCATGGCTCCAAGAGCTGGTCATGCCAGATCCGTCCTGGATTAGGGCTAGGGGAGAATTGTATCAGGACCATTGTACTTTGGGGCTTTGTAAGGCTGACCCTTCGGAGAAGTGGCGTGTTCATCCGTCGTAGGGTCAAGAAGCCATCTGACTAACTTCCACACTTGGACATATTCGGCTACCTAGAAAACGGCAAGGTGCATTATGAATCATAGCCTTTGACGGGATCGTAAAAGATATTGGAAGACTGCTGGGTCGGCATCGTAAAAGTGCCGTTGACAGCCCGTATAGCCTAGACGGCGAGAAAGGCTCTGCCCCGTGATAATACATTAGAGTCGGCTTCGAATTCCTGCCCCCCTAGCGGAGGATAAAATGACATGGGGATTGTGAATTGTAGATGCTGTGTTTTCTGTTGTTGGGGGTTCTTTGCCTCTTCTCATGGAGGTTGTTCATTTGCTCGCATTAGATACCTTGGGAGCGGCGGGATATAGGTAACTCTCCTCTGTCTCTAACAATCTCCACCCGAACATGATGATGGTATGCAATGTGGTACGTATCAGATTGGGAAGGAGATGCCGTCTAGATTCTCCGGTTCTTGGGACTGGAGGTTCTCCTCTAGCATTCGTGCGTCGGGAGCGGTTCTTTGATCCATTTGTTGATTTGCATAAGCCGTATAGAAGTACAGTGAGCCGGGTGTCTACATGAATCAATCAACCCTGAACGTGGTTCCATTCAATCCACCCGGCCCCCCTACGACCATCCTTCGTACACACCTCTGCAAAGCAGCGTGGTAGATACGAAACACGCCCATCCACCGCCACGAGGCGCAGGGGACCAAACCCCAACGGCTTAACATGAAGCACAACGTCCTCTCCCCCAGGAAACGAATAGGTTACCTCTGCTTCCCGAATGAGATGCTCCTCATCCACCTCCGTGATAACCGCATCCGTCAGATCAGCGATAGGAACGTCTTTGCCCTGAATATACCCGATTCCAAGTCTAGGGCTTCCCTTCGGTCGAAAATCGACACCGTGTAGATGTGTGCCGTCGTCGAGGTGGAAGGCTGTCCATGCCCAGTCGGCATCCCACCAGTCCCGCGGACCCCAGGAGTGGTCGCGTTGGCCGACTGCGTGTGAAATAGTCGTGACCTCGTCGCCTATCTTGATGGTACCCGTCACGGTGCACGGGATTTCGTATCGGGTTGCTACGCGCCATTGATACGGAATCCCCGAAGTGTGCCAGGTGAGATCGACTTCCACGGACACGGGTTTGCCGCATGTTTCAGCGCGTAGAAGAGCTGCGGGGTCATCGAAGGATTCGCCATGGCCGGTTAAGCTCACTCGATATCTCGCGAGGGGCGATTCCACCGTGTGCGTCGCGTTTATTCGGTCAGTGTTGATCGTGAGATCGTCCTGAACCGAGACCTGAAAGTCTACCACGGCGACCGCAGGCCGGCCAGGTCCGCATACAGTGCACTGCCGTATACCAAGACCCTGGCTGGTCCGGGGTGAGGCCCAAACGGATCCAAAGACCGATTCCCTGCTTGGTATCCGCAACGTCAAAGTACCAACTCTCGTTATGCAGGGGGTCTTTACCAGGCGGATGGCTCGTTTCATCCTTGGGATCGGGCTGGAGGGGTTCTGGAATACGGGGCTCTGGCAGCGTGGCAAGAGCGTCGAGATCTAAAATCTGTTGGACAAGACGGCCGAGCATGAGGATGAACATGTCATCTCCCCGTTCCGTGCGCCCCAGGATCACGGGACACATGAATGCCATCGGCAGACCGAGGAAACTTTGGCGGCGTACACCTTCCTGACACTCCTCAAACGTGAATGGCTGATCCGGTCCAAGTGCATCGTAGTACTGGCGTAGGAGGTCCTGTCCGTATGCGCGACGGATCTCGGGAAGTAAAGCGCATCCCAGGAAATATGCAGCGTCACGGAAGAAAGGTCCCCAGCAAATATCTGCCAATCGACCACGATGAACGGGCGCTCTGGACTATAGTTGAAGAGCATGTTGTCCAGGCGAAAGTCCCCGTGGATGAAAGCGCTGAGCGTCGTCGGGTCCCTGGACTGCCGGGTGCGGTAATCGTCATAGACAGCGAGAAACCTCTCGCAAACATGGCGGTGCTCAGCTTTAACCGCATCCTGGTAGGTATTTACAAACATCGCCCATATTTGCTGCATGAATGCTTGCGAAAGAGGGACGGTCTCCTTGAGCCATTCTGGAGCCGTGCTCCTGGTACAAGATTTCTGCAGTTTCGCCAGTTCTGTCAAAGCCGATCGTGCCTGTTCCAGAGTGGCGCCGGTAAGCTCGTTACCAACCGAAGCAGGGTGAATATCCTCGAGGAGCAAATCAAAGGTGCCGTCATCTTTATTGACCGAGGCATGATAGCATTTCGGTATCGATGGGGCATTGAGACCTGGCGCTACTTCGGAGTAGAACCGTGCTTCATGTTCATAGAGCTTCCCCTGCCAGCCTGTTTTGCGGCTTGCAGGGTCTGAAGCGGCCAGTTTGATCACGACACTGGCAGGACCTTCCGTTGCACATGGCGCATAGTCGAGAGATATCCGATGACATTCTCCAACGAGGCCGGTTCCGATGCGCTCGGATGAGTAGGAGGTAACAGTGGCTCTGAGTGCCTGAGACAGAAACTCCGGCGTTACGTCTTCCAGTTTCCGGATCGCTGGTGACATTGTGGACTAAGAAAACATCAAGGTATCCAAAGGCCACTTGAAGCATCCATCTCGATGCCCGAGAGTCAGATTATATTAGGTGGAAGAAAATTTCCCGGGCCCAAGCCCGTACCACGCCATGCCGGTCTGTGCATACCCCGACCCCGTGAAAAGAAACCATTCAAAGGCGAGCATGACGGACAGGGTGCCGGGCAGGGGTCAAAACAGCCTATAGCCATCTGCACTGGCACGGGAATGCCCGGTGGGCTTTTGCGGAGGATTTTCTGGGGAAGTCGGAGTGGCCGAGAGAGCATCATGCGATTCGTGCAGCCGTGTACGGAATATAGGCCGTGAAACCGGCCCATGTGAGGTTAGTGAGAGGAAGCTTTCCATCCGAAGGAACCAAGCCGTAGTAAACGGAACCGATATGCAGAGACAGCATGAACCAGGCCTCGGTTACTCTATCATAGCCCCAGTCGAGGGATCATTGCCATGGCGTTCACACCCTTCTCAAAGAATAACCTTCTGGATAACTTGAACCATGTCCGTGATGGAATCGACTGGATGCATAGGGAGGCATTGACAGGCGGCCGTTTCACCACTGCCAGCATACCACTGTGGGCTGCATGTCCAGGGGGGCCTTGTCGATTGTCTTCAACCGCATCCGGAGCAGGGAATCCGTGCATAAACTGTTCTCGAATGTTGGATGGAGGCTGCTTATCTTCCATATCATGTCAATATCATCGCATGTCATGCTGCCCTCGTACGAGGATTGCCGAGTCTAATCGCCCGGTGATAGAACCAGACAGAACTAAACCGAGAAAGGAAGGAGCATGTGCCCCGTGGACCATCGCCAAGAATCGAAGAAGCGCAAATACGAAGTACCGGCTTAGCAACCGCTGACATTTGGCTGCGAGAGATGACGGCGTTACATTGGCAAAAGCTTGTGGAAATGATGGCCGTGCTTCTCTTGTATCGACTGTCTGCGGGAGTCGTGCTGATCTACTCCAATCCCTGACCTGTATCTGAGGCAAATGCGAATATGGTGCACTCGTGCATATCGGTGCATAAATCACTATGACTGTGGTGATAAGGGCGTCATTGATTGATAACGCACTGCCAGTGCAAGTATGTTGAGGTACAAACAGAGGCTAACAACTGACAACGCAGTGCCCAAATAGGTATGCCAAGGATAACCGTGCATTAGCGCGAGGCCGTGGGCTGATTATTGTGCAGCCTGTGATTGGCCAACTCTAACGCTATCAAGCCTCTGGCTGTGGAGATAAGGATACGCGATAGCAGATCAGCAGCACGTGACCCACCTTGTCTATCTAGATTGTATGCAGCATCCTCCTCCCCTTCCACGCTTGCTGCTTCGCTTCGGTAGGTATGCTGGAGGTGCGCGGTGCAGACAGAATCAAGAACACCAAGGGCGTCCATCGATAGCACCATCCATGTTCATCGCTCCATCCGCATCCCGTCTTCCCGGAACCCTTGGCCACTCCTTATCACGTCTTATAGCACCATCGTGTCGCGATATCGATATGCAAGGTTGTCCCCAAATCTCCCCTGTCCGGCTAATCCAATAGGCGCCAGCCATCCGGATATCATCTAATATCATCGCAGTGGAATACGTCTCTGCGATGCAACCCTCTCCACCTCGCTTGCCTGCTGGATGGAACCGCCCTCCGACGGCCTCGCCGATTCTGCTTCTGGAAACTGTTCCCTGCTCCCGGCTCCCGGCTCCCTGCACCTCACTTGCCTCGCGCTGCAAGTACGCCCTACCGGAACAACATAAAAGCCCCGTCGGCCGCTTGCGGATCGATGCCCTTTCTTTCCTACTCACCCCATCGGAGTTTTCTCCCAGTGCCTGGTCGCCAAGCAATCAAGCAATCAAGCAATCATGTGTAGGTACCCCCGCTTCATGGCCAATGCAACGCGCCCTGCTTACTCCTGTTACGCGTCCAGCGACGGCTGGTGAGCATATCTCGGAAGTCGCGACCACCCATGTCCCGGAGGAGGTCATCAAGTCTTTCGATGAGCCTCGAGGTAGTCTGGCGAAAGCGTCTGGGTACGACGCGGAGACTGCTGCCCAGAGTGTCCGTTCCGTGACGGACGACGAGAAGTTCCCCGCGCCCACCGAGGAGGAATGGAAGACCCTGCGCAAGGTGCCAGGGAACTTCCCCGCCAGCGCCTTCATCCTCTGCTGGGTTGAGTTCGCCGAACGTGCCTCCTACTACGGTGTCCAGACCGTCTTCGCCAACTTCATGCAGTTTCCTCTGCCCAAGGGTACCTACCTAGACCCCATGCCAAACCTCTCTGTCCGCCTGCTGACCGACCTGAAGGTGGAAACGGCGCCGGTGCGCCTCCCAAGGGCTCCGAAGAGACCGCAGGTGCCCTGGGCAAAGGCCTGCAGTTCTCCACGGCCTTCTCCCTCCTCTTTACCTTCCTGGCCTATGTCGTCCCCATCTTCGGTGCGTGGGTTGCCGATGCCAAACTCGGCCGGTACAAAACCATCGTGATCGGGGTTATCGTCTGCGGTATCTCCCATATCATCATGATCTTCGGCGCCTTGCCGTCCGTCCTCCAAGCGGGAAATGGCGTGGCGCCTTTCTTGGTCAGTCTGTTCATTTTGGCCATTGGAGCTGGTACGTCATACCCCCCCCTGACCTGAAATCCTCTTTCCCGCCTGACCGTTCCAGGCATCTTCAAACCCAATCTTGCCCCGCTAGTCATCGACCAGTGCAACGACTTGAAGCCCCACACCAAAATCCTCAAGTCCGGGGAGAAGGTGCTGGTCGACCCGGAGACCACCGTGCAGCGAATCATGCTGATCTTCTACGGCCTGATCAACATTGGCGCCTTCTACGCCATCGGCACCACCTACGCGGAGAAGCGTATCGGATACTGGTGTGCCTTCCTCATCGGCGGCGTCATTTACTTCCTCCTGCCTATCCTGCTTCTCATCATGTACAAACGCACCAAGAAACTGCCTCCGTCCGGGTCGGTCGTGGGCGAATTCGTCAAGGTGATGGGGGTGATCCTCAAACGCGGTGGCTGGAAGCTCTGGCGCCAGGACGTCTGGGATTCCGCCAAACCCAGTGTGATGGCGGCGGAGGGCATCACGACCTGGCGCGGCAAGGAAATCGACTGGACCGACAAGTTCATCGACGACGTCCGCCGCACGATTGACGCCTGCAAGATCTTCCTCTACTTCCCCATCTACAACCTGAACGATGGCGGCATTGGCAGTGTCCAGTCGAATCAAGGGGCTGCCATGACGACCAAGGGAGCGCCCAATGACCTGCTCGGCAACTTTAACCCGTTGACCATCATCGTCGCCATCCCCCTTCTCAGCCACGTCATCTACCCCTTGCTGAACAAGTACAATATCCGATTTGGTCGCATCAGCCGCATCACCTGTGGGTTCGTCATCGCCATGATTTCCAGCGTCATCGCGGCGATCGTGCAGTGGCGGGTGTACAAGACCAGCCCCTGCGGCTTCTACGCCTCGTCCTGTGATGTTGGCAGTGGCGTTTCTCCCTTGTCGATCTGGATCCAAGTGCCCTCGATCTCGCTGGGAGCCATCTCCGAATGTTTCTGCAACGTGACCGCGTACGAGTTGGCCTACGCCCGTTCCCCGGCGAACATGAGGTCCCTGGTGATGGCGCTGTTCCTGTTCACCACGGCGCTCTCCAGTGCCCTGGGTGAGATTCTGACCCCTGTGATCAAGGACCCGTATCTGATTTGGATTTGGGGTGCGCCTGCCGTGGCGCTTGCCGTCCAGACGATCCTCTTCTGGATCCGCTACCGGCACATGAACGAAGACGAGTTTATGACTTACGAGGACGACTATGACCGGCTGCATGGAAGCAGCGACAGTGTCGTGCAGGAAAAGAGCGAGATTGCCAAGAACTAGTAGTATAGTATCTGGATCTATGTTAGAGTAGCACTAAATAATTAATCAATATCGCTAATCCATGTTGACCGGGTCCTAGCCAGGGCCATCTACCGCGAGTTCACTAGTTACTTGCCTCGGAAAGAGCCGACTTAGGAGAACCACCAACCATTCATTGATCTCAATGGACGCGTGACGAAGTCGGACGGGCAAACCGAGCCCTAGGGCACAGACCTGCCGAAGTCGGGCCGATCCCGATGCGATGCCGGCCGTATATATTTGCTTTTCCGTGCACTTTTCTTTTTGCAGGAAGCGTTGATATTAATTATAATTATAATATTTTATTATTATTGCTGTTATTATTGAACGTCGAAATATGCTTATTGCATAGCCTTATGGACTAGTCAGTGGACCGTCGTCTGACTTCTTGTCTTCTGTCATCGTGAAGGATCAACTGCCCGGCCGGACTCCGTCATAGTGGGGAGGATTATTCCTATCTTCCCTTTAATCGAAACAGATTCTTCTTCTTTCCTTGTATTTAGTTATATTTTTCTCCCGTTTGGCGTGGATGACTCATGTCAGTCAGCCAGTGTCTTTGGCGAGAATAGACGTGACATTTCCAACCGCAATGGCTATACATCAAGATGGACCAGCAGGATCAATACAGCTGTCAAAGCTACCCTCGGAAACATCTGCGATCGCGGATGCGAATGATGGAAGTGAAAATGACAACGACATTAGCAAGGCCAATGTCAATACCCAGCAAACACCAGCACCACCAGCACCATCACCAGCACCATCACCAGCACCATCACCAGCACCATCACCAGCACCATCACCAACACCAACAGCCACCGTGACAGCAGCAACAACAAACTACCTAGAAGAGAACCTCTACGACCTCCCCCTCTGGCGAAAATATATCATCCTCTTCGCAGTAAGCTGGATGACCCTCGTCATCACCTTCTCCAGCACATCCCTTCTCCCCGCCGCACCGGAAATCGCCTCAGAATTCACCACGACCACAACCATCATCAACATCACCAACGCCGGTGTGTTGGTCGCAATGGGCATATCCTCGTTCATCTGGGGCCCCATCTCCGTCTTGCTGGGAAGGAAGAATGCGTATATCGCTGCTATCTTGGTGTTGTGCGGGTGTTCCGTTGGTACGGCTTTGGCGCCGAATATGCGTGTTTTCACGGCGTTGAGGATTTTGGGGGGGTTTACGGGGACGTATTTTATGGTTGCTGGGCAGACTATTTTGGCGGATATTTTTGAGCCTGTATTTTCTTTCCCTCTTTCTCCTGGATTCTCTTTTCTCTATCTCGCGCATGCTGATCATCTAGCTCGTCCGTGGAACGGCCGTCGGTTTCTTCATGGTGGGCACCGTTAGTGGGCCTGCTGTAGGTTTGTCTTCGATTCCTTACTATATATATGGAGTATAGATGGATATATCTGACTGAGTCTGACGTAGGCCCCTGCATCGGCGGCCTCATCGTCACCTTCGCCCACTGGCGCATCATCTATTGGGTGCAAGTCGCCATGGCTGGCGTCGGACTCGTCGTCTCGATCATTTTCCTACCTGATTTTCGCATAGAACGGAAATCTCGCACAGCCAGTCATCCTGGTGCATTGGAAATCATATCCATGTTCAACCCTATGAAGGTCTTCCGGATGCTTCTGTATCCCAATGTCTTGCTTGCTGTAGGCTCCCCATTTTTCTCCCCGTTCAATCGACTCCATCTGATATGCTGACACGGGTATCGCAGCAAGTAACATGCGGCCTCCTGGCCTGGTTTCAATACTCAATCCTCACCTCCGTCCGCTCCGTCTTCAACCCCCGCTTCCACCTGACAACCGCCCTAGTAAGCGGATTGTTCTACCTCGCCCCAGGAACAGGCTTCCTAGTCGGCAGCATCGTGGGAGGGAAACTCTCCGACCGCACGGTTAGACGATACATCCAGAAACGGAACGGGGTGCGCATGCCGCAGGACCGGCTGAATAGCGGTCTGATCACGCTTCTTGGCGTATTGCCCGTTTCCACGCTTATTTATGGGTGGACGTTGCAGGGGGAGGTGGGGGGAATGGCCTTGCCGATTGTCTGTGCTTTTTTCGCGGGAGCAGGTTTGATGGGGTCGTTCAATGGGCTTAATACTTATACTGCTGGTATTTCCCCGTATTCTCCGCATTCCCCCTGTTCTTCTGGGATATGGTGTGATGTCATGTATGCTAACTGATGCGTGATAGAAGTATACCCCCGTATGAAGTCAGAGGTCATGTCCGGGAAGTACATTATCCAGTACCTCTTCGGCGCGGGGAGTAGCGCTGCTATTGTCCCGCTTATTGATGCGATTGGGGTTGGGTTAACGTTTACCATTAGTGAGTACCTAGTATCCTCGCATTTTCTATTAATTCTATCCATGGAGTCTAATGAAGCCTGTCAGGCGTCATTCTGGTGGTCACGGGCGGGTGTCTCGTCTTCATCATTACGAGATGGGGACTGGACATGCAGCGGTGGGCGGAGGGAAGGTTTAAGTTGGAGAAACACTCCTAGTGATCATGGAATATACGATTGGCAGCTCTGGGTTCTGCCTGCATGGGACTGCTTCAGCAGGAATGGACATAGACATAGATGTACATGACTCTGAGCTAGATGCTAGATATATTGTCAATACAGATGCCTGTTCAAATAATATATACCTCGTGCACAGGTGATAAGTCCAGCAGAATAACCAAGTATATACATGCACCCCCATGCAGCTGTACAGCAATGAAATGTCTATTATATACATACTTACATACCATGATCTACAAAGGGAAAAGGCCATAATCAATAATCACCCCGCTGATGTCCGTGATAGTCAGAATAAACATGTACCTCCCTCTCAACCAGTATCCTCTCGGTAGAAGACGTTTCCACCTCCCCCTCCGAGAAGGCAGGACGAGCCTCAACAAGCGTCTGCGGCCCCTTACCCGACCGACCCAGCTCTATACTAAAAGCGTTCTGGTTGCGCAGTTTCCGGCTATTCGTCAACGCGGCAAGCGGGGCGGAGATTTCCGAGCTGGTGATGATGCCGAGTTTCACCAGGAGGGGCTTCCAGGTTGTCGCGGAGGTGGTGATGATGTTTGTGGCGAGTTCCATAGTGGACCAGAGGATGATGGGGTTGTTGGAGCGGAGCATGTCTGCGGTTGTGAGGGTTGTGACGTAGGAGATTCGGATGATTGTCGCTATTGTTGCTCTGTCCATCATTAGGGGTATATCTGAGTTTCGATATAGAAAAAGGACAAACGTACAGAAGACTCAGTCCTAGCAAAAGTAAAACAGACGATTTCGTCCGTATATTCATCTGCAGCTGTCGCAGGAGTAGCACGGGCAAGACAAGACCGAGCATGATATCCGCGACGAGAATCCAGCAAGCATGCACGACAGACGCAATTGTCATCTTGTTGATCGCCCTGCATGACCCGCCGTCCGGATCAGCGACCTGTCTCCAGAAGTAACTGACCGGACGGCAGAAGAAGAGCACCCAGAACATGATGACCAGCGTGATCACAAGGCCGGTGAAGATGAGGAGATACAGGGTATATCGGTAGTACTTCTTGTTCTGGACGATGCGGTGCAGGGTGAAGATGAAGGAGAGTTTCATCATGTACGTGCCGGTGTAGTAGAGGAGGAGGCAGGCGAAGATGACCTACATCAGTTAGTTACATTCCCATGGAAGCTTTCCTATAGCATGCAGAAGAGAACAGCATACCCGCATGCCGTCTGAATACGTCTGCTTGGGCAGCTCGTCTGCGCTCTGGGAGATGCCATGGCGGACCACGCCGATGATGAAATAGATAGCCTGTGCCGAGTACACTGCCTAGTGCCGTCGGTCGATTCTTTCAGAGGGAGGGTAAAGGAGAAAACTACCGTCCCAAGCGCCGCAAAAAGATCATCGAGAAAGGGCCGATTATGCAGCCACAACCGCACATACAGCCGCAGGCTAATCGACACCCAGACAAAGGCAGAAAAGCCCGCGGTCACAGCAATGCTCGCAGCGAAGCCATACGCCATTTTCAGACCCGACTGCTCGACAGCCTAGCTAGCAGGAGACAGGAGGCATAATGCAGTCTATATTTAAGCCGTGCCGACATCCCGGGTCTATCTGGATCTACCATTGTACCCACAATTCACGGCCGTTGTACGTACGTACTTTGTATACTAGCCGATCGCAGGATCCGTCAGTGGAGCGGATACGAGGTCCTATCACCACAGCATGCAAGCTGTTCCTTGAACGATAATAGGACATCGGTCAGATGCCGCAGGGTCTCGCAAGCTAAAGAAGATACGACATCCATTTCATTTCCCAGCAAAGCGGAAATGGCACGCGCAGTGGGGAAAAGCGGCGGTCAATCCGCAACTGAAACAGCGTCCTAACCTGCGTGCAGAAATTCGGTGATCCTGTTCAAGCATAGCTAAAACTCTACGGTCGATCTGGATTCTGAAGGTAGAGTCTGGGGTCAACAGCGGTGCTCCACAATCGGCCGTTGCAAGCACGGAGTTGCCCTTTTCGGCGCTCTTTCCGGCAGTTTATTCTTCAACGATGTGTCTAGATTTGTCGTCCGTATGTCCACGACGGTGAGGAGTAGAGATATCCTCGGCTCTTGTCCGTTCTAACGTCAGACTTCCAGCTGGGAGGCATTCTGCTGGCAGGATTGATTCCAAGTGACAATTATTAGGGTTGACAAGCTCCACCTTCCTAAATTGGAATCATGTGCTACTCGATGGGGCAGGCGGATTGTCTCGGTTAAATACGGTGGACCACTCCTTTCCATTACAAAACACTTTCGCGATAGCATGATTACCACATTTACTCGTGCCCGCCGAATTAAGACTAGTGTGTGTTACCAAATAGGCAATTTCCGGCAGAACTGTATTTTTCGTAAACCCGCCTCTGTTGCGAAGCCCCTATTATTCTTACAGTAGTGTGACCCAAAAGTTTAGTCAACTATTTTAGTGGGTTCTTAGTGAATTTAGTGCTACACCACACCGCCTTCTAATGGCAGAACGCGGGTGCTGTTTATACTTCATCATATACGCGTATATATATATGAAGATTCATACTATCGAAACCCCAAGTTGAATGAATTGAACGCGTTTCTGGGTTTGAATATTGATTCTTTATATATATATATCTTACATATAATATACCAACATATATCTCTATATCTAGATATGGAGCCCATACCAGTAACCACGTGACCTCCATTAGCTAGATAGGGACCGACTCCGCCCTTTATGAATACAACCACATCCAACCCACTACTGTATTAGTCTTCTATTAGTAGTATCCAGTAATTCTAACCAGTTAGCCTCCTAAAATAAGAAGATCTTCGCAGTCGCCATTGACTTGAAGTTCTCGCTTCTCGCTTATCCGCCATTCCCCCCCTGCAATGGATTCACTCGGCATCATGCGTGCCTATTCTGCCAAGAATGATCCAACAGTGCCATCACATGACACCCCCCTTGGCGTTTTGCTTATAGGCTGCGCTGCTCCCACAGACGTGAAGATCGTGCCTGTCAGACTGCATTCTGTCAGGACCAAGAAAGGCCAAGAGGGACGATCTATATACAGCCATGGTATTGCAAGGTACAAGGGGCGCAGCAGCTGGAATGCTCCTGGGGGAAAGGGGTGATGATGGAGAAGTGATGGCAGTATATCTATGGGATATCTTTTAGAAGCTCTATAGAACGTTATTCATAATAGCAGACAATCGTCTTGCTGTATATTATGAAGTTCGCAGCTCTATCCCTCCTTCTAGCCACCTCCCTGGCTCACGACGGCCTCGTCGAAACCAGCGAATACAACTACACAGCAACATCCGGTCCCCTGAACTGGCACCATCTCAATGAAACGACCAACTTACGCTGCGCAACAGGCAAGAATCAATCCCCGATAGCCATCCAAACGCAGAGCATCGACTATGCCGAACCGGGCTCTCTGCATTTCAACGTTCTCCCGGCAGACCACGCCAAGTTCGAAAACCTGGGATCCGGTCTTGAGGTCGTCTTGACGAACGGGTCTCTCACCACGGAGACAAAAGAGCACAAAGAGTACAATTTGACGCAGTTCCACTTTCATACCCCGAGCGAGCATAGGGTGAATGATGAGTACTTTCCGATGGAGGTACATTTCGTCTTTAAATCAGGTACGCACACACGATCATCGCATCACCAAATATGAAATAAAACAGATAACCACCTGCTGACGTGAATAGCCTCGGAAACCGCCGTCGTAGGCTTCCTCTTCCAACTCTCCGAACTGGGATACTCGACGCCTCTCTTCGACTCAATCTTCGACCGTGTTTACAGCATTGCCGAGCCGGGGACGTATACTTATACCGACGAGCTGGATTTCTCTGCTCTTGCGTCTCATCTCCATTCCCATGGGGTATACCGGTATACAGGCTCCCTGACTACCCCGCCCTGCACGGAAGGCGTGGCGTGGTATCTGAGTGCTGAACAGCTGCCGCTGAATGTGCAGGGGTATAACAAGGTGAAAAAGGTGCTCAAGTATAATGCGCGCTATACGCAGAATGTTTTGGGTGAGAGGAACCTGTTGGAGGTTGCTAAGCTGCAGTAAAGAGGGTGATTGTTTGACTGTTATATAACTGCTCCTGGAGAAATAGAGGCTGAGTATCTTGCGTCCCTCCACTCCATTTCAAATGCTTGATGCTTATTCAGTTGCTCCCATACTTCTTCCAGGTTTAGTGAGGCAAGGATTGAGTTTTCATGGTCCTTTCCGGATAACCCTTCCATCTGGAGTCGGGCCTCTTGATACATTAGTACTGGATCTTAGTGACTGCTTTGGTTAAATAGGGCATATTGGACCGCTTTTGGACTCTCTTGTGTGTATGCTCAGATATTTCAAGCACTTGCCGTTGACAACTCTCCTCTTCGCCATACTTCCATTTCTGATATAGTACGGTGAGGCGGACCAGGAATACCAGTGGCAGTCATGTTTCTCGTCAAAAACCTCATTGCTCCAATGAAGTCCTTTCCGGAAGGCTTCCACGGCTTTTTGGGAGTCTTCCAGGCCCATGTAACAGCATCCTAGCTGAAGAAGACAAGCCGCTGTATCCTCATTTCTGCGCCCAGATACTGCATACGTGTCTGCAGTGCCTCTTCTGCCATTTCCTTGGCGTATCGATACCGACATCATGGTGTCTCATATTCTGATAGTTCTAATTCAATATGGGCACGATCCAGAAAACCATCTCGGGTATCGGGTTTATAGCTCAACATGAGTTGCACAGGGGGATATAAGGCCTTCCAGGTGGACCGGCTGTCACCACGCAGCCAACATTGACGGAGTGCCAGGGCTGAAAGTCGTATAACCACTTTCCCGTAGACGCGCAAGGTGCACAAGGCGATAAATCGTGTAGGGATTTTCATAGCTCGTCTCTGTAATTAGCGACACGCCTTGATGGTTCCAATGCAGCCGCTTGCGTTATTGCCAATGACGGACAGTGTAATATCTCGACCAGTTTTAGTAACGCCTTCTCCATCTTTGGCACCTCAAATCTAGCATAACTGTCACAACAGATCCGGAATAATTGTGAGCAATCCTTTTTTGATATAGCAATGTTCACTGGCTCACTTAACCATCATAATGTGAGAGTCCGTTCCTGGATTCTACCCCTGGCGTTGTGAACCCTAATTCATGAGTATAATGGTTCATTAAGATTCGATAAAACGATATCTGATCCAGAGGACAAAGAGACAAGATCATAATACTTGTAACAAGTAGAAACGAGCCACCACTCATGCCAGAATACCCATCGGATCCCATCTCGGCAGCACCTTCGCCTCCTGCTTGAGCACATCCCTGACCTCCTTCCCGACAAATCGGGGATCAACGACAACCTGATACACAAACTCATCCATCCACCCATCGGTCATGACAAACCACCCCTTGTCACCTGCGCTCTCACCCCAGGAGTTCTGCACACGCCAGCGCACAGGCTTGCCGTCCTTATCGAGGTGCACGGCCGTCAATACCATCGCATGTGTCATGGCTGACTCACCGGCTTCGATCCGGGCAGCCTTGGTCATCCCCGTTCCGAAGGTGAGGTTAAATCCAAGAGACCAGTTGAAGAGATCTGTATCCATGATACCAGAGGCGGAGTCGGAGAATTTCCCGACATCGCAACCGAAGAATACGGGGAAGCCGGCTTTGAGCATGGAGATTGTTGCCGATTTGATAGTCTTCTCCATATTAGCCATCTAAGTCTAATTTACGAGAAGGAATGACTGGTAGACTTACATCCATTTCCACATTAACATACGTAGTCGGCCTCCCGCCAACCACGTTTCCCAGTTTATCAATGGTCAGAAGTCGACCATACTCATTCCGCGGGTCGTTAATCAAGCTGAAGAATTGATAAATGTTCCCTCCACAGGCCTGGATGCCTTGCTTCGTAGAGAGACTGGCAGCAAACTCCTTCGGGGTGAGCGACACATTATGAAACTTGCCATCAGCATCGTAGAAGTCCCAACTAAATTTCTCCTCAGGATCAGGCGGGACACCTAGCATAATGGTGACGATCGAATGAATCTCCTGGATGAATTTATCCTTGGTCGCCGCGAGAGTCTCAGCTCGAGTCTTCTTTTGTGCCAATTCGCGCAGAATAAGCGCCTGTTCGCGTAGCTTAACAGTAACAAGCCAATCCATCTTTGAGCTACTCTTTGCATTGAAACTATCAGGATAGAGCGCCTGCGGAACCAGTCCATACTTCTGCACCAGGTTGGCAACCATATCCCATTGCCCGCCGTCCGAGACAGGGTCGCTGAACAATTCCTGCACAAGCCGGCCGTCAAGATCAAGAGATGCAGTCTCAATTGCCTTTTCAAGGAACCAATTTGATTTCTCTATCTTATCCCAGTAGAAGAGATATGCCTGGCTCAATTCGAATTCTTTTAGATTATACCGCTTCATAATGGCTACGCGGAAGACATTGGTGGAGGCAAAAAGCCAGCATCGTCCTGAGGAGCGCTGGTTCGTAATCGGAGCGCCTTCAAAGGGGATCTTAACATTGAAGGTCTGCGTGTCTGCCAGTACCGCTGACGGGTTCATGAGAACCGATGTGGCAGCGTTCGTTGAGAGAGCAGAAATAGCAAGGCGGTTCTATAAACATGGTTTTAGGAATATTATATACGAAAATAAATAAAATAAATACCCTTACCTTGGGATCCTTAACCAAGGCCTCCTCCCAGCGTTTCGCCAGGGAGACGGAAAGGCCTGACGGCGTGTATGCAGGGCCCTCATTGACATCATTATCAACCACCCATTGCTTCTCCTGTGAAATACTCATACTGTCCATGTCTCGGGAGAGGACCTGGACTTTCTCATCGTCCCTGGGGACGGGCTTCGACTGAGAGGTTCCCATGTGTCTCGTGCTGAGTGAGCTCCCTAGTACTGACAGCGCTTCGATAAGCCAAGCCAGTTGGTGGCAGTCGATATTCCTAGCTAAAACAGTTGGACACGGCGAAGCAGGCTGTTCTACACACTAGATGAAGGGGATGATAGGAGTCCAAGGGAGGATGAAGAGAAGACGAGGGAACTCGGCGTGCCGGAGGTGATGCGGGGATGCTTATCAGGTGCTCTTATCAAGGTAGCATTGAACAGGGACCTTGCTGGCCGGAATAGTATCGTCTGCATCTATTCAGCATTGTTATTGCCGCGCTATATTAATCCCCAGAGCTGCTGCTTCTCACAACTAATGCTGCATGCTAGCTATATCCTATCCCTCTTCTTCCATCGCTGGTATCCTCTATTGCTTGTATCCAGGGCATTGGCAATAACCGCAGGCCCCGTCTCACTCCTGACACCGGCTGCTAAATCTAAAAGAACCTGTTCCAGGGCGAAAGGAAGGTCGAGAAAAAAAAAAAAAAAAAAAAAAGGAAAGAGGCCGACGTATGCATGTAAAACAAGAAGGAAAAGAGAACGAAAGTGTACGGGATAGGAGACTGCAGGACTTCATCAACAGCGTTACAACGATCCAGCGGTCAACCAGGTAGTAAGAGGTAGTGGAAAGGACATCACGATCTGAGTGGCTGAATGGGTATGAAAACAAAAACGGCGACCGCCGTACAGAGTAAACTCTGCTCCAGGCCAATTGAAATATGTCCAAAAGAAAGAAAGCAGACTGTCATGACATAAACAGTTGGTGGTATTCATGGCTTATCGTCGATCAAAGAACCAACTCGTTCGCTTTGGCTCTGACTGCGCTGGAGCAGTGCTGCCGACCTCTGATCCGCCGCCCCCACGAAGGGGTTTAGCGATCCTCGTTCCAGAGAAACTGAATCCACCGCCGCTCTCAATAGAGCCAGAAAGTCCTCGTGTAGACCCCTGCTTGACGGTTTCCAGTCTCTCCTTGACAGCAGTAAGCTGAGCTTCGAATCTGTAAAGAGGGGAGGAAGGCATAGTTAGTGGTCGTCTGCTTTCCTAAATCTAGTGCGAGAAAAGATAAAGGGACGTCATACCGGTGGTTAGCCTGGGTTAATTTCTCCTGGCTTTCCTGGAGTAGCGCCTCCAAGCTCGCTATCCGCTCGTTTCTCGCACTGAGCTTCCGCTCAGCAATGGCGACCTCCTTCTTCAGACTGCTGTTCTGTTCTACCAGCTGTCGTTGCACGTGGGTCAACTGCTCTAGGTTGCGTTCTAGGAATGCCATCTTCTTCTGCTGGGCCCGGTTGTTGGATGACCGAAGAACATTGTTGTACTGCTCACGGGCATCATCCAGTGAAAGCTCCAGCTCCACCACTCTCTCACAACGATTTTGGAGATCACGCATGAGCGACTTCTTCATCGCATCGAATTCTGCAATCTGCTGCTGCAGCGTCTTTCCTGCTGCTCCATTCGTCGATATCCGAGACTGAGAATCAGCAAGTGACTGACGCACTTCAACCAATTCCTGGTTTTTACATGCAATCTCTGCACGAAGTTCATCCGCCAGTTGTTTCTCTGTTTCTTTCTGGCTAATGTATGCCTTCTCCAAACGCTGCCTTATTTCTTCCACATCACCTTCTCCCAAGTTCCGCTCAAGGAGACCCTGATAATCGCGTTCCAGTCCGGCCAACTTCTCCTCCAGCTCCGTCCTTTTGCTGTCCTGCAGCTCACCTTGGCCATTCATAGTAAGCTCAGCCTGCCGGATGAAACCTTGCGCTTCCATCAGGTTTGCACGCAATTCCCGGATATCATCTGGGGCTATTGTTTCGCCTGCCTCGCTGACGCTGTAAAGCGAGTCCACACGCTGAATTATTTCTTGGATCTTGCGCTCATTATCAGAGAATACTTCGCTACCCATGCTGAAGCCAGCCATCATCTTAGCCATCCTCTCGGCTTTCTTCTTCTCCTTCTCGTCGAGGGCAGCACTGGTTTCCTTGGCCTTCATCCGAACATCGAGAAGTTGCTGCTTGACCTCGTCCAACTCCGCCGTAAGCTCGGTATTGGCCTCCTTTAGACTGTCCATAGTAATCGAGGCCTCCTTGCTCTCGTAAGTTACCTTCTCCAGCTGCATGCGGAGTTCATTGACTTCAGTATTGAGTTTCTCGTTATCTTTGCTGGCGCGAGCACTATTCTCCTTGAGGTTCTTCAACTCTTCCCTCGCCTCCTGCAAACTCCGCTCGACATTTGCAATATGTGTCTCCTTTTCGGTAATTTGATCCTGCAGCTCATTCTCTCGTCTGAGGAACTCCTCACGCTCGTCTTTCTCGAGTACAAGACTGGGCGTGCTAGAGCGATCGCCCAATCTCGAATCTGGACGCGGCGTATCTGCTCGGGGAGCTTCCTGCAGCCGGGAAGGCGTACTTGGTCGCGGTGTGCGGGCATCGACCTTTGCACCAGCAATTGACTCCGCAGTCCTGGCGGGGGTCCACCGCTCCTTTGGAACTGGATCACCGCTTCTCCATAGCTGTACCTCGGATTCAAGAGCCGAAATATAAGTCTCGAAACTTGTAACCTGGTTCTGGGCTTTCCGCAAAAGCTGTTTCAATTCTGCAGGACTCAATTCAGAGTTGATCTTCGCCTTGTTCTTGATTGCCTTGGCTCGCACACCGAATCGAAGGGTAGAGATAGTTTCCGCGTCATTGTAGCTGCTAGGTGAACAATTAATAATTAGAGTAGTCCTGGAGTTACCTCCCAAGCTCTCCTGTAGAATTCTCGTCAGTTTGGAATCACGGTATGGGACGTGAGAGGATTTTCCATCTGTGAGCGCGTTGATGACCATTCCAAGAGCACTCAAGCTTTTGTTAATTTTCTTGGCCTCTTCTAACGTCTGACCGCTAGCACCCGTCTTGCCGACCTTCTCACTACCAGCCAAATCCACCAAGAAGAGCTGGCCACTCTTGGCAGAGCCAGTCTCGACATTTTTCTGAGTTACGGTGATGACGAAAATAGAGTGAGATCGGGAAGACTCCTGGTTCATGTTTGTCGCAGCCACCGCCCTCGCAGCACCGCCACGTCGCATAACTTCGTAGACCTCCTGCACACTGGACACGTAGACTTCAAGTAGTCCCTTAACGTAGACACCCCTCGACTTCTCCTCGTGAACCGGCAAGTTGTCATTGTGTGGCACCAAAAGATCCCGAATGCGCTCCATGTAAATTTCCATGTAACTGACACGAACGGTATACTCGATGTTGCTGGGGCTTGCAAGAATGCTAGCAAATATCTGTTCGACGATACGCGGTATCACACCCTTGCCCTCACCATCTTCGATGTCCGATCCCATCATAGTATACGACTTTCCCGCACCTGTCTGTCCATATGCGAAAACTGTGCCGTTGTATCCATTCAAGATATCATCGACAGTCGAACGAATTGAGAATTCGAAGATATCAGATTGCCGAGAGTCCATGGGGAAAATCCGGTCGAAGGTGAAGGAACCCGAGCCTTCTTTGGACTACGTCAGAGTTAGTCTCGAAAAGTCGAGATTCAACAGGGAAGAAGCGAGTTTCCGATACTTCGGTGCGGAACAGAGGGACAGGGAAAAATGCTCACATTGATCACACATGATTGTGGGCTCTCAAAGTCGACAATCGTACTACCCCCAGAAGCCAATTCAACCTTGTTCTGAGGCCGAAACCTCGCAACCACTGGAATAAGCAAGTTGCATCAGCATACGCATCCTGATAGATGTCCGCAGTAGCATATACGATGCAATTTTACGACATACCCTTGATGGTGTTGTAGTTGCTAGAGCCAGATGACCTGTGGGATTGAAACATGTCTTTTAGCGCTCATCGAGGACTGCAATTACCGGAGGAGCGGTGAAACAAGTAAACAGAGACTTACGCCATATTTGCCTGGCTCCAACTTCAATAGCCTGATAGAAGAATGAGAGAGAACTCGATAGAGAAAGCGCCCCAGAAGGGGGAGAAATGAATGCTGGAACCCGCCGATGCTGGTACTCTGAGGTTCGTTTCTTGGGTAGTCAGGGGTGCACGTGCAGCAACGGAAGGGGAACCAGAATAGCAGGCCACGGGAACAACCGCGTGACCTCGATGAATGCACTGAACAAGCAAAACAAGACGAGCTGCAGAAAGAGAGAGGAAGCCCAACGCACAACACAGCGAACGTCGTGGCGTCGGGTGGAAGTTCACGATGCAGGCAGAGCGCGTCGATAACCTTGTTGAGGCCTAGTCTAATTTACGGAGGGATGGTGGGACAGTCGTGTCGCGAACGTCTTGGCGCCTCCACGGCTGCCGCATCAGCACCAGAAGCTAGTAGTTCTGCTGCAGACCTGACTTACAGATTTACAGGGCAGTACTATATTAGAACAAGGAGACCGAAACAACAACCATTTGATTATTCATGGAGAGCTAAATCCGAGTATTCACGAGGGGAAAAGGTAGCAAAAAAAATTAACAGTTTTACCGAGCGCCATAACTCCGCGCTGTGCATATCATTCCATAGCCGAAGGGGAAAGGAGAGTCCAGCATTTAGCCTTGGTCATCATCACCACAGTATCAGTCACAAGTTACCTAGCACGGTTGAGCAATGACTGGGGCAACAGGAGGACGGAGCGGAGGTGGACATGGGACTCGTCGGTGGCAGGTCAAATCGGACTAGAACATCGTGCAAATAACAAGTTGGAAACCGGAGGGGATTGGACAAACCAAATATCGTTGCCGCTTCCAGGTAGAGATTTAGTCTTCCCAGCTCTTCTCAACCGTTTCGCGCACGCGCTTGATGTATTCCTTTCGATTGTCTTTGTAGAGATTGGACGCTTCAACATTGGCCGGCGACGACGTATTTGGATCATTTAGTAAACTAAACGAGAAATTTGATACTTAGCTAAGACCTCCATGAGAATCCCTAGAGGGAAATAATACTTACCTCTGAATGCTAGTCAAGATAGCCGCTACATCATAGGTCGGACTCCAACGATTCTGCAGAATGTCGAGGCAGAGTTCCCCAGTACCGTAGACATTGGGATGAAACATCTGGCTGATGAACTTGACACCAGGAGGCTTGTTTGGGTATTGTTCTTCAAAGTGCATAACGAGTCGGAAAGTGCCGTCTTCGAAAGGAGTATCGGCAGGGCCAATAATGACCGCATTCCTAATGACAGGAGATAATGAGTAAACTCCACTCGCCTAGAGAAAACAGATCAGAATCAGCCTACCAGGTCATAACATTATCAGCCACAGGAGATGCGGAGACACCAGCAGGAGGGTCGGTCTGCATACGCTATAGATTATCAATTCCGTTAGCTAGGCAGGTAATAATGAAATATGCTGAGACACCCAAAAGGAAGTGAACGTGACACGCTGCATAGGACACAGGCAAGAAAAGCCTGCGGCAGCAACTTGAATCAGACGTACCTTGAAATCGCGCATGAGACGACGGCGAGCAGACGTGGACATGGTGGGGTTCTGGTGGGTTGAAATATCGTGGAGTAGCTGGGATAAGCAGGAAACGTCGACTACAAGGGACGCACGGGACAAATGGAGGAGATCTCTAGATAAAGAGAGGGTAGAGAGTGAAGAAGAGAGAGCAGGAGTTAAGGTGGAGAGGGAAAACGGACGACGACCGCTCTTTCTGAGCAAACAAGCAGCCCGGATACGGAGGCTTTTACGGGGCGATAAGCCGGAGGGATTGACTGACGGTGGCGGTGGCCGGCTCTGTCGCCCGCCGTAGTCCAACGGAAACAGAAAGATATTCCGCGAAGGCCAAACGGTCAATCTAACCGTATTTATTTGGTCATGTGACTAGTCACGTGTCGGTTATAAACACGCTAACTCGAAACAGCAATATCTTCAGCTCGCAAAGGAACATCTACAATATACCAGGAATTATCTAAATCCTCATTCTTTTCAAGTGCCCTGATGATGTTCACTAGCTTTTTTCCAATAGTACCCTGAAGTGATAGGCAGGTGAAGGCCGTGGTTCCCCATAAATCCTAGTATACCTCCAAAAGGATGTTGAGTCCCATTGAACTTAACCTCTTTCCCTCGTGCCCAAATTGCCTCTCATGGTCTGCAGACGGGGAACTTGCCATTGGGGCAGGCGAATATGTTCATATCTTAGTCTGTATTTATCAATTTCATCGAAATTGGACCCTTGAAGCCGGCTAACACACCATCTAGACACCTCGCAATATAAAAATAGAAAAAGACAATGACGAGAACAATGTGCCCAAGATTGAACCAACAGAGAAAACACCAGCAACTGAACAATGGAATATCACACGTTTCCGAGTCAATGTCTTCACAAACCAGGAGTGGCCGACTATCTTCCCGCAAAACCGCAATGACTTTTCCATTGGGGTTGAACAGTCAATGAGCACCGTCGCTGCGCTCGCATGGTCACCTCCTGGACTTTCCAAGCATAGATGCTGCACGTTGGCTGTGTTGACAACTAACTTGCTTTTATCTTTTTACGAACCCTTAGGTCCGCAGGGGAAGTGGGTGCGAGTGGCTATTGTCAACCATAGTTTGGACCGTTATTTTTCGGGCATCATCCCAGAATTTGCTCTTCGGTTCAAGAAATCTAATATCCGTTCATTCACATGGTTTTCAGCTTTCAAGGTTCCTGATGTCCAGCGGAGCGGTAGCAGTATCCATAATCCGTATTCTGTTCCGAGCCCTGCGACTCGTTGGGGTATTCATCTACTGGCTGTAGCCAATGATGACAATGATGTTCTCATGCTGGAGACTAACCGCATGCAAAGAGGGCTTGATATGTTGGGCTCCTATTCGATAGAGGTTTCATCTGTCATCTCGCTGTGTGAGCAGGAAGGGAGCTATCCGATGATGCAGCCTACGTCCCTGTTCGCTGCAGCTGTTAAATCTCGGTCAAAAGTCTCATCTATTTCTTGCGGGCCGTGGTCTCCTCAATCTAATACTGCTGAAGGTACATATTCCAGAACAGCGGCTGTAGCTACTACATATGGTACACAGCTGAAGGTAATGAAATTCCATGTCAAATTTACCACTGAGGAGCAATCGTCACACAAGTTAGAGTACAGCTTGGTAGAATATCCTGTTGCCGCTTCTGTTCAAAAGTACCGCGAGTATAATTTCACAGGTCCATTGCAATGGCTTTACACAGTAAGGACAAATACTCTCATTAGCGGTGGCTGGCGTTGACTCACATATCTAGGATGATTCTCAAACTGTCTGCCTTGCTGCCGGTGTATTTGGGGGCCTTGTTACTATCTTTTTCTCAAAAGCTGCCTATGATGGAAGATATACGACGAGCAGTGATTTCCAAGTCAGTGAGCAGTTCTTCGGTGAAACAGAACAGGGCGAACCGGGGCACTGGGAGCCAATTTACGGTAAGCATACTTCACCTGAATGACTTTCCTTACTGATCAAATAAGCTATGACTACTGCTTTGAATGAAAAGACATGTACACGTACTCTCCATGTCGGAACCAAGGGAGGATATGTATCAACCCGCCTCTTTCCCAACTCTTCCGACAAACCTCACTCTCATATACCATCCTGGGCAAAGAAGCTGGAAGATATCCGCGAAGGATTCGATCTAGATCACGATCTTGGCGGTCTTGCTATTGCCAGGATCTGGGGACTAGCATCTTATCACGGCCTAGTTGCTGCCGCGGCCACCATGCATCCAGGGGACATGATTGAATACCGTACGGCCATGAACGAACGCTGCAGTCTTATTTTTTCTTCGGGAAATCTGGACGATGACGAACCCGGTCATCCCACTTTTCCAAAGACCATAGTAGACCGCTCTCCCAGCTTTCTGCGCCAGAAAAGAGAGGCAATCTATGGGCTCATACTTACTGCTGCTCAACCTGATGACCTTAGCAAAGATATCTGGTCACAAAGACTCATATATTCGGCATCCTGTTGTGCAGTTGTGGATGGGGAAAATAAAGAGCTCCTCCCCTTAGCCCAGCGAGCGCTGCAACAATTAGCCGATATCACTGGAGCAGATCTAAGAGAAGAGATATCCAAGTGTATCGGGGATACAGAGTCGAATAACATTCAGCCTAAATCGACAGCGCAATTAAGCGGACCAGGTGGCTATATTTTCGAAAAATGCGAGATCTGTGACACGGGGATTTCATGGTCCTCCGCTCAGGAAGCGCTGTGCGAAACGGGCCATCTTTTCGGTAAGTTACTGCATTGAATATCGTGAATATAATACAGATATCTCTTGAGTTATGTGCTACAGAGAACTAACTTAAAAAATTAGTTCGATGTGGATTGACATTCCTCTGCATTCACGAACCCGGGATATCCAAATTCTGCTCTGTTTGCAACACGGAGTATCTAAATGAAGACCTACTCAGGACAGCTGAAGATGAGCGTGGGTCTGGCCTTGGGGGTATATTCGAAATGGTTCTAGAGGCGTTCGATACATGTGTTTATTGTGGTGGGAAATATCGGTCGTGAATGTTGGTTCAACACTCTTCTGGGTCTCTATTCTAGCCGAGGAACCAAACATATTTCGGTATAGACCAGAATAGCCCTCTGATTCTTTGTCCCTAGCATGTTTGTCGAGCGAATAGACGTAAATATGTGCTTTTTGTATTGACAATTCTCTCAGCAATCAGACAGACATGTCTTCAGTATCTCGGCTAGAAATGTGATTCTAATGAATAAGCAGATATATTTCTTCCCAATAGGAGAAGAATTAGACTTTCCAGAGGAATCCTCGATATATCCCACGAGTATAATTTGCGGCCGATGGGATTGTCGCAGGTTCAGAATCGGCTTGGAGAAGAGAGGGAAGTAATCCGGAGCTTTGGTGGGTTGACCAGAACTTCAAATATATAGATAGAAGGGAAAGGGAGAAGGAAGCATATATACAGTCATTATATCAACCTCAGTAATTTCCCAGCAACAGGATCCCACTCATCATCCCATCGTCTTGAGCTCTCTCTCTCCGCACCAGCACGAAGTTTCTCCAGTTTATTAGGATTACCTAAAAGATCAACCAAGATTGCGGAGAGTTCTCCTGAGCTCCCGAATCCCATGCCATTTACACCTTCCGTAACCAGTTCAGGCCAGGCCTCGAAGCGGCTCCAGCCCGCAACAGGCAATCCAGCACCGAACATATCGACGACTTTCATGGGTAAATCAACGCCACTGCTACTAGTGTGAAGGCTGACGCCTAAAGAAGCTGAAGCTAGGAGCTGTGCGTAGTCAGAAACACTTAACCATGCGGTTCTGATAGTGGCCTTTTTGAGCTTCCCAGCGGCCTCGAGACAAGATATCTTCTCCAAGTACATGTCTTTTTGTGGGCCCTTTCCTGTAATTATTGCCAGTATTTGGGGTAGGTAGGGTTTAGTCGTGCTCGCAAACTCCGAGTACTGGCATAGAGCATCGATAAGGATGGAGAAATCTTCATCGGGAGTCCAGGAGGTTGAGCTGACAACCACCTGAACGTTTCCCGATTCTAGGCATTCCCGCACTGACTGTGCTTCGGGTAGTGAGACCAAGAATTCCCGCCTTGCGTGGTTGTCCGGAATAGGCTGAAAGTGACTAGCGGGGCGGTCATGTAGAGGCAGCAGAGGAGCTTTGAGAGCAAAGTCCTTCTTCAGAATAGACACCATTGCCTGCGTAACGCAGATATGCGCTGTAGCATATTTGCAGAAAGTTCTCTCATACCACTTAGAAAGTTGGGTTAAGGGATGACCAGTGCCGAGTTTCAATGCGAGGATTGAATAGCCAAAATTGTGCCAATCTATGATCAGACTCGTGTTTCGGAGAAAGCATACGAGAGAAGCGACTGCTAGTGATGGTATGGAAGGAGGATTCTGGCACACAGGATCAGCGAAGGCCTCAGATTTCATGGCATGTCGACAGCATCTACAGTTCCGACTAACCTGGACTAGAAGCCATCTTGCAGGCCTCGTACGATAAGCCAGACACCACCATAGACATATCACTTGAAACAATACCTTAAGAGGCCCGAAAGCGAGGAAAAGAAGTTTGTTGCTTGTCTGTAAAGCTGCGGGGTGCGGAGGTAACGGAACAATGGAAATTCCTGGATGAGAGAGGATATCGGGATGGGGTTCCGATTCTATAATAACACATACACGTTAGTGATAAAACGGAGAATATACGACTGAGGGAATCTCTCACCATTATATCCAATGATATCGACCTGGCCGCCGTGCTTTGCGATGCTTAGCGCATGGTACTGCATGCGCGGGCTGCGGCCGATATCTCCAAGAACAAGAATCTGAACCGTCATCTTTGGCTTCTGAGATGGACCACGTCCATCATCTTCCTTTTCAGTTGTGCTCTGCCCATACTGTGAAGGAAGTAGCAAGATGAGTGCTGTAATTGCCGTGGACAGATAAAAGGCGATACTGATTAAGGATTCAATCATGGCGATGTTTCTGGAAGCCAAATATGTCAAATCATGGCAGGATCACGGTTCCGCCAGTTAAACGATCATTTCCACCCTTCAGACGGCATAATTGCCTTCGCAACGACTACTAGTGTACAGAGGAAGCTCAGCGTCCGCAATCTGGATGAACGGTGGGGTTGACAGTCACCTGCCTCTTTGGGGCTAGTCAAGTATTTTCGCTCACGTGACAAAAGCCTAGGCTTATCAGTTCCGCAAAGGGAAGAAGTGAAGCCGGCCGTTCGCACCTCTTCTCGCGTACAATTGCCATGGAGTCGACATCTCCATGATATATCTGTCACTAGTATCTTCATTTGTTGGAGCACAGGCTCCCCCTTGCGCGCCTTCTTGTGCCTAGCCGCTACTATGCTGCGTTGTTATACTCAAGTTCAATGCCGTTCTTCAAGCTCCTGAAGCTGCGACTCGGCATCTTGGCTACCTAGCCTTTTCATTTACCCTCATTCGACCACCATCCTCCCTCTTCCTCTTCAATACGATTGTTCTTTAAAAATATAGACCATGTCAACGGCGCCCTCATTGTCTAGCGTGGATCTCTTATCCCCTCCCAGCCGTGGCCGTGGCCACTCGCGCTCAAGGGGCTGGGCACAGTCGCCAGCGTCACTGTCATCCAGCGAGCAAACGGCTGCTCAGCAGACCTCTGCAGCTCCACCTTACACAAATGGCCACAGGCTGAACACACCTTGGCGTGATAATATTCGACCACGCTCACGGTCTCCTTTGCCTCGCGAAGTCGGCGATCCCACCACGGAAGAGAGCGATGTGAAGGCGGCACAGGCAACATCAGAGCCATCGTCACAATTAGAAACCTCCCTGGATACGGCAGACAATTCACTCTTTCAGAAGTGAGTGATGAAATTTCTAGTTTAACGGGAGGGAGATTGCTAACGATAACGTAGCCATGAGATGATCAGAGGCTTTTTAGTGACCCTACCGTCGATCGCCATATCTTGGTTTGCAAAGTATTACGGACAATCGAATACGTCCACTGCCGCAAACTATGAATCCGATATTGCGTCCACCTGTTCTTCCAATAATTGGTCGCAATCAGGGTGTTTGCGTAGTGAAATACGACGGTTAGAGCAGAAGGCTTGCATTTTGACGTCGGCTACATTGCTTTTCACCGGTGGCTGGCAGATCTTGAAACTGCAACGTCAGAATCTTAGCTTCCCGGCTGCATTCAGAACAAAACTATCTCAACTTGATGCCAAAACAGCGGGTGCGCTATTTCTGCAGATATGTTCCGTGGGATTGCCCATTTACGCAGCTCTGAAAGTCGGTGGATTCCTCGTGGCGTTCGCTTTATCTCTCGCACTGGCGTCAGGAATCCCGACGATGAGTAGGTCGAATGTTGCTCGCAGCTTCCAAGCCCGCATCATGGAAAAGAAGTGGAGTGTAATGTCTCTTGCTGGTGCAATTGTCCTGAGCTTTCTAAGCTTGGATGGATCGTGGGATAATATGGCCCTTGTGGGTTATGTGGCCTTGCTTATATCTGTTTTTGCCCTCCGTCCTCCGTTTCCAGGTTCCCAGGGACCTGCTGCCCCTGAATCTGTTCTCAGCCTTCTATCTAAGGGCCTTGACTCGAGTGCTTCGCCATCTCACCAACGCAAAATATCGAACTCGAATTTCTCGCCTATTATAGGTCCAGAAAATGCCGTACTATCTGTGCTTTCTGGGGGGCTTCTAGCCATTGCCGTGGCAGTTGTTTCTATCATCCACGGGGAAGTTCTGTTTGGAGTTCGGGACTTGGTATCCGTTTTATCTACCGCAGGTGCTATTACTCTGTCCTTGGTATGCATGCCCTCTGCGCGCTTGCAATCTTCGCAAAAACTTGGCCTCGCTGTTGGAACCGGTGCTAGTGTCTTCCTGTGTGCTGTGCGCCCAGGTAACAATATTGTTTGGACGTTATGGATCAGAAGCGTCACTGCTGCAATTTCATTTTTTGCAGCCAGATTCGACGACAAGCAGACCCGATCTACGGAAGGTCATCATCATGTTCATTCGTCATCGGGGTTGTCAAAAATGACAAGACTTATACTCTCCTATAGCGAGCCATATCCGCTTCTGCACAGTATTATAAGAGAGAAAGACTCTCGTCGGATATTCTATTTTATGTGGTATGTGACCTGGTGTTTTGATATCCCTAACAGTTGCTAATCGTGCAGTCTGAACTTTGGCTTCATGCTTGTTCAACTATCATACGGCTTCCTCACGGGGTCTCTCGGACTCCTCAGCGACAGCATCCATATGTTCTTTGACTGCTTAGCACTAGTCGTTGGTCTGTGTGCTGCCGTCATGAGCAAATGGCCTTCCAGCCCTAGGTTCCCGTACGGATATGGGAAAGTGGATACACTCTCTGGATTTGCCAATGGTGTATTTCTCATGTGAGTTTACTCTTTCTGTCCAGGAATTCTTTGCATTAGATCACTTCTGTACAGAATTGGGGTTGATATCCTTTTCTAGGATAATAAGCATCGAAATAATATACGAGGCCATAGAGAGACTATTTTCTGGCAGCGAGATGCACCGAATTGGCGAACTTCTTGTTGTTAGTTTTGCCGGTCTTCTTGTGAATATCATTGGCATCATGTCCTTCGATCATGGGCATGCACACGGACACGACCATGGCCACAGTCATGATCATGGCAACGAGAACATGCATGGTATCTTCCTTCACATTCTTGCAGATACACTGGGATCTGTGGCTGTCGTTATCTCTACAGTCCTTGTCCACCTCTACAGCTGGTCAGGCTTCGATCCTCTTGCATCGTGTCTGATTGCCGCGTTGATTTTTGCCTCATCCGTACCTTTGGTCAAAAGCACAGCCAAAACATTATTGCTCACGCTTCCTGCCGACGTCGAATATAGTCTTCGTGACACACTAGCGGGAGTCAGCACATTGAAAGGTGTGGCCGGGTACACCGTTCCAAAATTTTGGCTAGATGATACTGTGACTGGGGATTCCGACGGCCACGACCATTGTGACGGTGACCATGATGGCCATCATCATCATCATCATCATCACCACGGCCACGACCATGAACATACGCATAGTCATGATCATGGTCATGATCACAGTCATAGCCACGGCCACAACTACAGCCATCATGGTCACGAACAGCAACCCAAAGTATTGGGCGTAATCCATGTCATTGCGTCCCGCGGTTCGGACCTGGAAGATGTCCGACAACGAACGATTAATTTCCTGAAAGAGAAGAACATGGATATCCTCGTCCAAGTCGAGCGAGAGGGAGATGGCCACTGCTGGTGTGGTGGCGGGAACAAGACTTAAAGCAGCATTTATATTTCATTGCAGGGTTCAGGAACCCTCTTTTGGACATTTTCCAATTCGGCTACTATATGCTTGTTCTATTTGGGATATGCCAGCCCGCATATATACTGCCTCTATATGATATATACAAGTGGTTGGGAATCGGGTTATTGTTCGCTATGATTTGATATAGATATCTGTGTATACGCGGTTATACAGCTCTGAATTTGCTGAACCAACAACTTTCACAACTTTCTTAGAGCTCACTGAGCACTTAGCCCATCCTTGGTGCGTGCCTCACTGCGAGATGGCGTAGACCCTTGGCTGGCACGGAGATGGTTATTATGTGAGCTAGTCCTCGGTCAAGCTTTTTAGATTAAACAGTCCCGGGTTTATTTTCCATCCTACGAGGTCGTAATATGGTGGTCGCACGGATTCAGAATACCTTTGCTGGTTTGACTCTGTTCTTGTTCTTTAACTGCGTATCTCAAGCAGAAAGACACGCTCAGATTGACTGTTTAAGTATGGCTGCCTACTAATATACTCTCAACAATATAATTACTCAAGCCCGTCAATACCAGCCTCGATACTCTCTTCAAACGAAGTCCAGCCCGGTCTACCGAAAAGATCCTTCAGTAACGCCTCAGCCCTCGAAGCCGGAATGACTTTAGTCTCATCATATCCCTGTCCAAGGGCATCTGGAATTAACTTGTTGTTTGGTCGCAAGTTTCGCAAAATATGAACAAGCTCAGACCAGTTCCTGGACCCTGCAAAGGCGAACAGTCGTTCAGACTTGACGTCGGGGCTTAGGAGAGCAGCCAGATGGAGGCGTGCGGTGTCTTGGACGTCGACGTATTGCTCTGTTATCATCAAACGTTAGACCGACATGGTCGGATAGGTTAGGTTAGATCACGGTCCTTACGTGGAGGAAAGATCTTAAGCATGATATCATCTCCCTTGAGAAGTGCACGAGTATATCCCATCGTCGATCCGAAAATCTCGGGGAGGAGGACTCGACCAGTCTATGCCAGTTGTTAAGATGTGCTATCACGAGACCGCCGGGGAAAAGAGAACTTGGACTTACGTTAAAGTCAGGCAGGACAGTATTCAATACAAAAGACGGTTTATTTTCACCCACCCATTCCCAGGCCGTTTTCTCTGCCTCGGCCTTGGAAGCAGAATACACTTCAAGAGGCTTGATATCGGCTGGGGTATTTGGATCCCATGCAGCTCTGATGGCTTGGTCGTTCCACGTATCTAGATAGTCCTGTTAGATTAATCCTCCCTTCAATACTGTACAAGCGGAATTCTCACTCTCATCCACTACAAGACCCTTGGTTTCGTTCTTGCCGGGGGTATAAGCAGCCCGCGATGAGGATGTCAGAACAACCCGTTTGATGCTGGGTTGCTTGGACGCAACCAGAAGGATCTTCCGGATCGCATCCACCACCCATGGGATAACAGCTTGAGGGTCCGAACCGAATGTAAGATCGGATGCCTTGAGCTCTATTAGCGATACCACTAGTCATGTACAAGAGGCGAAGGGGAGAACAACTTACAAGATGAGCAATCCCAGATACACCCTGCACAGCAGCTTCCAACGTTGGGACATGGCTGAAATCACTAACGAGGACCGTTTCGAACCGTCCCTTGCCGTATTTTTGATCAAAGTATTCGTTCAACCATGGCTTCGGGGAACGAACGGTTCCTCGGACCCTGAAACCGGCTTGGAGTAGTTGATCAACTACATGCGATGCTATGTAGCCGTTGGCACCAGTGACAAGGACCGTTGAGTCCTGGGGCAATACGTATGTGCTCATCTTGGACTTTTCGTGTGAAAATCTGGATTCTCGGAGTGTTGTGTGATGTTTTCTGGTGGATAGTTATCGATGCCTTTGATTACAAATCAATTTCTTCACGTTCCCTGACGTTGTTCCATGGTTCAATAATCGAAGGGTCCATAATATAATTATGCAGAGCACATTTAAATATGCATATGCATATGATAATATACTAATAGCATAAATTGCTTGCCTGGTATTATAACCGACCCCGAAGGTTACCGTAGGGGTCGGTTAGTCAATTATCACTCCTGTCTAATGAGATGGTTGATTACCCAGGTGCTTTTCGTCAATGGTGTTACCTTGCGGATGTACGGGAACCACGGAAGCTTACATATCAGATACGCCTCTGACAGACACCACACGTCTTGGACGCGTTTCCTGTCGATCACCTCGCTGTAATCAGCGACATAAACAACCAACCTTGAGAACGCAGAATCCCTTCATATCTATAACGTCCTGCCCTGAAGGGAGTCCACCCTGCCATCATTCGAGCCATCTATCCACGGATTGGATTGATTGATTATCCATCGCCATGCCCCCAAAGCGACGGTCCACACGCTCCTCACCAGCCGGTGAGTCTTCCTCTTCGAAAAAGAAGCCCAGAACTGATGCTTCCGTTGAGGAATTATTGAAATTACTGCCTTCCGTGACTGAAGTCATCCGATCCATGCGTTGGTCAAAGGTGTCTGGGAGCAAAAATGCCGATGAGTCCTACCGGTTGAGAATACAGGATGATGCAGAGGCTTATTCGTTTATCTGTGTTTGTAAACGGGTGTTCGGGACTGATTACGATGAAGGTGAAGATGGAAGTAATGAAGATGAAGAGGAAAAAGATGATAAGAAGGGAAAACAGGAAAAGAGGGAGACGTACCAAAGGCCTGTAAGAAAAGCGGCTGATTCCTTTGAACAAACGTTGGCTGACTCCTACAACAGCCTTCCTGCGATGGAGGGAAGACTTGTCTCTGCCACAAACCAGCCACAGAACACCCCGGGAACATATGGACTGTCAGCCGAGCTGGCTTCCAGAAATTCATAACGTCGACAATCCAGGGCGACCTGCGTTGTCCCGATCTGTTCAACATGTACGTCTACAATGACTACCATGGCTATGGTATAGTGCAGGTGGTTCAGAATACGCTCCTCGACTTTGACCAGGAAAAGGAAAAGGATAATTGGAAGGAGCAGTGGGCTATCTGTGAAGCGATAATACTCTTCTTCCAGTCTGGGCACGCAATGCCGTTTTTCATGCAAGTGCTTTCTTTCTTCGTCTATTTTACCCCCTTTGTAACCAATCCATACTAACTCATTCTAGGATTGATGACAGCCAGGGCATGAAAGATCTCTGCGACCTCCTTCGAATCATGTTCCTAACCGCGCTGGCTAGCCTGGAGCGCCACGGTCTCCTAAAACCAGACTCAGAAGTGAAGAACCTCGGGGTTATGATGGGACAATTCCTTCGCTTCCAAAACATTTGTGACAGCTTCCCCGAGGGCCTGGACACCGCGGTCGTTGCCTATGCGGCCAAGCACAATATACAGATCCAAGGCCTGTCAGATGTGAGAAGTCGTCTTGAGTCGATCCGAGAGTCGGATGAGGAGGTCGTGCTTCCTGCGTCGGATGCTGAGAGCACCGATCCTTGGGACTTCAATGGGAAATTCCTGGATTATATTGAGCGGAATGCGCCAGCCGTTGGCGGCGATAGCTACGATGTCACGACTTGGACCTGCGCTGAGCGAAAGCGGAAGAGTTTTACCGGCAAGGATCCTTTTAGTAAGAAGGACAGAGATGCTCTCAAGGAGGGCATGGTGCTTCAATTGGGATAAACTGGGATTGTATGCTGTTCTGTTCTTGCTGAGGATGATTGATTAGTACTACCTACTGTATAATAACTAATATTGATATGTAAATTCCTTATCTGTCTTGTATTACTCCTGTGATCAATAGAACAATAATGCTCTCATAACTCTGGCTTCCTCCCAATCATAAGATGCATCGGTGTAAACAACCCCAGTCTACCACCTCTGACAAGATGGTCCGCCCCATCCGCAAGCTCGCCCGCCGTCTCCGCCGTCCCAGCAGGCGCCAACCGCAACACCTCCAACATCCATAGCAGATTCCCCATGGACGCACGCCCGAATTTCGTCATGCGCAGCACAGTGAGTATATCCCAGATAGACCGTGCATGTTTCAACTCGCCCGCGATAGGGTAGTACCAGGGAACCGGACCAGTGCGTTCGGCCAGATCGTCTTCGCATTCCAGGATAAACCCGGCGGCCTGAATGGCGTCGACGGCAGCTGCGCGAGAGCACATGTTGACGATGCCATTGCCGCGTTCGATGCCGAGACGGATCGCGCGGTGTTCGGGGTTCGACTCGTCGAAGCGGTCTGTCATGACCCATTCGTAGACGCCGAAGCGGCCGCCCGGTTTGAGGACGCGGTAGATCTGCTCGTAGACGGCTTGGAGGCTGGGTGCGTGGACGGTTGCTTCGATGGCGTAGACTGCGTCGAAGGTATTGGCTGGGAAATCCAGGTTCTGTTGTTCGGTGTTGACTTAGTACCGAGATGGTTACTGCAAGTGGAAAGGGGAGGACCACTCACCATAAAATCACTCTTGAAAAACGAAACCTGTTTCTCGAGACCAGCCTGTTCAGCATGCCGTGTCGCCCGGGCAATTTGATACCCATTATTATTGATCCCAACGACCCGGCACTCGGTGAACCTTGCAATCTCTCTCGCAGGCCCGCCTACGCCGCAACCGACATCCAGCACTTCCATCCCCTCCTTGATTCCCAGCTTATAGGCCAGGTAATGCTCATGCCGCGCGAGAGCCTGCAGGAACGGCTCACCGATACTGAAGCGGCAGAAGTGAAAGGATTGGCCCCATGCCTCCTCATAGAAGTCCGTGACGAGATCATAGTAGCTTCATGCGTTGCGTCAGAAAGCAATTTCACTGGGACAGAAGGAAAGAAACAAAAACTCACTTGTTAACCACACCCATGTACTCAGATAGACGCTCCTGACGCACTTCGTCCGAAGTAGCATCCACGCCCTTCTCGACCTTCCAGCGACGCACGTACTCATTGGTGATCTCGCGGTGGGCGGCGTTATTCTTCCGCAGCATGGCAAGAAAGGCATTTTTCTCGTCGGCCGACTTGCCATGCATGGCCTTGGTCAAGGAGAGATTGGGATCATCTTTCACGACGACGGTGGCCATGGTGGAATAATTGGCCAGGAGAGAGCAGGAATCAGATACAGAGAATGCAATGCCAGTTCCGCAGAAACAGAGGACATGCTGCCGGTATAAAAAGGCATCATGCTGCCTGGAAGACAGACAAAGTACGCGAGATCATCCTGTAGGTATACCAGGCTGGAATTGGCCCACGTAATATCGCCGTCGTATTCGTATGGTCGCTCCACTTTCTTAAGAACGCATGAACGGAACGAAAACGATCGAATCCGAGTTACAGGTCAATCCTGCTTCTCCACTCCGATCTGTTCAAGACTGAAACATGCCAATAGCCCTGAGCAACCCATCCTCTGTGGAATCGGGATGCCTTGACGTCCGATCCACATTATTAAATATGGGAGCTATGATAGCTAAGTCTAGCCGTAAGTGTCATACCCGATATACTCCGATATTTCGTGAGTGAAATGGTCTAGAAACGCAACCAAACAACATTTTGTAGAGCTCCTGCTGGCTGCCTTTTTCTCGATCGCAAACGCACTGGGAGGTTCCGTCGTTGGGGGAGGGGCTTTGTGAGGCTTCTCTTGTCAACAGACCCAGAAACATGGATCTCACGGTTCGAAGGATGAAGCATCATCGTATTTGGGCAATAATATTTTCTTTTCGGGGATCCTCGGTGGGTGCGACCTCATCTTCCTCATCCTCATCGTCACTATAGAACTCATATTCTGCACCACCTCGAGGCTCAGTGTAAAATGCAGAAAGATCCGACAGCCATGGCGCGGCCAAAGAGGCAATCTGCCAGGACCTCCTAAAATTAATTAGCATATAAACCAGAAGCTAGTGAATTTTCAAGACTATACTGGGAAAAGGGACATGTTTTCGAACTCCTTCTGATCTAAGATGTATGTAAATGCGCCAAGCCGTAACTATTAGGCAGTTTCTTGTGGGCCCTTCCCTAGTCTACTTTCGGATTAGCCTCTCACCGCCTTGGCTTGCCGACGCCTGAGCTATCCCTATATAGGAATACATAGATCTGCTTCAGCTTCTGGTGACTTAATGAGAGTATTGTATAACTGGTTGGTTGAGCGCAGGAACTCAGAGTGGCAGCTAACTAAGCGTACTAGGAAAACTTGACCTGTCTAGGAATAGTCCTATCCTTCTTCTTGCGCGCCATGGGAGGTAAGAAAGGAAGGGAGCTGAGATGAAAGGCTTTTATTAAGATGAAATCTGCTGGTGTTACCTATGAAGGCTACGTGGGGAGCAAAAGAGGATGAAGTGTTGACTTATACCTGGCAACATGGTCTTGCAGGACGGGACAGAGCCCTACATTTCCAACGCCCGCATCTCCGAGGAGTGGAGAGAATGCATGCTCTCCACCAAGAAAAGCATCAAGAAGATCGAGTTTCTGGAGGTGCGTCATTATGGCGGCTGGAAAATCGGCGAGCGAAATGAAGTCGAGTTCACACGAGTGCTATTGACGCTTGCCCTTCGAGCGACTGCAGAGGACAGGAACTAGTTCATATATCTAGTTAGGTGAACGCACCGCAAAATTTACACATCATATGTATCATGCAGCCATGGCAGCCCCTACTCAGCGGTGAAGATATTTTCATCACCGTCAAGGGAAGCTATGGTGTATTCCTGGGAGCAAGGACTACTTTAGTGCATGTGTGGAAAGCCCAGGTGTTATTGTGACGTTGATGCCGTTGAGGAAACCAAGGGAATACACTTACCTCAAGCTTTCAGTTACTTTCAATTATTTTCTCCCCCTCCTGATTATTTCCGTATTTCGTCTCGCTTGGGCGCTGTGGTGGGATTCTGATTCAGGATACAGTGTGATCGGTTGGCCTGAATGTCATCCTCGGTTTGCGCACTGCCGTGAACTCAGTCTAGCATGTCAAGTATCTCTTACAGCTACTTAGCCGCTAGCTTCTGCTGAGGCCACATCCTTGCAGCCTCCCACCTAGAGTCCCCGGAGTGCAGTATCATCAGCAGCTCCGAGATAAGCGCCTTTCCCGCGCTCCTGGCCCACCAGATACGCCCATCCAATTCGCCCAGAAGCGTCCCCCAGTGCATGAGAATCAACAAGGAAAGGGCTCGGCGATGTCTCAAGTAGGAGCAGAACTCCTTATCCACCATTGCCAGCCATGCCATGACTGGCTCGATGGGATTCTCCAGATTGGCGCTTCGGGAAAAGCAACTCTGAAGTATGGAAATCGCATTTTGATTGATCTGGCGCTGGCCTGCATCCAGAACAAGTTCGTCGTTCAACACTTCCAATCTCGTCAAAGCCATTTGGGTGTCGGCATCTAGTCGTTCGGGTACTGTGGAGGCCCAATCTTTGTTCGAAAAAAAGTCTGTCGAGAACCAAGAACGGCTGATGTGGTAAATGTTACTGGTGCCCCGCAGGAGCTCAAAGACGGCTGTAACAGTCTCAATCATGCTGGAGGTCTCATCTCTCTGCGCCGTCAGTTTCGGTAAGGAAATGCTGATAGCCATCGTAATGACCGAATGGACGAAGACAGCATCACAGTTCATGGGTGAGATGTTATCCAGCGCCTTGCGAAAAGGGGCAAATGTCATATGGTAATACTGAAGAGCCGTATCAATGTAGGATGATGCCGCAGGCAACTCTACAGTAGATGCTATGTGTAATGAGGACAGAGCAAGGATGCCACTCAGCAGGAAATCATGGCTAAATGCCTTTTGAGGCACTATCACCTGCCATGCATGGTATAGTAACGCATCAGCACAGAGACTCTTATAGGTCTCTGTGGAGAATTTGTGCATTAATTCAAGATTGCGGAGTTCGGAGCCATTTGAGGGGGCTACATTCATCACTGTAGGAGCCGGGGGAGTGAGGGGTGTCAGTAGGGAAGGCAAGGGGGACAGTGAACTGGTACTGGGAGAGACAGCCAGCATGTGGACTTTGTGAATGTTGGAATATGAACAATGGATTTCACGGGAGCGGCAGTTGGAGCATGGAGGGCCTGTCTCATCACACTAGAGGGTGTTAGCTATCAATTATGAGGCTGGGGACTGAGGAATCCTATGGCGCACCTTGACTCGCCTCTTCTTACAGGTATCACAGCCATTGCGGGACTTTGTGTGGGATCGTCGAGGCATTCCGAGCTCTCCTCCATTAAAGAGTAAGAAACATTCAGCGACAGAATGAAGTTGGACAAGTGGACGTCATGTGGCGTCACGTGGGATGGATTTCTCCTCGTCTTTCAATGCTGAATTATCAATCAATCAATTATCCCAAACCATCCCAGAAACGTTTTTGACAAGTCCAATATCTCAGGTTTAAGGTCAGTCCAGGCCAATCTTCCATAAATAAACAGTGCCACTGATCTGACAAGGGGCAGTTTCAGTGGCAAATGATGAACTGAAACAAGTCTCCAACCAGTTCCAAAGGAAACATCCGTGCAAGTTGATCGCTGCTCCTTCGGGGCATATCATGATTATCCAATATCCATATTAAAAATATCCGTCAGAAATTAGAATGTCACGGGTACGAATGCGAATACGACCCAATTGCGGATACGTGTCTGGTTCCCTTGTGCATAAGCGACCTTGGCGCGAAGCTGACAGCGGAGATAAAGCAGAATGTTAAAACTAGAACAAGGAATGAAGGGTCAGCCTGGCACTGCCTCGCTCAAAGCTATGGGCCTATCGGTCATTCTTCAGTCTATCTTCAATCGTTCATGACTTTATTCTTTTTTTTTTTTTCTTTTTCCAACTGTTTACCCTTTCTATGACCATCATCCATCATGAGCTATGTGAACTGCACCGAAGTCTCCCCGTTATGTCCTGTCCAGGCGACAACATACGGCTACTACCCGAATCTGGGCGGGAACATCTTCTTCGCCGTCTGGTTCGGCATCTTAGGCGTCATCCAGGCAGTTCTCGGTTGCTACTATCGATCATGGACCTTCCTCGTTGCCCTCGTCATCGGCACCTTCATGGAGATGATAGGCTACGTGGGTCGGGTCGAAATGCACTACAACCCCTGGTGGGACGGGATGTTTGAAATGCAGATTGTCTGCTTGATTCTCGCTCCTTCCTTCATCGCGGCCGGAATCTATCTGACGCTCAAGCACATCATTTTGACTCTGGGACCGGAGCACTCCAGACTGAAACCGAATCTGTTTACCTGGATCTTCATCGGATGTGATATTGGCTCGATCCTTCTCCAGGCTGCGGGCGGTGGCATCGCAGCGTCTGCTGGGAAGACGCAACAAAACCTCTTGAATATTGGAGACGATGTCATGATCGCTGGTATTGCATTTCAGGTCGCGACCATGTCGGTATGCGGGCTGTTGGGGCTAGAGTTCTTCATCCGCGTTTGGAGAAAGGGGGGCGGGTGGAGCGATCTAGGGGAGAAAGCGGTTTATAATACTGGTAATGGACGAGTAAGGGATGTGAGGCTGGTGTGCGCTGCAGAGATCCTGGCCTATGTCACCATTTTGATCCGGTGTATCTATCGGTGGGTTATACCTTGAATAATTAGCTCCAATGTTCCTGACGAATTATATAGAATCCCGGAAATGGCAGGCGGCTGGGGCAGTCCGTTGATGCAGAAAGAGAATGAATTTCTTGTGCTGGATGGAATGTAAGTTGTCCCCAAGGGCCCTATCTCAAGCCATGATGGCTAACTCGATTCAACAGGATGGTTGCCATTTCCGTCCTCTGTCTCACGGCCTTCCATCCTGCATTATTCCTGTCTAGCATGAGGAAGGGCCGAAAGGGAGTTCATGCAGTTCCATGAATTGGTTCACTTGATTGCTCTAATTGTACCAATAATTTGATTTCAGGACTATACCCTAGATACATGACACGGACATAAGACAGCTGTCCTTATACAACCTTGTTATAACCATTCTGTTAACCCATTAGTACTTCACCTTCAATCACCTATATCTCAAGTCTACTACCGATACGCAGGCCCAAAAGGACACCCAATCCCAACACCACCCCCTCTCTGGGCATACTCCTTCAGCCCCTCCGCCTCAGCCAACACATCATCCCTCGACCGGTCCCTAAACTCCACCGGCCCCAACTCCTCCGGTAAATACCCCTCGCTCATGAACTCGGGACCAGGAGCCCTTTTGGCTATCCGACCGAGCACCGTCTTCAGAACAAATGACCACACAGTCTCAGCCACATACCACGGCTCGAACAGGTACACAGTGCGGACGACCCGTCCCGATTCATTCTCCCGTCCGACAGCATCGACGTCGCTCCATCTCGGCAGAAAAAGGTACCGGATCAATAATTTGCGGATGAAAAAGAACCATTCCATTCCCTTTTCCACGACAAACGGCGGATCCCTCAACCCAAGTACCGGTCGCACATGCGGTTCAATGAAGGTCGGGAAGACCTTATCCGTTATGATCTGCTGCATGAAACCCGGTAAAGGACGAACGAATAAATCCAACGTCGCCAGGACACATTTGCGATTACTCTCCGCGAAGCGCATATTCTTCTCCTCGAAATCGGCGGTCCAGGTTTTGAATTCCTCCAGTGTGCGCGGTATGTCGCGCATCCCCATTCTGTTCCCTATTTCCCGCCAATAGGTAAAGATAGCGACGCGTTCGATTTCAGTCAAGGGCCGCCACTCGTATTTATCGATCCACCGCTGCGGCTCCAGCACGAACAAGGCAAGCGTATGCACCATCTCCCCATTCGTAATCTTCGACCCATACTGTCTATGTATCCAGTTCATCTTCGCGAGAGCTTTCAGACCGCGTGGGGTGTCGATTCCCGAAACGAGAAACTCGGCGATGAACACTCCCGTATCCTCTGCGCGTTTGCCGACTGTTCGTTTCGACGTGAGTCGACGGGTGTGTACGAGGAGTTGGGTGCCTGATGCCACGCCGTAGGATTTTATCAGGGCGAATTGCGTGCCGAAGCCGTAGATGAAGGGAAATTCGCGCAAGAAGACGGTTTTTAGGATGGCATGGGCGGTTTTGTAGTCCATTGCATACGGGTTTTGTGTGTATTTGCCATATTTGCGCTGGATGGATTGGAGGTTTTTGTAGCGGAGGATACGGACGAGGGTTATGTAGGTGATTAGGAGGGTGGTTATAGTGATTGTGAATGCGGTGGATGTGAGGGTGAGGGTTGAGGGAAGTTGGTTGATTGTATCCATTTTGTAGCTACTCCGTACTCTTACTATACAATGAGGTGACACTACAGAACTGAACTTCTTTATATACCCTCGACCATAGGCAAGGAACAGCCCCTGCATCCCACATATCTGTGTGTCAATAGTTAGTAGTAAGGTAGCAACCAGTAACATAGAGCAATCGGATCAGCAAAAGCGCTCAGGCCTGCGGAATACCCGAGGGATTTATACAGGAGACTTAATTAGTTGATTAAGTACCTAGATACTAGTTAATATGCAAGCCCTAACAACGTGAAACAGCGAACACAATCCACAACCAATCACTATCATAGACAGAAATCCTGGTATTATTCCCGAGACACAGAAATGCAGTTGCAAGCATAAATCTGCAGGACGAGTCAGTGCCTATGGCCTAGTTCAGGGCTTGCTCGTTCCCCTCTTTAGCGGGTGACCGGTTCATCTGGATACTTGGTTTAGTTCGTCTGGAGTCTTGGATCTTGATATTAACAACGCAACTGACCGAGGCATGAATATCTATAAACCAATTAACTCAACTCCATGTAAAAGCAACATAAATCAAAAGATCAAACCAACCAACACCACAGAAACACCGACAATGCGTCGAGCATCTATCTATCCACTCGGTGGTGGATATGATAGACACTGGCAATAAGAAAGAGACCTGAGATGCTTAACAGGGATAAAAGAAATGAGAATGAGATTAATCCTCCCCCAAACTCTCCCTAACACACCGCCTAACCCTCCTCTTAAACTCCTTCGGATCCTCTCTCCACAACCTTGCCGCCTCGACATTAGCAGGACTCTCGTCGTTCGGGCTCGACAGCATGGAAATCACGGAGATCAGAATCGTCTCGGGCGTCTGCACGGGCGACCACCGCTCCGCCGCGGATTCGTACCCGTATTTGTCTTCTTCGGGGGGGTGGAGGATGGAGATGCACACTTCGCCGTTGGGGTAGACTATGCGCTCATTGTTAGTACGAGTACCGTTGCATGGTTTGTAGATACCCTAGGAGAGGAACGTACTATTCGGATGAAAGATAGGCGTTTCAAATTTCATCTTCGGCGGCATATGCGGGTACTCAATCGGAAAGGAAAGGCGGGCCTTGAAGAAGCCTCCTATACATCGTACGTACATAGTCAGTAACGGTTCGCATCCGCCTTAGGTGACATTGACACAGCAACGAGTTCACACTGGAACGAAGTGACAGTAACATGGATAAACGCACCCCCATACAGATTAACATCATCCGAAAGCATAAGCATAACCTCCCACTCAAACACATTATTATCGACCAACCCACAGCTGATCCCGGGTATGTCCTTGTCAGACTGGATCTGCTGGAGCTGTCTGGAGAGCATGCGGCCGGCGGGGGTGGTGGCCATTTTGTCACTCGTCCTCGGCGGTCTGGTTTCTCGTTCTCGTTCGTATTAAGTGTTCCTTTTCTTTCTTCTTTTTATCTTCTTTTCTTTATCCGCCAAGAATAATGTCGACTAAGAACAACTCCATCAAACCAAGAGGGAATGTCTATGCAGGTCGATATGGTGGGGAGAGAACCTTGTTAAATAGTGGTGGAGGCGGTGAGGGGCGACTTTGCCTCAAAGATCTCCGTAGGCGCCTACATACATACAAAGATTCCATAATGAAGACAACTCATCCGTAAACAAAAGAAATACCCTTAACTATATCATGCCTATACTACCGTAAATCCTAGAGAAATATCCAATGTCATACATGACCACAATTTGCCTCACTATCTCGTCCTACACATACCAGCTTGACAAGCAACTAAGCACTGCCGGGCTCAAGGGAACGAATAGCATCGGTTCCAGCGGCAAAAGCCAGGCCGGCAAAGGCTCCACCAAGGGCAACCACAAGAGCAGTCTTGATGGCAAACACCTTAGCAATGACCTTGAAGTAGCGCTTACGAGCAGGCCAGTCAAAGGTCTTCCACGCATCTGCGATGCTGACAGCTCCACTTCCGCCCAGAATGGCAGGGACAACCTTCCCGCCAAAGCTCCTGTCAAAGGGGACAATAGTCTCGCACTCCTCCGGTAGCGTCGATGCAGCGACACGAACAAAGACCGCATGAACCGGGACGGCCACAAGGATTGCCAAAAGCGCCGGGCCGGCCAGGATGGCGGAAAGCTTGCACATGTTGGACACGGAGGCTTCAGAAGTGTCAACACCTCCAAAGAGCTGGATCACAGCCATGGGGACGTAGAAAGCGGCGCGGATGGCGAGAGCCTGGAGAGCAACCACGGGAACGAACTTGCGCCATTCCTTGGGTCCTGGGATGCGCTGATAGAAGCGCTTGGGAGATGGTTCGGAGATCACAATGTGTACCCAGGCTACCTGCAGATTGGCCAGGAGGATGTCCACTCCCAGATGCACGAAAAGCCGTAGGAAGTAATGCTGAGAGCCGAAGAGGAACAGCCTCACCATGAGGGACCTGACAGCATGATACACGAGATACATGCTCAAGCCGCGGAACCTGGACCACGGGCCAGCACGAGCGCGGAGATGCTTGATGGTCGTGCGGAGTTTGCTGGTGATGGGCTTGGGCTGGTTCTCGACCGCTCCTGCTGCCTCGGAGTCTGCAGCATCAAGGGGCTTATTGAGATCATCATCGTTATCGATGCGGACGTAGACGTCAGGATGAGTGTCTTCGATAGCCGCCAGGGTCGATACGACATGTCCGTAGGTGTAGTCCACCTGAACGTTCGTTAGGCATGTATCAACATGAAACTATTCTAGATTCAACTTACAAAAATCAGAACCAGGATCAACGCAATAGCAACGACGGAGAACACAGCCAGAAGAGGAGCCGACCGGAGCTCGATCTTCTTGGGCTCGCCATCGGGGTCGTTGTTCAGCTGGGACGAGGCGAACTGGACGCCTCGACGGAGAAGGTGGAAAGACATGGCACAACACCAATCAAGAAACGAAACAAAATAGTGACCGAGACCGTTGGATGAAATAAGAAAGATAGGATGGTTAGATGGGATGGAAGAGGAGCAAGTTGATGGATGGATGAACCAGAAAGGACCAGATGAATGCCCGGGTTTATAATCAACCGTTTCCACTCCAGGCAACCGTCAGCATTAAGAGAAGCAGAGCCAGTGAGAACCCCAGCCCAGAATAGACTTTGATTGCACAAATGATTAACGGATAAGAGCCACTCTCCATTGGGCTGTTATTATTATAATTTATTACTGCCAGCCTGGAGTTAACCGATGCATCCGACCTCTGAGTCCCCGGATTGATTTATGATATCACTTATGTATGGAATGAGGGATATATAGAATGAAAACGCCTAAATTCATGAACAAACGGATATCTATCATCTTGCCATGCTCAGACAAATAGCGAAAAAAAAAAAAAAAAAAAAAAAGAAAAGAAAAAGAAAAAAAGAGACCCAGAGGAGAGAAACAGGAACGACAGACCGCAACCGCTCAACCCAAGCCATCTATTCAAAGAGCCGGTTCATAAATTTATGCGCCAGCTCGACCCCGAGGCTAGACAAGGTCAGTATAAACCAACTGCAACAACAAAGGGGGGAAAATGGAAACATACAAAGTGGCTGCATTAGCAGGAACAGCCCTAGCCAACGCAGGTGCGAAACCAGGGAAAAATGCCTTAAACCCTCCCGCAGCATACAAAGAGCGAATGGTCCCCCCGATCGTCGGTCGTCCCGCCGCACTCTGCAACCTGGACTTGACCGTGTCGATGGGGAAAACGGGAATCCACATGGCCACACCAGCGGCACCGCCCGCCGCCACAACAGCAGGCAGGGACAGTTGACCGGTGGCATTGCCGTGCTCGTCCGTGGGCGTCAGCGCGCGCTTGATATACTCGTACGCGGCGAAGTAAGCGGCCGACCCGGGCCCGTCACGGGCTAAAGTCATGGCGCTGCCGCGGAAGACGCTGCGGATGCCGCCCTCCTTGTACAACTGGCGCACAACGTCCAGACCGCCGGAGTATTTCGGTTTCTGGCCGGGCGGGGGGGGGTTTTGGCCCTGGATCTGGAGGAGGACTTTGACGCGTTCAAAGGGGGCCGTGATGAGGGTCATGGGGATGGCGGAGAAGAAACCGGCGGCGGAGATCTGGGCGATGGAGAATTGGGGGGTGCCGTTCTCAACGCGGACAGTTGATGTTGTGCTGACGATGGTTTTACCCAGATCATAGCCCTGATGATTGTTACCAAAGCATTCGTAATTGGCAAAGACGCGCGCGACCTACCCAGAAGCTGACAGCGACTGTCCAAGTCAGTACATGGAATACAGCTGAAGACCAAAAAAGAGCAGAACTCACACATAGGCGTAACTCCTACCAGAGGAGCAGAAACGCCGGCATACAAACCCTAAACAAGTCAGCAACACCATATCCACTTAAGCACTACCACCTCCAAACAAGGAGACAAACCCTCGCCAACCCCTCCCTCGCAATCGTCTTCTTCACACAGTCTATAGCACCCGAATAGATACCCTTCTCAGCCGTCTGCAATCGCACCTTGACGAGATCAAAGGGATGCCCGACCACAACGGCGCAGACACCACCTACCCCACCAGCGATGAGGGAGCGGATCTGCGCGACGGTCTGGTTAACGGGCTTGGAGGTCTCTGTAGGAGTTTTGATAACATCCTCGGGAAGAACCTGCGGGGCAGGGGTAGTAGGGGCAGGGACAGGAGCCGGGGAAGTCGTCGCGGTTGTTGACATGGTTCTGTTTTCTGTGTATAGATATTCAGTAGGGTTGAATTGGAGAGACAGAAATAAAGGAATGATGGAACCAACAGCGGAAAAGAGAAGAAAATAATAAAACCCAAGCAAGAAGGAAAGGAATCAACCCATCTATAACCGACAACACACTAGTTAAAAATCAAATCGAGGGCAAGGCGAAGGGGGGGGAAAAGAACAGCACAAGAGCCGAAGCCGAACAACGCAAGCCGATGGGGAAGTCGAATGGTGGGTTTTGCTAGGATCCCCGGACGCTTTCTACCTCGGCTCGGAGGAGGCGCGCCCGTTCCGTGTATTAACTATTACTACTCCGTGTGTAGTAGACGTGGGAGCTTCACTGGCGACAATAACACAGGCAAGGAGAGAGATTCATGCAAAGGGTGATATTGAATTAATATAATCAACAGATAACTATAATACATTATCTACAGGAAAAAATCTGCTTGATATAAACAACTCGGTCCATCGGAATCTTCTGTCCACGTGACCATCCCCGGAAAACGAAATGCATGCACTCCGCACCGGCTGCATTTCAGGGATCCGGCAAAGCGAGTCTGGAGAAATGGGCGAGCGGATGCTGCGGTAGCGATTTAGGCGACTACATCCATGGTAGACTCTTGAGACATAGGCCCTCATTCTGGTTACGGTAGCTGTCAATGTCAACCGCAACACTTCTTGGCCGATGCAATCAGTAGCTAAATCACATGTTCCGTGGTCCCGGTCCGACCTGAAGAATTGTCCACGCGTTCGTAGATAGGCAAGAATCATTTACTTTGTATTTATGCCTGTGACAAGAGCTCGGAGCAACATTGCTTTAATCAATTGCAATAAATTAATCATGAGATATCTATACAAGAGTGCAGTACAGCTTCGCGCGGCAGTACAGCCTCCCAATCGATCAATACAATGACGCCGTATCGTTAATTATCCATATGAAGGTTCATACTCATACATACAACTGGACCACATCCAGTCTCCTTCCAAGCCGCACAGACATGTCGATGTCTGTTCCCCTCATTACAGCATGAGAGCGGCAAGTCCGATGACACCAGCGCCAATAGCGCCGCCAGCAAGAGTAGCAGCAGGGTATGCGGCGTCGTGAGAGGAAGTCGAGGTTGCGGCGCCAGAACCGGCGTCCGTGGCAGTAGAGCTGGATTCTCCTGATCCAGAGCCAGAGTCAGAGCCAGAGGTTGTGCTAGCGCCGGAGCCGGAGCCAGATCCTGCTCCCGTCGAGGTCGCATCGGAACCAGAGCCAGAGGTGCCAGAGGTAACGAAGGTGGTAGCGCCAGTACCAATAGTGGTCTACAGCGATATAAATCAGCAAGGAATTCCAAACAGTTGAGAATGCAGTGAATGCTTACCGCTCCTGCGCCAGCGCCAGCGCCCGTGCTGGTGCTGGTGCTGCCACTGCCAGATGCAGATCCAGTGCCAGATGCAGATCCAGTGCCAGATGCAGATCCAGTGCCAGATGCAGATCCAGTGCCAGTTGCAGAGGCAGCGCCAGAATCCGTGCCAGTGGCACCAGTACCGGTCAGGGTAGTGAGTCCAGTGCCGGTAGCGGTACCAGATCCAGAGCCAGCATCGGTGCCGGTAGCCGTGGCACTGACAGAAGCGACGGTAGTATCAGCGCCGGTGCCTGTAGCGGTGGCCGTAGCAGAGCCCCCAGCAGCTATCATATTATCAGCAAACCCGTATCTACCGGACAACTCAGGATACCAGCCAAGGGTACTTACGGAAAGTAGTAGGGCAACCCTGGAGGGCACTGGCGACAGCCTGAGCAGCGTCCTCGCCAGGACAGGCCTCGTTGGTGCAGTCACGGATTCCGTACTGGTAGTCGGGCTTCGTGCAAAGACAGGCGTGGTCACCAGGGTTGCAACCCAACTCGGAGGCCTTGTTGTTCATGTTGTTGGTGCACATTTGCTATGGTGTGCATTAGCATATTGATAGGAGATAGAGCAAAAACCAGACCCGGAACATACAGCACAGGTACCCGCATTATCGGCATTGATAGCAGAGGCAGGCAGAACGGCAGCAGCCGCCAAGACGATGAAAGAAAGAGCCTTGACCATTGTGAATATAAGTTATTTGTTCCGCTGCAGGATAGAAAAAAGAGAAAAGGGAAACAAAGGAAGCGAGTCAATTAAACACTAGAGGGTATCAAGATAGCTAACACTGAAGACAGAAAAGAAAGCAGGAAACCGACGGGGGAGAAGAGCGCATTTAAAATATGTCCAGGCTGAAGACATTATTATCAACATCGGGATCCATCTTCAATGAGAATGGCCATCGAACCGTAGTCATGTTGTACTAAGCGTCACCATGGACCTTCAAACCCCACCGGGAACAAGCCACATCTAGGAAAAATGAGCTGAAGCGTGCACGGATCGAGCGAATGAGACTCGGTGGAGAAATGAGAAAGAAGATCGGCTAGGATCCATGATTGCGTTGCTCCAATGGTTGCACGGCGGGATTCACGTAGGTATCGGGCAGGCATCGGGGATGTCGGTGCTGAGGGCGATATCAGCATTGAGTAAGTCCTTAGATGCCAATGGCGCAGTCCACGTCGTATCTACTCGAAGAATGATTTGAAATTTTTCAAATTCTCCCCCTTCATCTCTCGAGATAGTGTTCGTGGGAGAGAGATGAGATCAATCTGTGTTGTGGCGCGGTGATCTTGGGCAGATCTGGCCCGATGCAGCATATGGACGATCGCGCTAGCCGGAGTTATCTCCCGCTTTAGTAATAGCTTTCCACCGCCAGTGTGGCTTCCGGCGGTACTGGCCAATGGAAAATTGGTTACTGCGCCACTGTCGGTATGAATTTCCCACACAACGCCACACATGAAGCCAATGTGGCTGTGATTATTTGGAATTGTAGCTTAGTCATTGATTATTGTGGCTGGTGCGCACCGATACGAAGGAAGGAGCTCCACCGCCCCAGCAACTATCGCCATCTAGCTGCTAATAGTCCACCCTCAAGGTTCAGCGCCAGGATCTGATGGTGATTGTTGTCTTCGCTCACGGCACCTCTAGCCGATGTCCCTCCTGTCGAGCTTGTCTTCAATCAATCTGCTGAAACAGCACCGTAGCACCGTGTCACGTCCATCAGGGAGCAATCTCCGGACGAATTAGAAGCATTCTGATCATTACGCGGAAATAGGAGAGGAAAGTTCATGGAGAAACACCCTGTGAGGGATTGCTGATAGCTTGATAGTAGTATCCGTACCTGACCGCAAAGCTTATTCCAAACCTTCGTGATATTGTGAGCCGTGGTTGTAGGACGGCTGACTCGGACTACGACCGTGATGCTGGAGGAGCCCTGCACATTCTACAGGTACCAGATAGGAACGGAGAGGACTAGGCCGGGGCTGATGTATTCCTGGGTCTCTCGAGTTTCCAATTGATCATGCAAACTCGGAATAATGCCGCCGGTGGAAAAACTGCAGATACCCACTTGTTCGTTGCCGTTGGCATATGCACGTTGTATTTTCCATTAACCGACCCCTACGGTAACCTTCGGGGTCGCGCGTATTGCGCGACCCTGACAACCACCCGAGCACCCCAGCCACCCGAGCACCGATTTTAGAACTTCGTAGAATTCCAACCCATCAACTTTATCATATAATTCAACCACCACCACCATGCCCAAATTCAATAAAAATTATGAAGATCGAATGCTCAAAGCTATTGACGCGTTAAGCACACAAAATCCCCCAAATATCGCCAAAACTGCACGTGAATATGGAGTTAAACGGCAAACCCTCTCCGCAAGGTGGAAGGGACGGTCCAATCTATGTGAACGACCACCAACCAACACCAGATTATCAGAAGAGCAAGAAAAGGCTCTGTGTCACTATGTTGATACTCTAGAGCAATTAAATATAAAGCCACTTGCACAAATGATCCAATCAAGTGCCAATTCTATTCTGAGATCAACCCATACCAGCCTAGACACCCCTCCACCTACTGTCAGCGAGAAATGGTTAAACTGATGGCTAGGAAGGCATCCTGAATATAAAAGACGTCGCTCTAGAGCTATAGAGCTTGACCACAAGCGTGCAGAGGATCATGAGGTTATTCAGGAGTGGTTTCAGAAGCTCCATCAGACCATCCAGAACCATGGGATATTAAAGGAGGATATCTACAATTTTGATGAGACTGGCTTCAATATCGGTGTTGGTCGTGATCAATGGATTATTACCAGGGACTTCAATATTAATAAGCCTCATATTGGGATGAATTCAAACCGTGAATATGTTACTGTGGTTGAAGCAGTCAATGCAGATGGCTGGACCTGCCCACCACTTATTCTCATGAGTGGTAGCTGTATACTTACAAATTGGTTTGAAGCTGCTGATATTCAACAAGACTATTCAATTGGAGTATCAGAAAATGGCTATATGACTGATACAATTGCCTTCCAATGGATTCAGTCATTCTATCGGCATACTAAAAGATATAGGAAGGGTCAATATACCCTTCTTATATGTGATGGATACGGCTCCCATCTAACACATGAATTTGTTGAATTCTGTGAGAAGACCAATATCATCACCTTCTTCTTACCTCCACATACAAGTCATTTCTTGCAGCCATTGGATGTTGGTGTTTTTCATGCATATAAGCACTGGCATTCAGAAGCAGTTGCAGATGCAACCTACTCAGGATGCAGTAAATTTACTAAGGTTGAATTCCTTCATGCCTTAGGAGCAATTCGCAAGAAGACATTCAAAAAGCGTACTATTCGGCATGGATTCCAAAAGACTGGCATCATACCATTCAATCCATCAATTGTACTCAATCAAATGCCTCAACCACATCGTCCATCCTCTTCATCCACCAATACCAATGATGTTGATTCCTGGGGCAGTACGCCAAAAAAAAGCTGAACGATTTAGGGAGATTGGTGATAGGATATGGGAGATTCATGATATCAACAAGGATCAATTTAATGAGGGCCTAGAGCTGCTTATTCGTGGTGGTAGTATGCTAGCATCATATTCAGCTGCTATCGAAGCTGAGCTTGACCGGTATATTAAAGCTGCTAGGGACCGCGCAGCTCGATCACAGGCCTCTAGGCGCAGGATTCGCAAGGGAGGCATAGTATCAAGCTCAGAGCTTGAAGCTATAAATCGAAATACTGCGAATATTAATGAGCAGGCTGAAATAAAGAGGTGGAGGACTAAGTATAAGCGTTGCCTACCAGAGCTGCTGGATGTGTGCATTCGACGAGGAATTATTATACGAAGGCAACGACATGCTAGGGCCCAAGCTGAAGAGTAGAGCTTTAGTTTAAATATATTTTGAAGTTAAATACTATAGAATTCGTTGAGATATTGAAGCTAGAAGGGGGGTCTAAAATTGGTGCTCGGGTGGCTGGGGTGCTCGGGTGGTTGTCAGGGTCGCGCAATACGCGCGACCCCGAAGGTTACCGTAGGGGTCGGTTAGATATATTCATTGGTCGGAGACATAAACATGAGTCAGCCTGCCGCTTCTGGAATCTGATTATACACTCCACTGCTGATGGCTCTTATATAACATTTCCCCTGCATGTCGCCCTTCTAACGTCTATTCCTTGTTGTCGTCTCTTGGACTTGACGTTGATTGGCCCGGGGGATCTCCCAGAGACCCTTGACATCGTCCTTCCTCAGTGGCAGCGATGGATTTCGAACTCAACTCGAAATTTGACAGTGCGGACGCGCCCGATGTCTCATTCTCCATTGCATGACGCGTACGGCGAGAGACGGTAGTCCGTCCGACGACGGCGAGGAGAAAGCCAGCCATCACGCCCATCACTCCCAGAACGGACGGCTCCAAGCCCGGTCCCATAAGATCCAAGAGTCTCTGTCGTTGTATCCAACCGTCATGGGGATGCGTCAACCGGTACCGTTTCGGTGGTTCCTCTGGGGGAATGTAAAGGTGGTGATCCGATGAATATGCCGGGTTATGCAACGACGACGATTTCTCTTCACCCAAACCCTGGCGACGGTGACAATGTCCGCCGCGGCGATCCGAATCGGAGGAGCATTCAGCGGACTCGGCTCCGGGTTTGGAGTTGCCTTGGGTCCGCCAATATTTCACCTCCCAGGAATAGTTACCTCGGCTCTCCTCTTCATCCTGGCTGGAGATGGGCCGAACGGTGATCTTAGAGAGGATCAACCCTTCCTCGGGATCCCTATCCAGATCAATTCTCATGAAATTAGGACTGGCCCGAGAAGAATCCTCGTCAAAAAACTCCACGTGCACGATCAATCTATCGTTCCTGGGCCCCACATCACCATCGCCAACCGCAGCTGGGCGGACATCAAGTCCGTAGGTGAGAAGGACACGCTCCTCCCTGTCATCGGTGGTCCATCTCCGGAGAGCTTGCAGCTGCATCGGAGAGGACGGCGGGAAAATTCGGTCATCATTGGCAAACAACGAATCATTACTGACGGAGAAATGAAAAGTCTGCCACGTCATTGTTAGTCAAGCCATGGGTAAACCCCACAGGTGGCTGAACGCACCAGATAAGTCGAGCCACAACCCGAATCTCCGTGCGTGCAGTGCCTCTTGGAAGGCACATTGGCTGTGAAACTGTTATGGGTGCCCGGGAGATGGACTTCGTGCGATTTGGCGACGGGAGTAGGAGCGGCGACGGGGTCTCCTGGGGCGGTTGCAGCGCTGCTGGCAGAAATGAAGACAAGACCCGCGACCAACAGGCGATGAAGAAACATGATGGTAAAGAGAGCCCTAGGTAGATGAGCAGTACGGCCGCGTTGCACAATTCACTCCAGGCGCGATCTGTGCAGGCAGTCTGAAACAAGGACAGGAGTAAAATAAACTTAAGCTTCGAATGTGCCGAAGATGGTAGGAGCCAGGCTCGTCATGACAGTGAATACCAGAGATGAAAATAGAAAGATGGTGACTACAGGGAAAGAATGTACAACCAGAGACGTAGACAAAAGAGGGAGGGAGTAAAGGAGAAAGAAAGAGACGTAGGGATCGAAGAGACAAGCAAGTGACGTTCCAAGGAATAGTCAATAATCAATAGCTTGAATAGTCGTCCACCAGCAACGGCGGAGAACAGTCAGCACTAAACGGCGCAGGAACTGCCATTGGCCGTGTGGCACAAGTTGGAGATCATAATACGCCGGTTAAAATATATGGATCATATTACAATTTACTAGAGGAGCGTTCGCGGAAGGATTGATCTACCACGCAAGACACTCGCGCTTCACCCGCGAATTAGAAGGCTGTCAAAGGCCTCAGGGGTGGATCAAATCCCGCCTTGCCCGAATATGAAGGCCTGCCGGGTTATGACATTAAAGACATAATACACGGCTTCCATGGTTCAACACGAACTCTTCAGAGCCATGTGCCTTGCGGCTGAGGGTTGATTGACTGCGTCTATAGTGGTAGTTTAAATGAACGCGAGAAATAAGAAGATGAACAGTCATCCAGCGCGTTGAGTCGGAAAATGGACAAATTAGGCCTCCAGCCCAAGCGGCGCAGGTGGGCTCACGCCTGTCTTAGGTCTAACTAATCTGCGAAATTAAGCAGTCCACTAGCACTTGCTGTTGGCTGTCTGCCATCCATGCGGCATTATATTGCACCAATGTCATCACTTCTGACCCTGTACAAAGCTTAGTCGGCCTTTCCTTGCGCTGATTGGTGGCAGCTTGCGGTCTTTGACTTCCGAGCAGGTGGCTAGTCAGGTGACAGGCTATTCCAAGTCGGGGTTGTACACACCTTGTTAGGGCTAGGGTTCCTACATTCCGTGACCTATCTACTCTCTATTAGTTTCTTCTTCCAAGTTGCGAGCAGGTTGCTGCATCCTGGATCCTGTCTCCTGTCCTTGTCTCTCAAGTATCCCTTAACACCCCTTATCATCCCTCCATTCTCTACTTGTCCTACGTCGCCCTCCCCTTCATTCCACCAGCTTCCCGCCTTGGCCCTTTGTACTACCTGACTCCGAAGCATGGATGCGCTGATGCCCCTTTCCTTTCGCCCGCTGGCCTATTTGCCATTGCCTCCCCTTCTTGTCTCTTTATCTCATTCTCACTTTGCAACGCGAATCTGATCTCAGGGGCAAACACCTTACTGTTGAATTGATAGCTGCATGTTGCACCCGTGCCCGTTCTTCATTGGCAGTGTATGACATTCGAAACCCGTGCCATGGCAATCCAATTTTATATAGGTTTGTGCTTAGCAGGGAGAGAAGAAAAAAGGAAGCATCTAGGCGAGAACGTGAGATGGCCTCTTGTGCTACACCAGAGCAGCATTCCCAACGACGTTAGGAGTATAAATTCACGCTGGAACACCATGGAATGGGACGAACTGCTTCAGTCCAGCCAACTATCCAGCAGCGGTCTTTCCTTCCGGCATTCTATTCCTTTGTGCTGGTCACTCTTTTGAACTGTCCTTCGTTTCTTGTTCTTATCCCAAGTGTCCGCAGGTCGCAGAGCTTCCTGCGGCCATTGCAATATGGTTTCTCTCATTAAGGACTTGCTTCTTCTCTCTGCGGCTATCGTTCCTTCTATCGTTTCCGCTGCAGGACTCAGAGAGTCCTCCAATATAATTCCTGGTGCTTATATTGTAGAGTTCGCTGATGACTTCGCTGATGGCTTGACCAATGATGTATGGCCCGCTTTTTATTTGCTACTACCTCCCTGTTCTCATCGTAAACCATCCGAATCATTCTGACCGTTCTAGCATTTGGACACCTTTTTCACAGATCTGTCCCTGAAAAACATCCCTGTCACGCCTCGAATGAATCTGTCTCACTCTTTTTTCAATGGGGCTTCTTTCCATTTAGGTAGTATGCATGATGAGAAACGCACCCTGCGGCAGATCACTTCTTTGGACTCGGTCAAAAAGATCTATCCTATGCGCAGACACTCGCTTTCCCATGAAGTGCATTCCACAGGCATTGGCATGTCTCCTGTTGAAGCCCGGCTGCAGAAACGAGCGAAATGGGATACCTTCTCCACCCATGCCATGACTGGGGTAGACAAGGTCCGCGGAGATGGCTACACGGGTAAGGGCATCAGCATTGCCATTATCGATAGCGGGGTTGACTACACTCATCCAGCTCTTGGTGGTTGTTATGGTCCTGGTTGCAAGGTGTCTTATGGGTATGACCTTGTTGGAGACGACTTCACCGGCTATAATCTCCCCATTCCACACCCCGATCCTTTTGACAACTGTGTCGGCCATGGAACCCACGTCGCCGGTATCATTGCCGCTGAACCCAATGAATATGGCTTTACCGGGGTTGCTCCCAACGTGACTCTGGGCATGTTTCGTGCACTTGGTTGCGCAGGCTTCACAACAGACGATGTTCTTATTCAAGCTTTTACCCTGGCATATGATTATGGTGCTGACTTGATCACTGCATCGCTTGGTGGCGGCAGCGGAGAATACGAAAGTTCGATCCCCCCCCATTCTGTCATCTCCTCAGTTCTTCAAAGTCCTATTCTTACACTTTCACAGATCCGTGGGTTGTCGTGATGTCAAGGATTGTCGAAGCTGGAGTGCCGTGCACACTTGCTGCCGGCAATGATGGGGAGTTTGGCCCGTTTTGTACATCTGGGGGCGCAGACGGGAAGGGGGTTACTGCTATCGCTTCAGTTGACAATGATGAGATCCCCATGCTGCTTATTCCCGGGAACTACACGGTAGGCAACATTGTCAACTCATACGGATGGACGCCGGGGCTACCATCCAACATCAGCAGTGGCACGTATCGGTTGTATGCCCTTAGCCACAATATCACTTCTACCGAAGATGGCTGTCATTTCTCCGAAGACATTCCCGACCTGTCGAGATACATTGTCCTCATCCGACTGGGGGGTTGCGGGGCCTGGAGAAAAGCCGCCATCGCCGCTTCCTATGGTGCCAAACATGTCTTGTTTTACTACGACATACCCGGTACCAGGACCATTGACCTGGGTACTGATCTGGTGGACTCCGTCGGCTTTGTGCCCGAAGAGCAAGCAAAGATATGGGTTGCGCTCCTGTCTGCCGGTGAATACGTTTATCTGGACGTGGAAGACCCTGAACACGCCACAATGAAATTGGACAGCCATGCGAATTCCATCACTGGTAGCTATCCCAGCATTTTCACCAGCTGGGGTCCCACGACCGACGGCCGGCTCAAGCCGCAAGTCGCTGCTCCTGGCGGGTACATCCTGTCCACCTTTCCTCTTAACATGGGAGGGTATGCAATTCTCTCGGGCACATCCATGTCAACTCCCTTCGCCGCTGGGTCAATTGCGCTCATGATGCAGAAATTCGGAAAGCTCAGCCCAGCGACCATTGAGAGCCTACTATCCTCAACGGCCAACCCAACTGCTTTTAACGATGGGAAGCGTACCTATCCGTTCCTGGCGCCTGTTGCACAGCAGGGTGGAGGACTTATCGACGTGTACAAAGCAATCAATTCAAATACCGTGTTGAATGTATCTGGTATTTCCTTCAATGACACTGAGAACTTGCGCTCAGTGAGCTTCAGTATTACGAACCAAGGCGACGAAGCTGTGGCTTACAGGCTAGGATATGTGCCCAGTCTCACCACTTACGCTCTCCCGGCTAACGATTCCTCGGGCACGTATGATTTCTCTGTTGGCCACCCGCTAGACTTGGTTCCGGAGACTGCAAGATTGTCGTTCAGCACGAGAACCGTCACCATCGAGGCTGGCCAGTCCGCAACCATTGATGTCACGGCAACCTTACCATCCGATTTGACCACCTCTCGCATCCCCGTGTACGGAGGATACATCACACTGAACGCAACTAACGGGGACTCCCTGTCCCTGCCGTATCTGGGAGTCGCCGCATCCCTCCGCGGTTTACGCGTCCTAAACACCCGTGGCAGGTCCGTATATCTCAGCTCGAGCACTAGCAACAACCTTGATCCCAATGTTAATGGGCCTTACAATGCGGTCAAGTCGGGAGCCAGTTTCACGCTCTCTTATCCGTCCCGCTTGGGAAAGAATGGTCCTTCGATGCGGGCAAACACCACCTTTCCCACTCTTGTGGCCGAGTTACCTATCGGATCGCCTCTTGTTCGAGTGGACATCCAACCCGTCGAATCGAGACTTTCGAATGCAACTACCACAGTGTTGGGCCAGCGGATCCTGGGCTCCATCCCAGGTTTCCCGATGCAGCACGTCCCTCGGGACACCCTAATTGCTAGCTGGGACGGGCAGTTAAGTGACGGGTCGTACGCGCCTGCTGGGAAGTACCGGTTCCTGGTGAGCGCGCTGAAGATCTTCGGCGACCCGAAGAAGAAGGAGGATTACGAACAGGTGAAGACGGTGACTTTTGGGATCAAGTATTTTTAGTGGGATTGACTGGTATTCCGGATTAACCCCTTGAGACTGTTTATTCTTGCCCGTCAGTATGTTCAGCAGACAAAGATTGCCATCAATGAATACAGTTGTTAATTTCATTCCCAGTGTAGATATCACGTGAAATAAAATTCGATGATCAGCGTGAGCATGCAGGGATAATTATGAGCTGCATCAACAGGAACCAGCAGAATCATACTGACAATTTGCTGTGCGCATTCCTGCATACAAAACGGTCAATGGCAAAGGCCGTTAGAGCTGGACCCGGCGACGTATGAATGTGGAAATTAAGATACCACTCCCATTGTTTACATCTATAATTGGATTTCTATTGATTGATCTACCTGGTTAATTCAAAATACCAGTTCCCAACGGCACCTCCATGCACCCTAATTCCCCAAGATTGCAGTACCTCGTTGGCAAGTTCAGGAGACCGTACACCTTTATCACTTCCGGCAGGTTCGTTGCTGTCCTGTCTGTTTATTGCAGGATCGTTGAATTAAATACTGAACTGGGGGTATGCATAATAGGAATCCAGCTCCCAGGAGACCTTATCCTGGTCCAGGAATCATTATTCCCTGTAAGCGAGGAGGGAGATGAGTGTTCCCGGTATGCTCGTGTTTCTCTTTGGTTTCGGACTGGATCCTGAGACAGGGCTGAGTATTGGATCTAAACGGTAGAATTAACAAGCTTACCAATCTCTTTATGGTGCATGGGGAATGCTTGAGCATGGCGTCTTGGAGGAAGTATCCGCGGGCTACATAGAGTGAATATGCTAAATAGCTAGATGCTGGGTTCATATAGATTTGGACTTAAGAATATCATTGATGCAGTAAGGTTTTGCTATCTCCATGTATGCTGTGGCCCTTCCCTTCCTCTGTGCTATTACCTCAGTAGAACTTCAATCCACAATTTCAACTATTCAAATATCAAGCAGGATATCAATGCATTACTGCGAAACCACCTGGCAAAGAATAGGATCAACAACGCTCGAACAATGAGTCACGTGATCTCCACATCTTCCCATCCAGTTCTGCAGATGAAGCTACCTATTCAACAACCCAAGCACCACCAATCCACCATGAACTCCCTCTTCCAGTCCTCCCTTTCCACCCTTGAACAGAAGCTAAGCACTCTACTCAACAGCCTCACGACCTCTCCCACCGCGGCGGGTGCCCCAGCAGCCGCAATCGCTCTCCTCGAGGCCGACGACACCATCACCTACGCCATCACAACCCTCCGACAACACCAGGAGAATTATGCGAGGATCCTACAGCTTCGCGCGGAGGCAGAGAAACTAGAGCAGAGAGTCAAGGGGGTCGTGCAGGATATTGAGGCGTATGACAAAGAGATCAGGACTGCATGCGGAGACGACGGTGAGAGCAATACGGACAGTGACACCGATGCTGATAGCGATATCGAGGGACGTAGTCCTGGATCTGGTGAGAATGTCCGAAAAACAATCAAAGAAGTTGATTATAAACTACTGCTCGATTTTGCGCGTCGGATAAGCAAATACAATCATGAAGCTGTTGCTGATCTCGCGGGTGCCGGTGCTGGGGAATCTGGACCTGGGACTGAGTCGTCTAAGAGATTGCAAAAACAGGCGCAGCAGGATACCATAATGACGGGGACAACAGACCACGTTGTAACTCCCGGCGCGGCTGGGACAGAACCGGTGTCGTCCGTGACGCGAGACGCGACGAAATGGTTAGATGAATCTGCGGACCAGACGCGCCAGGTCTACATGCTGCCGTACCCGATGGAAGAACGGATCCGAATGGGTCTAATGGGACAGATTCAGCTCGCTGCCGCGGAGGGACGTTTCGAACCCGACAAGGAAGTGGAGAGATTGATACGTGAGGCTGAGGGTCTTGGGATCGCTGATGAGCATGTTGCGGCACCGGCACCGGCACTGCAGCCATCTATAGAGAGTGATACGATCCGTCGAGCGGATGAGGCTGCGGCTGCAGCTGTCCATGTTGGATCTACCGTTACTTCGGGACATGTTGGAGGAGGAGGAGCGGCCCCGGCACCTAAACCGAGTGTTACGCTTGATTTGGACCTTTATGATCCCGAAAATGATGATATATGATTCTATGAAATGATGATTACGAGATATGAGGCTTCGACGTCTCATAACGATAAGCATAGCGTTCTGCTTATCTGTCTTTCAAAATGGCAAAAGATGAGAGGGAAAATATAGACAATGCAACAAGAGATGGTTGGATTCCGGATACTCAGGATATCCTGCAACCCGGCATAAAGTAAAGGTTGTGCGTCGCTTTCATTTGCTTCGATATTGTGCTCCATCTCTTCCATGCCTCCATAAGACTATGCTTCATAATATCTCGTCTGCCTGCTAAACCATTACTCCTTCCACAGCATGGAAATAGTCCCCTTTGAGTTCTCCGTTCTTGGACAATATTCTCTCCCGGTTCTTCCGCTCAGCTGGTGAAAATTGAGGCAAATATGCCGAGAAAACGTTATGAGAGGAAACTGACTGCTGTCCGTTTTGATTCTGTCACAAAACACTGCAATCTCCTGTCACCAGCAAAACTCTCATAACCAGTTATTTTGTTTTCTGAAATGGCCTGCTCTAGCCGACGCTGTCCTCCTTAACATGACGCAACCTGCATGGGACAATGTCTCCCGCAAAGCTTACTCCCCGGACGTCCTCGCTGACGGGGGATAGAAAATATGGGGATAGCGTGGGTGCATCCCTGTGGCACCCATTAGACAGAAAAAGGGCAATAATTTCCAGGAATTAAGATCCGGTCTTGTTCCAAACCGTTGCATTTCCCGGAGAACCACGGCTACCTCTCAGCAGGCGCAGAACGTGAGCCATGTCTCGACACCCCCGGCATTCAATCGCAGCCTATCGCCCTTCTACTTCATCCCCGTCATGGAGGCAAAGCGTGAAGAGTTCTGTCTGTCGCTGGTCGGGCTCATGTCCCAGATAAGTGTCACTTATGCCGACGGTATGGGTGCGTGACGTCAACCCAAACGGACGGCAGCAAAAGATGATCTTTTTGGTTTTACTATGTTTATATTCTTCTGTAGAGCCGCATCTCTGGGGAAGAGGCTATCGATAATACTCCTTTTTTGACTCTTTTTTTTTGGGTGCTGCTCGATCAACCCCACGCTCTTATACACCACTTGACCTATCTATTTACTCAACTCGGATCGTCCCTATGTCCGATATTCACCCCGCCCTTAGGGACACTAATGCACCCGATGGCGCTGTTGCTGACGGGACTGACGGGGTTGGCGGGATCGACGAGCGTGATCTGGAGAAGCAGAAAGAAGCTCCTCGTCGGGGTACACACACATCCAGTGCACACGGGGAGAGTACCCATCACGAAAAGATAAAAAAGGACGAGGAAAATGGCGAAGAGGAGAAGGTCGAACTGACAGAACAGGAATGCTACGACAAGCTCGGCTACTCGTGGCCGACGTGGAAGAAATGGTCCATTCTCACTGTCATTTTCATAGTCCAGGTGTCCATGAATTTCAATGCGAGCTTCTACGCCAATGATGTGGGCCTGTTATCTAAACATTTCCACATCTCGAAACAGGCTGCCCGCGTGGGACAAATGGATTTTCTCATGGCCTATGGTATTGGTAGCGAGTTCTGGGCTCCCTGGAGTGAAGAATATGGGCGCTGGCCTATTATGCAGCTCAGCTTGACCCTGGTCAATATCTGGCAGTTGCCTTGTGCTCTTGCGCCCAACTTCGGGTCTATTGTTGTCTGTCGTATCCTGGGCGGACTGTCGTCTGCTGGTGGCTCAGTGACGCTTGGTATGGTGGCGGATATGTGGGAGCCAGATGAACAGCAATACGCTGTAGCATTCATTGTCCTGTCGTCCGTTGCTGGTTCAGTCATTGCGCCTATCATTGGAGGGTTCGTTGAGAAGTTTCTCGATTGGCACTGGAACTTCTGGCTGCAACTTATCCTGGGGGGATTTGTGCAGGCGGTTCATTTCTTCGTCCCGGAGACCCGGTGCAGTATCCTGGTAACCAAGGAGGCGAGAAGGCGTCGTAAGAACGGGGAGAACGTCTGGAGTGGTGACGAGCTCAAAGGCAAACGCATCAATGTCAAGCACTGGGTCATGATCTGGATACGTCCGTTCATCATGTTCGTCCGCGAGCCGATTGTGCTCTGTCTTTCGCTTCTCAGCGGGTTCAGCGATGCTCTTATTTTCACCTTTCTGCAATCCTACGAACCTGTGTTCAAACAGTGGGGATTCACTACTATTACTATCGGATTGGCTTTTATTCCGTGAGTTTAACCGTTGCCATATCTGTTGACTGGAGTAATCTTTCACTGACTTTTCCGAAGGATCTTGGTTGGATACCTCCTTGCATATATCTCTTTCATCCCTTGGTTCCATCGACACTGTCGAGTGAGAGAAAGGGATCCCCAAGCTCTTCAGCCAGAAGCTCGTTTATACTGGCTTCTATACAGTAAGTGCTTGTCACTCACTTTATTTTTGTCTCTGCTTAACTCCACTAACCCCGTCCAGCCGCACCCCTAGAAACGATCGGTTTATTCGGCTTCTCCTGGACTAGTTTCGGCCCTCCGCGCGTACACTGGATCGCCCCGATGATCTTCTCCAGTCTAATTGCGTGGGCTAATGTGAGATATCCCCTCCTTTTCCTGCCATCATGCAATGCTTTTCTAACAAAAATCCTTCTTCATTTCAGTATGCTATCTACATGGCCACGATCGATTATATGGTAGCTAGTTACGGTCCCTACGCCGCATCAGCTACAGGTGGGAACGCCCTAGCCCGAGACTTCCTGGCTGGTATAGCGGCCATGTATTCTACACCGAGTAAGTTATTCGAAGAGAATATTCCATATCTGTAAATAATCTGCTAATTAAATTTGGAAATAAGTGTACGAACACATGGGCAATCTCGAATGGCCCTCAACTCTCCTCGCCTTTCTAGCCATCATCTTTACAATCCCCATCTACATCTTCTACTGGAAGGGCCCTAAAATCCGACAGAAATCCCGTTTCGCGCAGACCCTCGCTTCGGACAGAAAGGAATCGGGAGCACGAGTCTCCTCGTGCGGATCTGGCGAACCAGGTCCTGAGGAGTCGTATCTCCATCATTGCTCGAGCGGCCATTCTTCCGGACGATCTTCGAGGTCGAGACCGAGATCTTGCAGGCCGCCGCCTGAAGATTTAACTGGAACTGAATCAGACACACATTCTGCTCCTGTTAATAGCGTTGAGAGCGGTTCTGGGCGGACTCGTTGGAATCTGCCTGATGCAACGATGGATGGAGTTGCAAATCGGTAGTAATTAATGCTTGTTAATGTATTTTCGTTGTTTGATTCATATGTTGGGTGTTTGTGTGTATTTTTTGTCTATTTGGTCATTTATTTTGCTTACTTTCCTACATTAGACGTGTAGATAATTCTGCGGTAATTATGCCGGTTAGCGGGACGCTGAAAATGGCGGCATCAAGTTCCGCGTGGACGTTAACGTTACATTATACTTCATCAGAGAATGGAACAAGTCCAATCGGCAATCTGCCGGGATTATTATTTATAATTAACCTTAATTAGTTAATCGATTGCCATTCAGATCTCGATCTGGACCATATATTTGAATGGACGTTGGGTTAAGCTAGGTAAAAGAGGACAGGTGGAATAGAGATAGATCAACATTAACACCAACATGTCGCTTTATTCATAATCATAACGCTATCTCCGTCTATCCATCCTAGTAGCAAGGATCACACCACCTTCTAGATTATCTATTAGATCAAAACACCTTCTATCCTTCCTGTATATATGTTATCTCAATTCACCCGACAAACCACGTGCATCGCTGCAGGAGAATGTGACCAGCAGTAGGTTTTGTCCCGGTTTCGCTGCGTGACAAGACAGGTATATTCCTCCCGTAGGCTGAAACTCCGTGGTTGGCGGCTAACCCAGCGTCCGGCACTGTCTCCGTGGGTAAATATTGGGCGTAATTGAACATGAGACCAGCACATTGAAGAAGCCCAGCGCTGCTGAGCCTCTTGCTCTGTCCATTAGGCAGCAGCTATATCCGTGGTAACTGCGCACAGTAATGAAATGTATACCAGTGATTTGTTAAAAGACACACAGACAGCCAACAGGATTTTGTCTTCAAATGCCAATCCCGAGCATCATGTCAAAAGACAAAGACACCCGGGAGACGACTTCCAGTTTGAAAGAATCAAACCTCCTTGATCAATGTTGCAAATGCAGATGTTCCATATAGCCAAACTGATCGTCAAGAGCCGAGCCAATCGTCCTGGGAAGAGGAACTCAAGGGATATTCCCCTTGAGCACATCCCTGAAAATTTCGAGACCGGCTTATTGGTTCCAACAACCTTGCAGCTTCTCAATAGCGTAGTCTGTGGCCCACCCTAAGTCAGCCTCTATCCCGCGCAGAATATTCGCTACAACCTGACGCTCTTCAGGTTTTTCGAGACATTGCCCAACAGCGAACAGCAAGGGTACCATGTAAATGCGCACTGCACCTTGTGGCCGTCCCAGTGCAATACCGCAGATCTCCCGGGTGCGATACTCAACCTCCTTGGACACTTCCCGATATCCCTGCAGACGATCAAACGCAGAGCTGTGGGCATTCACTATGTCAGGAGGCCGGTTAAGTAAAAGTGCAATGCGGGCAAAATGGTATTGTTGCATAGTAGCAGCACAGGACGCTTTGGTGTAAACAATTTCAGGAAATGGCAGATGGCTGACTTGGGGCACCACAGATAGATCCCTGGGACGCTCAATCCGGACGCATGGACGGAAGGTCTCCGGAAGCTCCTCAAACCAGGATTGAAATTCAAAACAGAGTTTCAGCCAGGTAGACGTAGTAGAAGCCACTGGTTGTCCGGGGGCCAACGGTGAGCTAGGGGTAGGAGATGACCATTGCGCCATCTGCAACTCTCTATACTGTGCTAGGAAATTTATGACCTTTGTCGCTAGCCAGGTAAGTGTATTAGCCGCGAAGTCTTCCCTAGTAAACCCAACTCCCGTTTGGACAGCTTCGTCATAGTGATGAATGTTGCCTTGTTCGTCGATCGGCAGTCCCGCAGCTTGCCACAACGGCAAATTCTCCGGGTCCAAGTGCGTGGCCGACCGGTTCATGTAAGATGTCAAATAGTCGAGACGAGCGAAATCCCAGAATGCAGCTCTAGTACCGTGCAAATACGGTGGCGGTTGGAGGGGACCTGCCGTCTTCAGCCGTATTAGGGTATCAAAAACAGACCCGATACCAGAAAGATGCCTATAGACAATGCATGGTCAGCCGGTCCAACACGAAAACCAGAAAGGTTGTTGTGTCACGTACGAGTGCGAATCTACCTCATTCGCATCCAATATTTTATACATATAGAGAATAGCTGTTGCAGCCATTAAATCCTCTATTTTACGCGTGAATCCCGCAGTAGCCAATTCGTCAAACCCAGACTGTGGCAATAGCTTCAGCAATTGGTCAACTATTCCGAAGGGAGAGCCCAAGACGGCAGAAGTATGCAGTGATCCATATGTCTCCGTGCCAACGGTCTGCATATTTGAAACGGCGAGGTAGTAGTAGTTGGCGCCCTTCAAAAACCAATCGACTCTGGAAGCGTTAGGGTAGATTTCTGTCGTGGCCGGATTGGTGAATATTCCACCGCCGGTTATAGACTTGGCCCCCTTGACTCTCCCTAGATGCTTTGCCGAAAGGGCCGCCACCGCGTATTTCAGGAAAAGACTGTCGATTGCGCGGATGGGAACATATACGGAAAAGAATTTTCCGGGATCAGATAAATCCAGCCTGGCACGGTTATCAGTATGTGAGTTATAACGATATACAGTGCGGCACAAATCACGCATACCAGGGTCCCAAGACCTCTGAAAAATGCCTGAGAAAGAAGGAAATTTCATGCTCAGAGCCTGTCATCAGCTCTGAAAAGATATCCAGGATCTCTTCCTTTTCAGATCTCTGCGACAGATCCTCGGGTGATGTCAACCTTTGATAAGGAGGTTTTGGAGCAGATGTTGTTTGCTTGCTGTAAAGATCATTGTAGACATCAGCGGGATCACTCTGAGTTGCTGTGCTCTGGGCACTACTTCGGGGAATTTCACTGCGATCTTCGTCGTAAGGTATAATGCGGCTGGCACTGTACAGGTCTTGAGTTTCTTGGGCATTGTTCCTCAGAGTCTGTTGTATAGGCTCGATGGCACCTCCAAGACCAGCTGCAACCGGCAAAGATGTTGGAAGGCTATTGCTAACGCTAACCTGTGGCTGTGCCGGCCATTGAACAGTTACTTCTTCTCTCTCCTGGGAATTTCTTGCTACGAAATTATTCCCAACAACCTGATCTGTACGAAAATCCAGTTTCAGCTCTGGTCGGGCCGAAACTTGGGGTGCCGGGCCTGAGACACCATTTTGAGTTGTCTTTCCCGATAGTTAGCCACCTTATCGGCTGAAAAAGCACAAAGTCAGCATACCTTGTCTGAATCGGGTGCCGGAGTGTTCGATTTAGACTGGGGCTCTGAATAGGGAGCGTATCGACGCCTCACAGTAGCTCCCTGGTCTATAAACTTCCGCGTCTGCACATATCCCGGGCATTCAACGCCTGCAGTGATACAGCGTTGGCAGCTGGGACGCGCCTCATCACACTGGAAAGAGAGTTAGCATATGAAGACGACGTCATAGCGACCTCGAGACACAGCCTACCTTCAGATGTCTCTTCTTACATCGCTGACAGGCTTTATTTGACGGTACCCCAGGCATTATTTTCTAACTAGCCCTTGTCGGAGGGCGGGTAGGAAGTGGCAGCTCTACCTGGACAACGGCCAGAGGACCATGATTCTCAACGGGTAGCAGCAGAACAGGGGGTAGCGACGACCAGGCAGCGTTAATAAGGATTCACCGAAGCTATTCCTCGGGCTGACACCCCCTATGAAATTTCTTTTTTGGGGTCTGGTAAGGCAGAGAAGGTTCGCAGAGAGTCAAGAGGCGTTTGGTGGCGTGAGGAAGCTTGAATTCCCGCAGGAAGGCTTGGCACGGGCCAGCGATGGCGGGATTTTCTCGGCATATATTCGGATTGGCCGGGCGCGCTGACCGCCCGGCAGAACACGTCACGCAGCGGAGCCGCTTCGATTTGGGGGTTTCGAACTCCTCCATCGCTCACCACGCTTGCTGTTTCCGATCTTTATATTAATTAATCCATTAATCTTCTTGTAATCTTATTCTGCCCTTCGTCCAATCACTCTGTCGACGCTCCTTATGCTCCGTTCACCCAATGCCTACGGGCCCCCCTTCCAGGTTGGACGGAGTCCCAACATCCAGGGGCCTAGTCCCCCGTCCTATACTACCATAGAAGAGCATTCTGCAGACCTGAGCGGGCTAAGGGCCGTATTATCTCAGAATCTGGCCTATTATGGCTCGCGTCCAAAGACTTCAGTAGCCTCGGAGCCCGAGTTAAGCCGTGTGTATCATGAATGGATCAGTTCGTTATCCTATGGCCAGTTCGCGTGCTCCTCCTACTAACCTCTCTTGCAGAAGCAGGGAGACTTCACAATGTCGTCTGCTCGGCGTGTCACAATCCTGATGATCTGCTGTTGTGTAAGACGTGCTGTAGATCTTATCACGGATCATGCCTTCCACCTTCTGATGTCCCTGGGTCGCCTGCGAACTTTCATTGTCCGTTTTGCAAACGAAAACGGTGGGATCGCTTTCCGCCTCAATCCACAGTGTCTGCCTCTGTGTCAGATGCATCCCACAGTAACACACTCAGCGAACGAGGTGTGGGGATGTTGGCTAGCCCCTCAAGCCATGTAGCAGCTAGTAACCAGACCTCCCCGGGAACAAATGAGAACTCTATGCCAGGAGTTCAGGTGTCACCAGTACAGCCATTTTCAGACACCGACCAGCTCCGGAATAACCAGGTGCAGGATAGCATCTCTCAATCCGCTGAACTGTGTGCCCGTGCTAAGGAATTCTTGTCCGAGTATGGCGGGTTTCCCCAGGGTCAAGAGTACAGACAGGGATTTCTGCTTCAATTGGGTTGGATGATGAAGGAGGTGGAATCCCACCAGATGCTGTTTCACGAAGTTCAAAATTTGCGAGAAGAAAATGCGAGATTACAAAATGAAAATTCCCAGCTTAAGGGGGGTTACCAACCCCCCAGGATACCCACTGAAGCTATGTTGGCTGTATCTTCCAGAGCAAATAGCCCGATTCCAAGACCTTCGGACGCCGCTGGGAAATCATGGGATAGCATTGTGCTGGACTTGATTTGAGTGGTCTGGCGTTTTGTTATCAGAAAGCGAGGGAGTTTTCTGAGCGAGGTTATGAACTCAGAAGTCCCATGAGTGGCTCGCAACGAGATCTTTATATGCTTTATCTTCGTCGTTCAAGGGTCAGCTAACCTCTGTATCCTTGCGGCCCGCTGCGGCAAGATCGGGACCTGAGTGGAGAAGCGGGGAGGTGGAGAATTGAGACTCCAGAGGTGCGGTACAGTCGAGTGTGTTTTGAGCCTTTTAAACGGGTACAGGGAGTCTCCACATACAGCCGGTTGGCTATGTGAGTCAATCTTCATCTCGTTGTGGTGGAAGCAGCCCTAGCGCTGGGACCGAAGACAATCGAAGACCATGGGGTTCTCTCTAACGAGCCGCCGTTCCTCTCACTCTCACACTCCCAGTTGTCTTAACATGGAAGATTCTACGAGGAATGGGTCCCATAACGATAAGTGCTTCTGTCACGGCACACCTACCTAGGTTGCCCGTCACTCCGATTAAGCCCTTAAGCTTCAACGCGTATTAAAGGGACATGAGCTCTCCTCAAACGGATTCTGGAAAGTTCTTGCCTATAACTCAGCTTTCTCGTCGTTCGAAAGCTAGATGGAGATGAGATGATTGTTATTTGGACCGTGTCATTTGATAGTGCTACGATTTTTCTCTGGAAAAGTTGCTTGGCTATTGAAAGGACATCTCTCACTAGACCCTAGTATCGATATTTCCGCAGATTGTGGCTGAAATAATAATAAAAACTGATCGAATCAAATATTCCGAGCATGCGATCTCCCAGATATACATTCATACAGGAAGCGTCAGGTCGGGTCAGTTTTGGAATAAGAGAAGGTAATTCAGAACTTTCAGCAAGCCTATTTATGCGGCGAATTGACCAGACTGGTGCTCACAGGTGTGAATGATCTTTCTCCCCTTTTACCTGTTGTTTGGGTGTTCCCAGTATATACGAACATTCTGAATCCCTGTTCATGTATCAAAAAAGCATTTTGAAGTTCACCCCACATCTCAGACCACTTTCAAGCTTCACTGACTTCATAACTTCTGGATCTTGACAACACCACCCTTTGCTGCGATATGCCATTGGCATTGAGATTCAACCAATTCTCCCCAATGAGCAGTTCCATGCTAGCTACGAAGCTATCGATGCCGACTATCCGCAGCATCAACCGCCGCTTACACTCGTGGGGTCATTTCCATCCACAATCACGTCAACGTGCTTTATCTCTTGTTCATTGAGTGGTGAATGCAACCGGAATACTTCTATTGTGCAACTCTGGAGTTGTAGTATGAAATGTCGACAAGATAGGCCTTGAGCACGTCAATTTCTGGGCTGGGGATGTGATAAAATGGCTTCATTCCCTCATTCCCGGTCGGAGGGTTCCAGGATCGCGTTGCTAGTTCTCATCAACTCCGGTCCAGAGCTGGTTGATTAGAGAACCTAAACTCAGAAAGCGACATGGTTCCTCGTTATCGCAGCGTGGCCGTCATCGGTACAGGACCTTCGGGTGTATCTGCCGTCCGAGCCTTAAGTGACGAGAAAGTCTTCGACACGATTCGTGTCTTCGAGCGTCGCAATCAGTCAGGGGGATTATGGCACTACGATCCCATTCCCGATCCCTTTCCAGGTGCTGCGACAGATGGCCGCCCTGGGTTGTCAAAGAGTCCAGCTGTCCCTGCCAATCTCCCGCAGTTTGCCCCTCCAGCTCCTGAAGACCTCAGTGCAAGATCCGCTGTCTATGACACGCTAGATAGCAATGTCGGAGCTGAGTTGATGGCATTCACACACATGCCGTTTCCGTTGCAAAATTCTGCGGCGTCGGTTGAGCGATTCGGAAGTCCGAATCCAACTCGTCCATTTAGGGTCGTTTCCAGGTACCTACAGGACTTGCTGCAGGATTATCTCCATCTGGTCTCGTTTAATACAACGGTTGAGAAGGTGGAAAAGACCGACCATGACAGGAAATGGACCCTGACCCTTCGTCGTTCGGGACAGCTCCGCGGCGGTCAACCCCTCGATTACTGGTGGCAGGAGAAGTTTGATGCAGTCGTTGTGGCTTCTGGGCACTACAATGTCCCTCTCATCCCTGATATCCCCGGTCTGGAGGAGACCGCAAAATCCCGCCCGCGTGCCCTGGAACATTCCAAGGCATTCCGTTCAGCAGACGACTACGTTGACCAACGTGTCGTCGTCGTCGGGGCAAGCGTCTCGGCCTCCGACCTAGTCAGCGATCTGCATGCCGTTATCCGCGGTCCGTTGTACCTGTCTCAGCGCGGCAAGAACGAGATCCTCGACTCAGCCTGGAATCTCCCCAACGTCGAGAGAAAACCGGCCATCAGACGCATCGAGCCCGACACCGAAACAACAGTAAAAGTCACATTCGCCGACGACTCCACCGTCGACAAGATCGATAAGATCCTCTTTGGAACAGGCTACCGACTCTCCTACCCTTTCCTCACTCCGGACCCGGTGACATTCACCAACCGTCTAGCTGGGTTCTACCAGCACATTTTCAAGATCAGCGATCCCTCCCTCGCTGTAGTCGGACAAGTCCGCGGCGCCCTTTCGTTCCGGGTATACGAATACCAAGCCGTAGCGGTGGCGCGGTATTTCGCCGGCCGGGAAGCAAAACAATTACCATCCCCCGTGGAGCAAGAAAAATGGGAGATAAAAAGATTGGAATATAAAGGTCCCTCTTCCGTCTTTCACGAAATCAAGCCAGATCTGAAGGAATATTTCAACTACCTAAGGGAGTTCGCGGGCCCGGCTGCTCCGGACTCGACGGCGTACGAGTTGCCAGAATTTGACGATAAGTGGCCTGAACTTGGCTTCTCGATATTGCAACTGAAGGATGCACATTGGAAGGGTATCAAAGAGAGACATGAGAAGCAGTTGAGGTCGAGATTGTGATATAGCACTGTGATGTTATTCTAAACGAATTTTCATAACCGCATGACCATGTTCTACTAGCCATTCACTCTAACATATGATAAGAGACTTATTCCTGCTGCAGTATTCTCAACTGTCTGTCTCTTTATGCTTTACTGGGGCTGCAGCTGTAATCATTATGTACTCGGATTGGTAAAGGCAGGCTGCAGTTGATACTGAATGTAGTGATGTTCATAGTAAGTGAAGCAGGGAAGAGATTTCTTACTCCTGACTGAGTACAGCGTAAATGTATATTATAATAAGGTATTTCAAGAATGCAGGCAGAGTACAAGGCTCTGAGAGTAACGTCTTGTTTCCTTCATATTCACCCCACTGAGACTTCAAGTTCGGTAACCGTTAGAAACGTCAACTGCATGGGTCGATATCCTCTGCGGAGTGGAATACCGATGATTCAGACCAGCATCTAGCAGATGACAACAGAGTAACCAGATGTACTCCATCCTATGCATGATCCCACTATACTAGATGCGGTCTCGTCAATATTATCGAGATCCGGATGCGTGTTTATTTACCTTTTTTTGGCTTTGTTTGCGGATTTCCCCTTCTGGACGCGTTTCTGCCGGGCGGTGAGCGGTTTGGGTGCTGCTTGCAACCAAATTCTCCCTCAAAATATCAACAAAGCAGTCAACAACCATCCTCGCCATCCCCTGACATGCTGGGGATTCAGCATCCTTCATCGACCTCGTAGATTTGATTTACTAACCTTTTCTTTGTCCTTCGTTTCCCCCTCAACCAGCTTCTTTCCCCTTTAACCCCCGAGCCACATACAGAGCTCCCTCTCTCAAAATGGACGACTCGTTGATCGACTCCATCTTTGAGGACGATGGCTCTGGCTCTGACTTTCTTCCTGAACCTGCGCCGGTTTGTCTTGCCATTTTCTTATTTCCGAAATATTCTTGGTGAAACAGCCTGCTAACCTGGTCAACGATTACCGGCAGAAACCCAAGGCAAAGAAGACAGCTACTTCCAAAGCAGCGCCTAAGAAATTGTCACAGACTACTCTCAAGATGAAGCCATCAGCAGCAAAGTCATCTAAGAAAAATGCCAAGCTCGATAGCGAAAACGAACCGTCAGAAGATGTCGATATGTCCGACAATGACTCCGTTCTTTCCAGCACACCTCCCAAGAAAGTGAAAGGCGCTGCAGCCCCGAAAAAGAAACCCTCGAAACCACTAGCAGCTAATGAGAATGAGTCTGGCGATATCGAAGAGGTTAATGAGCCGTCTGAGGAAAAAGATGTTTCGGAAAAATACCAGATGGTAAGCTATCCCGGTTGCGTTGTGTTGGAAGTTCTGCTTGCTGACCCTTTCTTCTAAACAGCTCTCACCACTAGAGCATATCATCAAGCGCCCCGACACTTATATTGGGTCTGTCGAACGCACTACGCAGCAGATGTGGGTGTACAACTCGGAGTCTGACGCAATGGAATTTCGCGAAGTTTCCTACGTTCCCGGTCTCTACAAAATATTCGACGAAATCGTTGTCAACGCTGCAGATAATAAGCAGAACGATGAGAATATGGATGAGATACGAGTTACAGTGGATCGCGAGTCTGGCGAGATTAGCGTTTGGAACAATGGCCGCGGTATCCCGATTGAGATGCATACTGTATGTCGCCGAGCACAAATCTGGCCCTCTCCTTATTACACCATGCCTGCGGCTAATCTCTATACAGAGAGAAAAAATGTACATCCCACAGCTGATCTTCGGTAACCTTCTAACGTCATCCAACTACAACGACAACCAGCAGAAAGTGTCTGGTGGTCGAAATGGTTACGGCGCTAAACTCTGCAACGTTTTTTCCACTGTGTTCACTCTAGAGACGCAGGATTCGCGCCAAAAAAAAAGGTACAAACAGATCTGGACAGACAATATGTCAAAAATGGGCGCGCCCAAGATCACAGCTGCCAAAGGCGACGACTATACCAAGGTCACGTTCAAGCCAGACTACGCTAAATTCGGCATGGATGGCATGGATGATGACTTCGAGGCTCTCTTAAAGCGTCGTGTCTATGACTTGGCGGGAACCACCAAGGTTAATGTTAAGCTCAATGGCTCGCGAATCCCAGTGCGCAATTTCAAAAAATACATGGAGATGTACATGAAGGCTATCCGGAAAGAACGCGGAGAAGAAGGCCCGATGACAAAGGACGAAATTGTTACCTGTAGCCCTCATCCTCGCTGGGAGATTGGATTCGCTGTGTCGGACGGCTCTTTCCAACAAGTGTCGTTCGTCAATGCCATTGCCACGACGTCCGGCGGAACCCATGTGAACTACATCGCTGACCAGATCTGTAACAAGCTTGCCGAACAGGTGAAGAAGAGGAACAAGAATGGAGCCACCCTCAAAACCTCGCAGATCAAGAACCACATTTTTCTTTTTGTGAATGCCTTGATTGTCAACCCAGCTTTCAACTCCCAAACTAAGGAACAATTGAGTACCAAGCCCGCCAAATTTGGCAGTAAATGTGTGCTTGATGAGGACTTTTTCAAAAAAATCCTCAAGACCGACATCATGGCGAATATCTTGAACTTTGCTCAGCGCAAGGCCGATCAGATGTTGACCAAATCAGATGGTGGTCGACGCTCACGAATGAACAACCCCAAGCTGACCGATGCGAACAAGGCAGGAACCAAGGAGGGACATCACTGCACACTGATTCTTACCGAAGGTGATTCAGCTAAAGGCTTGGCCATGGCAGGACGAGCAGTTGTCGGACCAGATCTATTTGGTGTCTTCCCCCTGCGAGGAAAGCTTCTCAATGTCCGTGATGCCTCGTTTCAACAGATATCGCAAAATCAAGAGATCCAGAATATCAAGAACTTTCTTGGTCTTCAACATAAGAAGGAATATACCGATACGCGCGGCCTCCGATATGGTCACTTGATGATTATGACCGATCAGGATCATGATGGAAGTCACATTAAGGGTCTCCTTATAAACTTCCTTCAAGCGCAATTCCCGAGTCTGCTAAAGATTCCGGGGTTTTTAATCGAATTCATCACACCTATCATGAAAGTTTGGAAGGGTGACCCTAAGAATCCGACTAAGTCACATTCATTCTTTACCATGCCTGAGTTTGAAGCATGGAAGGAGGCTCATGGCCACGAACGTGGTTGGGAACACAAGTACTACAAAGGTCTGGGTACTAGTTCGACGGAAGATGCTCAGATTTATTTTAGCGACCTGGACCGCCATTTGAAAGAGTTCCACACCATGCAGGATAACGAGGCAGCGCTCATTGATCTTGCCTTTTCGAAGAAGAAAGCTGATGAGCGAAAGGAGTGGTTGCGTCAGTTCAAACCCGGGACCTTTTTGGACCACTCAGTCGACAAGATCTCTCACAGTGACTTCATCAATAAAGAGCTGATTCTATTCAGCATGGCGGATAATATTCGTTCCATTCCTTCCGTTATCGATGGTTTGAAACCTGGCCAGCGGAAAGTGCTGTATACGTCCTTCCGCCGCAATCTGAAAAAAGATATTAAAGTCGTTGAGCTTGCTGGTCTCGTTTCAGGAATGACAGCATACCAACACGGTGATACTTCGCTGCAGCAAACAATCGTTGGTCTTGCTCAGACTTTTGTTGGGTCTAACAACGTGAACTGCTTGGAACCCAGTGGAAACTTTGGTAGCCGTCTGCAGGGTGGATCGGATTGCGCCAGCGCCCGTTACATCTATACCCGACTGTCACCGTTTGCGAGAAAAATTTTCCATACTGCGGATGAACCGCTCTTGACGTACAATGAAGATGATGGCGAGAAGATTGAACCAGAGATCTATATGCCCGTGGTCCCTATGATTTTAATCAACGGTGCCGACGGCATTGGTACGGGATGGAGTACTTCCATTCCCAACTACAACCCGGAGGATGTCGTTGACAACTTGAAGCGCATGATGGATGGCGAGCCGATCAAACCCATGCAGCCGTGGTTCCGTGGTTTTACGGGCCCCGTCACCCCTCTCGGCCCGGACCGATTCAAATTCAGTGGAATTGCCAGGCAGACTGGGGACAAGGAGATAGAGATTACAGAGCTTCCTATCCGTACCTGGACGCAGGATTTCAAGGACAAGCTGGAGGACATAATCAAGGCCGAGAAGACTCCATCCTTCATCAAAGACTATAGGGATTATAACACTCATACGAAGGTTAACTTCATTATCCAACTCGATGAAAAACACATGAAGGACATCACTCCGGAAACTCTCGATGAGAAATTCAAATTGTCTAAGACTATGACTACCACAAACCTGGTAGCGTTTGATGAGGAAGGCAGAATCACCAAGTATGACTCGGTTGAGGATATCCTTAAGGCCTTCTATGCCGTTCGAATCAAATTCTATGAGAAACGAAAGCAGCATCAGTTGTCGACGATGCAGCGCGACCTGGAGAAACTCAGCAACCAGGCTCGCTTCATCCAGATGATCATCGACGGTACCTTGGTTATTTCCAAGAAGAAGAAGTCCGTGCTTGTAACGGAACTGAAAGAGAAGGGATTCCGGCCATTCCCAAAGGTTTCCGAAGCTGTCAAAGCGGGCGAGACGGAGAAAGTTGTTGAAGAGGAAGAGGAGTCAGACGATTCGGAGACACTCTCTAACGCCTACGACTATCTACTCGGAATGCCCCTCTGGTCTCTGACGCAGGAACGAGTCGAAAAGCTGCGTCGTCAGATCGGTGATAAGGAAGTCGAAATCGACGCCCTTATTAAGCTTTCCAAAGAAGATATTTGGAAGCGGGATCTGGACGAGTTCATCGAAGAATGGAGATTCCAGCTTGAGGATGAAGCTCAGCGACAACGCAAGGCTGCAAGAATTGGTCGTCGCACGTCAATGAAGCTAATGACCGCCAAAGGTCGCGGACGTGGCGGCGGGAGGAAGCGCAAGGTGGCTGATGACGACGATCCGGACGATGAGGACTTCGCAGCTCCCAAATCTAAGAAGACCGCTCATGTGGCATCGAGTGACGACGAAGACGATGATTTTGCCAGTATTCCCAAGGCGAAATCGGCGACGCTGTCTTCGAAACGCGACAAACAACCACAGCGCAAGCCTGCCAAGATCACCGAATTAAGCGACTCGGACAGCGATAATGGGGATGATCTGCTAGGTGACGTCAGCAAAATGGTCAAGGGTATCGGTGCCCCTGCTCGTGGCTCCAAATCAGATTCCCGGGAGCTCTTCTCCGAACAATCCAGGCCCAGCGGCAGTGCTGCGCTCAAAACAGCCTCCAAAGAATCGTCGAAGGTCTCAGCCTACGACTTGGATGATGACACGGACTACAGCAAGCTAATTCCGCAGAACTCGCCTCGCCGAACCCTTCAGGTGAAATCGAAGGAGCCAAGGGTAATTTCTGACGAGGATGGTGATCACCACAATGGTGACATCGAAATGGTCGACTCGGATAATGAAAAGTCTCCTGAGGCACCAGTGGTCAAATCCAAAGCCAATGCAAAAACCAAGCAGACGGCGACAACCACATCCAAGGCCAAGAGCAGCACAACCTCCGGGACGGGTAGGCCCCGCGGCCGTCCTAAGAAGGACACAACGACCACGACCAAAGCAGCTACCTCCGCTGCCCCTAAGAAGCAGCTCCAGCAGACGACGCTTTCCCCTGCGGCCAAGGCATATGCATCGAAGCAGACAAAGAGCAAGAAAAGGACATTGATGGACGACTCTGATGATGATATCGACGCCATGGCGAACGATATCTTGAACTCTCCAGGTGGTGGACAGGAGTCAGATGATGATTCTATTGTCAAGCCAGCTCCGGCTCGCAGGACGGCTGGTCGACCGGCCCGTCAGGCTGCCAGCCGGAAGACGTACACGATTGAGCCGGATAGCGAGAGTGCGGTCTTTGATGACGACTCTGGGGATGATTTTGACGATAGTGATTAAGCTGTCGTTGGAGACCGAACCAGGGATGCGATATTCTTTGATACTTTATTGTGTTTCTCTATCTTTTCCCATTTTATACATGGTGGTATTGTTGCTTTCCCGTTCGTGTTTGCTATGGAACAGTCGTATTTGGTTTCCGGGCGTTGGCGGATTATTCTACTTACCATGGCATGCTATGTTTGTCTATTTTTAAATCGATCCAGCATGGGTTTCTTTCATTTGTTTTCTGAGTAGTTAAATGCTATTACGTATGGAAATAGAATGTCCTGTCCAGTTCATTGAAGTCATATCAGACTACTCGACCTTCTACATGCTCTTACTGTGACTGTTAGCAAGAGTAATCTGGTCAATGCTTTGAATCTGAATTCTATGATACAGCGTCATTCTGTGCAGAAGGCCTATTCCATTCTCACGTTCTTTATCTATCATATTCAACCTTTTTTCTGCTTTCTTCTGTTGCCGGTTTACCATGTCATGTCATGCCATGCTTTCGCTCATAATCAACACTCAGTACCTGATAATAACACGCATCTATAGTCAATGTGTAGCTTGTAGTAGTCTTAGTGTGAAAAAATAAAGATGAAATAAAATATCCAGCAGAAAATGTTCAAGCGAAGAACCCTATAAAGGAAACTAGATAAACCAGATTATGCAGAAGCACGGCGTCTTTTGAGCTCCTTCCTTCCTCCCTCACATTCAAGAGAGTCATAATGGTGCGATGGTGGCAGCACTGAGAGACTACAGCCGTGCTCATGGTGCATGTCTTTACCCTGCACGGCGGTGCTGGCAGCGGGAGTGGTGGGAGTGGTAGCATTCTGCGTATGCAAACTTAGCAATGCATGGGCAGCTTTTACCTCGCGAGCAAATAGCTTCGATTCGGAGTCTCTATTTGAGTTCTTTTCAGAGCGAGATCCAGTTCTCCGTCGTTGTGAGGGAGAAGGAGTGTCGCGGCTGCAAGTGTCGCTGTCGTTGTCGCTGTCAATCTTGTCGAGATCCATGGATAGAACGTCTTTGGACGAATCAGTATCAGTGTTTTTGCCGCCAATATGGACATTTATGTCCATATTTGTGTTTACAGGATTAGAAGAGAGAGTGGTGTCTGTTGTATAACTACCATCCTCATCGCTTTCACCATCGCAGTCGTCGCCGTTGTCATCCCCGTTGCCGGTTTTGCCCGGGATTAGGGAAACCCTTGCTAGAACTTCTGCGGGCGAAGGAATGTTCGAGTTCAAGCCGATCCCGTAGCTAGATCTATTGTCTGAACTCCGCGGTGTGTTGACAGGAGTGAAAGAATTCTTGTACGGACTTTCCGGGGATGTGCAGTAAGAATCAGAGTACTCGGGAGAGCTACCACACCCACTGCTACTGCTGTCGCTGCTGCTAAGATTGGCCCGACGAACACGTCGTACAGAAGATGATGGAGTCTTGGGAAGAAGGATCTGTCTCCCTGATCCAGAAACCATGTCCAGTTTGACACTTGCAGGTGGTAAACTTGGAGTATGGTGAATAGCAGGAGTTTGAGGCAACGACAAGGGAATTGAGCCAGGTCGCAGTTCGGCCATCCGGTAGAGTTCTGCTACATCAGCAGCCCTTTTTACGATGGCCGGGTCAATGATCATTAGGCCATATCGTTCGCTGTCCTCGGGGGGGATACATAGCGAGGGAAAATCGACTCCAAACAGTGGCGTGAGGGCATGGCGGATTTTCCAACAGAAGGTTGCCACGACTGCTTTGGCGGCGTCAAATGGCATCCAATATCCTGTTTCTCTGGGTTAGTGGGAACATGCAAAGTCTGAAAGGGGAAACAGAGACTTACCCTGTGCCGCGAGTGCTCCTCCTGTGATGCTGTGGCATATCTCACGAAGTCCGGGGTTCAGATTGAGCATCTTCGCTGGTGTGGTCTACCCAGCCATGTTAGCCGTAGACGTCAATATTGCAAAGATCAAGAAGATGCTTTACCTTGGAGTAACCGATGCATTTGAACAGGTGAGTCGTCCTGACGAGCCCGATGTTATAATCCCACATCACGGTCCAGGTCTTATCTTCCCCGGGAATCTTGAAAGTGTATTGGAATACTGCAGCAAAACACTGTGAGTAGTCCTAACAATCACAGCCGCGCTGATAATTCTTGCCGTCTTACCTTCGAAGGACTCTCTTCCAGTCTTTTCCTGAAATGTTTTTTTGTCGCTATTGTACGGTATGTGCCTGGGATACTGTGCGATGTTACCCATGGGATGGATCTGGAATTCCTTATGCGCAACAGTCAGCTTGGCATCCCTATCCTCACACGGAGGATAGCGGAGTTCGCCACGGATTCTGCCTTCCTTAAAGATCGGGGCATCTTTTGCCATCTTCTGCTTTTTTGGGCGAGACGATCCAGGGAGTGAGGCAACGGCCCGGGTAGTGTAAGTCGACGAGGTAGCCGGAAGGGTAAACCGACCGAAGTCGGGAAGGGGGTTTAGTAGAGACTCTATTGATGCCATGATTGACGAAAGATGATGCACAGAAATATCGTCCTCCCGATATAGATCCGTAGTCAGGCAAGTTACGCCAGTGGAATGCCAATGAACACTGGAAGAGCTGCGGAGAGAAAACGAACGAGTAACGAGGATTATCAGACGAGACCTTGAGAAGGAGCAAGAGGAGGAAGCAATAGAATAGATTTACTTCGGATCCTTGGTCTTAGACAGCGGGATACTGATTCCAGAAGCTCTTGAAGGTTATCGAAGATGGAAAAGAAGAGGCGGCGATAGAGAGCAGCAGACGAACGAGGAAGGGAAAGACAGAGGGTGGTCTGGAAGAAGAAAAAGAAACGGAATCTCAGAGACGGATAGTTGATGCAGCAGACTGCCATATCTTTTGCTCAATTCACCAGAACGGTGAGGATGTCTCAACTGGTGGGAGCTCATTTCAGAATGGTGTCTTTGTCGGGGAGGTATGTTTCTGCGCAAGGCTCCCCAAAGACGTGGATACGCGGCGGTATGTCTAATGAAAGGAAAAACAGACGCTTTGACTTCTCGCTCTGTTTGTGTTTCGCTGGTGGTAACAAGTTCGCTGCCACTCAGGGTTCCCATCTCCCTCGAGGCTACGTCCCATGCCGGGAAGCGGTGAATCATAGTACTATGTCTGAAGTAGATCTGTACATTTGCATAGGGATATGTCTTAGAAAAATAGCCCATCTCAATGAGGGGATAACCTCACCGGTAGCTCATCATCGGGAAGACGTAGCAAGACATACGTCAAGAAACGATTAGTCAAACTACACCGGGCAAAGATGGCTCATTCTCTGCCCTCCATAATTATGGCAAGAATTCTCGTACCTTTACGAGTAATGAGGGATCTTTAGATGCCACTGGTGGACGGAACGATGCCATAGTCCTGGTCGGTAGTCGAAACACAGACGGTAGAGCCTCCTTGCCAAATAGAGACAAGCGCCTTACCTTCGAGGGTTCACCGTTCCACTCTATATCTGCGGCTACCCAATCTATGAGACAAGACAGGCTGGGGAAGAGCCATGGGTTGGTCAGGCAGCAGGGATTCCTTGCACCATGTGGAGGCCTTGCATGGGGTTGACCGGCGCGCCAGGGGAGGCATGTTTCTATTCTCTCCCGTTTCCCCTGCAAACAGAACGAGACGGAGACAACAGTCTGCAGAAGGTGAATGCCAAACGAAAGGACAATATGGTAGGAGAAAACGCCAGGAAGTTGAGTTGGCCCAAGCTGGAAGGATCTCCGTAAGCTTCTCTGAGAAACAGCGGGAGGCTGCATAACAGCTTCGTGACACGGCAACCGGCTTCTCTATCGGCTTCAGACGGGGCCGATGAAGAAAAGAGAAATTGGTTTCAAGAAAGGAATCCGGTAAACAGGCGAACCTGTTCTTATGAAAGGAATATGCAGAGACCACTTGTTAGAAATTGGGAATGCGGGGGATAAAGGGAAAGATGGAGGGAAGAACGACGACCAACCGAACCCACAGGTGTAAACGTTGGCGGCTGCCACGAGATGAATGTCTTTGATCGGATACAGAACAAATAAGACAAGACAGGATGGCCTGCAGGTTTATCCTGCAAGTAACTGTTAACGCATGTAGGGACTCAGATTAGCAAAGCCAAAGCCTTTTTTGCTGACGGAGGTTGAAGAAGCTTCTATACAGGCTTCGCTGCAGTTGTCCGAGATGTCTGAACTGTACCCATCAGAAAGCTGCATTTATCTGCTCTCTTGCATCCTTTCTAATAATAATTAATAATAAAGAGGTCCGCCAGCCCGTAGATGAAAGGAAGCAGGAAGCATGCGCAGGTTGAAGGAGGTCGAGCAAAGGACGGTCCCGTGACGATCACATCTTCCTCGTTCGGCTCTCTGACATTTTGACACAGCGAAGGCTGCGATGGAGGCAGGTCCAGCTGGTCTTCTTAAGTACTTCACAGCATATCTACACATAGGGGACGCCGAGGCTTACAACCTCAAATTCACTAGGGAGCAAATCCAAGAATAATCGATTCATACAAATCATGACAGCCATCCCTGAGAACCCAGTAAGGTTTGTACGAAGCGAAGTCACGGGGGCAATCAATGGGAATCTCCTTCTAAACGCCCAGGCATCATCTCAGGTCTGCTCTTTCGCTTCCAGCGCGTCATTCATAAGATTGGAAATAGGAATGTCGCAGCAAGAAGAAATTGGTGGGGAACATAGGCGTCAATAACAGAAACAAAGGAGTAGATAGAATCAGGGGAGAAATAAAGAGCAAATGAATACAAAAATAAAGAGGACAAGTCCAGATCGATCATGCCATCTCATAATCATATAGGCCAAACCACGCACCAACATGCGGTGATAGCCTTAACGTACATACGCACACCATGTCCAACAGTTTCGGGCATCACAACTACTCTTCACCTAGACCTCCAAAAGCCGAAGATACTTGCCACTCTTTTCATCAAGCAACTTATCATCTTTGTCGAGGTTACAAGTTGATTCAACCAAAGACCTCCAGGCGCTTCGGTCAGCCATAAGTGCCATTTACGCCGCGATAGGCTCGGCCGCGGGCTTCTGCGTAGACTCGGTTTCAGCAGATGGAGCAGCAACCGGCTCGGTCTTGGGGGCCACCGGGAAGTCCTCAGTCTTAATGGCTGGCTCCACCTTCGGCTGAGCGACTGCAGGGCTGGCCACCTTGGTCATCTGGGTAGAAGAAAGCGAGCGACGGTGGTTAATGTACTCCTGGGCCTTGGTGCTGTAGTCACCCAAGCGCTGCTTCACCAGACCCTTTGCATGGGACGTACGCTGGCCAGCAAGTTCTTTCAGTTGATTGGCTTGCTCATGGAGAGCCTCCTGGGCGCTCTCGATCTGGGCATCGATCAGTTCGCGGTTGCTGATGTAAATGAGAGGACCAATGTAGATGATGGTGGCGGAGAGCAACGACAATCCCCAGAGTGGGAGGAACTTGACGAGGAAATAGGCAATGAAAGCAGCAGAGAACGCCTATGAGCAATACGAATTAGAAACCAAGTCAAAATTTCGCCTTGTGTTGGTTACCACAGCATAAAGAGAACCATACCGCAACCGTGTGGATGACATTCTCAGCAAACAGAATGCGCTGGAATTCAAGGAGGAAGAAGTCCAGCAGCTGCTCAACATCCTCCAGGACGGCTTCAACAGTCTCCTTGGGGACGGTGTAGTATCTGCGGGGACGGAATGAGGACGCGATGCTCTGCGAAAGCACAACTCTGCCCGCTATTTCGGCCGCAGCAGTAACTAAATGTCTGATATTAATAACGGGAGTGCAGCTAATGATGAGACTAAGACCAACTCACATCCCAAAGCCAGATACAGAAGTTTGAAGACCCAGCGGAGGAGAGGCAAGAAACGGGCGGCAAGGATGAAAGCAACAACGCTAGCGTACGAGACGGCCGTAGCACGAGGTTGCTCCCACTGTATTAAAGCCAGGTTAGCCATCAGATTCCAAGAATAAATAAAAATAAGGCTGATTCAAGAAAGGGAAAGGGGGCGTCACTTACGCTAAGAAGGCTGTACAACAAGGAATGGTAGGCTACCCCAGAATTAGCAGCGGGCACACAAAAATGAAACAATCCATTATCCCTGGGAAACATACGGGTCAAAGGTTGGCCAGTGACAGTGGTTTTCGTAGAGGGAACCTTGGAATTCTTCAACTCAAGGAGCTCGTTTTGTGTACGGGACGCCTGGGCTTTGACATTGCCAACGGCACCGGGTTCTTTCAGACAACAGTCAGCGGAATTGTGATTTTCTTCCTCCAGACCATCATCTGGTGGTGCTGTAGGCCACTATCGCTCACTTGCACGAATGGACTGGACGTGCAAGTCGGGGTAACCGGGACTTTGCGAGCTCACTGGGGGCCGAAAGGGGAGAATACTGTGGGAAATAAGGAGTCAGAATAGGCACATACGCCACCAAAATATAATGGTTTAGTTTCCCAGCATACCTTACTGCCTGCAGTCACAGTAGCATCAGCCATGGCGGAGGATGTTGTGATGTTTGTAGTTGTACACGTGTGTGCGGGAGGGAGCTTTTATTTAAGCTGCGAGAAATAGGAGGGAGTTGAGGGATCCGTGATCCGTGCGGAACGATCGTGTGCGACAACAAGGGTCACCGGGATCCCCGTATCGACAGACGTCAGGGGGTGGGAGAAAATGAGGAAGTAGATGATAGGGGAAGATGGAAGATAGCTGTGAAGATGTCTTTTCTGTCCTTTCCCTGGTCCTCGGCGTCCCGCGGTGGTGAGGCTGGTCAGGTTGCGCGACTGGCGCTGTTATTAATACTTCAGCACTCCCGGCCACCTCACTGCTGCCACTCTGCCCGACTTGATTTCTCGCCGATTCGCGCCCTATTCCACTGCCAACGCGGACAGTCGATAAATAAGAGCCGATGGAGTATATTGCGCTGTCTCAGTGACAGAAACCGCTGTGCAATGCCTTCTACTTCTGCTTCTACTACGACTAAAGCCTATTTGCATGTGACGGCTAGGCAGCCGTCACGATATTCCTTCATATCCATCCATGCTGGAGTTGGATCCAGTCGTCCAGCGCTTCACCATCTTGCCACATATACGTCAGGATTGACATATAACTAGCCGTGGCCTGGCGGTCCATGACAGGAAGTACTCCGCAAGTGCCATCAATAGCTCCGTGGCAAACCCAACGCCTTTTCGCCAATAAAGTTCATAATCATCTCCTGGAGCAAGAGTGTGAGAGGGCCTTTCTTTTTCTTCCTGGGGACCCGACAAACTTACTCTACTAACAGGCGCGACGCGTGGAACGAAACACTCGCGCATGTACCGCTCAACATGATACTCTTGAGCATATCCCATACCACCGTGGGTAAGAACAGCTCTCTCATATGCCGTGAATGCTGCTTCTGCAGCTAAGTACTTTGCTGAATTGCATGCAACGCCAACTGCCTGTAGGGGAATGGAGCTGTCCTCCTTGCTTATATCGTAGAGCTTGGCGGCATGATATGTTGCCAGCTTCGCCGCCTCCAAACTCATGTATGCAGCCGCCAATGGATGCTGGATCCCCTGGTTCTGGCCGATAGGCTTCCCAAACACCACTCGCTGTTTTGCGTAATTGGCTGCCTTTTCCAAAGCGACGTACCCTAACCCAAGAGCTTCCCCAGCAAGAAGGCATCTTTCCGCATTCATCCCGTAGAGAACCTGTTCAAAAGAAGTTGGGTCAGACTCACTGCAGCAGTGTCTCGAGAGAATCAATATCTGTGGCGCCTACTATTTTGAATCCTTGACCCTCCTGGCCAATGAGGGTATCAGCAGGGACCCGATAGTCATCAAAAAAGACCTCGTTAGCATCCACTGCTCTACCACCCATCTTTTTGATCTTTTTCAATTCCAATCCAGGAGCGGTCTTGTCGAAGTCTATAAGGAAGAGGGACAGACCCTCAGACGGCTTCTTCACTTCCTCCAACGGAGTAGTTCGGGCCAGCAGAACCATCTTTTTTGCTACTTGCGCGGAAGATATCCAACTATAGTCCATTGTCAGCATTCTATTGCATTGCTCTGACGGTGTGACATACATTTTCTGTCCAGAAATCCTGTAGTAGTCTCCATCGCGGACCGCTTGGGTACGTAGCTTCAGAGTCTCTAAACTCGTATTGGGTTCAGTTCTATCCAGGTCAACTTTCCTGAAGATCTTAATGGGAAAGGAACCGAGGTAAACTACACTCCGAAGCATGTTCTGACCTCCCCGGAAATGAGAGGTTCCAGCATCCGTGTTCTTTACTCAGGAGTAGCAAATCTCGCTACAGGCTAGGTTCCCCGTCAGTTGATATGCAAGGATAGCCACTGGAGAGGTGGCATTCCAAGCCCACCTGTGTCGCATAAACATTGGCATGGATTGACTGAGCTCCCGCTATGCCTGCTCCGCTTCTTCAATGGTAAACCTTATCAGCTTTTGACCAGAGGCATAAAGATAAAAAGAAGAGACCACCGTGAATCACACACTGTGCTATCGTTTGCAGCACCATTGTTGCTTCCGAAATGCCGAGACCTGCCCCTCCTAGCTCTTCTGGAAGTGCGATTCCAATCCACCCGTCTTTTGCTAAAGCAGCATGCAGCTCGTGGGGATACTCTCCGGATTCATCGTAATCTACCCAGTATTCCTGTAGTTCAAGTATCAATTATTGATCTAACTGTGATACAGGCCAGTCTCAATACTTCTGAGAATTTGGAGCAGATCTTCGATATAGCGTCTCGAACCATCAATTGCTCAGATGAGAAGCAACTCATTTCCATGATCCTGCCAGGCTTTGATGAAGAAAACCATCTGGCCCCGCACAAGCATACTGGTAATCGCGGAGAAGACAGTGCTGGTCGGATAACAGCTCTGTTGAGAAGCCTGAAGGAACGGGGAAAGCACGACATTTTCTAAACAATAAACCCTCTTCGATCCAAGATATCTATGCAGTCTGGCAGAGGAAATATAATCCAGGAAGGAAATAATCCAGTGGGTTATATTGATTATACACTCCAAGTGCGGAGAGTAGGCCGAGGCCATTGGTGCCTCGTTTTTCAGGCAATATAACTTTGATCTAGATCCACACGTGATTTCCTCACGCGTCGGGATGTTTTGATGCTCCAAAACAGACAACTCCGCAATATTAATCTTTTAATCCAGAGAACGGACTCGCAGGCAGACCAACGACTATACATTGTTTATCACTATTTATACCATCTATACTGATCGCTCTCCCCCTCTAGACATGGAGGTAGACGATCCTCCTGCGGACGAAGCTCGCCCAGGGACTCCGCGCCTGTTCGAAAACTCTGATCCGTTATCAGGACCTCCCACCCCTACCCCCCTCCCCCGCATCTCCCTGAAAAGGAGGGCGCCACCCTCCCCCTATAGGATGCCTACGGCGATAATAGCTCCTATATCCAACACGCAGGCTGCTGGATCAATTTGCCAGCAGGCTACCGCAGCTGCAAACGACCAGCTCCTGCTCCTAGGTGACTGGAAGCTGGCGCTAACCTCCCTTGCAGAGGCACTTGAGACAACTGTCTCCTCTCTACAGGGCCGTCCCAAGGAGCTCGCTCGAGGGCTTGTAGCTAGGTTTATTACCCTGGCAAACCTCAACACCCCACAGCAAGGGGCAAAGCCTGACATAGCACCCCCCCAGATGGCGCAGGCATATCAAGCTAAAAAGACCTTACAGACCTCAACCTGGGCCTCAGTTGCCGCCCTAAAAGCTAGCCAGGACAACTGGCAATCTGATACTCAAGAACATAGTGTGCAAGCCTCTCGGCAGCAGACACAAAAGCCAGCCCAGCAGCAACCCCAGCAGGAAAGCAAAACTGACTCCCGTATCTTTCTCCGGCTGCCGGTCTCCTCCAGCCTACGAGCTATTGGGCCGCATGGCATCCGGGTCACCCTAGCGGAAAAAAATTCCTGGTGGAATCGCACGAGTGCAGGCCGTGGCTACAGGATATGCAATCTCAGCCACTGAAGAAGGTAGGGCTTTCCTACTCTCCCCACAGGCAAGTGGGCTAGCAGGAGACGGCAACTTTGAGGCTGCAATGGGTTTCCATCAGATAGTAGTCCCTAGGATCCCTCAGCAGCTCTGGACCCGAGAGGGATGGGCACCCACCACAATCAGGGATATCAGTACAGAAGCAGAGCGCATAACTGGTATGAAGCTGCTTATGACTAAGCTCTCTAAGCACCCTGTAGAGGAGGGCTCTATCACGGCAGTCATAGCCTTTCCAAAGAAGCCACAACGTGCCTTGCAACTCTTTGGCTCCTCTGGCCTATCACGGCCTACCTGCCCTAAGAAAAGACCACTACAGTGTACCCGCTGCCACCGCTTCCATGATACACGAGCCTGCCGCTCTAGTGAGCGCTGCATCTCCTGTGGATCCTCTAAACAGGAGCATACCTGCCGCGTGCAGTGTGTGAACTGCTGCGGTCCACATGCAGCAGACTACCAAAAGTGCCCTGCTAGACCATATACACAAAAGGGTTCTATTATCCGCCTTGCAAAGGACACCTTGGCTGCTGTTCGTAAGGCTGGCCAACTTGCCTTTCAACAGCAACTAGCTAAGTCAGCCTCTAGCCACCAAGCTAGCAGTCCACACACCCCCCACCAGTCCTCAAGCCAGCTTGCCCAGGAGCTTGCAAATCAAACCCTCCCATCACCAGAACTATGAAGATATTGCAGGCTAATGTTGGAAGGGGCAGCCCTGCCCACGACCTACTGCTAACATTTGAGGCGGACATTATCCTAGTCCAGGAGCCCTGGACGGACATGGCAAAACAACTCACAAAAACACACCCACGATACCAGCTCTTCAGCCCTGCCACTCGGTGGGAAACTAGGCCTAGAGCTTTGATATATGTTTGCCGGGATCTTCCAGCATTCTCTCTCCCTCAGCCTATCTCACCAGATATCGCAGCTATCTGTACAGCTGGCCTAACCATCATAAACATCTACCGCCCCCCAAATGACCCCGTTGTGCCAGCTGGATCTGGTTCAACCCTATCTACCCTACACACCCTATTGCAATTCTCCCCTCCGCAGAACACTATTATCGCGGGGGACTTTAATACCCACCACCCCCTCTGGCAACCAGGGACAGAACCGCACCAAGTAACAGCAGGCGCAACAGCACTTATAGAGTGGCTAGAAGCCCATGAACTAGTGCTCTGTATGGAGCCAGGCACTCCTACTCGTGGGCCAAACACCCTTGACCTGGTCTTCTCCAACATGTTGATAGAGGCAGTAGTTGAAGACTACCTTAATACCTCAAGTGATCATGCAACCATTCTGATTACAACAGACTGGACAGAGCCTATCTCCTGTCCAAGGATAGGCTCTACAGACTGGGAGAAGGCTATATCTCTGCTAACCCCCCCACCTGCGCACCTCCCCATCAACACCTTAGCAGAAGAACTAGTTGATAATGTACAGCTAGCCATCCGTGGTGCATCAAAACATAACTCTCGCAAGCTCCCACGCACCCCTTGGTGGACACCAGAGCTCACAGACCTACTCCACCAAACACGACAGCAGCAGGACCCAGACTACCTACCACTCCGGAAGACAATATCCTGTGCAAAGGCTAATTACTGGAAGAGGCGAATTGAGCAAGCAGTGTCTCCCACAGATGCCTTCCTACTTGCTAAATGGCATAAGCGCTCAGATCAGCTCGCGGCACCCCCTCTAAACATCCAAGGAAATCAGGTTAGCACTCCACAAGATAAAGCGGATGCTTTTCTTTCACATTTACTGGAGAAGGGAGCCTCCCTTCCAGATCAACTAGAGGAGGGCCCTCCAGCAAAACCTCTGGATTCACTAGGGTTGCCAACTAAGGAGGACTGCTGGACTGCCCTTTGTGCCCCTGCCCCATCCGCCCCAGGTAGGGATGGGCTTGCTACCACAGTTTGGAGAGAGCTCTGGCCTGCTCTAGGCAACACAATCACGCTTCTTTATCGCCGCTGCTTAGAGGAAGGTCGCTTCCCACAGTGTTTTAAGTCTGCAAAGGTGGTAATGATACCAAAGCCAGGAAAAAGGGACCTCACACAGCTCGGCTCCTGGCGACCCATCAGCCTACTCTCCACCTTAGGAAAAGGCCTAGAGCGCTTTCTGGCGCGGCGCATAGCTGCAAGAGCAATCCAGGTAGGGCTACTGGCCCCCTGCCATTTTGGCGCTCTTCCTGGCCGCTCTGCGATTGATCTTGTCCAGATCCTGGTCCACAGGATAGAGAAGGCCTTTGGAAGGAAGATGGTGGCTTCACTACTATTACTGGACGTAAAGGGGGCCTTTGATGCGGTAATCCATCAGCGGCTTCTCTCACACCTACGCCTGCAGGGATGGGACGAAGGCCTAATCCAGTTAATCCAAGATTGGCTGACCGGCCGCACTGCCTCAGTCCATATTAGAGAGGCTATTGCAACAGCCCTAATCAAGGGCGGTCTCCCCAGGGGTCCCCTCTATCCCCAATTCTCTTCCTGCTGTACGCGGCAATGGTAGTTTCTACCCATAAGGGCTCTTTCTGCTATGCAGACGACCTGGGATTGCTATTCATTGGAAACAATCTGGAAGAGACCTCACGGCAACTATTGGAAGCCTATAAATCAATCACGGCACTTGGGGCTGCATCAGGCCTTCCATTCTCCTTTGAGAAGACAGAAATACAGCATTTCTCTAGGCAGCAGAAGCAGTCTATCCCCACAGTCTTTCTACTAGGTGTAGGCAAGATCAAACCATCTCCATATACCCGATGGTTAGGGGTCCTGCTTGACACTAAGCTCACCTTCAGGTCACATATTAATTGGACATTCAGCCGCGGCAAGCAGCTCGCTCAACATCTCCGGAGGCTTAGCAATACCCAGCGTGGGTGCCCAGTAGCCTCCATGCGTGCAGTGGTCATGCAGTGCGTCCTGCCAACAGCTCTCTATGGCGCAGAAGTCTTCTATACTGGCTACAGGCAACAAGGGGTTATCAGCTCCCTTCAATCCCTGCTCCGCCTGGCCGCCCTGGCCATTCTTCCTGCATATAAAACAACCCCTACTACAGTACTCCTCCGGGAGGCAGACCTACCTGACCCTGAAGCCCTGCTCAACGGTACCCTCCAGAAGGCGGCAATCAGATATGCAAGCCTTGACGCGAAGCACCTGATTGCTCGCATAACTACCACTACAGCCCAGAGCTGTAAGAACAGGACCAGACTTACCAGGATCCTCCAACTTGTCCCTGGACCAGCGCTGGAACGCATGCATATAGAACCACCCCTCCCATCACTGCGCATGCTCCCCACTGACTGGGGTAAGCACCTTCCTTCCCCATTGGAAGTAACAGTCTATTCAGATGGCTCCCATACAGACCAGGGCGCTGGGTACGGCTATGCAATATACTATGGCCCTATCCTGCTTACCCAGGGATTCGGCCCTGCTGGCGCGCGGACAGAGGTTTACGACGCAGAAATTATGGGTGCAGTAGAAGGGCTCCGTGCTGCAGTTAGCCAAGACTGCACCAAGTTCGCTACCCAAATCAACATCCTCCTTGATAATCTAGCCGCAGCTAGCCTGCTAGCAGATGGCAGGCCAGCCCCCCATAGACGAAGACTTACTGATACTTTCCACCAACTCTCCGCTCAGTGGGACAGCTTGCCTTCACTTTTATCTCTACCTCGCAAACCTGTAGGGGTCTGTTGGGTTCCAGGCCACTCTGGGGTCACAGGGAATGAGCTCGCAGATAAGCTGGCAAAGAAGGGAGCTTCATTAGCCAGTCCTGATATCCCCCCTTCTCCCTCATTCCTCAGACGGGAGGCAAAACAGCGGATCCGCGCAGATACACACGCGGCATATTTTAGAGGCGCACCTCAGGCCTACCGTGACCTGGGCATCAGACCTCATACAAAAAGCAGTCGTGACCAAGAACATAAGCTCCCCTGCTGGGTCCTGGGCAGGCTCATAGCCGCCCATACAGGTCATGGGGATTTTGCAG